CCTTTATTAGTGCACCGACAGTTGTGTGATCAGGTTCTACAGGTTGTGTTTCCGCCATCATCTCTCCTAAGACATCAAAAGCACGATCAACTGCTCCTGATTGACCACATGCAGTAATAAGCGCATTGAATACAACTCGATCTGGCTTCACTTTCTACTGCATGTAACATCTTATCAGCATTGAAATTTATTCACTATCCAGGAAGAAACAAGAAACAACATCCTTTCTCAGAAACAAAGAACTTGATAGAGTAATAGTAACTGTGGATAGATATTGTAAAGTTTCTCATTCTAATAGTACCTTAGACCTCATTATCCCATAAGCACCAAAAGCCTTGGCCACTTCCCTGGCTCTGCCACAACCATCAATAAGTGCCCCATATGTGTGAACATTTGGTTCTACTCCAGCATTAACCATCTCATGAAAAACCTTTGCAGAAGAAAAAGATAAATGTAGTTGAAATACTATGGGAAACACAGAGAAAAACGCATATGCAGAGGTTATGTTAAAAAAAAAATCTAAAATTGAAGATAGCAATTTACCAACTGGGCACTCATTAGTTACAGGATTCATGAATGAAAAATGTAATGAAGAAATCAATACTCAGCTTCAATGAAATCAAGTTTAAAGCTTCAGTAATTACAAAAGGCTGGTACTCAAATTCTGTTTGAGATGTAGATGAGATTTAATTATATCAAATTTTCAGGGATTACAAACAGAATGTCCACCTGATGGTCAAAGTTTTGTTTAAAGGGATGGACATATCAGCTTCAATTCTTTCTACATATAAAGCAAGCCAAACAAGCAGAACTTGCCACCCTGGTAGCTACTGGGACTAAAATTGGTAATACAGTAAAACTTCATTTCAGAAATATTGGGCTAAAAACTCAGAGTATGCATGCCACTGAGAGCTGAAAGAAACCAAAATGAAAGATATCATACATCAAACATCGTGTAAACTTTTCCACTTTTACCGCATGTTGATATCAGAGTAGTATAAAGTTTGCAATCAGGCTTCATTCCAGCCTCCCGGACAAGTCGCAGAACATGGAAAGCTTCTAAAACCACAAAAAAGATATCAGGAACTTATCTTGCACCAAAAAATTAATAGCTGTGGTAAATTGTATAAATGAATTTACCCTCTGAATCTTGAGAACTTGCACAGACAGTCATAAGCATATTATATGTACTCAAGGTTGGATTTGGAATCAGTTTGATGAAACGGAAAGCTTTGTCAACAGCCTTTTGCGATTTGCAGATTTCAAAAAACCTTGCATGATAAACCTGATGCCAGAGAACTTAGTAAAATAGAGAAACCCAATATACAAGAACAAATCATTAACAGAAGGTTGCATCCTTACCTTACTCATATCCAACAAACCCCTTCTTTCCAAATCTTCAAGCAATTTTAAAGAGTCGCCTAGCCTAAGAAGCCCATATTATTCAATGATCAGCTTCTAGAAAAGAAATTTGGAAAAGGGGAAAGACTGGTATGTGAGAATTCAAATCTATGGGTTTATATTAGTACTATTTAGAGTTAAATTGCATAGAACTGTGTTTCTACAGGGAAAGAAAAAGAGGAAGTACACGGATTCACTTTGGTTAATTATATCTAGTCATTTCAAACCAGTGCAAACTCCTTTTCAAAAACCAAATCCATTTTGTTAAACTCCTAAATCCAAATGGACCCTAAAGGTATTTTATAACATATATGTGAAAGATAACATGTACCTCCCATCCTTTAGCAAACGATGGTAAGCACTTAATTGCTCTGATAGAAGATCTCTGTCATTTGTATGAATCCCATGTGGGTGGGGAAACTGGGTCATAGTCCCAGAATTCTTTTTAGGCAAATGTCTTACTTCTTTGTCGCTTGAATATCCACTGCCTTTTCCCAAGTCCTTTCTGCTGCGGGTATGGCCTTCTATAGACTCTGAACAAACACTCTTCTTCAGAAAATAGGCCAAAAGTACATTTATTTCACAAAATTACCATACAAGTATCAACATATGGTCTTTCTTTTATGGCATTACCTGTAGTGTGATGGGAAGCTTGTGGTATTAAATCCGCCCCTGTCACAGTGATGTTCCTCAAAAAAGAAGATGGCTTTTTACCATTCAAGCTTGCTACAGATTTCGTCTCAGACTTGTTTGACTCATAAAACATGTGAAGCTCTTCTCTCACCGATTCTCTATTGAGTACATGAAAGCTAGTCGCTTCGCCGACTTCACCGCTTTCGCCAACTTCATCGTTTTCCTCATCATCTACAGGAACAGAAGGCGAAGCTATGCCAAAATTAGAATCACTCATTAATTTAGAGAATTCATCAGAAATTGGGTCACGACCACCATCTTCAGACCGTTCACCCATTAATTTAGAGAACTCTTCCGAAATTGGATCATAATCAACATCTTCAGACCGCTCTGGCTGCTGCAACTGAGTCAACTCAGTGGGAAAACGAAGCGGTTGACGCACTGCGGTTGATTCAAACACTAAAGGCGCAAGAGACTCCTGCGCAGAATTGTGAAATTGCAGCACCGGTGTCTCTATTTCTTCAATCTTTCCGTTCAAAGCATCAAAACCAAGAATCTGATTTTCGCGGATTGGTAGCTGGCTACTGACCTCTTTGGCGTCTCTAACCTCTCTGAGCTTTCTAACTCTAGCATCGAGATTCTTCTTGGACTTGAATGTCCTGTTGAAGTAGACGACGGAGACAGCAGAGAAGGTAACGACGGCGACGACGAGGAGGAGCGAATGCGGGTCGAGAGAGGCCTTGATGAGAAACTTCGAGGAAGGAGAGCGATGGTCGCCGGCGAGCCTTCTGCGTTTTCTAAGAGAGCGAAGATCTCCGGAGAGCGGTCGGATACTATGGCCGCCGCAGCCGAGGAAGTGTCTGCGAATTGATGGGAGAGAGGAGGAGGAAGAAGAAGAAGATGAAGATAGAGGAGTGCATGAGATTAGTGTTAGGGTTTGAGGCTTCGCAGAGAAGCTCATCTCCTCGGGAGAGACGAAGAAGAGAAGAGGAGGAGGAAGCTCTGTGTGGCCTATCAGCTCTGTGAGGGAGTGACGAGAGTGAGAGTGAGAGAAGCTCTCATATCATGATTCATAACCAACTGCCTGGTCCTCTCTTTATTTAATCTGTTATTTTGCTCATCCACATGTTGCTGACGTGGCGCAATTCCTGGTTACAGTTTGGCTTTTATTATTTTATTTATATTTATTTTGTTTCGTTCGTTTGCTGGTTTGAATTTTTTCTGTTGGGGCCAATCGTATTTGCCGCGGATTTCTTTAATTCTTTTATTGGCCCAAGAACAAGCCCAATCCAAAATCTCTTCAGCCTTCTGTTTTGTTTTTTTATTTTTTCAGCACAAGTGGTGGTCTAAATTACAAAAAGAGGGGTTTGGAGGCCAATTTAGCATAATTTCCCCAATTTTTCGGAATTATTACATATTAGATTTTAAATGATGAAAAGAGCTATATAGACGACAAAAGGCCATGAAAACCTCATGTCTACACCTAGCTTTGTCCCTACTCACGTATTGCAATCAAAACCCCTAAATTGTGAATCGCGGGGCACACATATTTGGTCAATCTTTGATTGTGGATTCGTAAGTAGGGTAGACATGTAAATTACAATATAGTTCATAAGTAACTAAGTATGTTTGCCTAGTTTGATGGAAGTTGGTCATGTAATGGAATTTACAATTGTAAGGAGAGGAAAATAGAGTATGGAACCCATAGAGAAAATTGTTTATTGAAGATGGGGTTTGATATAGTTTTTGTAAACTTACAATTAGACTTGACTAATGTAAAAGAGACATGATCATTATTTACTACATTGCGATCCAAGCAAGTTAGAACATGTATGTTGAACATACAAGTAGAAGATCGAATTTGGTAGCTAGTATGTAGTCCGTGCTAACTTAATTTTTTATTTATTTATCCTATTTACCTTATATGGAAATGTTATGATCATACTTCATCGTCCAATAAAACGTACGTACTTACAACTGGCATATTCGATATTCGTGTTGAGAATATATAATTGTCTTTTAGTAATGAATCTCACTTATCCATGCACGTCGTTAATTAGGGTCTTTTAATATGGCTTTTATTTTTATTTTATTTTATTTATTTTTTCAATTAGATTAGGAGGTATGAAGCCGAAGAAATAGAAAGGAAAAAATTATATATTAGTAACTATAAAAATATTAACTAAATATGAAGAATAATGTCAAAATGAATATATAAAAAGGGAGTGTAAGTGGACGAAAGAAGAGTGAGAAAATCAGCACCCAAAAAAATTATTTATTAATCACTATACAAATTTCCTACCTTTCTTTTTCTTATATTAATTTTCACTTTTTGTTGTGAAGTATAATGGGAAGTGCATTTTTTGAGCAAATAAACATAGAGGAGAAATCATTCTCAACATCTCTTGTAAAGGTCATAACCTCTAAAATAATTCTCAATATAAAGAGAGGTGTTATATTAATTCTCACATAATTAACGAGAGCTAGCTAGTATTTCAAAACAAGAAATGAAAAATAAATAAATAAAAGAATAATATTGACATAAAAAAGATTATTGGTCATAAATATCAATAAACTATATCATTAAGTTAATATTTTTGCACATTCTGCTGAGCATAGTAAGCATTTTCTCAATAAATTAATTTGCTAATCAAACAGGATGTGTCAATTAGTACATTACTTTCTTCCCATTATGTTTGAAAATAAAGAAAGTTAAAAGAATTTCAGAAAATGAAAATTTTAAATGAAATTGATAAGTATCAAAATTTCATTTGTTATGAAGAGGAACACCTCCTCAAATTTAAGGAGCCAAGCTTTTTATTATATAAAACTCTAAATCAAAACACATAAAATGTCATTAATTTGATAAGCCAACCGGCATAGTTGCTACAACCACAGGAATCTTGATGATTAAAATACAAATTAGCTAATGCTTATTAAAACCCTCATCACCATATATAAAAACTTCACAGAAAACCTCCACCAAGATTAGGGTTCCAGTCACTGAGAAACATAGGATCGCCATTGAACCCAACATTGTTAGGCTGGTCTGGAGGAGCCTGCATAACAGACTCAGCTCCATTGAAATTGAAGCCAAGACTGTTAGGCTGATCAGGTCCATTGAAATTGAAGCCAAGATTGTTAGGCTGATCAAGAGGAGCCTGCATAATAGGCTGAGGTCCATTGAAATTGAAACCAAGATTGTTAGGCTGATCAGGTCCATTGAAATTGAAACCAAGATTGTGAGGCTGATCAGGTCCATTGAAATTGAAGCCAAGATAGTTAGGCTGATCAGGAGGAGCCTGCATAACAGGCTCAGCTCCATTAAAATTGAAGCCAAGATAGTTAGGCTGATCAGGAGGAGACTGCATAACAGGCTCAGCTCCATTGAAATTGAAGCCAAGAGTGTTAGGCTGATCAGGAGCCTGCAAAACAGACTCAGCTCCATCGAAATTGAACCCAAAATTGTTTGGCTGGTCAGGAGCCTGCATAACAAAATCATTTCCATTAAAATTGAACCCAACATTGTTAATCTCAGGATTAGCCAAACCTTGGAGGCCAGAAGGCCCAGCAGCAGCACTGGAAGAAGAGCTCCCCACAAAAAAATTATTGTGAGCAGGGTTTGCACTTTGGGCAGCAACACTAGAAGAGGAGCTCCCCACAAAAAAATTATTGTGAGCAGGGTTTGCACTTTGGGCAGCAACACTAGAAGAGGAGCTCCCCACAAAAAAATTATTGTAAGAAGGGTTTGCACTTTGGGCAGCAGCACTAGAAGAGGAGCTTCCCACCAAAAAATTATTGTGAGCAGGGTTTGCACTTTGGGCAGCAGCACTAGAAGAGGAGCTCCCCACAAAAAAATTATTGTGAGCAGGGTTTGCACTTTGGGCAGCAGCACTAGAAGAGGAGCTCCCCGCATAAACATTAGGATTGTGAGGAGGGTTTGCAGTTTTGGCTGCAGCAAGTTTCTGTTTAGCCTGATCAGCCACTTTGGACCTCAACTGCATAAGAGAAGCCCTCAGAATCTCCATCCTGTCCAAGTCCAACTCCTCCACTGGTCCCTCCAACCCGCACTCCGCTTGGCTGGCCTTCAATAACTGGGTCAGCTCTTCCCCCCGCTTCCTTTCGCGCTCGATGCGCTCCATCACCTGTGTGAGCTCAGCGTTGAGCTCATTCGTAGTCGCGTGGGAGCACGCCTCAGCGATCTGCTGCATATCGTGATTAAGAGGCTGACGCGAGGTTCTGCCCTCGTACTTGTCCAACACCTTCTCGATGGACGGGTGGCCAAAGCAAAAGGCCTTCTTGCCTGGCGAGAAGACAATGAGGCCGAGCTCTGTACCACACAGGGTACTAAGCTCGCTGGCCTTTTTGAAAAGGCCTGCCCTTCTCTTGGAGAATGTGACTTGGAGATTGGTCTCATTCTCCATTTTCACCATCTGCAATTTTTGGCGACCCCTGCATATCCTTGGCATGGCTAACCCTTGGTTTGTTGTGTATGTCCGGTGGGATTAAAGGGGGGTATTTATTGACGCTTGTGTACATAGCAATTTAGGGTTTGAAGGTTCTTCTGACCTAAATAATTATCAATCTTTGCTGTCATTCTTCTTTTCTAATTTGCATATGTAGTTACTGAGATACTAGTTTGGGAGAAATTTAAATCCCTTTGTTCTTAGCATACATGGTAGGCACTTCATGAATTTTTATACACCAAATACCATTCTAAACTATTACACTCATTTCTTACTCACCAGTCACAACACATGCATGCATGAGGAAAACTGCCAGACAATTGCTAGAGCTTTACCTATAATCTTATCCTCCTCCTTACTTCATTCTTGGCTTTGTTCGGATTTGCCAAAGAAAGAAATTTTGATAAAACATGACAACGCAAATTAAATCTAGAAATTTAATGTTAAGCGAGGAGATAAGAGCATCTTCAAATTTTCATTTCATAAGGGACAAAACCAAGAATTTGCTGCTATACTATAGAAGGGAGGAAGATATTGATTTATTGTAATGCTATGTTTTAATCACATTTTCTCTTCACTTGAGTTAACACCCATAGTGCCTATATAGTAATCCTATCCTCCTCCTGAATACGTCTTTGGTTGGAGTTGCCAAAGAAAGAAATTTATATTAAATATGACAACACAGATTAAATCTGGAAATTCAAAGTGTTAGGTGAGGAGATAACAAATAATTAATCATAATGGACTTGGCTATTTACTTAATTAAAGGTTAACTTAGGAACTTGTTTTGTTGAATATTTGTCCGACATCGGGAACTTAAAAAGATTTTACTTTGGTTTATAAGGAGCTGAGTTACTCTCCCCTCCTCACCCCAAAAAGATTACCAATTGATTTTAGAGTGAAACCTCAACTTCCTTCATGATATAATAGCTCAAACAAAAGACATTTTGAATTTAACAAATAATTTGAATTTGACTACCGAAGGTGAAAGATTTAATATCATTTTTTACTTTCCATAATGAAAATAATGAAAACTAAGTATGTGTATGGTAAACCCTAGGATCCAAAGACTATTAGAAAATAATTTGGTAACTTAATAATTATTTGCACAATATAAGTTAGAGCGTGTATGTTGAACATGCACGTAGAAGATCGACTTTGTAAGCTATTACGAAGTCGGCGCTATTGTCATTCTCTACTTAATTATCTTTTATCATGTCTCTTATAAGGAAATCATATCATATCTCGTTGTGCAATAAAACATACTTACAACTGACATATTTGATATAAGTATTGACTATTTATAATTTCCTTTTAATAAAATGCACGTATCATTTATCCATGCACGTCCGTTGTTAATTAGGGTTTTGTGAGCTCACTTAGTAGCGACTTTATTTTTTGTATTTTTTTTCCATAATTTGTTTTTTCTTTCTTTCTATTGAGTGAGGATTTAGGGGAGGTGGAGCAGAAAAAGGAGAACAATCCACATATAAAGCAAAATGTAGCAAAATGCTTTTCTAGTAAATTTTGAAAAAAAAAAAATCCGAAATTGCCCCCATTTAAGAGAAAATTTCAGAACACAGCCACTCCATTTTGATGGGACAAATACGTCAAACAATAATCCTTAAAATGAAAATAAATTTTTTTTTAAAAGGGATATAAGAGTGCATGCCAAATAATTTCCAACGAGTTATAATTTTTAATTTATTTTTTTGGTTTACGAAAAATAAATAATTAAATAAACTACTTTTGTGTTCCACCGATGTATATGTTGTTTCTCCTCTACATGGTGTCTCTCATAATTGTTTCTTCCTAAAGTATGGTTAAGACTAATTTACCTATGCACTTTTATCTTTGATTTCATCCTCTCAATATTACTTGTATTATTAAATACTAGTTTTTTGAAACAAATTTCTTACTTTTTTTCTTTATTAGTTTTCACCGTTTGTTGTAAAGTGTAATGAGAAGTGTAGTTTTCAACTCTCAAATAAGTATATGCTTCTTTTCATTTTAAGGATTTAGCAATAGGCCTTGCGTACATAGTCATACTTTCATTACTAGAAATTATTAGTGGGTGTTGATCACAGATTGGACACATATTACATGATTGTGGTCAAAGTGGGTGTTGCCATTAAAATTCTGCCACGACAAAGAGTGTATATGGCCTATAAGTGACTAATTGTGACTTATATATTACAAGCCACTGATGCACAGTAACCGTGACCATTACACACTAAGGGCCACTATTGTTTCACTGTGGCTAAGCAAACCGCGGCCTTAGCCACTTTTTCCAGTAGTGTTAGTGCTAGTATTACTTTCATTAAATTTGCATCAAATAGAGAGCTAGCTAGCATTTGAGTACTCTACATAAAAGCAAAACTATATAATTATTGTACATTCTGATGAGCATTAATTTGCTAATTCAACAGTATGTGTCAATTAGTACAAGGCCAACATATCCGATAGTTCTTTGAACCACATTTCACATAACTAAAAACGAATGGTCAAAATGATATTAGATAAAAGGCATAATTTTTCAACCTGATCTTATATCGATATATACACCAAACACAATGCCAATATATATAAATAAATAAAACACATAATTTTTTTAAAAATTTTGATGATCCAAACGGCTTAGTTGATACAACGATAGTACTCTTATTAAGAAACAACTTCTGATAGTTCATGACAATCTGAAATTTCATTTAAAAAAAACATAAGGACACAACAGAACAACAGAACGACAAACTTAATACTGCAGAGCGCAGATCACAACACTAGATCGATCACTCTGTTTTCTCTGTGGCTGCCAGTGCTGGCTTATTAATTAAATAAAATCATCATCACCCCCATCACAAATTTTTCAGAGAAAGCCTCCACCCAGGTTAGGGTTCCATCCACTGAGAGGCATGGCATTAGGATTGCCATTGAACCCAACATTGTTAGGCTGATGAGGAGCCTGCATCACATGATCATTTCCATTAAAATTAAACACAACATTGTTAATATCAGGATTAACCAAACCTTGGAGGCCAGAGGGCCCAGCAGCAGCACAGGAAGAAGAGCTCCCCACAAAAAAATTATTGTCAACAGGGTTTGCATTTTGGGCAGCAGCACTAGAAGAGGAACTCCCCACAAAAAAATTAGTGTTGTGTGCAAGGTTTGCACTTTCGGCAGCAGAAAGTCTCAATTTAGCCTCATCAGCCACTTTGGACTTCAACTCCAGAAGAGAAGCCTTCAAAGCCTCCAGCTGATCCAATTCCATCTCCTCCACTGGTCCCTGCCACCACTTCCCCTCTTTGTTGGCCTTCATGGACAGGGTCAGCACATCCCCCCATTTTCTTTCTTCCTCGAGAACCTCTAGCACCCGTGTGAGCTCATCAGTGATCTCACACAGGCCTGCAGTCCGGTACCCGTCAATAAGCTTTTGCGTTTCGGAATTCAAGATCTGACGCGGGACTGTGCCCTCGAACCTGTCCAACAATGTCTCAATGCCCGGGTGGCCAAAGCAAAAGACCTTCTTGCCCGGCGAGAAGACAATGATTGCGATCTCTGCACCACACAAGGTGCAGAGCTCGCTGGCCTTTTTGAAAAGGCCTGACCTTCTCTTGGAGAAGGTGACTTGGAGATGGCTGTCATTCTCCATTTTCACCATATCAACCTTTTGGCGACCCCTAGTCTTCTTCACCATGGCTAACACCAAATGGTTTGTTGTGTGTGTTAGGTGGGATTACAGGGGGTATTTAATTGAGGTTTGTGTACTTAGCATTTTAGGGTTTAGAGGTTTTCCTGAGCTAGATATCTCTTTGTTGTCATTGTTTTTACTTCATTTGTATGTTGTCACTAAGATACTAAATGTGAACCTTTTTTTCTTCTTAATTAGCATACATGGTAGGCATTTCATGAATTTTTATACACTGAATACCATTCTAAACCAGTTGCACTCATTTCTTACTCCCCAGGCACACACATGCATGCATTAGGAAAAAGTGACAGACAATTTGGTATTATATCCTTGGCTGGGATAAATATGCCTTTGTTGGAGTTCCCAAATAAAGAAATTTTGATAAAACATGACAAAAAAGAGATTAAATCTGGAAATTTAAAGCGTTAGGTAAGGAGAACAAATTGTTAATCTCACATATAATAGACTTGTTAAAAGGCTATTTAACTAATTAAAGGGTATGAATACAATTGGAAACCTTTTTTTCTTTTGCAGCACCGCCTTGATAAACCTTCCGATAGCATTTTACTGAGTACCTGAATAGTGGATTGCAAACATGAGTTAAACCAATTAGTTAGGACAGTGAATCCGCCTCCTTGTACAAATTCAAATCTCCATTTTTTACAATTTAGAGCAGTTTAAATTAAAGATATGAATTGTGGACTTAATTCAAAGATATGTATGGTCCATGACCAACAGCCCAACCATCTACTATGTGTAGGCCTGTGATTTGATTAAAATCTTGGGCCAATTTTGTACAGAAACCCCAAAAAAAAATTCAAATCCAAAATTCAAATAAACATTTGTCCCGTTGGCAAGCGAAGTAGCGTTTTGGCTTGTGTAGCGCCTTTTCGTGCGACGTGTTCGAAGGTTGAAACCAAACCCAAACATGCATATAAGAGACGGTTTTCCGCTGTACTCTATTTCTACTTTCGGGATTTTCTTTCCCCTTCAGTCTCTCTTCAGGTAAATTCCCAGGTCTTCTTCTTGTTTTCAATTTGGTTCTTCTTTTTTTTACCAATTTATTTCTGAACTCACCTTGAACTTTTTTATCTTCATGGTTTTCAGGTTATTTGAAGTTCTGGGTTAATCAAAATAATGCTGGGATCTTTTCTTCCGAGGGTTCTTCTGTACGTAATCAAATGAACCCCAATTGGGTTTTTGACCTAACCCAACCCAAGTGGTATTAGTTTTCATGAAAGTTATTGTTTGGGTAGTTAAATTTTTTATTTACCGCAGGATGGTGTTTGGTTACGCTTATCCGGCTTATGAGTGCTATAAGACTGTGGAGAAGAACAAGCCAGAGATTGAGCAACTTCTGTTTTGGTGCCAATACTGGTATATACATATATGATATATCTATGATGTTATTATAATTATGATTTTTTTAACTTTAGTTTCCAATTAAAATATTGAATTACATTTGATGTGGGTTTTGTAGGATATTAGTTGCTATGCTTACTGCGTTGGAGAGATTTGGGGATGCTTTATTTTCATGGTAAACAATTTGCTTCTCTAACATTTTATTGAAGCCTTTTTGTTACAACGTATCATATTTGCAAATCAAGGAGATGTGACTCGTTTGTATGGAAGAATCTCATGTGAAGTGTGAGTTAGCAAATGTAGTAAGTAAATGTGATATGTGTTAGTTTCACATAACTTATGTCTTGGAAGACGGAAGTTAGGAAGAATGATAACTTTATTTCCATTATTCACTTATTCTCTGATGGCTTAAACTTTTGTCGATTACTGATGATCTAATATCACATGGTAGAGCGTTACATATTTGTCTCATATGGTTTTTAATGTCACTTATTGTTCCCTTGTGTTTTTTTAAGGGTACCAATATACAATGAAGCCAAATTGGCGTTGTTTATATATCTCTGGTCTTCTAAGGAGAAAGTAAGCACTCATCATCATCCTATATTCAAAGAATCATGTTTTTATTAATTCTGTCCTTAATAATAGTGGTACTCATGAATGTCTTAATTAACTTTTCAGGGCACGGCCTATCTTTATAATCGCTTCTTCCGAGACTTTGTGGCACAACATGAGGCAGAAATTGATAGTAAGATATTGGAATTCAGAGTTAAGACTAGGGATTTTGCAAACCTATCTTGTCAAAAGGCTCTGAATTATGGCCAAAAAGGTGTTTATGAGATTTTGGAGTATGTTTCTTCTCATCAGTCGGCGCCACTGCCTCATTATGATCAGGTACATTCTTGCCACAGTTATATTGTAAGATAAGTGACACTGATACATTCGTAGCCTGTACTAATGTAAGTCACAGCCAACTCGTAGCCAAAAAGTGTTATATATAACCCAATTAGACATGTTATTATCTTGCTAAATTAAGTTTAAGCCGCACATTCAAACAATAATCAACCTGATCAATAGTTGAGATAACATAGTACGAAATCTCTCTATATTTAAATAAATTAAGCAGCCCCTGTGGTTTCTGTGCAGAAGCAAGAGAAGGGCACTGGAAAAGTAATTGCTGCTGGTCATTCTGAAGGTGAAGCAAGGGACCAAAGACCAACTGAATCAGTATCGTTGTCTGAAAATGGAATCCCAATTCTTCCCAGCAGAAAACACTGGTTAAAGAAGCTCATCAGATGATGCGTCGCATACTGCACCAAATTATATTAATGTGGTTTACCAATTTTCAGCCTTTACAAAATACAATTTTATGTCTTGTTAGTCTTAATTACTTCCTCTGTACCTCATGAAAACTAATCAAGACGTACCCATACCCATTCTACGTACCATAGGTAACATTGATCCTATTTTTTCGATTTCAAAACCGAAACCCCTTCGAGTCATACGAAAGAAGTGTTGGGTTACGTAAGAGTTGAACTACCTAAATATCTAAATCATATAATAAATTCCTTCAAAGAAACATACCCAAAAACATTACTAATAAAGCTCACTAACTCTTTAGTCACCGGCCTAAGAAATTACTAGGGTCAGTCACTTGCATATATGAAAATGACGTATGATATCAATTTTTAATTATTATAACTCGATACATTACACGTTTATGGGTGAAATGACACTTGTCACGCGTTTGACGCACACTTATAAAGTTAACCACACGTTCGAGGAACATATTGTTCTTTCAATCCAATATTTCCACGATTGCTGCTGTCATCTTAACTTGTTCAACCCAATATTCCCTGCGACCAAAATAACAGTGAGTGCAGTTCTTCCTTGATTCTTCATTCAGTTTCTTCTTCGTCTATTCTTCATACTATATTATCTTAAATATAGGGTAGACATCCAACAACAATATTTTTGTTGTTGTTGGTGAATTAAACAGAAAATTGTATACAGTGAATCTGAATTGTGAAGCATAAGAAACATAAGCAGACTTTTTTCATTCACATCAAGATAAAAGTTTTCTCTGTCTGTAGATTACTACACTTTAAACTTCCTTGCCTAACTTCTATGGTTTTTACTTCCCTTTTATATTTAACTTGCATTTTATGTATTAATATGGAGTTTTAATTACAATTATGGCAATTAATGAAATGCTTGGAATACATTATAAATAAAATATGAAGTCTGATGACAACGATAAGAATATTATGACCTCTTATATCTTATTGGTCATCTAAGTTTAAAATTGGGTTTTACATATAGATTTATAGAATGATGGGTATATGTCTAGGAAATAAAAATTGTAGGGACCTATATTAGACAAACCCTAAATTTTATTAAGAAACCACAAAAGGACACAACAATACAACAAAAAGTAAAATCCAACCAAGCTCAGCAACAAGGATATAATTTTTTAGAGGAAAATGTTGGGAACACTGACTTATATCATGATTTGTTTTTTCTTTGGGCTACAAATCAGTTCTTTTCTGTGGAAAATTCTTTTGACTTTGTCACTCAAATTGTACAAATATGGTTGTGTGGTTTTAAAAGGCAACGTGAAGTGTGGGATGGGCTGCCAATTTTGAAACTTATTAGCTTCTTTGAGAAGCCGATGCAGCATTTATGCGTGTAAGGAACACTCGGCGGATTGATCCATCAGAGAAGACAAAATAATGGTGTCATTCGGACAGACTTGGGCAATTGATCCAGCAACAAGTCTTTCAATCATTTGCCAAGTTGGTCCCTTTAGCCTCGTTTGTTACGGAAAAAGATTGTCTTGGCATGAATTTTTCTCAGAAATTGTCTTGGCTTGAATTGGCTTAAGTTGAATAACACTTAACCGATGTTTGGTGATGCTTAGATTGGGACTAAATTTAAATTGATTAAAATATCAATAAATCGAATGATATATTTCAACTTCTATTCTTATGTACAAACGTGGGTTAAAAATATTCCAAAGTTTTATTTAATAAGGTTTATTTTTTAGGTTTATACAGGTTTTAAATTTGAGAGCATTTGTATCTATTTAAGTGAGTTTTTTGCTATATTTGAAATATTTTACAAAAACTGACATTTTTTAAATTAAGCATCAAGTTTTGGCTATTTTGGATAAATTCTCAAGTTAATTATCTAATCCAATTTGTACAGAAACACAAAAAAAAAAAAAAAAAAAAAAAAAAAAAAAAAAAAATTTCCAAATCCAAATTCAAATTCAAATATTTGTCCCGTTGGAAAGCGAAGTAGCGTTTTGGCTTATATAGCGCCTTTTCGTGCGACGTGTTTTGAAGGTCGAAACCAAACCCAAACATGCATATACATATTAAGAGACGGTTTTCCGCTGCACTCTATTTCTACTTTCGGGATTTTCTTTTCCCTTCAATCTCTCTTCAGGTAAATTCCCAGGTCTTCTTCTTGTTTTCAATTTGGTTCTCCTTTTTTTTTTTACCAATTTATTTCTGAACTCACCTTGAACTTTTTTATCTTCATGATTTTCAGGTTATTTGAAGTTCTGGGTTAATCAAATAATGCTGGGATCTTTTCTTCCAAGGGTTCTTCTGTTCGTAATCAAATGAACCCCAATTGGGTTTTTGACCTAACCCAACCCAAGTGGTGTTAGTTTTCATGAAAGTTATTGTTTGGGTAATTAAATTTTTTATTTACTGCAGGATGGTGTTTGGTTACGCTTATCAGGCTTATGAGTGCTGTAAGACTCTGGAGCATACGCCAGAGATTGGGCGACTTCTGTTCTGGTGCCGATACTGGTATATACATATATGATATATCTATCATGTTTAATTATGATTCTTTTAACTCTAATTTGTAATTAAAATTAATTAATGGTTCACTTTTGATGTGGGTTTCGTAGGATAGTAGTTGCTATGCTCACTGTGTTGGAGAGATTTGGGGATGCTTTATTTTCATGGTAAACAATTTGCTTCCATAACATTTTATTGAAGCCTTTTTGTTACAATGTATCATATTTGCAAATCAAGGAGATGCGACTCGTTTGTATGGGAGAATCCCATGTGAAGTGTGAGTTAGCAAATGTAGTAAGCAAATGTGATATATGAGTTCCCTATCGAAATCTTAACCCCTCGTTCTCTAGAAATTTTCACACTTATGTCATGGAAGACGAGAGTTAGAAAAGAATGATAACTTTATTTCCATTATTGACTTATTCTCTGATAGCTTAAAATTTTGTCGATTAGTGATTATCTAATATCACATGGCAGAGCATTACAAATGATGATTTTTTAATGTCACTTATTGTTTGTGATTGGCATTGTTTATATATCTCTGGTATTGGAGAGAGGAAGTAAGCACTCATCATCATCCTATACTTGTAGAATCTTGTTTTTATTCTGTCCTTAATAATAGTGAATACCCATGAATGTCTTAATTAACTTTGCAGAGCACGGACCATCTTTATAATCGCTTCCGAGAATTTGTGGTACCACGTGAGGCAAAAATTGATAGAATCAGAGATAAGGCTAGGAATTTAGCAAACCAATCTTGTCAAGAGGCTCTGAATTGTGGCCGAAAGGGTGTTTATGCGATTTTGAATTATGTTTCTTCTCATCAATCGGCGCCACAGCCTCATTCTGATTAGGTACATTCTTGCCACAGTTATATTGTAAGATAAGTGACACTGATACACTCGTAGCCTGTACTAATGTAAGTCACAGCCAACTCGCGGCCAAAAAGTGTTATATATAACCCAATTAGACATGTTATTATCTTCCTAAATTAAGTTTAAGCCGCACATTCAAACAATAATCAACCTGATCAATAGTTGAGATAACATAGTACGAAATCTCTCTATATTTAAATAAATTAAGCAGCCCCTGTGGTTTCTGTGCAGAAGCAAGAGAAGGGCACTGGAAAAGTAATTGCTGCTGGTCATTCTGAAGGTGAAGCAAGGGACCAAAGACCAACTGAATCAGTATCGTTGTCTGAAAATGGAATCCCAATTCTTCCCAGCAGAAAAACACTGGTTAAAGAAGCTCATCAGATGATGCGTCGCATACTGCACCAAATTATATTAATGTGGTTTACCAATTTTCAGCCTTTACAAAATACAATTTTATGTCTTGTTGTTAGTCTTAATTACTTCCTCTGTACCTCATGAAAACTAATCAAGATGTACCCATACCCATTCTACGTACCACAGGTAACATTGATCCTATTGTTTCGATTTCAAAACCGAAACCCCTTCGAGTCATACGAAAGGAGTGTTGGGTTACGTAAGAGTTGAACTACCCAAATATCTAAATCATATAATAAATTCCTTCAAAGAAACATACCTAACAACATTACTAATAAAGCTCACTAACTCTTTAGTCACCGGCCTAAGAAATTACTAGGGTCAGTCACTTTCATATATGAAAATGACGTATGATATCAATTTTTAATTATCATGACTCGATACATTACGCGTTTATTTATGGGTGAAATGTTTGACGCACACTCAGAAAGTTAACCACACGTTGGAAAAACATATTGTTCTTTCAATCCAATATTTCCACAATTGCTGTGGTCATCTTAACTTGTTCAATCCAATATTGCCCAAAACCCACCAAAAAAAAAAAATAAACATAGAACGGCACGTCGTTTGTCTCTGTTAAAATACCTCATACGACAGTATCCCAACAACCTCGTGAATTCGACAATTCAATGAATTCACCTCGTTTTCAGCAACAAGCTACCCGGTAGACTCTTCCGTAGCCTATCCAGTTACACCACGTGGCAAATATACGTACAGGACACGTATCTAATCAAATTAGCTGGCAGGCTCACGTGTCGCACGGATACGGGCCAACCAAAGTAAGCGAAAGAGCGAAAGAGCGAAAATCTAACTCCTACGGGGCCCCACCTTGTCCGTCAGCCATTTGTTGGTTTTTTGGTTGAGTCTCCCTAACCGCCCCACGTGTCCAAGCCGCAGTTATCTACATTTGTGACCACAAACCACCCTATCTATCTTTCTTTTAGGTCCTTTGTTTGCTTCTGTTTCATAAATTCATACTTACTTTGGTTGCTTTTTTTGTCAGCAAAGAATAGTGAAATGCACCGCCCAAAAACAAAAAAAGAATTTGGATAGAAAGTGGAAAACGTGGGAGAGAGTAAACAGCGGGGGAATAGTATTTTGTGCCGACAGACGTTTGGAGATGAATATACTTTGTTAATTGTATTGTGATCATTCCTTTGAAAGTATTTTTTATATTATACGAAGTTGTTGGCGTAGTGGCTCGATACAAGGGATATGATGTGCAAGTTCTACATCGGATAATATAATAATAATTTATAGTTTAAATATAGATAGTTCACTCCTAATTATAACGAGACATTTTAAGTTCAAACCTCACACCTAGAGCTCGATTGAGCCTAAAGCTACCAACGGTTAAAATCTCACTCCTAATTACAACAAACTGAACATGTTTCTAAAAATATTAAGTTGTATTATACATTATAAGCGGAGTATGATAGAACATTTATCTTTGTAGCTTAATTTTTGTGCCGGACTAACCCATGTCTCTGTGTCACTTGTATTTTTTTGCGCCGGGCTGAAATTACTCTGTTCTTGTTTTGGTTTTTAGCTCCTTGAATTAGCTAAGGAAAAAGAGATAAGCTCTTACATCATGTGTTTTGACTTCTTTCAAGGCAAAAAGTAAACAAAACTAGTTTTCTTATGTTTTGGTCGGAAAAGTAAAAGATTAACTAGCTATAAAATTTTATTATCCTTCCTCTCATTTTTTTAGGAAAGACCCACAAGAAAGAAAATAAATAAATAAATTTGCGTCTTGAAAACGAAAGCTAGACCAAACAAACATGCCTAATAACTAGCTTTTAAGCTAAAACCCCCGTACAATTTCCACAACACACACACACTCTCTCTCTCTCTCTCTCTCTCTCTCTCTCTCTCTCATATTTAAGCCTCTGCCTGCAGAGCCAGAAAGAAATAAAAAGAGAGAGAGAGGCTAAAGCAGAAAGAAAGAAGCTGCTGTTTGTTTTCCCACTTTTTAGCTCGTGTGACTCACGAGACTCACAAAAAGAAGAGCAGAGGCAAAGAAAGAGGGGAAGGGGGAAGGAGGAAGGGGGAGAAGAAGAAGGGTCACAAGAAAGAAAGAGAAGGCAATAAATAAAAAGGAAGAAATAATGGAGGAGAGCCCAAGGAAGAAAAGTGGAGGGGGACAGGTGCTGGACGGTTCGAATATAATGGAGTTGGTTGGGAACAAGGAGGTGTTCAGTAGTTTTGTGGAGCATAAGTTTAAGGAGCTGGATAGAGACAGAGATGGTGAGCTCTCTGTGAAGGAGCTTCAGCCTGCTGTTGCTGATATTGGCGCTGCTCTTGGCTTGCCTGCACAGGGCTCTTCCCCTGACTCTGATCACATCTATTCTGAGGTACCCCCAACTTCAATTTCTTCTTCTTTTTTCACCTTATTTGGTATTTACTTTCACTACCCTTTTCATTGTTGTGCTTTTATTTTCTTCTTATTATTTACACATGTACATTCTTTATTACAAAAATTAACTGACACGTGTCTTATACTTAAATTGTCAATTTTGTAATAAGAAATGTTTGATATTGGAATGAGATTCAAATTCACAGTCTCACAACGTAACATAATTAGTAACGAGAGAGAAGAAGAGTTACCAATTGTAATTGTTTTAGTATTTTCTTTGGTTTTGTGTTGAATGGTTAGGATATATAGTTATTTAGGAATTGAACACAATGATTTCCTTTTTTGGCTGAATTAATTTGTTGGAGTGGCTAATCACTGATACATCCAAAACCCTCAGGTTAATAATGCAAACTTAACAACAGATAATATCAAATGCTGCAAATTTACATCAGATATGCATAAGATAAAAATGCTACGTCTGATTTTGACTTTGGAGCTTTTGATTGCGTTTTTTTTTGTAGTACTCTAAATTCCACCCTTTCATCATGTAATCAAATTTGTTGTGTCATTCTTGTGCTTTCAGGTCTTTTATTATTTTAGGCCACCTCCTTTGTAATATATGGTTCTGTTAATTTTTTTAAGTACAAGCGATAGTCTATATTAAAGAGATGGTGGTTTCTCACACACATGCAAACAACTAAGATGTCATGGGGGTTTGAACCTGAGACAAGAATTAAGGCCCTTTTCCACTGGGGGCTAGACCGGGTTGGCTTGTTTTTTTAATGTTGAAAAAGGGAGATTGTTGTGGCTTTGCTTTGTTTCGTCTATCTGTATATTGAGAATTTCTATTTCTAGCTCGCTTCAGAAGCATCCAACCCATGACCAAACTTTGTCGTTCTTATTTTGTGACTTTGCTTTTTCATTTGGACCTACTTCTCTCACTTTTTATTTATTTTTGGGTATGAAAAAGAACCCTTTTCTTCTTATCTTCTTATGCTAAGAGGAATCTGGTGACGAACTCTGTCGACACTTTTATATTATTCAAGAAGATTTAGTGTGACGAAAGCCATAATATGCCATAATATTCTATGATGGGACTGGTGCCTGCCCATTTTTCAAAAGGCAGTGGTTTTGTGGGGGAGGGGAGAGAAGTCAAAAAACTTTCTTTAAGGGACTTGCTTCTGAACAAAGTAACAACCTTACCTAATCAGCTTTAATAATGTGGCTGTAATTTATCTTAGCAAAAGTACATGATATGTTAGTAAAATAATGTCACATGCTCACTTTTAACCGCATGATAATTGAGGAAATAGAATAATTGTAAAGTCAACATAGATGATGTTATATAGTGAAGAAGTTTTTCAACGGAGGAGATCTGATTGCAACTTAAGGTACGTCTGAGATTGGCCTGACTGATTTACTGTGTCAATGAAGCTGCAATGCGGCAGAAATATTTTAAGTATCTGATATGCTATCTTGGCATATACTGGCTTTAGTCCGAATGGGACAGCACCGATCACCTGCGGTAAGAACCCGATTAGCGGAGAATCCATATTAGCAAATATGGTAGATTGTGTAAACATGAGTTGAAACAGGAAAGCTAGTTAACTAGATCTCTTTTGATGGTAACTGTTATGTGCCAATTTGTTTAGAGGAACTAAAGTCATTTTATCCACGGATTAATTCCTTTGTTTATGTGTGTAAACTTTGCACTGGAAAAAAAAATAAAGCTTATGATTTGATGTGCTTAGGTGTTGAATGAGTTCACTCATGGAAAACAACAAAAAGTGAGCAAGACTGAGTTCAAAGAGGTTCTTTCAGATATTCTGTTAGGCATGGCTGCTGGTTTGAAGCGAGACCCTATTGTGATCCTCCGTATTGATGGAGAAGATCTCGAAGAATTCATCAATGGGCCAACTTTTGAACCAGAGATGGTAGCCTCGTATTCTGAGATAAACTCAGTTGATGGAAGTGGAAGCCTCCGTGACTATATAGCCAAGGCTTTGGCAAAACTCACCGTTGAGCAAGGGATGCCCCCTTCATCAGATCCTTGGGTAGTTGATCTTCTGCAATTTAACTTGTTTCATTACTAACAATTCTATAATTTGATCTTGGGAATGAAAATTATGTTAATGTAACATGCTGCAATTTAGATAAGTAGCCAAAGCATCGGCAACATTATATCATCCTACAAATTTACATGTACTCACCACATTATTGTAGGTTGTAGAACCTAGAAAAGTTGCATTGGAATCTTCATTCTTGACTACTTTTTCTTTCTTTTCCTTTTTGCTGGTTATTTTTGTTCTTTAGGTTATTAGCAATATCGTGGAACCTGCTCTGCAATCATGCACTGGCCATGATTTGGACAAGCCTGTATCTCAAGAAACGTTCATAGAGGAGTTTAAGAAAGTGGCAGAAACCGTGGCTCAACACCTTAAGGAGCAGCATGTGATTGTAGCCCACAGTGAAAATGACTTTGATGGAAGTGGCATTAAGAGACTGTTGTCCAACAAGTTTGAATTTGACAAGGTCTGACTCATAAAGATGTCTTCTCATATTTTTTCACTGACCAGTTGCATATTTAAATCTTGTTGGAATGCCTTATGTATTGAAATCGCTTATTTCAATCTATCGTAAAATGCAGACACTGAATGCAGCTATTGAAAATGTGTCAAAAGATCGCAGTGGGAAACTGTCCAAGGAATATTTGCGTGTGGCGCTGGATTTAGTGGGTCCAACTGCTGGTCTGCCACCACTTGGTGCAGTTGAGCAGGTGCTTTGTTAATTAGCAAACCTATCTTTATATTTGATTATGAACTCAGACAACCTATTCCTTTAGTGCTTCCCAAGCTTGATCATTTTTTCCTTCAGCAGATCTTAGTAACTTATGCCTGTCCAAATGACTAATGCAACATCTCCATGAATTTTTTACGATAAAAATCTACAGATGGACAAGGTTGTGCAGGACGCGTTCAACTTGGTGAATGCAGATGATGGAAAGCTGCTCAAAGAAGACGAGTTCAAAAAGATATTGACTGAAATCCTGGGGAGCATCATGTTGCAATTGGAGGGAAATCCTATCTCAGTTTACTCAAATTCAGTTGTGCATGAGCCCCTTGCCTCCTCTTCTACACTATTGCAGCCATCGTCCGAGTTATAGAGCATAGCTCTTGTGGATATATCAAGCGTAACAAAGATAAAACTGGCAATAAAATTTTGATGAAGAAAATTATCACTACCACAAGTTTGTGTGTTGCTTAGTTATTGTAATCGCGCTAATGAAATGCTCTTAATGTGCAAATTTAGATAGAGATGGAGGCCATATATATCAATGTCCACTACTCTCTCTGTTATGACTGATTTCTGTTTGATGCATCAAGGGTTTGAGCTAATCGTAAAATTGTTACTGAAGCAAATGGATCCAGGATTTGTCAAGGTGTTCATGGTGACTCTACTTGGTGCAATTGGTCTCTGCTGGATATAAAAGAAAGCTTGTGTTAATTTCTTGGTCACAATCTTTCAAATATACCTTTTTTATCGTACAGTAGTTTTTTTACTGTTCATAGAGATGAAAGAGAGTTCTATTATTCATGCAAGTACTTTAAAGCACTAATAAGGTCATATGTTATGTTTCTGAAAAGAAAGAAAAAAAAAGATCATATGTCATGGGCGCAGAGAAGTTTACATGTAAGAAGATTGAGACAACTACAAATTTGACATGCTACCTTTGCTTTTGAATATAAGTGGGAGTGAGCGCAGGCACCTCCAGAAGAAGGCCGACAGCCAAACCCAAAACATAGAAAGGTTTGCCTATAAATAAATTTACACTTATCTCTTACGTTTGAACTGAAATTATTTAGACCACATTTACGAATCACATATTTAATAGAGATGAAGTTCACTCGTATGGATGGATCTCATCCTCTATTAATGATGTGGTCTGTAATGTGATCCATGTATCATTACTCGTACTTCTGAATATAAACAGGAGTGCTGCTTCCTTTGAAGCAGGCCTCGCCTATGCTCAGAATGTCGTGTTCTCCCTCCAGCACCACCAAACCCTTCGTTGGAAAGGTCTTAAAGACAAGATAGTATATTACACAAGCCAAAATGGGTGCAAACCAGAAAACCCAATGCCCATGCCACAATGAACCTCCTCTTAACAACGCAGGGCTTAAACACCTTGCTGGGTTGAGACCAACGCCAGAATAGCCAGCCGTCCCTGTGATTGTTATTGAAATGAAAACTCCTAGCCCCATTGGTGCTGACAACATGAAGCAAACCCAGGGCATGGCCAACTTCCTTTCTTCTTTTCTTGTCAAAAGCCACTGTTATGCCCACAAAGAGCAGCAGAAATGTGCTCACAAACTCCAATAGAAAAGCATCTCCTGGGCTTATCCCATGTGTCTCTCCATTGCCATTGAGAGTGCAGCCACCTAACAAGAACTTCTGCTCTAAATCATGGCTCATGAGGGTGTGAATGAGGAGAAAACCCAGAGTCGAGCCAATGCATTCTCCCACCTAACAAGAACTTCTCCTAGTCTATAGTGTACTGCTTTGTTTCTACATTCTCCCATCAGAGGGAATAGGTTGTTGGCTGCCTGATGCGCTTTTTTTTTATTTTTAAAATTTTTATTTATAACGTTTTTAGATATTGCTAAATGGATTTTTTTTCTTATTTTAAAACATTGCTAAATTATAAACAGTTTAGATTAAGATCCTCATGCTAGATCACTATTCATATATGTAAATATGTGTCCATATATATATTTCGAGAATCATACATATTATATTATTAGACTATCAATGAAGACCGCACATTTAAGAATGATTCTATCTAAGTAGCAACTGTGGTTCACAAACGCTAGAATTCGAACCTGTAATCTACTACATTTCCAACTGATCAAAATACCACTTAAGCTAGAGCTCAGGGTACGTAGAACATTTTACATGTTTAAATGCATTGCAGATCAAGATCTCATACAATGCCCTCTCCCCTCAGAATGTCACACTCTTCTTCCACAGATTTTAAACCCTCATTGGGCAAGTTTAAAGAGACACAATAGTACACACTACAAGCCAAGATTGGTCCAACCCAGAAAACCCAATGGCCATCCCACAACCTCCCCCCTAGCAACAATGCCGGGCCTAAGCACCTCGCCGGGTTCAGACCCACGCCCGCATACCCGACCCGCCCGGTCACAGTAATTGACACAAAAACTGCGAGTGCCATAGCCCCAGCCACCACAGCACACACCATGGCCAAACCTAACTCTTTGCACCTTCTCTTGTCAAATGCCACTGTGACCCCGACAAAGAGAACCACAAATGTGCAGGCAAATTCTACCATCAATGCTGTCTGTGTCCCCACCCCAGATGTGGACCCACTTCCCTTGATTGTGCAGCCACCTAAGGAGTATTTTTGTGCTGCATTTTGATCCATCACAGTCTTGATTATAAGAAATCCCAAGATTGAGCCAATGCATTGTGCCAAAATGTAGGTGGAGGCCCTAACAAAAGTTATAACACCCTTGAGGGCAGCTATGAATGTGAAGACAGGGCTCATGTGCCCTCCAGATAAAGGGACTGTGACTAGGAGGAAGAGGAAGGCTATGATGAAGACTGCAATTGGGACAAGCAGCTTTGGATCAACCTCTCCTGATTCCAAGCATGAGATGATTGAAGAGGTCAGGGTGAACAGAAGAGAAGCTGTTGCTACTAATTCTGTAAAAGCTGCTCTCCACATCTGAAAACAGAACCCAATAGTGAGAAAATTGTAACTATATTGACACTTTTTGTAATTCAACAATTGTCATCTATGAGATTTGAACGCATGAGTTTCTCCGAAAAATTGGAGAAAAATGAAATTTTATGATGATATTATAATACTTGGTAGACAAGACATTATGTTGCATACCATTTGAAGCTTACCTCTGGTGAAAAATATTCATGGGCACCAATTGCAGTAAGAAATTTTAGCCTCAGCGAGTTTTCGACACCAACTGCCTCACAACTTCTGCCAGCTGATTTGGGCAATTTTTCATCAGCTTCATTTGGGGTCATGACTAAACCCTCCATTGCCTCAAACAATTGATGACAAGAAAAGGGTTGAAGGGTTTCTATTTAAAGAACCCCCTTCTTTTTGTGAGTTCTAAATTTCTAATTGGTCACTGCAACACAAATTGAGACAAAAAATTTCATGGCAGAATGATACACCATTACATGAGTTTTAAAAGTTGCCAATCATTGGTTTTTAGCACTCATCCAAAAAGAATTGAGAGCTTGTGAGCTGGAGAAGTTGCCAAAAAAAGCATTGGTTTTTGCTCTTCCAAGAAGGCAGGCAGTGACCATATGGTTTTATATGTAAGTTAATTAGACGTGGAAGTCGAAAACTATAAGGATGATGCTAAGCTTTATAATTGCAGGCATATTCACTCTGCATAAAGGAAGATGCTGGGCTTAGAATAGAACAATGGAAATTATAGCCAAATAAAACTCTATATACAACGACTAGACAAAGCTAGAATTTGCAAGTTGGGATGATGACAATCTTTGTTTTGCACCAGTTAAATTATGTTGAAATGTTTTTTTTTATAAATAAAAAAGTCCCTGAGGGTTTAATTCATGAAACAAAGAGGCATTTTGGCTAAACCAATGCCAACATCACATCACACTTTTGCTTGTCAGTCCAATTAAATGAGTTCTTCTCTCTAAACCGTTGAATAGTATTTGATTCGTTTAAAGTGGGTAATTCTGAGTTGTTCATATCTCCTGTGCATGATTCGTGCCAATCAAGCAGTTGATAAGCTAGCATTTTCTCTTAGAAAACACCTTCCTCCAATTCAGAGGAAAGCAACGGCTATATTTGATATTAAACAAGGCTCATACTCTCTAGTTTAATACACACAGACTCTCCATATATATATTTTCAATAGTTACAACAAAGATATATTTCTAGTGAAACAATGATATTGTTACATGGTGTTACCAATTCATGTAAACGACATAGCTGATATTTCATGAATCTATGGTATAGTTTTCATAAAGTAAATCTACGTATTATAAATAAGTGGATTGAATATAACACCACTTGTCAAATTTGTCACACCGAAAAATTACTCAAATCCTTTTCTACTTGGGAAGAGTCTTTACGATATTGACTGTATTGTGCGTGTGGCCATCCATGTGGAAATGTTGATGTGGAATGATCTTTGTGTACAAATAAAACGCCACGCAAGCAATAATGGGCCCGACCCAAAACACCCAATGCCCATTCCAAAGGTGCCCCCGGCGAATCAGTGCGGGGCCCAAGCATCGAGCGGGGTTCATTCCAACCCCGGCATAGCCCTTTACAGCTGTAACGGTGGTTGAGATAAACACAAGGAGGCCCACAACTGTTCCAACGATAGAGAAGACTACAACTCGGCCCACAGCATGGGCTTGGCGATGGTCAAATGCCATCCAAATCGAAGCAAAGAGAAACACAAAAGTGCATATGATCTCAAGCCAGAGGGCTTGGGTGGTCTCAATGCCCATAATGATTGGCCCATGTGGGCCTGGGGCAATGACGGTGAGAGTGCAACCTCCAAGTGAGAACGTTTCTTCAATGCTGCTGTTTACCACAGCCTTCAGGGCTAGTGCACCTAGTATCGCCCCCGTGCACTGGCTCAAGATGTAGACAGCGGCGCGTGAGAAGGATATGAGGCCAACGAATGCTGCGGATAAGGTGACAACAGGATTGATGTGGCCGCCGGAGATGGGATTAGTGGCAAGGAGGAGAATTGCAACTGTGATGGAAATGAGGATCGCCATGACAAGGTTTGGTGTTGTGGTTTTAGTCTCATATGAGGAGATCACTATTGTGTCTATAGCGAAAACAAGCACTGCCGAGCCAACTAGCTCTGCTAGAGATGCTCTCCAAACCTGTAATTAATATATATATAAATTACAATTAAACCCTGAACTCTGAACTCTCGTCAAAGTCTACATTCATAGATCATCCTTACAAAAAATTAGACAAATCAGAAACTGTTTCGATATCCAATTATTGTAGAAAATTTCAATAATTCAATTGAGTAGTCAAATGATATTGGATTCAAGTGATTTTTTGTAGAGATGATCTTTGAATGAGTATTTACAAAATAGACGGTTTGAATTAGTGAAATACATCACGAGTGGGCCCTACAAAGGAGTCCCTCAAATAAGCTAATTTGAACAATTCCTCAATAGAAGCTGTGTGTGTGTGTGTGAAAGTAGAATGACTTCCATATGCCTTTGGATCAATTCTTGGGTAGGATAGGCACACTAGGCTAGACTCTAATAAAATTCGAATTCATACAAGATATGCACCACTTAATTATAGGTTTGACTTATTTTTGAGTTACATCAGACATATATACGTACTTTAGATTTTGATTTCATCGTAAGAACCATCTAATCCGACTTATCATGTCACTGATGTGAATGTTAACACATAGTATATACCAACCTTCAAAGAAAATAGCTCGCGCAATCCCAACTTCTCACTCAAAGTGGAGGGACTGGACTTCTTCCCTTCCTCAACATTCCAATGCTCTGACCTGCAAAATCATTTGCAGAAGAAAACATGGCACAATACATGACAGAAAGTAATGAAGTTTTTTAATCCTCAAATTAAAGAATTAGAAGGAGAAAAACACAATTGCTGGGAAGAAGAATTTGGTACTTACATTGGCGTGGAAGAAAGAGGATGGACTCTGTCATCCTCCACCGCCGGCCTATTTTCAGCCATTTTTTTCTTTTTAATGGTTGAAGGGATTGAGTTGGAGTTCATTATACCTAGGGATATATGTATATGTATACACATTATAATATACTCAGGGATGTTGATCTGTATGAGTGGGCAGGTAGACAAGTCAAAATAAATTCAATGATAACCACACTTCCGGCTGCTACACCCTACTTATTTATGGTATGATGTGCACTGCTTTCTAATACCAAACTCATTATTGTTAGATATTATTCATATGTTGTAATATTTGTTATATTCAGGGGCACTTCTATCCTCTGAACATTTGCTTTCTTGAAGCTTTCTCCTTTGGAACAACCAAAAGTCGACATAGATGTTAAGTGAGCACAAATTTGTCAGAGCAGCACATGCGTGTATGATAGTTGTCCCTCCCAAGTTACAGACATAAAAGGTTATGATTAAGTAGACATTATTGTGAGAAACCCATCTATTACGGATAGTAACCTTATTACATCCCTTGTAATACGATAAATAAACACGCACTTTATAGGGTAATTTTTTTACAAATTTATAAATAAACCCAATTCTAGACATGTATTTATAAAAAAACCCAAGCACTATTTAAACATAGAAACACACCCAAAATCAACCCCAAAATCAACAATTGTATATTTTTTGGGTGTGTTTATAAATGAGTTTTGAGTGTGTGTAATGATGGGTTTTGGGTGTGTTTATAAAGTGTTTTGGGTGTTGGGTTTTTTTATAATTTCAGCCCCCATTTTGGGTGTTTTAGTGAAACTCCCTAATTTTTTTATTATAAATTTTTTGAGTTGGAACCAACTATCAAGTACTTGACATATAATTCTACGTTTTTTTAATTACATCTAAATATAATCAAGAAAGATGGGGATTTGAACGTGAGACCACTAGTTTGTAAGTCAAGATACTTTTTCACTTGATAGACCTCGTTGGCCACATAATTCTACAAGAAAGATGGGTCTCTCTTCCTTTCGCTACAAGTCACTCTCAGTCCTCGGCTAACCCTTCCGAAGCCAGAGAAAACCCTAAATCCAAGACGAATCATATTTCCTATGGACATAGTCAACCTATGTTCTCAGTTTCAGGCTTCAATCCTCTCAAAGATTTGGTAAGCATGTTCAACAGTTTTTTGTACCCTAAGTTATTTTTTATTTTTCTTCACTTAATTTGTTCCAAAACTTTGACGTGATTCTTCTATTAGAAGTATGAGTGCAAATTGGGAAAGCGACGCAGTTTGTGTGGATGTCCACTATGGTTCTCAACTTTGATGCTAACTTTGATCTTTGTAGAAATCTCTACCGCTTCATACACCGAAAAGAAAATTAAGATACTTGGAAAGTGGTGGATATGCCAATTGGGTGAATCGTGTGGTTGAACAGCATAGAGGTCCAAAATTCGAAGAATTCAGGGCTTGCTTTCAACTAAATAGTCGGTTTACAAGTTTTTTTTTGGGTCGAAATCGAGTTTCATTAAATAGAATGTCAAAGCTATAATACATCAAAATGAACTCAAATGATTGAGTTCACACAAAATGTAATACAAACAGACATAGAATCCACTACAAATAAAACTACCAAAGTGCATAAAGCATACATAAAGGCATAAAGCCCACATAGAGGCCAAGTGCCTACATAACGGCAAAAAGCTCACACAAGGCAAAAGCCCACAAAACACAATTAGGAAACCCTAACACCGTTAACAGGTATGTGCTGCACAATCCTACAACCACAAGCCATGCCACCATAGCAAGTCGACAGCCACCAAAGAGAAACTAGTAACCAACAGAAAATGGTTGTGAGCAAGTCAACCAAGCTACACCTAGTAGGAGTAGCGCTACCATAATCCAAGCAATAAGTACTATTTGCATTTAAGGGCATCCCAAACTCCATCAGTTCCACTGAGGATATACAACGGAAGAAACATTTGTGGAGTCAAGGAGCTTATGATAGTGGTTAAGACCAACCTATGTGACACAGCCTCCAACAATGAGGAGAGAAAATGCATTGCAGCAACCTGTAAAGAGCACCAGAAAGCGCTGAATTCCAGACCAGAGGTCTCATGTTCAAATTTCCAAGGCATCATAGTTGTGTGTATGTGAGAGAAATCACCCTCCCTATAATTTAGTGACTAGAACGGATTTTACACAAAAAAGGATATTCATCGGTTACAATGAAATTTCTCTCTAAAAAAGGAAGAATGAAGCTTAATTTTGACAAATAGACTATGCATCTAAACATAGAGGTTTTGTTTGTCGAGATTCTCCCAAAATTTGTTTTAATTCCATATTTTTTATATATAAAAAATTCAACCTTAGAAGTGCACCCATCAATTATGAAGGTGGGTATCAAATTGTTGGGGATAGCATGATTTTTCACAGGATGTTCCTTGCATACCTTTCATATGTCTGGATGTTTACGGAGATGCATTTTGAACAAATTCTTTTAGATCAACTGGGGGAATACTAGGGCTTCGAGAAGTTGTTAGGTAGAAATCAAGGCATCTAAGAACAAAATTGTATCTGTTATTACTTGTAGACATTTGACTTCACATTCATAAATTGGAGGGAATGGGTTCGCAAAAGTTTGTTAATTCCACATATGTGAATAGAAATCCTCTCTTTACAATTCTCATTTGGGTGTGACATGAAAGCTAAGCAAGCTAAAAAAAATTACAGTGATCAAAGTGAGATGTTAACATATTTAGTCGAAATAGTACTCTCTTGATCAGACCCATTTTTCATAACTCTGCTTGCTCTGTGTGTGTCTGTGTGTTTGATTAAGCTTTAATTAATCCTCTGCTTACCAATGAACATTCCATTGTCATGGAGTTTTATATAGTAATTGGCAATGTGGGTTATTGACGTCTGGTTTGGAACTGAAAGTTTTGATATTAAATTAAACGGTAGCAGCCATTTGACTTTGTTAGGAAGTTAGCCCAATTGTGTTTTAGCTGTGATAATATTCGAAGTCAACAGGGTCAAGACAACCACCAAGCTTCAAATGCACCTTGACAAAGAATGAAGCAACAATGTATATCAAGTTTACGTTATCTCCTCACGCAAAGAAGACCTAATCGGACTGATAGGGAGAGAGAAACAAAACATACATATATAACCCCGTTCTATATGCAAACCCACGAAGAAAGTACGGAACGAGAATAAAACTTAGACAACACTTACGCCTCAAAAACTTAATCTAGCATGTAATGAGCCAACAATGTATATCAAATTTATACATCATAAATGTCCGTAACATCTAAATTAACGGAACAAGGCACTGTACTTAGTAGAGTGCTTAAAGGAACCATCATCGATTTTTTTCCCCCTTAAAAAAAAATTGGTTTTATAGTGTTGTTAAATTGTTTAATTGGCTTAGATCAAAGTTTTTTTTTAATATACTGTTCATACTCTAATTAGAATGTTGAATTTCGATTATTTTGCACTCCATGGAATTGTATGTTCCTCTAAAAATTATGTACATTGGATTTGAATCGTGATTTCAAATTCCTTCTATTCATCAGCCTAAGTGTTCCGGGTTTAACAAAATCGCTATTGAAAAATGTCTTATTTGTTTTACATAAATAAAATACTTGAACTGCTACGAAGGGAAACATGGTGAAAACACTATGAACCTATGGGACCTTATCAAATCTAGCAGTTCAATTATACTTCTAGAAACTAATGGTAGCAATTTTTTATTTTTTGATACAACGATTTTATGCCATGAAGAAAATTGCTAGCTGGCTAGATATATATTTAAAAATAAATATTAAAAAAGAAAAAGAAAAAAGAGAGAACGGAAAACTGTTTCGCGTGTTCAAGTTTTGAACCGCCAAAACTAGCCCATTTTCCCAATCTTTCATCCCAAACGCAACAAACCCCTCTCTTCAAAATCCATCAGAATGACTCCATCTCTCATCTTCCTCCTTCCTCCTTTCTCCATGGATAAGCGCTAGGGTTTCTGATCTCAAATTCTATCTCTCTGTCTTTCCCAATCTTTCACTATTTTCCTACTCAATCTCAAACCTCCTTTCTCCATGGATAAGCGCTCGGGTTTCTGATCTCAAATTCTATCTCTCTGTCTTTCCCAATCTTTCACTATTTTCTGACTCAATCTCAAACTTCCTTTCTCCATGGATAAACGCTAGGGTTTCTGATCTCAAATTTTATCTCTCTGTCTTTCCCAATCTTTCACTATTTTCCTACTCAATCTCAAATTCTCTCTCCGTCTCTGCACTTGCTACTATCCGTCTCAAATGGAAACGAGGGTTTCAGAATTGATGAGAGTCGACCAGCTCATCTCATCTCTGATGGCTCGCTTGCGCCAGGCCAACAAGGAAAAGCGAGACCGGTGCCGCAAAATCAACAATGATATCCCCATCACCGTTACTTGTCAGCTGGATCTGGAAGCTGCGATTTCTTAGGGATTGGAATCCGAAACGGTTTTTGGTTCGATCTGAAGAACCTGACTATGCTGATCGCGTCCGAGAGAACCGGAGGATGAAAAGAATGGCGTCTCGATCCCATCTGAAACGCACAACATCACCTCCCAGTTGGATGCCAATCCTCCGAAGCTCACCAGGAGCATCTGGCTTTCATGCTTCGCGTTGCTACCAGGGTATCGACAAGTACCATGTTGGAGCTCGAATATCTGTTGGATGTTCGGCGAATGGAGGGGTGGAAGGGCGGCCGCCGGATTCGCATTCCGCGGGGGGTTGGAGTCGGAGTTGCAACCGAGATTCAGAATGGGCTCAAGGTCGACCGCTGCTGAGTAAGTGCTCAACCTTTTTTTATCTGTGTTTACTGGTTCATAGGCCTTCTTGATATTTTTCTAAGTAAACTCTGTTTATTGGTATATTTATCTGTGTAGGTATATTTATGGACCCTAAACCCTAATCTCCAAGTCCTAATCTTATTTGTATGAAACTTGAATATCTAATTACTTGTCTATTAAGTTAAGTTCTAAATGGATATATGATGCAGGAGCATCTACGAAGCTCTCTAAGATTACTTAGGCCCGTGACTCAATTGGGCTAGGATTCTATTTACTTTAAATTATTAGTTATTTGTTTTGTTTTCCTATTCTTACTAGGATTTGGTTTAATTTCCTGTTTAGGTTTTTAATTTCCAATGTCAATTAGGTTTTCTGTATTCTAGTATAAATAGGCTAGGTAGAGACTCTTGTGTTGAGTTTTTGTTGATGAATATAATTTCAGACTTTAGTCTATAGAGTTTCTATTGGGATTTTGCCCTAGAACTCAATTATCTTCGTTCCAACTTCGATTCTACTGCTTTATTCTTCTATTCTCTGTATTTTGGGTATGTTTGGGTCGCTGGACAGCAGCTTATAGCCGCTGCCCTGCATCAGTATATAAACAGGGCCCCTTGATTGTGTGATTGTAACGACTATACTGGTATTTCTGTTGTGAAATTGAAGTTTTGATTGTATGGTATTCTTCTCCAAATTTCTGTTATGAAATTGATCCATCATGTGGCTTTGACGGTTCCTCTTGGGCATTGCCGTTTACTGTTTATATACCGTTGGCCGATATGTAGTGTTTTAAGTAGTTCGGCTCTCCCTCTAAGAATATAGTATATTAGTAGCAGGAGCCTGTGTATTGTGTGTAAGGATACGGAAGATATATGCTCCCTTAATTACTATGAAGTCTGTGTTTACTGGTTCTCATAAGCATCTTTGTTGGCAATAGGCCTTCTTGAGCATCATTCTGTAGGTATATTTTCTTAAGCAAAGACTGTTTATTTGTTCTCTTACACAGCTGACTTTGTATGTTTTCTTGCTCTCTAATTTTACAGGAGCTCCCTCCATCCAAATATATTCGGAGAGGCTCATTTTGATGTCTCAAGTCATGCACAAGGATCTTGGCTTAACTCGTTTCCCAACTATGAACTGGATGTTAATTGCGATGTAATCTTTGTTCTGTAAGTGTTTTGGATTTTGTAAAAGAAGACTTGTCTTCTTGCACAGTCTTGGCTTAACTCGTTTCCCAACTATGAACTGGATGTTAATTGCGGTGTAATCTTTGTTCTGTATGTGTTTTGGATTTTGTAAAAGAAGACTTGTCTTCTTGCACAATCTTGGCTTAACTCGTTTCCCAACTATGAACTGTTTAATGTACAAATTTGTGCAGATCAGATTCAAGTTTGATGTTTTTTTTTCTAGGCCCAATCATCTCTCGTTGCGTGAGTTTGATGTTTTCTTTCTCTTGTATGTAGGTGTGTTATGATTGTTTTATTTTGATTATTCTATCTGTAAGTTAAATTTAACAATGTGATGAAACCATGAAGTTAAAGAGAGATGATTAACCAGTAAAATTCCTGTCTTTGCTTTCTTTTTTTTTCCTTCATGTTTTAAAAAAATTTAAAATTTGTTTGTTTTTCTGGGCTGATTCTTTTATTAGAAGTATGAGCGCAACTTGGGAAAGCGACGCTGGCGTAGTGAAGGAAAGAACTTGGGAAAGATGAGGGGGGAAAGGGAGTATGCAACTCGGTGGTGAGTTCTGACTGATAACTTGTGTATTCGTTAGCATTTAGTCTCATAAAATTGTTGATGTTTGTTGTCGACGATATTTTTTTTCTGTTGTTTCATGATCTCTGTTATAGACTATGTCTTCATTTCTCCTGTTTCATGTTTTAATTTTCTCCCATACTCTAATTAATTTTCTGTTTCATGCTCACTGAATTGTCAAAAGTGAATACGCTGGCTATGCTTGCCGAATCTTTAATGCGTTGGAAATCAGTGAACTTAGATAACCTACAAATTGCACATTCTGTATATCTTGGATATCTAATTGGTTTGAAGGCTGCATCTTTTGATTGAAATATTCAAAAAGATATATATAACCGATAATTAGTACCCACCTTTTTTTTTTTTTTTTTCCCAGACCTTTCTATATATTTTTTATTTTTATTTCTCCGTATCTAACTTGTAGAAAATTTCCATACTTTGTTCTTTCTCTTGTATATGGTGCGTGCTGGTTGGTTTTATTGTTGTTATCCTTGTTTTCTTTTGATTATTGTTTATGTAAGTTAAATTTAACAATGTGATGAAACCATGAAATTAAAGAGAGATGATCAACCAGTAAAATTCCTGTCTTTACTGTTTTCATGTTTTATTTATTTATTTTTAATTTGTTCGTTTTTCTGGTCTGCTTCTTCCATTAGAAGTACGATCGCAACCGATGCAGACGTAGTGAAGGAAAGAACTTGGAGAAGAATGAGGGGGAAAAGGGTGTATACAACTTGGTGGTGAGTTCTGATAACTTGGGTATCTGTTAGCATTAGGCTCATAAAATTGCTGATATTTGTTATCAATGATTATTTTCTGTTGTTTCATGATCTCTCTTATAGATTTTGCCTTTATTTATGCTGTTTCATGCTTTAATACTCTCTCACACTCTAATTAATTTTCTGTTTCCTGCTTGCTGAATTGTGAATATGCTGGATATGCTTGGTGAATGTTTATTGTGTTGGAAATTAGTGAAATTAGATGAGTCATTGCAGGTTTGATATGCTGGAAATTAGAATTGTTTGATGAAATGTTGATGTTTTGAAAGTTTTAAATTGATAGAATGCTTAGTACTTGTAAGCAGGTTGGGTTTGTGATGCAGGGCAGTGGCTATAAGCTGCTGTCCAGCGACCCAAACATACCCAAAATACAGAGAATAGAAGGATAAAGCAATAGAATCGAAGTTGGAACGACTGTTTTTTGGTCAGTGTAATCTTGTTGAAAATGTGACTTTTATAAGTGTTTTGGGTTAATTAGTGGGTGGAAAAATATGACTGTTTTTTTGGTCCAAGGTGGAAAAATATGAGGTGTGTAAAACTAGCAGAGAACCCATAATTTCTCAAAAGTTGTTATTGGTCCATTATATAATCCTCTAATACAAGTTGTCATTACCTATCAGCTTGCAACTAGCAACCATTATGATGTAATCATTGCCAACAAAATATAATCAAATATTCAAAAATGCAAAATCCAACCCAGAAACTCACACCTCTGTTTTGTCCCAATATAGAAAATAAAAGTATTTTTAAGCATACTCCCATTAGATCAATGTACAAATTTGTGCAGATTAGACTCAAGTTTGATGTTTTTTTCCAGCTGACAAGTAACGGTGATGGCGATATCATTGTTGATTTTGCGGCACCGGTCTCGCTTTTCCTTGTTGGCCTGGCGCAAGCGAGCCATCAGAGATGAGATGAGCTGGTCGACTCTCATCAATTCTGAAACCCTCGTTTCCATTTGAGACGGATAGTAGCAAGTGCAGAGACGGAGAGAGAATTTGAGATTGAGTAGGAAAATAGTGAAAGATTGGGAAAGACAGAGAGATAAAATTTGAGATCAGAAACCCTAGCGTTTATCCATGGAGAAAGGAAGTTTGAGATTGAGTCGGAAAATAGTGAAAGATTGGGAAAGACAGAGAGATAGAATTTGAGATCAGAAACCCGAGCGCTTATCCATGGAGAAAGGAGGTTGAGATTGAGTAGGAAAATAGTGAAAGATTGGGAAAGACAGAGAGATAGAATTTGAGATCAGAAACCCTAGCGCTTATCCATGGAGAAAGGAGGAAGGAGGAAGATGAGAGATGGAGTCATTCTGATGGATTTTGAAGAGAGGGGTTTGTTGCGTTTGGGATGAAAGATTGGGAAAATGGGCTAGTTTTGGCGGTTCAAAACTTGAACACGCGAAACAGTTTTCCGTTCTCTCTTTTTTCTTTTTCTTTTTTAATATTTATTTTTAAATATATATCTAGCCAGCTAGCAATTTTCTTCATGGCATAAAATCGTTGTATCAAAAAATAAAAAATTGCTACCATTAGTTTCTAGAAGTATAATTGAACTGCTAGATTTGATAAGGTCCCATAGGTTCATAGTGTTTTCACCATGTTTCCCTCCGTAGCAGTTCAAGTATTTTATTTATGTAAAACAAATAAGACATTTTTCAATAGCGATTTTGTTAAACCCGGAACACTTAGGCTGATGAATAGAAGGAATTTGAAATCACGATTCAAATCCAATGTACATAATTTTTAGAGGAACATACAATTCCATGGAGTGCAAAATAATCGAAATTCAACATTCTAATTATATGAACAGTATATTAAAAAAAAACTTTGATCTAAGCCAATTAAACAATTTAACAACACTATAAAAACTTTGTAAAAGAAAAAGAAATACTTGTTTTGGGGTCATTAAGATTGTGCAGTTCATGCAAAAGACAACCGAAAGTTACCTGTGTTTTGTTAAGCGTTCCTATTATATGTAAACGATCCCAATGGAAATTCAGCAATGTGAAGTGTACCCAGATTTACATGAATTGTATTTCTTGCAATATGATACCGTATGCAGTCCAACAAAATCATCAGCACATGTGCAACCTAATTACAAGAATAGGTTTTTAACTTTTGTTATCCAGTAAAAATGATCACCTGCCTTGGAGATAAATTAAGCTAAGGACAATTCCATCTCTCAAGATCATAAGAAATTCTTGCAGTCGATTTGGGGAAGTAATTCAAAGCTTAATCAAACACTTGGAGAGCTAGTGACAAAATGGAGGGAAGGATCGGGGGTTAATTGGCTAATTTAGTGGTCATGTGCAAGGCATGTGATCACTTTTAATTATGATTATAATATATATGGATATGTCCTTACTAAAACACACCACTTGTAACAATGGTCAAAGTTCATGGACCATCGGCATAAATTTTTTCAAAATTAAAAGACTATTTTTCTGAAGGAAGCTAAGATTGGGCCACTAATTTTTTCTTTAATTACCAGAAAAAATAAGACCCTGGTTTGTTCTTTTGACCTCTGCATCATATATGACGACATCACCTTTGGCATCTATCCATATATCATAAGTTTCTTTTCATAGTTACATGAATTTAATATTAGTGTGCTTTTTTAAGCAGATAGTAGAAGAGAATGAGAAAAAGCGTTTCCACATTCAAGAACTGAAGGCTTTCTCGGCCACATACATGGATATCCATTAAAAGGTCACCATTATGCTTCAATTAATTATATGATTAGCAGAAACAGTTTGAGCTTTTTTTCATTAATTAAATGGGAATTTGAATGTGACAAGAGGAATCTGTTCTGTGGCATAGGATAAATGTGTCAGCATGGGATCTTCTGTTTTCATCTCCAGGGAACCAGGTCATTCGGATTTGTCTGCTCATATCCAGTTGATATTTCCAATGTTTCTTGTTTGATTTGAGCAACTGAAAGACTGAATGAGCAGAAATTTGGGTTTTTTGCCTTTTTTATCTAGATTGATTCTGAGCATTTCTTTCTTGTTTATAAAGTCAAGTTTGGGGAACAGGTTTGTCTCATTGCACTATAACAAGCTCTATCTATCTATGCCTTGCTTCTCATTCCCAAACTCTAAAATGACTTGCATCTATTCTTGTTTGTGGCCTTTTGCACTGGTGTCCATGTTGTTAGTTGCTTTGTGCAGTTTCTCAGGCATGAACATGAGCCATCATCATATTGATAGTCATATGTTGCTTCTTGTTTCAGGTTTTAGGAGAGAATGTTTGTTGCTAAATTGGATGCTGCTTTCTTTGCTTTGCAGATTGCTATGATCCTTTGGACCCAAATGGAAACTTTACGATTATTTTCGACACTTATGATTGGACAGATGACGGCTATTTGGTTAGCATGCTGTGATTCTGCTCAAACCTTGATGTTGTTTGGTTCAATTATATCACCAGGAACAGATTTTAAAAAACTACTAGAAATTTTTTTGAAGCTGCACTTTTAACATCCACAACTTTATGACTGCCAAATATTCTGAGGCAATTGGAATCCTGTTAAGCTCATACTTTCATCATATCAGTGTACATTTGTGTAAACCGTATCTCCAAAACACCAATTTTCTTAGTACAAAGCCTTTATAAACTCTGTTTTTTTTTATTACGGAACACAATTTTTTTGGGACTTCTAAAAAACTTGCACCTTCAACATCCCATTGAAGATTTCATCATTTTAATCTTCTTAGTTAGACTTTGTTTGCACACTCCTGCCTGTCCAACGACTTTTATAGTTGTTCTGCACAAGGCTGAATGTGTGAACAAACTTTGGAGTGTCACTTGTATGTTTTTTATTATGAAGTCTTGAAATATTTGTGAGCAAGCCTATACACAATATGCAACTACTAACAGAAACTTTTGCAGGCAAAAGTAACCATCCAAAATTTATTTCAGTATCGTCACGTGGACAAGCCTGGTTGGCAGATTGGGTGGATATGGCAGCAGAATGAAGTCATTTGGTCAATGAATGGTGCCTTTGCCACAGAACAAGGAAACTGCTCAAACTACAAGACTGATATACCACACTCCTGCAAGAAAGATCCTGAAATACTTGATCTCATGCCTGATGCTTCCTCAGATAACAAATCCGAAGACTGCTGCCGCAGTGGTGTTCTTGATGCCCTGGCTATCAATCCCTCCAAGTCTTTCTCTTCCTTTGGAATTAAAGTTGGCAACTTGGGAGGAGGTCCTTTTTCAGGACTTCCACCTCTGAATCTTACTCTGAATGCACCAGGTCCTGGTTACACTTGTGGGCCACTTAAGAGTGTTGATCCCACAGTTTCTTTAGATTTTGGGGGTAGAAGACATCGCCAAGTTTTCAGTAAGCACTTTAACCAATACATATATACGGAAATGTTCTCTTGTCATACCGTTTGGTAACGTAAAACCATTTTTTCAGACCACAAGCAACAAAAGTGTGCTAACAAAACATTACCCTACGTATGCATACTTATAAAATTGAGATTTTCTCCTAACAGTTTGTGAATCATAACCGTTGATTATATACAGTTATGTATGAATGTGGTTCAGATTCACAGTTCTGACATACAGTTAACGTATGCTACTTCGGGATTCTTTTTCTTACTTTTTTGGATGATAGGAAAACCTTTGATGTTAACATTTCATCAATTACTTGTTTGCAGGAACATGGAAAGCAATATGCGCTTATTCCAGTTTTTTAGCTAGTGGGACTCCAGTCTGTTGTGTTTCACTCTCTTCATTTTACAATCCTGAGATCACATCATGCCCCAAGTGTAGCTGTGGATGCAGAGAAGTAACAGACAAAAACTTCGGTACTATGGTCTAGGGGTTGTTTTTTTTTTTTTTTTTTTTTTTTTTTTTTTTTTTGGCATCCATAACAGTGAGAGCTGCTACTTATGTAAGTTAATTTGAACTCAGCTGATCCTCTCTTTCTTTCTCTGTCTCTTCCTCTTTGTGATAACAGGCCAGCTTACCCCTTCCCAGCAATGTCACTAACAGGGGATAATTCAGGAGCTAATTTTATGGGTGCTCTAGACCCGGTGAAATGCACAGATCATATGTGCCCGATTCGAGTTCATTGGCATGTCAAGACCAGCTATGTGGATCACTGGAGAATTAAACTTACAATCACTAACTACAACTATCAGAGGAACTTCTCAAACTGGAATGTACTGGTCCAGCACCCTGGTCTCTCCATGAATCCAATAACATATAGTTTCAACAGCACATTGCTTCAGCCTGGCTTTAGAGGTACTTACTCTATTTCATATCTGTTGTTCAATAACGTGGGAAATACATAGAAGAAATGTTGAACATAATCAACTTGGTTGTGTAGATTAATCTTTAGTAGAAAGGATAATGTAACTTTAACTGTTACAATCCAATGAAGTGACCCAATAAACCCTTACAACTCTTTTCAACTCTCTGAAATGGTGCAAGGCCTATCCGAACCTATAAATCTCGTGTGAGAAAGTTGGGAAAAGAGTTGGGTCCGAAACTAGACTGTCGGCGACATAAGCTTGTGAATTTGTACGTACCATTAGGTTAATTGTATATGTGATCGTGATTCACAGTCTGACAACATAAACACACATGTCCTGGTAGTCTAGCAACACAAGTCTGAAATGGAACAATACCCTTTATTCTATTACCACTGTGATTAAATAAGTTCTAGTTTCTCAAACATTGGAAACTGTTGCAGACGCAGTTGCCCTCTTCTGGGGTATAGCCTTTGTTAATGAAGAGCTGATTGCTACTGATGAGGATGGAGTGGGTTCAGTGTCAACAGAGATACTTTTGGAAAAAGACTCAGAATCATTCACATTCAAAAATGGATGGGCTTTTCCAAGAAGGGTATATTTCAATGGAGAAAACTGTGAGATGCCCTTACCAGACACTTTCCCAATGTTACCAAATGGCACCTCCAAAACACAACCACCAACACATTGGCTCTTCCTTCTTCTCATCTTTTTTATTTCCCAAACCCTACTTTTACATGCCCTTTGAATTTGAAATCTGATCAACTTACCCCACAAGCTTGCTTTGAGTGTTTTCCCCACAATTTTTAAGCCATTTTATTCCCCTGTGGTCTTGAACTTGATGGTTCTTATTGAGTACAAATTCTTAACTTTCTAAATACATTGTTTGCACAGTATATACATGAATTGTAACGTATTTGCAAAATTTTATTTTGTTTTTGTTTTTTGGGCAGATGTACAATAATTATGTAACTGTTTGATGCGAATTGGTGTTGATAATCACAATGTTGATCATACATATTTGTCATAATCTGTTGAAAGTCTTCATTAAGATGATATTGATTTGATAAACTTGGTCTTTATTTTACTCCATATGATCTAATTAGTGTCCACCTCAGCTAGTCTTTTTCCCTTTATTATCAAAATCAAATTTGCTTTTGTGTGTAAATTATCATAATATCTTTTGACAATGCCAAGTTTATGTCAACAATTGAGGCATCACTTTGGGGACTTCTCATACAAAAATTTTGTGACACCGACACTCGTTGAAAATCATTTGCCACTCAAACCGTCGGCAATTTAGATTGCCACTCAAACTATATATGATATTATAGTTGACTTGTAAATCCAATGTTCTACATTGTAAAGTACTATTTGATTCCATCATGAAACATGGCTTGTTGTCTTAATTTGTTTGATCAACAAACCAAGTAGACAATAATAATTATTATTACTTTGTTTATTTTCACAACAACCAAAAAACCCCACAAAGAAATATCCCTGAAAAGTTGAAACCGTGCTGATTAGAACACGTGGACCAATGCCCTCTAATCATACATCAGCGTCACCAATCAACGGTCAGCGATCCAATTCGATGCATTGCCTTCTAACTTGTTAATTACGGAATTGTCCTCACCCTCTGCCTCGTCTTCTCTAGTCTCTCAGCCGTAAAACAAAGTCACTCTCTGGTTGATTCAGAACTTAAATTCTGTTTGGTAGGCAAGAAAGAAAATCGGAGAGAAAACAAAGGAAAATAATCCAAAAAGAAAAAATTATGTCTCCTCACGGCGACAAATCGGACGCTGCAGAAGAAGCCTTGGTTGCTGAAACTGAGAAGCGCCCCATTTCCACCATCCTCATCGTCATCGGTACTTTTTCTCTTTTTCTTTTCCAATTTTGATATTTCCACTCTCTCTTTTTCAGATATTATTACGATGTTTTTGAATAAAAATAGTGATATTTCCAAGTAACTTAACAGCTATGCAGACTGAAGCTCTTCCTGTGGTGAACAAGTTCAACCTCACAGAGGACCCTGACTCCGTGTGAGTTCATCTTCTTCTTTCATCCTCAAGCTTGAATCTTTTTATGTGCTACTTTCAATTTTTGGAAAATGGTTCCTTTTTTTGGTTTTGTTTGTGAATTGCCCCCATTACCAAACACGACCTTGGTTCAAAGTTCTTGCTTTGCAAACTATATTCGTCTTAACTGTGGCTGGACATGGCCCTGTTGTGCCCAATACACATGTTTTGTTGTGGCATGCTCTTTGTGATTGTTACATTTTTTTGTTTCCTTCCATAGGCTATCATCTTGTGTGCAAATATGGTTTATTTCTTTGAAATGTGGAGATCATCGTTTAGAATTTTGAGCATTATATATCGGTTTAAAGATTTTAATTACTCAGTTGGTTTCCATTTTTTGATATGTCAATGTATGAATGACGCAGGTTCCCAAAAGGGGTCCCTTGGGTCCGGTATCATGGGTTTTACAAAGATCTCCATATTAATTTAGTTTGGCCTGGAAAAGATTCATCTTTAGGTGAGTTTTTGACTCTAATGGGTTTTGATTTCTCTTGTCAGGAGATATAGAAATAATTTGTTATTATACTTGCCTTCATTGTCTATGACCTTGTTATATCTCACCAGGACATTATTGAAAGGGTTTACATGGTTATCAGACTTAAATATGATATAGGATCTTTAAGATTCTAGAACTAGGCTGCATGAACTTAAGGATATTTGTGGCTGGTTTAGTGTAAAAGGTTTGAACTTTTCTGTTTCAATGGGTATATAAAAGAATAGGCTTTCAGTATGCTAGGGATGGAATACTGCCTGTGTTTGAATTGCCACTCCTCCTTCAAAAGCCTCATATGTTATGGTTGTTTCTTCCTTTTGGTCGCTATTGTTTAATTAGAGCATAAAAAAAGTGGTTTTTGTTTCATTGTCGTGTACCTCATCCTCAAATTTTCTTTCAGGAGTTGATTGTGTAGGCACAGTTTCTGCGTCTCTTGTGGCCTATGCTGCCATTCAAGCATTACAGCCAGACCTAATTATCAATGCAGGCACTGCCGGTGGCTTTAAGGTATTACCAACTTTTCTCTTGTTCTTGTACAAGAAGAGTTCAGCTCCGTTTTCATTATTCTCTCTCATTTGAATATTAATTGGAGAAGTTGTTAGTATAAGGAAAATGTGGAATCCTCTTCTTACAAAGGACAGTGAAAAGTTTGAGGATTGAACTATTGCATTGCAGGGACCATGATATTAACAAGGAACTATTTATGTACACATACGAACTACTATTTATGTATGCGTTCTTGTGCACGCACGCACACACACACACGAACTAATTGAGTATGAAATATGTGGATGGGCAGATGTGTGAAGCATCTTGACATATTGCGTATAACTAATTAATGTATATTTTCAGGCCAAAGGAGCAGGCATCGGTGATGTGTATCTCGCATGTGATGTTGCTTACCATGATAGAAGGATACCCATTCCTGTGAGTGTTCCTTTGTCTTTCCATTGAAGCACGTTTCATGCTTGGTCTATAATTTATTGGAAGATCTTAACAGTTTAGCCATACCCCTTCTGATACTTCAAACATAGAATTGAAAGTTGACGCCACTAGAATTGAAGATACAATGCATTTTGCTAGCTGATGGAAATAATGTTTCTTTAAGAGCATCCACAATCATGCTCTCTGTTTTTTAGTTAAATTTTAGCTAAAAACATATAAAAGTTATTTTAGGAGCTCTCTATAAAATTTAAACTTCAATCATGCTCTCTAGTTTAGGGAGTCATAAATGCTATCACTCTTTTTTAATTGGTCAATCTCTATTAAAAAATATTAATTAAAGGTTTGAAATACTCATTAAATAAAGCAGCATTAAATTATAGGGGGGCACTATGAGTCTTTTCTCTCTCCTCAGATTTAGGAGCTCCTAGAGGTCTCCCTATTTTAGGAGGTGGATAGGGAGCATGGTTGGAGATGTATTTTTCCAAATCCTCCCTAAAATTTGTCTAAGGAGGCGGTTTAGGGAGCCCATTGTGGATGCTCTAAGAACCACTTTCCTGCTTCCTGCTTCCGCTTAGAAAATTTCTAATCAGTTATTCTCTATCTTGTATGTCTTCTACAGATGTTTGATCTATATGGAGTTGGTTTACGACAAGCCTGTGTATCACCCAATCTTCAAAAGGAACTTAACCTAAAGGTAATTATCATGCAGCAAAATGCTTGGACTTATTTAAACACTTAAACCCTTCGCAAATTGAATAGCGTCCGAACCATTTGATATATTGTTGGTCACTTTTAAGTTTTAAAATTGGAGTTCTTCATTATCTAGACCAATGCACTTAGGCATGAGTGTGTAACCTATGGTACGGATGTGCATTACTATGATACTTGGGTTTCCTTTTGTTTGTATTTGATAGCTTCACAAGTGTTGGCAATGTCATTTATGGTTTTCCTTATGCTTCAGGTTGGTAAACTGTCTACCGGCAACTCTTTAGATATGTCCCCGCAGGATGAAGCATCGATCATCGCAAATGATGCTACAATTAAAGACATGGAGGTAACCTTAGCATTCTTCTTAGCATTGATCAGAGTATCCCTGCTTTTTCCTGCAAAGAGTATTGAACCTATTTGCATCTCTTAGACCTAATATTGGATAGCTGCAAATTTGGTCCTCTTTATACATTGCCCAACAGTCATTTTTGCTTTTATCCAGTAGTCAATTTTACTTTTTACTTCTATTAAAGCAAATTTCTTTTGCTGAATTTTTTTTGGCTTTCAGGGTGCTGCTGTTGCTTATGTGGCAGATCTGTTGAAAGTCCCAATCATATTTGTTAAAGCTGTGACTGATGTAGTAGATGGTGAAAAACCAACTGCAGAAGAATTCTTGCAAAATTTGTCAGCAGTAACTGCTGCTCTTGAAGAGAAAATCACCCAAGTTATCGAGTTTATTAACGGAAAGTGCCTCTCTGATCTTTGAAGCATTGCGTCCAAATTTAATGAAACATTTATGTGATATTAGCATGTCCCAGGACCGCGGTTGATTAGATATCTACAGATTTTGGTAATACCTTATTCCAACAGCAACAGTTCATAGTTTGTGTAACTATATTTAAACAGTATTTCCGGTGGTTTAATCACGTGTTCTCTTTTGTAATTTAAAAATATTTTATGATAATGTGTCGATAACATTCTCACCAATCAAATATACCTACATGTTATCAATACATTTTCAACGATGCGCATTCGCTCTTTAAAGAACACAACTTGCGCAGAGAATTACTAGTTTGTTACCTTTCAAAAACTCAATGCCAAGGAATAACGGAATAATTTTCTCATATGCTTTTTCAGTATCCTAGCTGCTTGCTATTATACAATTATATTAGAGAGTATGAGTAGAATATTCCTGTGGATCGTATTGAAAGACATCATGTCAACCTTAGAGTATACTTCGTACTCCATAGTCGTACTCAATGACCTTACTGAGCATGTGAGTGTGACCCCAAGGAGAGCAAAGAGAATAGACCAAAAATAAAAGATTAAAATTAATTTTAAATATTTTAGTTTTTAGTTTTCAAAGAAAAATTTTAAAGGTGAAAGTGAGGAGGACGTATGAATTGATATATGAAATTTTAAGCAGAAATAACCTGTTAAAAATACAAAAATAAAAACTATAACTATTCAAAAATAAAAATATAAAAATATATACATGAATCAAACTCTTATTTATTTACAAGAAGGAACTTAATATAAACAAAAATGATTGGCATCAAAAAATATGATGTGGCATTTGGCTGATGTGTCGTACTTTGGACTTGCCATGTGGCACTGAAGAGTTCAATGAAGGACACGTAGCAAGGGTAGAGTACGAAGAGATTGACACATGAGCTCCAGGTACACTTGGCTGCTTGGCACCAAACCAAAGGCCTCTTTCTTCTCTCTCTAGCCTCTCAGCAGTAAAACCAAGTCACAGACTCACACGCTTCTCTCTTGGTTTGATTGCGAGGGAGAGCATAACATTTTGTGTTTGGTTGGCAAGAAAACAGAAAACCCAGAGAGAAATCAATAGGAAGACAATAAAATAAAAATGGCTCCCCATGGCGACAAATCGGACGCTGCAGACGAAACCATGGTTGCTGAAGCTGAGAAGCGCCCCATTTCCACCATCCTCATCGTAATGGGTACCTTTTTTTATTTTCTTTCCCACTTTGATATTTCCACTCTCTCTAGTTTATAAATTCCACTCTTCTTCAGCTACTATGACTAGTTTTCTTGGATAAAGTAATGATCTTTGCAAGTAACTTAACAGCTATGCAGAGTGAAGCTCTTCCTGTGGTGAGCAAGCTTAACCTCTCAGAGGATCTTCAGTCTCTGTGAGTTCATCATCATTCATTTTCAGTTTATAATCACTTTATCTGACTTTGATTAGCAAAGTAACACATCAAATAGGAAATGCCCTCATGAATTACCAAACACAATCTTTAGCTGAAAGTACTTGCATTGCAAACTATACACCACATGTTTAATTTAATTTTTAGAATTATAAGAGCATTGTTTGATCTGCTTAAAAAAATTTAATTAATTTACTTGGGTGGTTTTCATTTGTTTGATATGTCAATGCGTTAACAATGCAGATTCCCGAAAGGGGTGCCTTGGGTCCGGTATCGCGGTTTTTACAAGGATCTTAACATTAATCTAGTTTGGCCTGGAAAAGATTCATCTTTGGGTGAGTTTTTGAGTCCTCTGAGTTCGGATTTTTCTTATCGGTAGAGTATATTTTGAAATAATTGATTATTTGTTTCAGCTTTTGCAAAATCACTCCCTCAAAAGCATAATATGTTATGGTTGTTTTTTTCCCTTTTGGTCTATTTTAATCAGACATAAAAAATGTAGTTGCTTCGTTTCAATGTCATCAATTTTTCTTTCAGGGGTTGATTGTGTAGGCACGGTTCCTGCATCTCTTGTGACCTATGCTTCCATTCAAGCATTGCAGCCAGACCTAATTATCAATGCAGGCACTGCTGGTGGCTTTAAGGTATTTTGTTTTTCTACCAACTTTACTCTTCTTCTTATCCTTTCTGTCCCTCTGTGAGATGTTAATTGGAGAATCTGCATTACTGAAAAATTAGGATCCTCTTCTTAGAATGGATATTGAAAAGATTGAAGATTCAAATAGTGAATTGTATATAAATGAAACAAATGCACGAGTGGACTTGCACACAAAACATTTATGTATAAAGTATGTTGAGATGTAAAGATATTGTGTGAAGCATCTGGCATTAATTATTATGTATGACTGATTAATGGATGTTTTTCAGGCCAAAGGAGCATGCATTGGTGATGCGTATGTTGCATCTGAGGTTGCTTTCTGTGATAGAAGGATACCTATTCCTGTGAGTGCTCCTTAGTTTCTTCATTCAAGCACTTGTCAATGTTTTCATGCTTGATTAATTGGATATATAGCCTAAGGAACTTGTTTTCTTTATTGGATAATAGGAATTCCTGTTCACAATATTTGCTGATAATGAACAATCCTTTATCAAATACATTGCGGCAGAGGTTCCAAAACAATTGCATCTTTCTCCAGTGTCTTTAGTCATTGTTGAATGTAAATACCATGAACTTTGCTAGATCTGGTAGGGAGAATTGAACGTTTGTTGCTATTACGTGGCCTAGAATGGTTAAAAACATCAAACATTGGAATGGAATGGAATGGATTAAAATACTCATTATTCATTAGAAGATACAAACTTGCCAATACCCCTTCATTCTTTTGATATCTACTTTTCTGATACTCCAAACATATGTGATTACTTGGAAATTTTCTACTCAATATTTATCTGTGGCGTGTATGTCTTCTACAGGTTTTTGATCTATATGGACTTGGCTTGCGACAAGCCTTCTCAACACCCAATCTTCAAAAGGAACTTAACCTAAAGGTAATTACCGTGCAGCAAAATTCTTGGACTCAGAAGCTTCCAAATCATTTGATAAATGCTGCTCAGTAAATTTTTTTAATTTGGAGTTGTCCATTAGCCAGAGCAAATGCAGTTAGGCATCCGTCTGTAATTTATGGTAGAGATTTGCATTATCATGATTCATGATACTTTGCTTTCATTTTCTTTCTATTTGATAGCATCACAAATATCCACAACGGGATTTATAGTTTCCCGCATGCTACAGGTTGGCAAACTGTCTACTGGTGACTCTCTACATATGTCCACACAGGATGAAGCATCAATGGTTGCGAATGACACTGTAGTTAAAGACATGGAGGTAACCTTGTAACTAAATCATAGCTTTCTTCGTAGCATATAAGATAAGGGTATCCCTACTTAGTGCTGTTGTATTCTACAGTCATTTTTACATTGCGTTAAAGCTTTTTTTTTCTTTCCAAAAAACAAAAATTGGGTTTCAGGCTGCAGCTGTTGCCTACGTGGCAGATCTGTTGAAAGTACCCTCAGTATTTCTTAAAGTTGTGATTGATATAAAAGATGGTGAGGAAACAACTGCAGAAGAATCTTCGCAAAGCTTCGCAGCTCTTGAACGTGCAGTCACCCAAGTTATTGATTTTATTAATGGAAAGAGCCTCTCAGATCTTTGACACATTTCATTGAAACCTATTATAGTGATGAAATTTGACATGAAAAAAATGTCCCCTGGACTGCAATTATTAGGTATCTGCAGATTTTGGTAAGTTGTTATTCTAAGTCCAACAGAAACAGTTCGTAGTTGTGTCACTATAAATGAAAACTCTATTGTGCTGACTTAATAACAAGTTCCCTTCTGCTCTTTTATAAGTTGGCATATTCTTGGTGAACCGTCTGTTACCTGCTCGGAAGCAGTTTGAAGGTTTAATCCTTGTTTAGATGGTCATTTTCTGAGTTCTGGTTGTCTGAGGCTGTTCTTCCACAGTACAATGTGACTTGAATAAGCTCTATTTTCTTAACAATGCCTGGCTTCTGAAAATTAAAAATCAAAACTAACTTCAAATGGATTTTTAGTTTTAAGAACAAAAGTAACAAAATTTAACAGCAAATATTGACCTGAAATATTCTGCTCAACCAAATTGGTCATTGGTCCTTGAGGCTAGTCGATGTTTTTCAGCCTCACACTATGCTACATGTGTGGTGACCAAAAACAAAATGTTACATCTGTAGGTTTTGTATTTGTAACATGAATTGCAGACATTCACGCATTGAGGGGTCATGCAGATTCAATTTTAATTACTTCTCTCAGCCAAGACATGCCAAACCAGTGGGTTTTAGTTTTATGATTCTGTGAACAGAATATAAGTGATCTCGGGACCAAAAGTACAGATAGAGAAAAATAAATATTTGATTTCAAATGTAAAACACCACCAGTGCAACAATCTACATGAACAGCTTGCTTCTCAACCTCAGACCAACCCTTTATCTGCACCCTTAAACATAATCTACATGAACACCTTACTTCTCAACTAAACCACTAACCTATGTATAAGAATTGCACACCGCATGATGTTTCTCCCTATATGAAAATGTTTAACACCATATGTCCCTTGAGTTTAATCTAATGTCATAAGCATGCGGTGGAACTGTATATATATTAGCAGCCCAATAGTTGTTTTACTGCAAGGTTCAGAAATTACAAGACCTCTTATGCTAGAGACATATCACCAAGTGTTTTGAAAGAGAGACCAGAGAACTACTAGACATGGGGAGTGAGCATGTTGGGCACGGAGGTTCCATAATGAAGGCCAACGGAGGCAAAGCGACGATTTTGGCTCTTGGCAAGGCCTTCCCTCATCAGCTTGTCATGCAGGATTTTCTGGTTGATGGGTATTTCAGAGATACCAAATGTGATGATCCTGAACTTAAGCAGAAGCTGGCTCGACTCTGTAAGTCCATCAACTAAAGTTCTTTTTTATTTTTCTATTTACAACATTGACACACCAATAATTGCGCAAAGCCATTAACCAAAATATGATCATACATTGTAAAATCAAGCTACTACACATATAGACTGCGCATGAGGATCTTGTGAAGGGAAATATTCTCTTGCCAAACCTTTTATCTGTATCATTAATCAGGTGAATTTTTTTTGGAACGTATGACCTATAGTAACAGTCTAACAACATAACATACTAGATATCTTGATAGAGCATAGTGTCCTATGTAATTTAAAGGCAACATTATATGGTTTTAGTAATTCTTATATGGCAATTCACAGGCAAGACAACAACAGTCAAAACTAGGTATGTTGTCATGTCAGATGAGATTCTAGAGAAGTACCCAGAGCTTACAACTGAAGGCACACCCACTATAAAGCAAAGACTGCATATTTGTAACGAAGCTGTAACACAGATGGCAATTGAAGCTTCACGAGCTTGCATCAAGAACTGGGGGAGACCTACTTCAGATATAACCCACTTAGTCTATGTCTCATCCAGTGAAGCTCGACTACCCGGTGGTGACATTTACCTAGCAAAAGGACTTGGCCTTCATCCCGAGACTCAAAGGGTCTTGCTTTACTTCTCAGGCTGCTCGGGTGGTGTGGCTGGCCTTCGTGTTGCCAAGGACATTGCTGAGAACAATCCAGGAAGCAGAGTTCTACTTGCTACTTCTGAAACCACTATTATTGGCTACAAACCACCAAGTGCACATAGACCGTATGATCTTGTTGGTGTTGCACTATTTGGGGATGGTGCTGGAGCCATGTTGATTGGCTCAGACCCTGACTTAATCTCTGAAAAGCCTCTGTTTGAGCTTCACACTGCCATACAAGAGTTCCTGCCAGACACCGAGAAGACCATTGATGGAAGGGTCACAGAAGAGGGGATTAGTTTCAAGCTAGCAAGAGAGCTTCCTCAGATAATTGAAGATCACATTGAAGGTTTCTGTGGGAGGTTGATGGGAGTTCTTGGATATGATAACAAGGAGTACAATAAGATGTTTTGGGCTGTTCATCCAGGAGGTCCTGCAATCTTGAACCGGTTGGAGAAGCGTCTTGATTTGTTCCCAGAGAAGTTAAATGCCAGCCGACGAGCTCTGACAGATTATGGCAATGCTAGCAGTAATACCATAGTGTATGTGCTGGAGTACATGATAGAAGAGAGCAAGAAGATCAAGAAGGAACAGCAAGAAGGAGATGGTGAATGGGGATTGATACTGGCTTTTGGACCTGGAATTACTTTTGAGGGAATTCTAGCAAGGAACCTTGCTGTCTAAGTATAAAGCCAAATCTTAGATAGCTCACTAGAACTTTTATATCTGCTGTCGTTAGGCCACATGAGGTGTGCTTATGTTTATGTAATTGTCTTTCCATTGATTTCAATTGAATATATAAGACTGAAGTTCTTAAAGTCCAACAATCCTTAAAATCAGTCCACGTTTATTATTTTGTTTTCGTTCCAACCAAATGACCCAAAATCAATTTGTGATGATTGTTGTTTACCCTATAATCTAGAAATTCTTGCTTACAACAGGGTCGTACACGTGAGGTTAGATGCGAGGGTGTTGTACTCAAACCGTCCTACGCAGGAATTTTTCCCTACAATCCTTGATGGATACGAATTTTCTTGGGATTATTAGCTAAAGTGTCACAGGACAAGTGGTATTAGTAACCTTAATTTAAGGTAGGAAAAAGAAAAAAGACCCAAAAGTCGGACATAAAAAAATGAAACAAAGACCAAAAAATTGTGGTGGAGCCGGTGAAGTAGGCACTTCGTAGAAACAGGAAAGCAGTTTGTGGTTTGATAGTGCTGTAGGAAATTGAATATTGAACCAAAGAAAAGAAGCAATGTGCATCCACTCAAGTTGGTGGGCAGATGGCAGACAAGTGCTTTACACTTTGACATGCATCCATTGTTAAATATATGCTTGAGCAAATTAACTGGATGTAGAAAGAAACAATTCTGTAGTAGTAAACTTTAGCAAATGTTAGCACCTAGTAAGAAAAGATGAAGCAATTCAGAGAAGTCATGTCTAAATTATAAATATAAATTAAATTCACTCCATCTCCAACTTTACAAACAACCCACTTCATCCCCAGTCATGATTTTTTTTTCATTAAAAGAGAGAACTAGAACCTTGTGGAGAGCAAAAAGGGGAACTTAAACAACAATGACCAGCCACATGCCTAGCTAAGTTAAGTCTTGATGGCAGTGCGCTTGCAGATCACAGCAGAACTGGAGTGAACTCATACAACTCCAGAAGGGAGACGGAGGACTAGCTGCCCTCCAAAAACACTGCCAAACAAAAACATCCATAATAGGTAAAGGTTGAATGAAATAAAATATACACTTGGGGGAAGATAATTGCGATGCAAGTAAACTTGGCACAAAATATAACGGATTGAGGCCCAACCTTTTGACATAGTAGTAACAGAAGTCTGCTAATATGAAAGTCTGAACAATTTCTGAAATAAGAACCATAGAAGGCCATAACCCGTAGCCCAAGGCTACAAGCAAGTGTCCGCGAGTATCTAATACCTGTTGGAGCAATAGATAAAATTTTATCAGCGGCAGAATGCAAAGAACTCATACCCTTTAACAAAACAAAAATAATCGCAGCAACATAACTCGTCTAAGATTTTGATCATTTAAGTGCCCATATACAGTACTACATAATTAGTACAAGTGCCAAAGCATGGACAGATGGACTACAAAAATCAAAATGTGAAAAATTGTTCTATACTGTTCATCTCATCATTAAGATGCCACTTCCAAATATGACACTAAAGCAACTCATCTTGAAACATGCAGAATGACCATTTTTTAAAATGCCACAAATAAATCAATCTAAAACAAAAGCAAACATATACAAAAATCAAACCTGGAGAACCCAATGGGCACAGCTGAGGAACCTTGCGACACCCAGTGCAAACACATAATGAGCTGTGAATGGCTCAACAATCTGAAAAGTACAAAAAGAAGATGAATCATAGGGGAAACTAGTAGTATGCATTCAAATTCGTCAAACCCATAAAAATACAAGTTTTTAATTCTATGAAATTAGACCTTTGTGTTCTGCATGACGCGCAACTGGGGCAGTACGGAAACAGCTTCCAGATACACACAAAATGCCCAGGAAATCCTGTTCAATAAATGATGAGACGTTGATGGATGAATGAACAAAGCTAATAGAGCACATGGTACCACCTGCATCAAATTAAAAAAAAGTAAGGATATTACTACTAGAAAGAAAGCAACTTCATTAATAGCAATAGCAAGCAACAATATAACTTCGGTCCAGAATAAACTTCACAATGCATCATGACTGAAAGAGGAAGTCAATCAATTTGGCCCCAATAATTTTCCAAGATGTAATAATGCAAACTGACAAGATCGCACACCCCAATAAGCATTATTTTTCTTTATCACTTTGATCAGAGACTCGAGCAACGAAAAAAGATAATGCTTTTATAATCTGCGAGAATTCTCCTTCATATACACACTCTTATTTGAAAAGAAAACAGTGATGAAGAAAGAAACTCACGACATAGTATATTGCAAAATTGTCTTTGTCCTCCATGTAACTAGACTTTAAGTTGAAGCGGATCATATAAATAACCCAGAGGGTCGTCACCAGCGTAGCTAAATCAAGCAGGGTGTGTATATCATATTCCATCACAAAACTGCAATACAATCTCACAGCTAAAAACATAGCTGTTAACTCTTGGGATTTGAGTGATAACCCTGTAAACAATTCCAATATTTCCCAATCAAAACATGAGTTTCATAGCATAAAACATATTCAACAGGTTGGTGATAATAAAAAAAGGACAACTTAAAACAGAAAAGAAAAACATACCGGAGGTAAAACATGTAAAAAATAAAAATAAAACTAAAACTTTAGCCTTATTAATCTTCTTTTTTTGAAGGATAAGCTTATGAATTTCTGTTCTAACAATTATATTGTCAAGCCAATAAATCCCAGATTTTTCCACCGTTCATAACAATTTCTCATCAACCAAACAAAACCCAATAAAGGATTTGCATGTGAAATTCCAGTCATCCTAATATTGAAGAACCCCCATTCGTCACAATAGAAAAGTTTGTACCAAAATCGAATCAACACTTTCCAGCATTCCTAAAAATTGCTCGGAAAGCCAAACAAAACCAACAAAGGGAAAACAAACAAAAAAACCCTAAAAAGTTCAATACTTTACCAGCACAAGTCTTCTCCTTCGTGAGCTTGTAGATTAGCACCATGATTCCAATTGAGTGCACAGCCTCAGCTGCAACAAAGAGGTTATCGTGATCGTGAACGATAAATCGGAGCACGACCAGAGCCGCCATGCCCGTTACGACGGCCAGAAAGGCCTTGACTTTCGGCGGCTGGCGTCGAACCCATGTCGATACGGTGTGGATCGGCCTCTTCGGAGCCCTCATGAGGTTTTCCGTTGTTTCTCTTTCCCTTTTTTTACTTCTCTGATTTTCTGGGCTCTTGATTTTCCCGGAAAGTGTGATGAGGTGGAGAGAAAGTGAGGTAACTTATTAATGCGAGTAGTTGTGGTGCGGAACAGCCTCTGTTAAGAGAAAGAGAGAGATTAGGACTGTTTTGCAAGGAAAAAAAATGATTTTGCGAAGGCAAACATTTTCTTCTGTGATTTCGGGTGGGTTATCCGGGCACCCGAATTAGATATCCGGACCCAAGTTTAATAAAAGAAGACGTACTACACCCGTTGCATGTCGTTTTTAGCACGCTTCTGAATTCTGATGTGTCGTTTGCACTGAACGTGAGAATGTGGCGTGTGGAGTGGATGACAAGGCAAGGCACCATTTTTTTTCTTTTTTTCATTTACGTTTCGTTGCTTACCACAGATCATTGCGTACGTATATACGTAATATAATAAATAATTATAAAACTATAAGTCAAAAAAATTTTACAAATTTATAAATAAACCAAATTCTAGACATGTATTTATAAAAAAACCCAAGCACTATTTAAACATAGAAACACACCCAAAATCAACCCCAAAGTAAACTTTTTGGGTGTGTTTATAAATGGGTTTTGAGTGTGTGTAATGATGGGTTTTGGGTGTGTTTATATGTTTAAATAGTGCTTGGGTTTTTTTATAATTTCAACCCCTATTTTGGGTATTTTAGTGAAACTCCCAAAAAATTTCGGTATCCAACACAAGTTGGAGTTTGGAAATTCTATTTCTTGTTTTGTTTTGTCCAGAATCATATTTCAAAAAGAATTCTGCATGTCCAAGAATTAAATATATAAAAGAATTCTACATGTACAACATTTTATCACGGAGGTAATTGGTTTAACCCATTTATGATTGGGAAAGTATCAACCCTCTCGCTCACTCATATTATAACACGTTTATAATATATCTGATAAATACATATATTGTAATTATGTTATTAATGAATAAATACATGTATCATAAGGGGACTGTAACACCATGTAGAGGAGTTTTTTCAGTTTTTTTTTTAATAATTATAATGAGGATTTCTAGATTGACAACCAGAATTACCAAAGAGGCAACAACCGATGATATATCACACACCAATCAGAATATGACACCTCGACCTTGTGGAAGGTTATCTTCCCAAAATTTGGTGAACTAAATTCCTACTTTCCCAGCAGTTCTGAATGAAAGGCTTTTTGGGGCTGACTAGTGCTCAATAGACTTCCAATGAACATTAACAACTCCATCAAGCAGGCAGCAAACAAATTGCTCTTTTTCATTAGTGTTTTAAACCAAAATATGACTTTGGGCTTAAGTCTTTGTTAAAGGAAAGTCCCTGCATCAATCTCATCTCTTCAAGGTCGTATGACATAATATGGTTTTCACCACAAACACGCACAGATGGGGGGAGAGAGAGGAAAAAAGGGTTCTGTACTAGGAAAAGACATATTACAAGCATACTACATACAAGTAGCTTATTTAAAATGAAGAAGCAAGAAGCTAATACTTCATTGTAGTTGGTCCCCTTCAACCCCACCTAACCACTAAACCGACAACCTTGTGCTGAGTAGGTCATAGGTTGACCAATCGAATTAGCAAGTCCACGAATTTGATCTCTTCATTGCCGGCTTCATCTGTTTGTCTTCCTCGAGCGCTATCATACCCAAATGAGACGGGTCTTCCAACAACATCTTTGCTACCAAGTACCCCGCTACTGACCAGGTCTGGAATTTACGAGCCTGCTTCCCAATGTAACGGCCAAGTTTCCCATCATAGTACTCAGGCCAATTGTCTTTCAGCAATCTGCTCTCAGCAAGTTCAATGGCACGTCGAGCAATCTGGGGCCGCCCAGTCTTGATGCATGCAGCAGTGAGAAGCCATAACAGCACTGTATCAACCACAATGACAACATGTAATTGGCAGGAAAATATAGGAACACACTAAAAATAATTTATCATTCCCGCATGAAGTATAGGCAGGTATATATATGTAGAGTAATCAAGCTTTAGGCAGAGTAAAAAGACTACACTTTTTATCTCAATCCATCGCTAATAACTCATGATCAAAACCTTCAAAACCTTTCTAGTGGGAAAAATGATAACTTCTCAAAAAATTTATGAAGTAAAATAGTTATGAAACTTCCTACTGTACTTGCATCTGTTGCTATGTCCTATAAAATTCCCATATTCTCTCATCTCGTCTGCAATTAATTTGCAGACATTCAGTCCATGCCAAGATAGCGTTGATGCTGTCTTGAAAATTTTCAAGCACTGAATTATAGGGAAAAAGAAATTTGCACCATGGATAGAGAAATGCGGACAAAGGAGGATGAAAGGGAAATCTACAAAGTAGTGCATAATAAGGGTAGGTTGAGTAAGGCTTCAATATGCTTTTATGGACTTGCAGAATGGCCATGGCACTGGCCTAGGCCAAAGGAGGGGTGGAGGAGGCGGCATGGGAGGAGAATGGGGAGCAGGGGAGGCATTCTCCTTTTCCAATCTTTTTCTACTGATCTATTGTGCAGTTTCCATAACGCCATCAGTAGTTACGGTATAATTTTGTGCAGAGAAGGCTATAGTGAGCAAGCATACCTGGCCAAGACCCTCCGTTGTGGTAGCTCCATCTCGTATTTTTCGGGTCGCAGCCTGTTACAATCCTCCATTCATGACTTTCTATAGCTGGATAACAAACCTTTAGTGGCATTTCTCCTGCCAATTCCTCCCATCGTGATTCTATGAGATCCATTATTGCCATGGATTGTTCAGGGGTTGCCAAGGATGAAAGAATTGCTATACAATTACCCAAGCAAAACCAACGGAAATCCATTCTGGCGGGACTGATATTCCCAATAAAGTAACCACCATGAGTTGGCATAAAATCAAAGACCCATTCTGGAAGAGAATCTGGTATCACATTGAACTTGTTGACTGCTGTATGTGAGTACTCTTCAGTTTTATATCGATATATGTCATTTAACTGCTTAAAGTCTAGCCAAAAGTAACTTCTCATGTGATAGCTCAAGGCATGAAGGCGTTTTACTATGCGCTCTACAAACTCCTTCCCCTCATCATCATGCTTAAGCAAAAGCAAAGCACATCTTAAAGCCATGAAGAAAAGAGCCTGAATTTCGATGGGGTACCCATAGACACCCTAAAAACACAAAACCAATACAAAAATGAGCTTAAGGAATTGAAAAGATAGGCAACACATAACCAAAATATTAAAAAGCAGCATACATATCTTAAAACGCAAAATTGAAAGCAGCTAGTAGTGATGACCGATGAAGATCAATAAATGCTCTAACAAGAGAGTGCCCACAGTGCCTCATATTACATAAAAAGTTCTCAACAGTCTCTGCATCAAAACATCACCATGGGTTTAGTTGCATGAATTGACCTCTGCCAGGGTCATAAGAACCTAAAGCAATCCTTCAGGTAGAGATATCTTGGGGTTAACATGGCAAGTAAGTGACTTGGCTCATAAGCCTTTACAACAAACCTGAGTTACAATATAATTTTGAATGCTGCACTCAGATCATGAGGAAGAAGGCACTAACTGGAAGATTCTTTTGTTTTGGCAGGCAAGAAAATATCGACTCAAATTAGAATATGTTAGATCCAAGTTCCATCCTCTTTGATAATTAAACAAATGAGAAGGCTGACCAGGTTGACAGGAAATTCAATATTAGAGTTACTCACAGAAGGATGATTTGAGTTTTCTGAATGTTGTAGACTTAAATTACTAGCTCCAAAACCAACAACTTATGCATATGCTAGTATTTCAAGGGCTTTGACCGTGGATTCGTGATATCAGGCATATATGGCCTGCTTCATACCAGATGATAAAAAAACAGAAGTCAACATAATTGTGAAAAGCTTACCATTCTACGATCAATCATGCAGCATCCATCAGCACAAAGAAGGGTTGGAAATGTGTCGAACCCCTCCGATAGACATAAACTTAGAATAAGCCGCATACCCTTCTGGCATTCAGGAAGTTCCGCCAATGAAGAGTCTCCAGTGGATTTTGTGTATGCCCGAAGCAATATGATCCACCAAAATCCAGAATCAACAGGAGCAACTCTTCCTATCGCACTCTCGCCAAAATCTGCTATTAAAGTCTCACTGTTCCTGACTGGATCATGGAGTACTTTGAAACTAGCTGGCATTACTCCTTCTCCAAGCTGGAACCTATCAATCTTTTTCTCCCATGACTGAAGACGAAGAGTCTTCAAGATAAAATTTTTAACTATTTCAGGTTCACCATTCATCAGAAAAGCCAATCCACTGGGAACAAAGTCTCTGACAAACACCTTCACAGATTCATAAGATGAAAAAAAAAGAATAAAATTTGTGATTGCCAACTTCATGGAACAGAAACTCTGTCTAGTAAAAATGAGTTAAAGAAAAGCACAAATGGAGAAATGGATAAGTTGAATCTATATAGTTTGTTCAACATATAAAAAAATACGTCCTGCATAAAGAATATTCAAGGCAGCGCAGCACTTTAGACAGCACATATCCCACAGATTGAAACATAGTATTGGAACATTAAATCAGTAACTTAATTATAAAGCTTGGAAACTCGGGTACCCCGCCTCCCCCTGCCCCCGGGCAGACAACGTGCCAAAAGCCTGTTTGTATGCATGTATCGAAAGTCCTAAGACATGTATGCATATAAACATGGTGGCCATCAGAAACGGAACATGTGGCTCCCCAATACGACTAAGGCATTGATAAGAAGGATAACACAACGCCTTTCAAATTTGTTTACTATATGGATGTGTCACAGTACATCTTGCCTTCGTCGCAAAAGCATCATAAATGTTCCTCATGTGTGTGAGTATTTGTAGGGTGATACTATAAGCAAAAGATTGAAAACATATACAAAATGGAGATGTACAAACAATGAAGTCTTAGGTTCTCTCTATTATTACAGATGCAAAATTCCAAGAATATTTACATCTAATAGGACGAACAAGGACAGAAGGTCTCTACCTGATCATAGTTAAGTTTTTCTTCAGAGGTATCTGTTGCAGCAATTGTCCCAACTGGCTGACCACGGAAAAACACCAACGAACGCCTCAAAGTTTCCCAAGCTTCAGCAACCATTGGATGTGGCTCAAAGCCAGTCAGTGACCTAGGGGTGCCAATGAGTGACCTTCTACTGGGCGAAAATACATATTCAGGATGGTCAAAAAATCTGAAAGAGTTATCAGCATTTCTTGATGAGTGACGTGGGGACAATGCAACAGATAGTTCACTGAGTGACCTCTCATCAAATGATCGTTTTCTCTCCATATTCAGAAGGCTTGGTCTGTCTAATAATTTTGAAAAATCAATTTCTTCAATTTCTGCCACACTACATAAGGAATCAACAAGCCTTATATTTCCATTCTGAGACATGTCTGAATTGGGTATTGACATTTCCACAGATTTCAGCACTTGACACTGACCCAATGGTTAGTTTAGTGCTCAACACCCTGCAATTCAACCACCAGATTTGAACCATTCATCATCTGCAAAAAGGCAGTAATCATCTATTTCCACCTCTCCCAGGTGACCAATAACAGATAAGAAGAACCCATTTACTTTACTACTCTATCCAATGAAACCAAATAGAAATATTCCAACCACCCAAATAAAGAACTGTAAATGAGGTCAATTTACAGAATGATAATTGACAATTGAGAAGTGGTTTAAAAATCAAGTTTGTTGTATACAGTTTCCCAATTACAATTAATAATACATATCATTATAACAATGCTCCAAAAGAATATAGGAAACCAAATATATTACTCTGTTTCCAATCCTTCAAAATTCGGCAGTTGGGTATCTCAACAATTTACCAAACAAAATGAAAGGTGGGTTTTCGATTTCTGAAAAGGCAAATAAAAAGTATTATTCAATGGATTCAATTTGATTCTCATTTCCACTTGTTTCTTCAGCAACCAAACAGATATGAGACTAGCATGTAAGAAAATACTCGAATCTGTTCGCCGCAAGAAGAGCAATTCCCGGAAAACAAATCCAAGAACTGACGGAGAATGCTTCAAGATCCAATCAAGTTGAATTCTTTGATAATCCAAACCCATCAAAACATGCATGCATTATGGAATGGACATTAATTAATTGGTTTTCAAGAACAGAGAACTAACCTCAAAGGAGTCTCCAAAGGCCAAGCTTGAGATATAAAATCAATTGAAAGAAAGAAAGAAAGAACCAAGCTCACTACTGAGAGTGTATTCTTATAAAATCTTTGTTGGGCACCATGAGGCGGTGGTGGGCCACTCAGTACTCAACCGAGCAAGCCGGTGAAGGCTTCCCGTGAAGTGGTAGAGATGACTGGCAGATGGGTTTGGGGTTGGAATGCCTAAACATCACTGCTACATCATATACATGAGACGAGACCTCTTCAGCTTAGCATATGAGGCTCTGTGTTGTACGGAAGATGTTGACACTTTGGTGCAACGTGGATGATTTTGATTGACTGTGATGGACAACTTGGTTGCGTTACATGCCGAAATAGCGTTACCAATGCGTATTAATATTATACCATAAAAGTATAAATCACTTGCATATTGAGATGATTTTTACCAAAGTTTGAATTTTTCTCCTTAAACATTTCACGAGATATTACGGTAAGACAAGCATGATGTGGTTTCTTTGGAGAGTGATGTTTGAGAACATGAATGCATGGCATGAAATGTGAATGTGTTGATATTATGATGTGGGGGGCTTTGGGACTTGGACCTTATAAAACAACAAGAACATGCCAACTGGGTCTTGGCCTGTGCAGCAATTGAAAATAATGCAATGGCAGATGCAGAGAAGATGTCTTTCAGTCTTTGTCTTTGAGCGGTAGATCCAAAGTGGCTGGTGAATGCTTAAACGGTGATTCTTTGTTGATCCTGTTCCTCCTTTTGGCAGCAAGTCAAAAAGTGGGCACTTTACCAACGACAGAGAAAACCACACTTTTCGACCAAAAAAGAGAGATAAAAGCACACTCACAACGTCACATGAGGAACCCTGGACATCTTGTGATTCTGTACAATCAAAACAAAATTGCAAAAACTCAGCCAAACTTTTGACATTTCTAAGATTAATCAGAAAATTGGCATCATAAAACCTTGTGTGACGTTGACCTAATTGTTGTATGTGTGTGGATCGATCACCACGTGCAAGCTACTTGGCATGGTTAAGTAGTGCATGCCTACCTCATGCACAAATGCTTTATGTGTGATTTCAAATTTAAAAAAAAAGCATGGATACCTAAGGTTAGTGTGTGTCGGTCGAAGATCATCCGATATATATTGGTATTGGTTTGGTCACTTTGGCGGGATATTTATAGTAGTATGTCCTTTGTTTTTCTGCTCGCATTTGGTGAGGTCGTGTGATGTGAGTTTGGACTAGAAAGGTGGTCTCCAATACAACTACCCAAATTCTATAGTTGAGTCAAAGTAAAAAGTATAGGCCTTGCAAAGGAAAATTTAAATCCAAAACTACACCTATAATTGAGTTTGGGGTAACTTTGAGTGTGAGGTGCTATATGAAAATAGTGTTAAACCCATATTTGTGTTTGGGTCCAACCATATTTGATTAGGGATCTAGACTCAAAACTAAAACTAAATTATTTATATTTGGGGTAAGAATTCGGGTTTAGGGTTGGAGAAGAAAAAAAGATTATAAGAATTCGGGTCTCACATTTGGACTCAAATATAAGAAATTGAATATATAATTTGGATCTTCCCATTTAAAGATGTATGAGAAATATATATATATACATACAGTCCTCTTCTAATGAGTGATCTCTCAAATAAAAAACACCCATTTAAGGTATTCTACGAAATTTTTTCAACGATCCAAATCATTTATTTTTTAGGTCTTCATTCATAGATCATCATTGCAAAAAATTAGATAGATCGGAAACTGTTTAGACATCTAATTGTGTCCTATAAAATCAATACAAATTTATAAATAAACCCAATCCTAGACATGTATTTATAAAAAAAACCCAAGCACTATTTAAACATAGAAACACACCCAAAATCAACCCCAAAGTCAACTTTTTGGGTGTGTTTATAAATGGGTTTTGAGTGTGTGTAATGATGAGTTTTGGGTGTGTTTATAAAGTGTTTTGGGTGTTGGGTTTTTTTATAATTTCAACCTCTATTTTGGGTGTTTTAGTGAAACTCCCTAAAATCAATGGACACAGTGCTTCAAAAAAGTACTAAAATTTAATTTAGTGGTCAACTGATATCAAATTTAAGTGATATTTTATAGAGATGATCTTTGAATGAATATCTACAAAATAGACAGTTTGGATTAGTGAAATACAAGTGATGGTCCAAATTACAATGGGAATGAGGGTTTCACACACACATTAATAAGGTGTCATAGAGTTTCGAACATGAAACCACTGACTTGCAAGTCAAAGATATCTAAATTACAATGGAAATGAGAAGGAGGATTTCTCATATACACATTAATAAGGTGCCCTGGAGTTTCAAAATAAATTTTAATAAATTAAAATAATAATAATAATAATAATGTGTAGGGGCATGGGTAGTTGAGGTAGGCCGGAGTGCTATTTTGATGCATTAGAGAGGGTCCATCGTATTGATTTATTGCACTGGGCTTTACTCAACACTTTTGGAGGTAGGGCCCAACAGTGCCTTTAAGGTTTCGCCCCATGAATGAAACACAAAGTCAAAATTATTTGGCCTATGTCATTTTTGTGAGCCCTAAAATAAAACGGCGATATTCCGCCTTTTTTTTCTTTTTTTTTTGGTTTTAAAGGAGCCGAAGCTCTTAGCTCAAAACTATAGTTGGGGTGTAGTTTTTGGAAGGATGTGCCTGAAGGGTTTGGACATTATCTACTAGAAGATTTGAGTAGGATTGCTTGACCTAGAAGTAAATAATGTCCAAACCCTTCAAGCACATCCTTCCAAAAACTACACCCCAAATCTAGTTTTGAGCTAAGAGCTACCAATTTATCCGCAAGACAATTTCCTTCTCTATATTTATGAGAAAGGTAATTTCCGCCCTTTCTTCATCCTTCTGTCCTACACTGCATTGCATCTACTAAACCCTACAATTTACAATAAAAAATTTAAGAGGAGTGGATCCGCTTTCCCCAAATTATGTGTCCCTCATGTCCCCCAAATAGTTTTTATTATTATTATTTTTTAATGGCTAAATAAAATGTTAACAGTGTTAACCCTTTGTTAAGTTAGTTGACATGTATTAATAAAATTGAGTATAGCCGCGGGGCTATATTATTTAAAAATATATATATAGTCGATATGCTATACTATATATATACTAGAATCTTTTTTATCTTTTAATTTTTTTTCCTCAATTTTCATTTATGGATAAGAATAGTTTAGAGCATTATCTATTATTATTAGGTCATTACTCGAGTTTCTATTGTCCTCTTTTCATTTTTTACTTTTCTAGAGTTATTACTAGTATAAAGAATTACCACTTTCATGTTTAATACACGTAATTTTTATAAAATTTTCAATTATACACACAAAATTCACGTATTATACACATAATGTTCACATATTATTGAATAAAAATAATATATATATTTAAAAAATTAAAATATATTATATTAAAATGTTATATAGTGACCGAACTTTTCAGTAGTAATTTGCCAAAATTATTAATGATTACTAAACAATTTATTATGCAACTAAGTTTTACTAATCTGAAGAGTTGAAATAGCAAATTAATATCCATAAAGTATAAACTAATCCAACTAGGAGGTCTTTTTCTCTTAATTTTTATTATTATTAAGTAGTCTCGCTGCGTGGTTTAAAGAGTATAGCCAAGCGGCTATACTTATTTTGACACGTGGGAGCCTAATTGACGGGGTCCTCTCTTTTTAAAAATAAAATAAAATAGTATAGCCGTAAGGTTGTACTCGGTTGTTAAATTTTTTTTTTTAAATAGTATAGTCAGTCAGCTTTACTTATTTGGACACGTGGGCGCCTAATCACAAGGCGGGTCTTCTTTTTTTTAATATATATAGTACTGCCGCCTGGCTATACTCGGTTTTTTTATTTTTTCAAAATAGTATAGCCGTGTGGCGAAACATATTTTCACACTATGGTTGGGGTGCTCTCCTTTTTTTAAAAATCGTATAGCCGTGCGGCTATCTCTTTTTTTTTAAAATCGTATAGCCGCGCGGCTATCTATTTTTTTAAAAAAATCGTATCGCCGCGCGGCTATACTAGGGTTTTTCATTTTTTTAAATAGGATAGCCGGTCGGCTATACTCTGTTTTTCTTATTATTATTGTTTTAAAATATTATAGCCGCGTGGCTATACATGGTTTTATTAATATGTCTTTACAAATAGTACAGCCCCGCCCGGCTATAATCTGTTTTCCGCTTCTTTAATAAATAGTATAGCCGCACGGCTATACTCGGGATTTGTTTTAACGTATAGCCGTGCGGCTAGACTCGGGTTTTAAATTTGTTTTAAAATCGTATAGCCGCCCGGATATACGTATTTGGGCACGTGGGCGCCTAATCGAAAGGTGGCGCATCTTTTTTAAATTATAAATAATATAGCCGGTCGGCTATACGCTTTTTTAAATTTCTTTTAAAACAGTACAGCCGATGGCTATACTTATTTAGGATCGCTGGGTTCTATCCTTTTTAATGAATAGTATAGCCGGCCGGCTATACTCGCTATTTTAAATTTTGTTGTTTACATAGCGTAGCCGCTTGGTTTTCTTCTTTTTTGTAAATAGTATAGCCGGCCGGCGGTACCCCTTTTTTTAATATTTTAAAAAATAGTATAGCCTCCCGGCTATACAATCACAAGTTTGTCTTTTTTTTTTAAATAAATAGTGTAGCCGCTCGGCTAAACCGATTTTGACACGTCAGCAACAGCGTACGCAAGAGAAGATGCGTCTTCTCCCTTTCTCCACCCTTCCTCAAACTCAAAAACCCTTGCAAAACCCAGCCATACAACTACAAGAACTCCAAATCCCAGAAACCATTTTTCCGAAACAAAAACGAGACAGGGGCTGAAGGGGTTCAACAATGGCCGGCTCCGAAGCTACGCCTAAAGAGAAGCGGAGGAAGAAGAACAAAAAGAGAAAGCAAAGGAGCCTTGGAGAATCTGAAAGGCCTTCCAAAACGCACCGGATTAGGGTATCGGAGAAAGAGAGTGAACCACAAGAAGTGGAAGTAAAACGAGCTGAAAAGCCCCATCTCAGAGTACCCAATCAGGAGCTCGAACAAGGTGGTCCATGGAGGAACCTGGAGTTAGTTTTGTCCATTCAGAACAAAGAACTTGATCTTCAGAAGTGAGTGCCTTCCTCTTCTTTCTCCCTGTTTTCTAATTTTTCGTTGTTTTCATTTGCTTAAGTTTGTTTGGCTTCCGAGAAAGTTATTCAATCAATTGATTATTCCGAAGGAAGATTAGAGAGCTCAATAAGCTTGAAGGCGCAAAAAGTTGATTACATTGAGCTTGATAAATTTGATATTTTTTTCCCATACATGTTTCTCAGAACCCAAAATGGAGCATTTAGTTTTAAATTTTATAAATGACGTGAGTTTAATTCAAAATGTTGTGATCAAAGGCTGGTTCCTGGCTAAAATATTTCGATATTTACAAGTTGATAACAAAAATAATGAAATGGAACGGTGACAAAGTTAGAGTCTTTGTCTTACAAAGAAAACCAAGGGACTATAACCCCATTTAAGCCAAATTGGTTGAGTTAGACTCAATGTATTAGATTTGATTTTGTACTTGAGTTCTTGTGTGTCTGTACGTGTAAAAACAAAGATTCAAAGTTTCATCTTGTCTTCATTTCCTCATTAAGTGATCAAAAGGAGGGTTAACCTTTAATTCTGATGAATGTAATTTCTAATATAAAAGAAGATTTAATTCTGATGAACGAAGGAATGCAAATGCAGGAAGGTGGAACTAGCTTATGGCTTTGTCATATCGAGAGTGAAAGAAGAAGGCAGCAAGAGTGATCAGGATAATCAAGCAGTGAATATGTCACGTTTAATAATTTTTGTTAATGATTGGATCCAGTCATTGTTGATTTCTTCAGGAAAGAAAATTCAGAGTGGCGGAGAGATGCATCAAGCTGAAGTGATCGAGACATATTTGGATTTTAGATGCTGGGAGATTTTCAAATTCTGTTTGGAGGAGTCTTTGAAATTGAATGTTTCTCTAAGTTTCTCCCGGAACCTATTACGCTCTATTTGTTTGATTGCAAGAAATGCACTGTCCTTATTGAACAAAACATCTTCACATCAAACAGATTTATTTTCCATTGGCGAAGGGTTACCATTGTACAATACTGTGCTTGATTGCATTTCTTTAGTATTTTCATCCCATGGAGGCTTGTCGAATGAAAATTTAGACCTGTGGGTTTCAACTGTAGGCGCAGTGCTTGATCTTGTACACACATTTTACATGGAAAATCTTGTTAGTGGCAATGAGGGTGACTTTGTTTTCCGGTTTTTGTGCTTGGTTCTTGAGCCATTTGCCAAGTTTTTTTAGGGCCCACCCAGCTCGGAAGAATGGATTTCGTGATTTCATCGATAAACTCCTTGAGCCTCTGTTGCATCTCTTAGGTCTCTTGCATCTTCAGATTGATGTAAGTAATCCTAGTAGAGCAAGGAACTTACTGAAGCTAGTTGAAGAAGTACTATCTCATGGGCTGTATCACCCAGTCCACATTGATGGATTTTTGAACTTATGCAGCAGTGAAAGATATTCCACCTTCAATTATGGGAAGTCAAAAGACTCAAAAACAATACTGAAGAGTTATCACAGGCATTTATTTGATAAGCTGGAAAAAATTTTGGCTGCAAAGAATGCTTTGGCAGTGGAAAGCATGGGAGAACTTTTTCGCTTGCTTATTGATCAAGTTCAAAAGCTAAAAAGGGCTTCAGTGCCGGCCGAAAATACAAAAATGATGGGGAAGACTGAAGCTTCAAAGCAAATAGAACATAATTTAATGGGTCATACTTCTAAGATGTCTTCTGGGAGTAGTACTGCACTAGTTGAAAATAATTACTGCTCAACTAGTTTCAGTGCAGAAACACGAAAATCACTTCTTGATTTTTTTGTACTGATTATGGAGCCTCTTCTGCTTGAGATTAATGGCTATCTTGAAACTAAGCTGGAAGTGGGACCCATATTGTCGGATGTTCATTGCACACTTAAATCTATTAATAATTTACTTTCTGGCTTTATGCATGAAAAGGTTTATGTGAGAACAGAGGACACGTCAGAGGGAGCTTGCCTTAATTTCTTGAAGAAGGTCTATAATATGATTATATCATTGTCCTCCAATTTAATTCAGTCGTCAAAATATGGTGTAGTTAACGGGACACACATGGATACATTAACTTTAATAGCCAATGAGGTACTTTCTGCTGTAGGGTATCTTTTGGAAATTGAATATGAGGTTATAGAGAATGATTTGGTAACCTTGTGGCTTCTGATGCTTTCTTACTTAGCCATTGGTCTTTCTCTGATGGAAGTTCCGGATCGGTGCTCATTATCTTTCAAGATAACAGATATTGGATGCCAATTAGTTATTCTCTATAGTCAACTTCGCCAGGTTAGCATAATGTTCTTTGATCAAGCATTTGGCTGCGTTTTAACTTCTGCATTCATATAAATATGCATGATTATATATGTGTAAGCTGTTTCCAAAATCAACTCTTTTACTAATTCCACTCATGAGTTTTAGGGTGCAGGTAGTGAATTGCATCATTTCTAGAAATGATATTCTGCTTTGTTCTTTACTTGTGGTTTTAATCCCATCATTTTTACTATTGCACAAATGCAGGTGAATAATACTATTTTTGCATTGTGTAAAGCAATAAGGCTTCTAAATTCACGTAATGGTGATGGTGAACTGAAATATACTAGATTTGTGATTTCTTTACATGGTGAAGCTTATGCAAAATCAGTGGAAATGCTATTATGTGCACAAGAGTTTAAGATTGCAATACAACAAGCTATTAAGTCCATACCAGAAGGACAAGCAAGTGGGTGTATTGGGCAGTTAACATTGGATATATCAGAATCTCTAGAGTGGCTGAAAATTAGTTGTTTGAAAGCTGATGAAAAAGAATTTGGCAAACGGGATGGACGAAGTAGCTTGCAGAACTTTAATCTAAAAGCTGAACTTTTGGGGAGAGGGTTGTCTGAAGTGTATGCACTAGTGCTAGACTCGTTGTTTGTTACACCTGGAAACTGTAACCTCCTTGGAGTTTCTGTAAAGGATCTTATAGCAGTAATTTGTGCTTGCATGAGTAGTCTGGTAGGACTACAGCCAGATGCTGTAAATGAGTTCCTCTTTACTGTCACAGGAAAAGGATTTGACAATGAGACAGCCGAAAACAAAAATAATCTTCAGATATTTGGATTGTCCACTCATTGGGTGTTTGTGTTCTTCTTTCGATTGTATATGTCCTGCCAAAGCTTATATAGGTCAGCAACGAGCCTTATGCCTCCAGATTTATCAAGAAAGATGTCTGCAGCAATGGGAGATTCATTCACATCATACTCTGGTAGCGATTGGATTGATATGACTGACTGGATCAATGGGGAATATTTTTCTTGGATCGTTCAACCTTCAGCTTCTCTTCCTGTTGTTATTCAATCCATTTCAAACATCTATTGTAAGGACAGTGCAGCCGATTCTTCTCCTTTGACTTATGTGATGCATGCTATGGCTGTTAGACGGCTTGTCGATTTGAATAGGCATATAAAGTCTTTTGAATATTTGATGCGAAATAATGAAAATCTGGTGCAAGTCAGGTTGCTTGATGATGCTGGCTTGTCAAGGTGTCGTAAAAGAAGCAAAAAGTTGGAAAGGCACATCTCTGTTTTGAGGGAAGAGGCTTCAGGTCTTGCTGGTTTTATGATGGAGCACCTATCATTAGTGCCCGAAGATCAACAGCCAATGTCCATTTCTGATGATACAACTTGTAATAAGATGATTTCCCATGAAAGTGATGAATGGGATTTCAGTGTTTGTGCGTTGAACAAGAAGTCATTGCCAACTGCAATATGGTGGATTCTTTGCCAGAATATTGATACTTGGTGCACTCATGCCACTAAAAGAATTTGAAGAAATTCCTTTCTCTTTTAATCCATACTTCCCTTTCCCGTGTAAGAAGCAGCTTTGGGGTGGTTAGAGAGTACAATAACCGTGCAGCTGATAGGCTGAAGAAAGTAACCTTGCATCAAATCTCATCACAATGCTTCATTGACTCCATTCTGTATGAGCAAAGAGTAAGCTGCTATCAAACATAACATGGTGCTTCCCCCCATCCTCACATGCACACGCAACACACATAGACACAACTCATACCCCTGCTCACTATTTGACTTTGTCTGAGTGGTTGTGTTAGATCTTGTTCGTTTACAATTTTTCTTCTCTTATTGATGTCAATAAACTGTTCTTAGAGCCTTTATAGAGACTGTTTCAACCCAGGTATTTATTCTATCTCTTCTATTAGTTTTTCTGCAGGTATTTTGCATCAACGTTTTGCCATGCATTGGAGAAATCTACATTACCATTGATCAGTGACTTCTCATCTGGCAATTTTGATTTCAAATCATCACCTGATTGGCCGAAGGTTTTAAATTCCCTGGGGAACTCATCAGTGGTTGTTTCATGTAAGAATCACTACATATTTGATTGTTCCTCAGCAGAAAGCCCGGTCACTCATTCTTCTGATGAGCTGCGTAAAGGAAGTTTCAAGGAACAAAAAGATCTACAATCGACCATCATGAAATTTATAGCTTGCCAGAGTTTACTTAATCTTTTGTGTTGTATGCCAAAAAGTCATTTCAACTCGAGAGCATTTCACTTTATGTCACTTCTATTCTCAACCTTGAAAGGTACGAGCTTTGTTCTATCAACATTTGATTTTATGGTGTGATGCAGTACCATAGTTCTGTTGCTTTCTATTTTTTTCAACCAAAAAAAACAGAACATACAAATTCTTCTGGTGAGCAATTAGGTTCTCAAATTTGAATATTCAATAAGACGAGATTAATTGAGTTGAGCTCAAAGGTGAAAAGCTATCTCAGATAGTATATTATGGTTGTTGTCCTGTTTTTTCTTGCACATAATTCCTTTGAATACATGTAATTTAGAGTAAAGTGTCTGAAGTCTTGTTCGTTGTAGAATTGTTTCAGAAAGTGTTGTGCGCAGAACTACTTATCATTGACAAACTAGTTTTGCTTCAGAACTTTCTTTCTGTCCGACAATAATAGTAACTCATTACTTCTGTGTGCACCTGTGATTCCCAGCAGCCTCAAGAATTCATATCTCATTATGAAAAAATTATTATGTGCATAATAATTCAAGTTCTCTGATTATGCATAATCTTTGAAGCCATTCAATCAAGTTTATTAATATTATCTGTTCTGCGTTTTTCAGGCTTGTTGTTGGCGGCTTATTAGATTATCAGAATGCATCATACTCGCATCACTATCACGAGCTCTTTAGATTGTTTGTGTCTTGTCGGAAGGCCTTGAAATATATAATTCTGGCTTGTGAGGAGAAGACAGCAGATAGTCAAACCTCACATACTTTAGTGTTCTTTGAGGATTCGTTTCCTATTTTATGGCTTTACAAGTCAGTGTATGCGGTTGTTGGGCTTGAAGAGTCATTGCCAAAAGATAATTGCCGTCCGGTTAGTGATATGATCTTGTCCTTGATGGATCACACATTTTATGTGTTTCTCACATTAAGTAAATATCAGTCTAATCATGCTGTTCATTTCTCTAAAGTTGCTGAACTGAATGCTGGACTTGTCCATGAACATAGTAGTTTAAGTGAATCTGATACGTGCTTGGATTCTTCCGACTATATTGAAGCTTGGAAAAGTGTAACCAATATTGCTAAGAGTTTGAAGGAACAGATGCAAAGCTTACTGGTAAATTTGAAGGATGCCCTTTGTAATGGAAAAGTGGGGATTGGTGTTGATGGTTTAAATTTGAACAAGTTCTCATCCTTAATTTCTTGCATTAGTGGGTTTTTATGGGGCCTAGCATGTTTTGTGAACCATACAGATTCGAGAAGTAGTGATCATAAAGTAAACTCATCAAGGCAGAAACTTGAACCCATCTCTGAACTTCACCTCTGTATAGATGTTTTTGCAGAATTCTGTAGTCTGCTCTTACCAATGTTAGTTTGTGACAGTAGTCAACAGTCCAGAACTTTATGTGACTCTCAAAATCTTCAAAAGTCAGACTTCAATGTAGATTTGTTGGGTGTGCCTGAAGGCACTGATGTTGAGACTGATATTGCAGGTGTTGAACTGCATGATGAATCTGGTGCTGCAATGACAGCATCATCTGACATCCATGATTACTCTGGGTCTGGTAGTGTTCATAGAAGAAGGTTGCACTTGGAAGGTGCAAATTGTGCTGCCAGTGCACTGAATGACGTTGATTCATTTATATTGCAGTCTTTGAATAGGCCTTTGTTGAGACGCCTGCTAAATGGTGATTACCCTGACGCAGCATTTTTGCTCAGGCAGTTGTTAATTGCATCTTCAGCTATTTTGAGGCTAAGTTTGCATATGAATAGTCCTCCCCTGTCTTCAAGCTTGGTGCATACTTTTACTGGCATTACACAAGTCTTGTTATTGGAATCAACGGGCATGAATCAGGTGCCGTGCTTTTTTTATTTTGTGTGTTTAGATGGTGTTCTGAAGTATTTGGAAGAAATAGCGAATCATTTTCCTCTGACTAATCCTACCTTATCCAGAAGTTTGTATGACAAGATGGTTCAGCTACAGTTAAGGGCTTTAGGAAAATGCATAACTTTACAGGGGAAACGAGCCACCCTAGTATCTCATGAGACAGAGTCAAGCACCAAAATGCTCCATTCTCCTATGGAATTTTCTGAAGCATCTCTGTCTGGCCGGCCATACTTATTGGATGAACTTAAAGCTAGGTTGAGGTCATCGTTCACGGTGTTTATAAAGAAACCATCAGAGTTGCATCTTTTATCTGCTGTACAAGCTATAGAGAGAGCACTAGTTGGTGTGCAGGATGGGTGCACCATGAGTTATGACATACATACTGGAAGCGTAGATGGGGGAAAAGTTTCTTCAGTTGTTGCAGCTGGCATTGATTGCTTGGATTTGATTCTAGAACACGTTTCAGGTAATATTTTGATAATTTTGGATGAAATGGTTCTACTGCATTCTCGATGGTGTCTATAGTGATTGAAAACTTCAACAGCTTTTAGAAACTTTTTTCTTTTGTGCAATAGGAAGATACTTCTCTCAAAAGGTTCAGCTACTGCATGCATACTGTATGTTTTTAGGAATTTTTTCACATATTTATCGATGTTATCCTACTCGTCTTATAACGTATTATTATCCACTTCAGCTATTACATGGATTCAAGTGCATATGATTGAAGTTTGTTAGAACTTGCTTTTCTGACCATTTATTTGCCTTTCAGGACGCAAACGTTTGAATGTGGTTAAAAGACACATTCAGAGCTTTATTTCTAGCTTGTTCAATGTTATTCTGAACTTGCAGAGTCCAGTAATCTTTTATGAGAGATCGATCCAGAATAAAGGGGATACTGATCCAGATCCAGGAACAATCATTCTTATGTGTGTTGACGTACTGGCAAGAATTTCCGGCAAGCATGCTCTGTACCAAATGGAGGCCTGGCATGTAGCACAATCTTTACGTATACCGTCAGCACTTTTTCAAGACTTCCATCTTTTAAAACTTTCTGAAGCTCCTGTTCCCGATGATTCTTCAACAGTTCCAAATAACCAAATCTCTAATTCAGTAGCAAGTAAACATTTCTCTGGCGTAGATAGGCAATACTCAATCGACCTATTTGCTGCTTGCTGCCGGTTATTGCATAATGTTCTGAAGCATCACAAAATGTGAGTGTATTCTTTTTGTATGAAAATCCTCATAATAAGTATTTGTAAGGCGTTTCAACGGAAAAAAAGAAGAAAAGATTTGTAGTGTGCACTTAACCTTGGGCCAAAGTTGAAAACATAACAGTAAAAAGGTATAGATATGGTATGAAGAGGAGGTTTAATCTTTTTATGTTCAGTTTTTGCGAAATTGATTGAAGAGGCTTCAGATGCTTATGTTCCTCTGAGTTATTTTTCGTTTTTCAGCTTTCCTTCCTCATTAAGTAGACTCCGCATATGATTGCAACTTCTTTTTTTCGTAATTCTAGTGAATGTGAACGGTGCATTGCCGTACTTCAAGCTTCTGTTGGTGTTCTTCTTCATTGTTTGGAGACAGTGGATGCTAATGCAGTCGTCAGGAAAGGTTTCTTTTCGTGGGAAGTGGAAGAGGGAGTCAAATGTGCAGGTTTGTCTCCGAAGAATTTATGAAGAGGTAGGTGACTTTTCGTAAATATGCCTCATTAAATATCATTATTGTCTTAGATTTTGGGTATCTTCCATTATATCCAAAGTCTTATATTTAATTTTCTGTTGGCCTTTTTTTTTACTGGTAGGACCAAAGGCCCCCAACTATTTCTCCTCCTTAAAGAATCAAGTTTCAGCATGATATGTATAATATATAAATTTATATATTTATATGTATTCCTATGACAATGATAGAGCTCACCTGAACCCAGTTACCATAGAGAACATATCGTTAATATTTATATATATACTTCATGTTTATTTTTTTCTCTTGACCTAGGAACTGGTTTTAATATCTTCTTGGGAATGGGAGTTATTTACGGCTTCTTTTCAAATTTAATGAAGGGTTGGTGCTTAGTGCATGGGCACCTTTTGGCTCACCAGATCAGCTTTCATGTTAAAGAAAATCATTGCATTTAGAAAACGTATTTTGTAGGATAATTGATACATTATTTGCATACAATTTTTGGCTTGTCCATTGCCGAAAACCAAAAGGAGAAAAAAAGAGATCTTTCTCACCTGGTTTTATCATATCTATTTTGCAGATAAGACATCAAAAGATGTCTTTGGGTCCGCACTGTTCCCAATTTTTATCCAATTACATATGGGTTTATTCAGGATATGGGCCCCGTAAAACAGGCATCAAAAGGTAATTTCTGGTACCTTAGACTATTTGTTGTTATGATGTTCATGAGTTTCCTAGTGAACTCGAATAGGCATAACAGATTAATGAATAATGGCGAATCAATTGTATTTGTTAGAAATAATACAATCCAAATTCCTTTGTTACATCAATTCCCGCTGGCCTCTAGTTAAGACGGAAAAGGGGCGAGGTTGGTGTAGATCCTATGTTCATAAATCACTTTCTCCTTCTCATTTTCTCCCCTGAAAAAGTTTTCTCCAAAAGCGTTACCTTTTGGCATGGACAATCTTGGGGTGACAGAAATGCATTGGTTAGCTGAATTATTGTATGTTTAATTTTCAGGGAAATAGACGAAGCTCTAAGACCAGGTGTATATGCTTTAATAGATACTTGCTCAGCAGATGATCTTCAACGCCTTCATACCTTATTTGGAGGTAAATAATATTGACTTTGTCAGGGCTACAAGGAGTGGCTGGAAGGAATTTCAACTCGGTCTCACATTTTCTTCTTGTTTGTGCAGAGGGTCCTTGCAGAAACACTCTGGCCACCTTGAAACATGATTACGAACTCAATTTCCAATACCAGGGAAAAGTCTAAGGGAAGCTTATTCCTATGTGGGCTGTACCGGCATCGTCATTTTGATGCGACTTATACAACTCTTCTAACATGTAAGTTGTAACAAATATTACATGTAATGTATGTGATAATAAATTTTGTAGTCATATCTTTCTCATTTTCAAAGCTACAAATGGTAGCATCCTCATGGAATGGAAGTAACAAAGCTGTTTGTTAGTAATAGGGACTCGGTCTAAGTCTAACAGAACAGATGGGAAGCGGGGTAATTTTTGTGTAGCTCTATTTTGAGTGACTTGAGTCTAACGTATGTACCTTCCTTGGTTTTGCATTGTTCCGTGTTATTTATACATTCAAATGTAAATGGATTTACATTACTTATAAAGTGCAAGTTCTAATGTTTCTTATCAAACGAGGTTAATATCTTTTTTTCTTTTTAATGTGCATTATATCTATTGTGGGTTATTAAATAAGGTCTCCAAGATGACCATGATGGATTTTCAAGTAAAATGCCCTATCCACCCACCACCCTATTTGGCTGGTCCCATGTCATTTGGACCATTTTGTGGTATTATATTCCTAAACGGAATAATTAGGCTGGTATGACAAAGACTGATAGAACATCTACCAAAAGCAAACACCAATACTTGTGCGGTTGAGATTAGACTAGGATATAGAAGTCTTCGTTTATACGTCAACTGGGTTTTCAGTTTCCATCCACATTTTTTCCCCCGTAAAACAGCAACTCCCATTGACAAATCCCCTTGAATCGTGATGGGCTGTCACTGTTGTAGAAGAGAAGCCCCCTCATCATACCCAGTTCTGCTTTTCTTGGCAGTGGTCGCTGTACTTCTTCTTCTGTCATCTTTGATCTCTTTCGAGATCGAAGCCCCCAGTTTGCAGATAAATTGGGGGCTTATTGCAGTGCCGTTGCTTTTGCTAGCGATTGTGCATTGGTTGTCATCAATGGAACCTCCCAAGAGGCCCTGTATGATGCCTCGGCCGTGTTGCAAGTGTCCGTATGCTTGCAAGTGTGCCTACTTCTGAACTGATTGTGCTGGTGTTATTCACCATGGTTGGTGCTGTCATATTATCAGACTGAAAAGCTGGTTTGTCTAACACACTCTGTTTCTTGGTTTATTTATTGTATGTAATGAGTTGAAGTTGTTCTTACAACATCAAATATGGGCAATCAAAGAAATAATGATTGTTGTAACATGATCGACAATATCATTGTAAATATTGTGTGTTTTTGTCTCTTGTATTCTTCTCTATCCTCAGTAGCACAACCCAATCAACATACCAATTTTTCTGTCTTTATGAGAGCCCAGGAGGGTTCAGAACCTCATAAAAACTAGCCTATGATTTTCTAATGAACCCACATTTTTTATTATTAGAGATTTAGGTGGGATGACTCTGATTAATTATCAAATTGATAAGAAGGAAAGAGAGATTGCTCAAAGTTGCAGAGCTTCAATGCAGAAAAGTACTTATCGGCTGCAAACTTTCCATTCGATTTCCAAAAAAGATTACTAATCCTTAACTTTTCGAGGAATCCTTCATCTCCACTGTAGATTTTATTTTATTTTATTTTTCCTTATAACAAGCGATATACAGGAAAGAAAATTTGAATACAAGACCTCGGTGCAGAGATAACTGCTCCTAAGCTACAAGCTCTCACTTCTGAAGTTTAATAAAACATTGTTAAGCTTTTATATTGGAGACAAGTAGTTTAACCGAAATTGTTTCCAATTGGGAATTTTTTATCTTCCATTACCGACATATCACACAGGCTCAGTTAATGTCGACACCACACCACATTGTTTTTCAATATTAAAATTTCACGTCGGGTGGAGGGTTGGGATTGTAATTATTATTTGGGCTGAGTGGATGGAGATGATGCTTTAAAGTTGCACTACCGACTGTTGTTAAGGCTATAAAGTGTACGGACTGCCCACCTCTGATGTGAATGCGTGCCCCAATAGAAAAGCGGACCAATTCGCGCTTTGGTCGACATACAAACTAAAGGGATGTCGATACAAATATCTTTAACATAAAACGAATGTTTTTCTACTTAGCGCTAATTACACTAGTGCCTCTGAAAATTCTGGTCAAATATCAGATGATATATCACCCTTACACATGGCATAGATTGAGTGAATTAGGCGGATTACTATGAATCTTCAACATCCCTACGTGGCATATATTTCAACAAATTAATTTATACCATTCGTGCCACATCAACGATTTTAACAAAACAACAAACTTGATGAGAGATAAAGTGAAACGTAAAGGTCAAATAAAGAGGCAATATGATCATTGTAACTTCATGAGGTATTGTGATGTTTGACCATAATTCAGGTGACACTAAATAATAGTTATATAAATTATTAAAAAGGATGTTTACCAAAGCTATTTTTATTGATTCACTATTGTTTTAAAATATGCAAAGTCTTATAGATGTATTTGTTTCTTTTCTTACATTTGATTGTCAAAGAAAATTCGTGGTCTAGATAAAATATACCAAAGTATATTGATCTCTTTTGAAGTGAGTGAAACTACAAATCCTCTTTTATGTAACAATTAAAAACTATACCAACCTTAGTGTTGAACATGTGGTTTCGATTCTATTTTAAAACATAAATAAAATCTTTAGTATTGATAATACCACGTAGTTAAACAAAGTTATTTAAAGGGACAGTTCACTCTACACTATAATAGTTCAATGATTCGAACACTACAATTTTGTTAAATAAAAAGCTATCAAGAAATAACAATTCAAATGGTCGAGGGTTTTTTTCCCCTCTTTTGAAAAAAAAATGGTAAAAGCTTAAAAGTAAGTACGTAAATACAAGGATCAATCATTGCGTTTTTATCTTAGAATAGTCTAAACTATAAGGGGAATGAGGTTTCTCATACATACACTATCAAGATGTCATGGAAGTTCGAACCTGAAACCACTTATCTTCAAGTTAAAATCTTTATCAAGATGTCATGGAAGTTCAAACCTGAAACAACTTATCTTCAAGTTAAAATCTTTTTCACTGGACTAGACGCACAAATATCCTTGTTTTTGGATAATTACAAGTACAATTCTTCTTGGCCGGTGCAGATATCTTATTAAAGTACCTGATCAAACACATATGCATAAGTTAAGAGCTCTTCTTCTTATCTCATGTGCCTTGATTTTTTCTTGTGGCCGCATGCATCACCCTTCAGTGCATAAATGAAACTCCACAAAGCAGACACTAACCTGTTTCTTGGCTATAAAACACAAGCCCTTCAATTCCGAACCACCTCTTGAACTTGTCCATTTGAACACTAAAACTTCTCTTCATAATCAAGAAAAACCATCCAACCAATATCCATGGCCTATGGACGAAGCCCAACCAGCTCTTTCATAGAAGGGTTCTCTCTAAGTCCTCTGCCATATCCAGTTCTGCTAATTCTTGCAGTAATCTCAATCTTTTTTGGCATATCCTGGTACTCATCCCATGACTCAGTTGTGGAAGAAGCTGAAACGCAATTCAGTTGGCTGCTTTTGTTTACAGCAATAGCACTTCTGCTTCTTGTTAAGTTGCTGTCTTTTCTGGATCCTGATTGGTTCTTCTCCTTGTTTCCGTGGGGAAGCCGCAGGATAACCTACCATGAACCTTCAGAGGGAAGCTCACCATGGCGTGTTGCTGCTTTCATTGTGCTCCTGCTAGTTTTGCTGCAATACCAGTCTATTTTCCGGGACAGCTGGCTCATTAAAAAATAAAATAAAAAATAAAAAAAGGTTGTGTGTATATGTAGTAGTTGTTGTATATAATGGAATATGATCTTCTACTTATAATTTCCGTACTGATATTGTGAAATAGATTATACTCATGTTTTATTTTCACATCAAGAGCCATATGTTGAGTTGAAACTGAATCTTCAATGATTTTCCATGTGGGTTTTGAATCCTCTATGTGATGTTTCTTTTTTCCTAGTGGTTTTCATTAGGCTAATTTGATTGCTTGGAAGTAATAATTCAATGTCCAAAGCTACAAGTTACACAAACTTGAGATTCAAGCCAGGTGGTCATGTGTATACCTTGTAGATATATTAAATCTTTTAAATGTGGTTTTTTTTTTTTTTTTGTTTTTTTGCTAAGTCAAAGATTTATTTGTTCTTTTCTTACTTTTGATTGCCAAAGAAAATTCGTAGTCTCCGATCAAAAGTAATATATACCAAAGTATATCGATCTCTTTTTTTTTCTTGGCCAGATAAATCGATCTCTTTTGAAGTGAGTGAAATTACAAAATGCTAAAATTATGAAAGAGTTCTTGTGAAATTTTATGTGTATTCTTCTTCCGTTAGGAGGCCATATTTATAATAAAGCCTTGGAGTTCAAGTAAAGCAATAACTCCTAATTCTATTTTATATAACACTCAAAAACCATAACTCTAGAGGTCTAAGAAGAAAAAGATAACTCTTCGTAAATCCTAGCATCTCCCTTCTCTCTTAACCCTTTTTGCGATGTGTGTGTAAGCGTTTTAAGGTCACACACTCATTGAACTTGGCTAGGACTCTGAGACAGATACCAAGATCAATTAGAACAAGTATCCTGAAGCTTATACGGATGTGATTAAGATATTCTATTTAAGCATTGGAGTCCTAATAATTAAAAGAGTTGGACATAGTCATCCAGTTTCTTGGTGATTAAGTTGAATTCTAATAGGATTGTAATGGGAGAGTCCTATTAGAATTACACCAACTAAAGCTCATTATAAATAGGATAGGTCCCTGCCTCTGTCAAGCACCGAATCACAAAAGTTCTTGAGCCCCATTGAGATAGAGTGATATACAGAGCTTGCTAAAGAGGTGGAAGACCTGTCTACTGTAACAATGGTTTTCTGCTGCAGGTATCTTGTGTATTATTTGTATGTCTGCTTAGATGTTATAAAACTAACATGTGGTATCAGAGCTGCAGGTTTTGTCATACTTGTAATACCTATAAGGGCAGCAGCATTTGCAGGAGGATAAACCCAATTCTGCAGTTTTTGTTATAGATTTAAAGATTATTATTTTTATTGGTTTACTAACCATTCTGCAGGAAACTATACAGTCAATTCGAATAGTTCCTAAAGGGATATCATAATCAAATAAAATAGCCAAAGCAATTTTTGTTGGTTATGATATATCAATTGAACAAAAGAAAAGGATTGAGTCTGTAACACATATTGAGATATAGAGAACAGTTTGCCAAAGCAAAGATGTTCTATGTGTTTTGGTATGTGTTAGCATAAAATAGTGCATGGCTTATGAAAACTGTTTGAAATTTTTCTACTCAAAAGTATAAAAGTCTCAATGAAAGTCAGTTAACATGTATCTGTGCATTGGTTTTATGATCAAGTATTGCATATTAGAAATTCAAAACAAATGAATCCTAATATGTTTCCAGTTTTGGGGAAAAGATAATTTACTCTAGCATGTCCTATTCTGCAGCTTTGAACCCATCCTCTGTAAGTCACCACGCAATTGTTCCATTGACTGGGACAAACTTCAAGAAGTGGAAAGAGGATGTGGATATAGTGCTGGGAATTATGGATATGGATTTGGCTCTTAGAGAAGATGAACCAGCAAGACCAGCAGATGGAGCAAGTGCTACTCAGAGATCGAAGTACGAAAAATGGCAAAAGGCAAATAGGGTTGCACTGATGATCATCAAGAGATCTATGACTGATGCTGTTCGAGGAGGTGTTCCTGATCTCAAGGATGCAAAAGCTTATTTGGTTGCAGTGGAAGAGAGGTTCCAACGATCTGAGAAAGCAGAAACTGGTGTGCTTATGTGTGAACTGACAACAATGAGGTATGATGGAGCTGGAAGTGTCAGGGAGTACATTCTGAAATTAATTGATATCTCCAGCAAACTGAAGGAACTAGAGGTATCTCTGTCTGATGCTTTTCTTGTGCATACCACTCTTAACTCATTGCCTGCTGAATTCACTACACTGAAATCAAGTTACAATGCTCAAAGAGAGAAATGGAATTTGAATGAACTCATAGCAATATGTGTTCAAGAAGAAGACAGGATCAGAAGGGAAAAAGTGGACCTCACAGTTAACATGATAACTAAAATCAACCCTCCAAAATCCTACCCAAATGAGTCTGCCAAAAAGGAGCTAGTCAAGAATGTTCACTTCCCTAAAAAGACCAATGACTTTAAGGCTAACAAAACATCCAACTTTAAGTGTTTCTTCTGTAAAAGGCCAGGGCACATGAAGAAAGCTTGTCATAAATACAAGCGATGGTTAGAGAAACAAGAAGTTAAAGGTAACCTCCAATCTTTTGTCTGTTTTGAGTCTAATCTAGTTGACCTTCCTTCTAATTCCTGGTTGCTTGATACTGGTTGTTCTGTCCATGTCACAAATACTTTGCAGGGCTTTCTAAGAAAGAGAACTCCAAATAGGAATGAGGTCAATGTCTTCGTAGGGGATGGAACAAAGGTTGAAGTCAAAGCAGTAGGAGTCGTCAATCTTCAGTTAGGATCGAGTCATTGTCTAGAGCTAGATGATGTAGTCTATGTACCTTCCATGAGAAGGAATCTTATTTCAATTTCTAAGTTGGTTCTGTCGAATTATTCTTTTCAATTCAATAAAGAAGGCTTCAGTTTGTTTCATAATTCAATTCCAGTTGCAAAAGGCCCTGTTGAATGTGGTTTATTTCACTTGAATTCCATACCAGCTGCTCTAAACACTGAAATCATTCCAAGTCCAACTCAATCTGCTAGGCTTTGGCATCATAGGTTAGGTCACATCTCTAAAGATAGAATCCAACGCTTAGTTAAAGAACAAATCCTGCCATCAGTAGACTTCTCTGATCTAGATGTCTGTGTCAATTGTATTAAAGGGAAATTAACTAAGGCAAGAAAGAAAGGCTCAAACAGAAGTGGTCAACTCTTAGAAATAATCCATACAGACATCTGTGGCCCTTTTCCCATCCAAACTCTAGAAGGCCACAGATACTTCATAACCTTCATAGATGACTACTCTAGGTATGGCTACTTGTTTCTCATTACAGAAAGTCTAGTGCTCTGGAAGCTTTTAAAATTTTTAAAACAGAAGTTGAAAGACAGTTGGAATTAAAGATAAAAGTTGTTAGGTCTGATAGGGGAGGTGAATATTATGGGAAATTTGATCAAACTGGCAGACACCCTGGACCTTTTGCTAAGTATTTGCAGGAATGTGGAATTGTTGCACAATACACCAATCCAGGAACTCCAGAGCAGAACGGTGTAGCTGAAAGAAGAAATAGAACACTCAAGGATATGGTGAGGAGTATGATCTGCAATTCACAGCTACCTAATTACCTATGGGGCGAGGCAATAAGGACAGCAAACTACATCCTAAACCGTGTACCAAGTAAGGCAGTATCAAAGACCCCTTTTGAGCTATGGACTAACAGAAAGCCGAGCCTCAACCATTTGCATATATGGGGGTGCAAGGCAGAAGCAAAAGTCTTCAATCCACAAGAGAAGAAATTGGATCCCAAGACCATAAGTTGTTTTTTTGTAGGTTATCCAGAGAAGACGAAGGGGTACAGATTTTATTGTCCAAATCATACAACAAGGCTTGTGGAAACAGGTAGGGCAGTTTTTCTAGAAAATGTCCATGAAGAAAGGAAGGCCACAGATTTCATTTTTGAAGAGCTGGGTGAAATTGCAATTGAGCCAGCAAAGCAAAGTGTGCAAGTTCCACATATAAGTGAAATACAAGGGGAAGATTATGAAGATATGGAACCTGAACAAGAAGACATGAATGAAATTCAAGTCCAGGAAACTCAAGATGTGAACAATGAAGTAGTTCAGCCACAAGAAGCACCAGCTCCACAGAGAAGATCTAACAGAAATAGAAGACCAGCAATATCTCAAGATTATGTAGTGTATTTACAAGAATCAGAGTTTATGGCATCAGATTTTGAAGATCCTTTGTTTTTCAATGAAGCAATTAATAGTCCAGAGGTATTGAAATGGAAAGAAGCCATGGAAAGTGAATTAGATTCAATGGAAAACAATCAGGTGTGGGATTTAGTAGAGCTGCCAGAAGGAGTGAAGCCAATAGGGTGTAAATGGGTGTTCAAAACCAAGAAAGACTCAATGGGCAACATAGAAAGATTCAAGGCCAGATTAGTTGCAAAAGGTTTTACTCAAAAAGAAGGAATAGATTATAGTGAAACTTTTTCCCCAGTTTCAACTAAAGATGCTTTTCGGATTATCATGGCTCTTACTGCACAATATGACCTGTTTTTACATCAAATGGATGTAAAGACAGCCTTTTTAAATGGGAGACTGGATGAAGAAATATATATGGTGCAACCTGAGGGTTTTATAAAGGAAGGAGAAGAGCATTTGGTTTGCAAACTCAAGAAGTCCATTTATGGACTGAAGCAGGCATCAAGGCAATGGTACTTGAGGTTTGATGAAGTTGTAAGCTCACAAGGCTTCACAGAGAATCCAGTTGATGAGTGTATTTATCTAAAATTTAGTGGGAGCAATTTCATCTTCTTAGTACTCTATGTCGATGATATTTTACTGGCCACTAACAATTTGTCTATGCTTGCTGACACAAAGTTTTTTCTGTCATCACATTTCGAGATGAAAGATATGGGGGAGGCGTCTTATGTGCTAGGAGTAGAGATACACAGAGACAGAAGTCGTGGTATGCTTGGTTTATCACAGAAGGGATACATAGAAAGAGTGCTTAAAAGATTTAACATGTTATCTTGTGCATCTGGAGAAGTTCCTATTACAAAAGGAGACAAACTAAGTAGAGCTCAAAGTCCTCAAAATGAGTTGGAGAAAGAAGAGATGAAGAACAGACCCTATGCATCTTTAGTGGGCAGCTTAATGTATGCTCAAGTATGCACAAGACCAGACATTGCCTTTGCAATTAGTGTGTTAGGCAGATTTCAAGCAAATCCAGGGAATGCACATTGGATAGCGGCCAAGAAAGTCATGAGATATTTGCAAAGGACAAAGAGTTTTATGCTGGTTTATCAGAGACAAGAAAGCTTGGAGTTAGTAGGATATTGTGATTCTGATTTTGCAGGTTGTCCAGATGATTTAAAGTCTACATCAGCATTTGTTTTCTTGCTAGCAGGAGGAGCTGTTTCATGGAAAAGTTCGAAGCAAAGCACCGTGGCTGCTTCAACGATGCAGGCTGAGTTTGTTGCTTGTTATGAGGCCACCATCCAAGCATCTTGGTTGAAAAATTTTATAACAGGTTTGCGTGTGGTGGATTCGATTGCCAGACCTGTGCAAATTTTCTGTGATAATAGTGCAACAGTATTTTATTCCAGAAACAACAAGAGGTCAGCGGGTACAAAACATCTTGAAATAAAGTTTCTGTTAGTGAGAGAGAAGATTAAGCAAGGCCAGACTCGGATTGATCACATAAGCACACATGATATGATTGCTGACCTTTTGAATAAAGCAATTCCCAACAGTATATTCAAGAGACATGTGACTAGCATGGGGATTTTGGCTAGTTTCGATGATGCAGAATAGTGGGAGTAAATTTGCAGTTCATTTTCAGTTATTAGATATGCACTGAGGTAGAATTTTATGTTTTGATTTTGCTTAACTATTGAAGTTTCATATTTGGTTGATACAGTTTCTCATTCAATTAAGTATTAATTGTTTTCATGATTTATTTTCATGAATTAAAGTTTGAATGCAACCATACAGAGCTTCGTTTTAGAAGCATTAAGTGGACCTGGTGTATCTATATGCATGCAGTTCACATATAAAGAGCATATAGTGCATCTATTTGACTTTGTCTTGTGGGAGTTTCATGTGGATGAGGATTTTATGGTTGTAATTATGGATGCCTTGCTTGATTGAAACGAGTTAGTGTATCTGTAGTTCTGCATTTATATTCTCATCTGACAGAAACATGTTTAGGACTTTTGTTCTTTGATCTTATGGCGCCTTAAAGTTTGTGTTTGTTTCGAGTTCAAAAGGAGCTTATGTTTTGATGGTGTGTGTGCCCTAGTGGGAGAATGTAAGCGTTTTAAGGTCACACACTCATTGAACTTGGCTAGGACTCTGAGACAGATACCAAGATCAATTAGAACAAGTATCCTGAAGCTTATACGGATGTGATTAAGATATTCTATTTAAGCATTGGAGTCCTAATATAATTAAAAGAGTTGGACATAGTCATCCAGTTTCTTGGTGATTAAGTTGAATTCTAATAGGATTGTAATGGGAGAGTCCTATTAGAATTACACCAACTAAAGCTCATTATAAATAGGATAGGTCCCTGCCTCTGTCAAGCACCGAATCACAAAAGTTCTTGAGCCCCATTGAGATAGAGTGATATACAGAGCTTGCTAAAGAGGTGGAAGACCTGTCTACTGTAACAATGGTTTCTGCTGCAGGTATCTTGTGTATTATTTGTATGTCTGCTTAGATGTTATAAAACTAACAGTGTGTTCCTGGAGGGAGAAAGGAGGCCACTCCTCCTCTCTCCTTCTCTCTCTCCCCTTAGAGCATCACTAGTGGTTGGGTGTATAACGGGGTATATAGCACATTTACACCTCATTTGGCCAGAATCAACTGCAATGCAAGAGAGTATCCTGTTGCAAATATAGCAAGCCACCGTGAGATGGGAAAACAGATGGAAATGTCCATCTTTGTTTTTTGTTTTTTTTTCCCCATCCAGCAAAGTGGGCCCCGTTGTTGAAAAATCATGAGAGAGAATAAGCTTTCAGCATGGAAAAATGGGAGAAGCAGAAGAAAATGTGTTGTGACGTCAATGCACTAATGGGGTTGTATGATCTAACGGTGCTAGTGCTTCCATATTTGATTCCAATGGTGCTGATGCTTTCATACAAGAAAATAAAAAATTACATCTTCTGTTTTACATCTTCACTCATTAGAGCAAAAAACGCATTTACACCTCCCGAAGGTGTAAGAGCAACTCTACCCATTTGCCCTTAGCCATGGCAAGGGGGGGGAGCTAGGGCAGCCACTATTCACGTGAATAGTAGTTGCCCTTGCAAATAGTATTTTCCGTTTCCATCCGTTGCCATGGCAAAGGGTAATTACTATTCATTTTTTTATTTTTTTCACAACTTTTTTTATCTCAATAATTAATTTGGATAATATTTTCGGGTTCGTACGTGTCAATACTATTCATATCTCATATCGAATAAAATTTTCAATTTCAAATTTCAGATAAATTAAAATATAAAAAAATGGCTGGTATTTATAGAAAAAAATTCATTAATTTTTGGGTATTTTTTTTTAAAAAAATTCAAATTTTTTCCAGTATTTTATTGCAAAAAAATTGGCTGCCATTGGATTGGAGGAAAAATCAGATCGGCGAGCTCAGACGACGCCATGTGGCAACAGAAAAAAAAATTCAGTGGGGTACTATAGCAGTACTGTAGCGGGGGTACTGTAGCGATGACGTCAGCACAACCCTCGACTTGGACCTCGGGCTGAACTGGCCTTCGGGCCAGACTGAGATCATGGGACCCACCCTCTCCCCGGGCCTGGGCTCACCGCTGGAAACAATTTTTTTTCTTTTTTTCCCCCAGCCTTGGGCTCAGCTTCTTGCTAGAGTTGCTCTAAAGAGGATGTAATGCACCCTGCCGCTGATGACTCTTATCTCCCTACTTATTTTTCTCCTTCCCCATATACTGAATTTGGGGTTTTAATTGTAAGGAGATTATTTATGCCTAGCTTTGTTTTGGATCTTGGTTTTTACCCAAATCTACTTGGATATGTAGTTTTGTTGGTTGATTTTTCATTGTACAGTGAGTGACTGCAATCTAGGTGGTGTTCTCTATCTCAAAGGCGGCGATGGCGGTTGTTGTGGTGGAGGCAGCAACTGTGGTGGTGGCTCAACTGGTTTTTGGTTTTTGTTTGTTTGTAGTTTTCTTATTTTGTAATAATTGCATAAACTCTTTGTGGGTTGGGTGTTTGATTGTTTTCTAGTCTCTGCTGGTGTTTTGTACTTGTGAGAATTTAAAAATTGTAGTTGTATTAAAAGATTTGGGCAATATAATTCATCTCTGGTTTGTTCAGGCATGCGGCTTTTATGCCGAAATTTCTTTGCCCTTTTGTGGTGTGTATCTAGATTAACCATATGTGGTTACTATGCTTCCATATTTGTATTATCTCTTTGTGCGTATTCGCCCTTGTAGTTGATGATATTTGTGCATAATTTATGAATACAATTTTCATTTTTCTCTATAAAAAAAACTATAACCTAGTGCTGGAACATGTGGATTCGATTCTACTTTAAAACTTAAATAAAACTTAGTTTCCATAGATGGATCCATTAAACAAAGTTATTTAAAGGGATGTACATTATAGAGTTCAATGATTCAAATACTTTTGTTAAATAAAAAGCTACTAAGAAATTCCTAGTTATGAAAAGAAAAAAAAAACAAATTAAATGGTCAAAAGTTTTTGTTTTTCCTCTTTGCAGAAAATATGGTAAAACTTAAAATATTTTTTGTCCATCACTGGATTTTTATCTTAGAATCTTAAAAGTATCCCCTTTTGTTTTTTTTGAGAACTACAAGTATGGTATCCTTCTTTTTTGGTAAAGTTACAGTTCTTTTTGGCCGTTGTAGATATCTTATTAAGAGCTCTTCTTCTTATCTTCTGTGCCTTCTTTTTCTCGTGGCCCCACCCATGCATCACACCTCCTCCATTTCATTGCATGAATGAAACCCCACAAAGACTTTTATTAAGCAATAAAAACCCAAGCAAATAAGATTAATTTATTAGTTGGCTGTAAAAATTAAAGCAGACACTTCCCTGTTTTTTGGCTATAAAAACACAAGCCCTTCAATTCCTAACAGCCTCTTGAGCTTGTCCATTTGAGCACTAAACCTCTCTTCATGGCCTATGGAAGAAGCCAAACCAGCTCTTTCCTAGAAGGGTTCTCTCTAAGTCCTCTGCCATATCCAGTTCTGCTCATTCTTGCAGTAATCTCAATCTTTCTTGGCATATCCTGGTACTCATCCTATGACTCAGCTGTGGAAGAAGCTGAAACGCAATTCAATTGGTTGCTTTTTGTTACACCAATAGCACTTCTGCTTCTTGTCAAGTTGCTGTCTTCTATGGATCCTGATTGGCTCTTCTCCATGTCTCCACTGGGAAACCGCAGGAGAACCTACTATCCACCTTCAGAGGGAAGCTCACCATGGGGTGTTGCTGCTTTCATTGTGCTTCTGCTAGTTTTGCTGCAATACCAGTCTATTTTCCGGGACAGCTGGCTCATATAGTATGTTCAGTATTCTGTTTAAAAATTTGTGTGTTTATGCAGTAGTTGTTGTATGTAATGGAATATGATCTTCTACTCATATTGTGTTTATGCAGTAGCTGTTTATGTTGAGTTGAAACTGAATCTTCAATGGTTTTCCATGTGATGTTTGTCTTGTTTTTACGTCTAATGGTTTCATTAGGCTAATTTGATTGCTGTTGTAACTTGTAAGTGAACATATTTAGTGAAATTAATATCAAGTAGGTAAGCATGAATTGCTCTGATCAGAAGTAACTCCTTCCTTGAAGGTTTACTTTGAAAGTTTCAAATATATATATAAGTTACTTTATATGAGAGTTATGTTATGAAAAGGTGGAGCCGCCCAGTCTGTTTGTAAATTGTACTTCATACATATAGACAGGAACATCCCGGTAATCAGGGGATTTACAATCTCCAAATTGTATTTTAGCTGATTGCCTGTGTCTGGTTTCTTGCACAACTTTAATCAAAGTTTGACAATAGCCCTCGCCATATCCAAACCTACCACCTGCCCTTGTGGCCCAATGCTAACCAAGCATGTCAAGCAAGTTCGACAGGGCTCGTTTCGTGTGTATGATATCTTACCATTTTGTGAGGATTAGATGGAATAAGTTTTTTTCACAAGTAATCCATCTTCTACCTTCAACATAGTTATAAAAAAAATTCATTTCTTCATTTAACATGCTAATGTAGGAAGTTATTTTATTCAATCCAATCCTAGGCACCAAACGAGCTCATAATTTATTTTAAATTGAGATTACAATAATTCAAGTGGCATTATCTTCATGGTAGGCCCTACCCATGAAACTTCTTGGAGTGAAGTTAGTGACAATTTTCATGTTTTTCTTGTTGAGGAGTATGGTTAGGTTATATGACATCCAATGCGTACCATTGAATTGTTCAGCCATACAACTTTCATGTCTCCCAACTTTTGAAAACGCTTAATGGAACAATAGAGAAACTACTCGGTCTTTTGTGGGGCAGGAAAAGTTCAACATGTCATCACTAGTTTTGGTAGCATCTGCAGCGACAGTAAAACTGCAATCTCTGGTGGTAGGGTAGTCTTTATTGATCAGATGAGGAAAAAAAATAAAAAAAATCACAGTTTCCCTGAAATCAGTGTAAAAAATTCTACTGTCAATTTCATTCATGTGTAAATCCATAATTTCTGTCACTCAAACCATGTAATTTCAGCATGAATTTTGGAAACATTATGAAGAGAAATTTTTTATTAAAAAAAAAGATATCAAAACCAACAAGTCAAATAAGTCTGGAGAGCCACACAAGTGGACCAATCAGAAGAATGAATACAAGTGGATCAACTACAGAGAAGCATCGATTATAGCTCTCCACCAATTATTGAATCAAATGGCGACCTACCAAGATGAAAAACACATTTGAAGAAAATTAAAACTTATTGACGTTAGTCTTGCCACAATAGAATCTATTGTCTAAAACGTTACAATGCTTCCTTTTATATCTTATAAACATAACATTTCTCTGCACAGCCTACTCCATTTGCATCCAGACAAGGAAGTAGAGGGAGAGGAAAGAACCAACTCTTCTTCTTCTTCCTTCTTATTAACAATGGGTTCCTGTTTCCCTAAACAGAGAGAACGCCGTAAGGCGATCTCAACGGAGAGGAAAACGATGCGTGATCTTCATCAAAGCTGTGGTGAGGACTTTCCAGCTTGTGCCCTTAGGCCTACAGATAGAAAAAATTGGATGGCAGGCCTCAACCCTGAGAAGATTCACATACACAAGATTTTATGGCCAGGAACACATGACTCTGCAACCAACAAGATTGGATTTCCATGCATAACTAGGCCCTTTGCACGATGCCAAACTCTGTCCATCTACCAACAGCTTGTCATAGGCACCAGAGTGCTTGACATTCGGGTTCAAAAGGATCGTCGCGTCTGCCATGGAATTCTTGTCACATACAGCATTGATGTTGTGATCAGAGACATCAAGAAGTTTCTATCTGAAACAAAGTCAGAGATCATACTCCTTGAAATCAGGACTGAATATGGTCATGATGACCCTCCTGATTTTGAGCAGTATTTGGTGAATCAATTTGGGGAGGTTCTCATCCACCAGGATGACAATGTGTTCAACAAGACCATTGCAGAATTGTTTCCGAAGCGAATAATATGCGTCTGGAAGCCAAGGAATTCACCTCAGCCTAAGGCAGGGGGCGTTCTATGGAGTTCTGGGCACTTGAAGGATGACTGGATCAACACGGATTTGCCATCGACAAAATTCGAAAGCAACTTGAAGTGTTTGAGCGAGCAGCCTCCAATTTCAACAAGGACATTCTTTTACAGGGTGGAGAACACAGTGACACCTCAGCCTGATTACCCTATTGTGTGTGTGAAACCGGTGACCGGTCGGATTCATGAGTATGCAAGGCTGTTTATTACTCAGTGCTTCTCTAGAGGTATTGAAGATAGGTTGCAAATCTTCTCTACTGATTTTATAGATGAGGATTTTGTTGATGCATGTGTTGCTGTTACATATTCAAGAATTGAACGGAAAGCCTGAATTTCCATTTTTGTGTAATGTCTTGTTCGTCTTCTAGGTTTTCTTGTGGATTTGCTAAAGAAACATAATGCAACAGAAACAAAATATTGGGATGAATTTGAATTAAAAACTTACAAAAAATTGTTTTCATACTAAATATGTGATCAAAAAATTTATAATTAATAGCAACGAAACCCTGCACACTTCGTTAAACGCTATTAGTATGATGTTCCATATCACAAAAACAAATTCAAGAAATTTTTGCATGATTTCAGAATTTAAATGCGCCTCACTTTTCTTATTTTCATGATTATTCATTGAAACTTATAAGCTTCTCTGAGTTTTTTTAGCAATTTTTTTTTCACTCTTTTTGTTTGATAAAAACACACAAATAATTAGGGTTGCAACTTCAATAATATGATTGAACTTTCAGATGTGATTCTCATGAAAAGGAAAAAAAAACTCACATTTTATAAACAAAATAACGAGATATTGGAGGAAACTTGTGTATGTCCTATTAGAAAAGTTCAAGGATTTGTGTTTGAATATTCTAGAGGAATCCGATTTTGTTTTGGATCTGAAAGTGTGAAATTTGAAAAATTAGGCTTATTATGTGAGACTAATCAGTGAGATTGGGTTTATCTGCGGACCAAAAAAATTCAAAAGTTGTGAAATTTTCAAAAAGAATTAGAATTGTTGGATTTGATACGAAGGCAAATGCACAACCAGATGCGTCAACAATGGCTGCAACCATGTCGAATTCTTCATTATGATTCATTGATTATCTAACCTGGTTAGAGTGTAAGTAGCCTGTTACTGCCAACACTCGATCCACATATTTGAAATGTAAGCTGGACTTGATATTTATTTTAACTTTTTTTGAAATAGAATATATATTGTGTGCAGGGTGTGATAAAACAAATATGCATGTGAATTAATAACCAAACCACACAAGAATCATGAGTTTATTTACAAAAAATTAAGCCGGTCGGAACTTAGATCTAAAATAATTAACCCAGCTCGAGCTTGATAGTAAGCACAATCATCAGAGTTGGCTCAATCTTGTAGTAGCAAGTCTACTGTGATTGGTGACATTGCATGGTCAAAACGAAATGGAGAGACATTCGTCTATCCAACCCACTACATCTTAACAAAGCACAATTCTCTCAACAACCCAAAAAAAATAAAAATAAAGCACAATTAATCTGACATCCCAAGAGGTCCAAACCACTTGGAATGGAAGGATGATTGGTAAGATAGCAAGACCAAAATCAGCACCAACAAGAAGGCAACACCCCACGGTGAGCCTGAGCCACCACCGCCCCTGGCTGGTTGAGCTGGCACACGCTGTGGATGTTGGGACCGAAAGCTGAACCATCCAATAGAAGGGGCCGAAGAACATGAAGCTACCACAAATATCAACAAAATAGGCAACACCATTAGGAGGAGCTGGAAATTAAAGGCTGTGTGTTGCATTTGGGCCTTGTACTCTGTGTATTGAGAAAGCCATAGCAAGCCAATGACAATGGCAAAGATGGTGAGCAAATGCAGAGGTGGTGCAGAGATGGAGGCCAAGGTCTGGCAAGTCCACCCTTGTTTCCACTCTGGACCCCTCCTCCTCTTAGGGTAGAACCACTCCATCTTTGTCCTCTTTTTCACTCTTAATTCTCCTTACAACAACAATGTTTATATAAATAAGAATGAAAGGTGATTAGGGTTTGCCTTGCTCTTCACAGTAGGTTAGACTGGCTTTGGCATATATACTTTGAGTGTAGGCTTTGCCTGCCTCACAAACTTTTTACTTTGTACTAATATGCTCAGAGTCATGTGATTGATACCAAAATTAGCTTCTTAATTAAGGATGAGTCCATGGAATTCCTTTTTATCTTCCTTTATTCTTCAATTTTAGTTCTTAGCTTTCCATTTGCCAAAGATATATTTTATTTATTCAATTATTTTCGAGTATTACGGCGAAGGCAGTTATTTTTAATTACCAAATTCACTATGAGATATGAGAATTGAGAAAATGAGAGGACCCCTTGATGTTGATTTCATTATGAGAGAGGACCCTTTTGTTCAAAATGTTTTAAGCTTAAAATGACTTGTATTGCTCTAGTGTCCACCAGACAATAAGTGGCCCATGGAAAATGGATAGAAGATATTTCCTATCTTTATGGAGGGAGGAAAACTTAAAAAATGACCACACAAAAAGAAGGAAAAATAAAAAAGAGGAAAAAATCCGTATGATAGACTGGCTCATACATTTGTTACAACAAAGCTTCAAACTCAAAGTACCTTCGCATGGCCCTTTATTTGATCCTGGTGCCGAAACAACCATAATCAAGCTGCAACTTTCTTGGCTGTTACGGAATTGATGATGATAGCGAATTCAGGACCCTAGGTGATGAAAACTCAACTTGTTAGTGTCATTTGCTAAAAAATTACAAACCAAAAACAAAAAGGTTCTAAACCACATAGTACTCTCAAGGCAAATAATTGTGGTAGTATACCTTTAAGGAAGCACCACCAACGAGAAAACCATCAATATCTTCCTTCTTTGCAAGCTCAGCAGAATTGCCCCCATTTACAGACCCTGAAATTGGATCCCAATTTAGTTACAACTCTACCGGATGTCAGATAATCACTGAGAGCTAAGACTAGAATATCCCAACTAGCCGAGCACTGAGCAGAATCATTATGTTCAAATGATTCTACGACAAGGGTCGAGGTTGGATGTTTCTAAAGTTCTTTACATCTTACAGTTAAAATTCATAGATGATGCCATTATTGCCAATATATTAACATGAATTGGCCTCCTTGACCTATTTTAAGAACATGCATGAGTTCTTTCTGTTGCTTAATCAGAGAGGTGAAATTTGTAAGAAACTGACGACCAGTCAAAAAAAGTTGCAGGAAACAAGCTACCTCCATAAATAATTCTTGTTTTGGATGCAACTTCTGGTGACACATTCTTTTTTAGCCAATCACGAACAGCTACATGTACTTCCTGAGCTTGTTCTGGACTGGCCACTTTACCAGTTCCAATGGCCCATACAGGCTCATAAGCAATAACTATATTATCCCAGCTGGGTACCGCATCTGCACATAATAGATAAATTAGTGTTATACACAACAGACAAGCCATTCATCTTGAAACAGGACTCCAAAATTGGCTGCACAATCATGAAAAAGAAAAAGCATTTAGAAGTTACCTGCAAAAGCCTTCAGTTGCTGAAAGCAGATGTCAAAAGTTTTCCCTGCTTCCCTTTCTTCTAGCTTCTCACCAATGCAAGCAATAACTCCAAGACCCTCATTCAAGGCATAGGCAGCTTTCTTTCCTATAAACTGCAATTAATAAATTTCAGTTACATTTTGAATACTTATCATAGATCAGAATATACACTAATCATTTTCTCTAGAGACCTTCATAAAAATTTAAAGAAATATTTGGAACATTCACCTGATCATCTTCCCCAATTACATGCCTCCGTTCTGAGTGTCCAAGAATAACCCATGTGGCCCCAATATCCTTCAATTGTTCAACGCTGCAAAATGGAAATGGTAATTATCGTAATTATATGAGTTCTAAACTGAAAATGAAACCATAACAGAACTATGAGAGGCATATGTCAACTCAGAGCTTATATATACTACTATTACAAGATCTGTTTTGGATATTTACGCCAGAATCTTGAAAGGACCACTCATTGTCCTTGCAGAACAATGAACAAATAACCTTTTTGAAATTGATGCCAAATTCAAACAGGATTCTTACAATGTTTGAGAAACAGTTTTCAAGATTTAATTCTAGAGTAGCTTCGAAAGGGAGGAGGGAGCGCAGAAATATAAACTATGAACCTACTACCCAGCAAGTTTAAGATAAGTCGTAATGAGAATAGTCTCCAATCAAGACAACTAAAGATAAATTTGTAATAGCAAGATGAAAATGTATGTATCTGTGAAGGACAAACTACTAAGAAATTTAACAAGGCAGAGTAAACAAACCTGATTTCTCCCGTGAAAGCGCCACCTTTTCCAACCCAAGAATTTTGACCAGATATTTCAATACGATCTGTTAACGAGTTCTTCACCTGATCGATGTAAAGAAATGGTGGTGCAACAACAACATCTGTACATATCATAAGAAAATCAAAAGTTAAAAACACTATAAATTCATATTCTTCAATGATATATAAATGAGATCAAAACAAACTGACTTTTACACAAATGACTCCATTCTGTAACTACAAAGTAACATAGCGGACTTCCCACCCTTAACCACCTATGCCCACCACCTTTTGGCACATTGCATACAGTTCCAAGTTTCTTCCGTAGCTACAATTATATCACTGCCTTCTTTTCTAAATAAGTCATATACACTCAAACTTATTGATCAATTCCAGACACGCAGAGTTCCCTTCCCACCAGATTTTGGTCATTCATCATGTATAATGTATTGGCAAGACTAAAGCAATCTAGTAAACCTACTGCAAATTGAAACAGGTATATACTGAAGATCAAACGTAACATTATCTCACCAACATCTGCTTCCAATTTGGAACTGTTCAAGTCAGAGACTAGCTTGCTGATAGAGTCTTTTGTGCCATTCTGAATGAAACAGCAAAGATGAAAACGTCACAAGAAGAACTGAGCCATCTTAAGAGTTTGATCGCGTATATATCTTCAATATCCAACAAAAAGCAGGCTAAGAAAATACATTACAGAAAACAGATTCTACAGAGTTTTAAATACTTACTTGTAAAATATATACCATTGGAAGTAACACTTGATCAACAAAAAATTTTAAATTTTAAATAGAATTGAAATTTCAAGGGCAGTGGTGCGCTGGATTTATGTTCGGAAAAAAAAAATTTGGTTCAAAGGTGGTAGCTTTCGAAAGATGATATAATGAAACTTCAAAATTGAGAACGTGTTTGAGTGGAAATGTTCTGAGCATTTCAGCCCCTTTGCTCTATGAAGGAAGCAAAAAAATTCATTTAACACAAAGAGAACAATTTACTAGAGGTAGTGCAAACAGACATTGCAGTCAAAAGAATACTTACACACTTCCAGTTTCCACCAACAAAGAACTGCAAACACAACAAAAGATACAATTAATTACAAAAAATATATATATACCAAAGAGGAGAGAATCTATAAAATATCCAGAAATTTCTAGTGAAGAACAATCGCATTCTGAAACTAAGGATAATTTCAGCATTTTCTTAATACCTTTAATCAATTGAGATCCAAGATTTTTCCTTTCATTTCCACATTTTCTCGGGAAACCAAACAAAAACAAGGAGAGATAAAAACAAGGAAGTTCGAATAAATAACAGACCTTTCCAGTGCCGGCCATGGCGACGATGCCTCTGGAGGCTTTGCGGGAGGAGGAAGAGAGGCGGAGCTGGGAGTGAAGGTGTTGGAAGAGGGAGAGAGACTGGGTGTGGTCCAACTTGGAGCACGATCGTCGCAGACCGGAGTAAGAGGAGACGGATTTAGGGCCAGAGAGTTGGGAAGCGAGAGATGTGGAGGCCACCGACATGCCTAACTCAGTGAGTTGGAACTTCCGAGTTTGGGTTTGCTTGCTCTGTGTTTTACTTGTTTTTCACGAGTGAGAGAGTGAGTCACTGAGAGAAAGAGGGTGGGTTTTATGGTAACCAGAAGGATTGTTAGGATAGGAGGGATGGATGGTTCACGCTGTTATTTAGAACGTCAAATGCACGCGATTTTTCCCCTTTTTTCTTCTTTTTAATTTTTTAAAAACTTTACCAACCAACAATCTAGGGTTTGGTTTTTTTACTGATTGTTTGTTTGTCAGGTACCAACCAAACGATCACCTACCCTATTCCTACCAAAAATTTGCCAACGGCTACGATTCCCTCATTGTTGGTTGCCCTCGTGGCTTTTCCTTGTAATTTTTTATTTAATACAAAAAATATATATAATTCTATTCAAATTTACTTGATACATAAGATTTATAAACCGAAACATATCTAAAACTAATCTCGAAACATTCTACTCAAATTATTTCCTCAACAAGTGAGTGAGACATGGTATTTTCCTTCGTTGCCAATAAATAAATAATTTTATTCTTATGTGTAAGAAAATTATTGTGAAAACCTACCCCCTTGTATAAAAACCAAGAATTAAACATAGGTTTCATCTGAAAAGAACATAGGTCTCATCTATGATGACATTCTTTGGCTATTCAAACCTATATAGGAACACTCCACCATTAGTGAATTATTATAATAATAAGTAGAGCAACTGTTGCCCATTCATTTTCTATGTTTCTACTTCAGAAATGATGACACAAAATAATAAGATAATATTATATTAAGGGTCGATGAAAATTGATTTCTGACTTTATTAGAAACATCCCTAGTTGAAGTTGATTAATTAGAAACATAATTAACCAATTCCTACAACTGAACTCTTTGGCTCACTAGAACACAAAGACAAACGTTTATTTTGATTTGAAAGTGGTTTAAAACCTAGTAAGAAAGGGCTGGGAGAGTCTTGAGGTTTCAGTACAAACTAAGAAACGGTTAAGAAAACAGTTGAGATAATAAGGTCAAGTTAGCCGCTTTATTTGTCTTTCATTAAGCATTTGTTGGTCAAGCATGCCAAAGAGACAAAAAGCATATTCATTTTGGATCAATTTCGGTATCGTTGCATCATATTATGCACCCAATACACACAGACATGCACTCAAAATACACATACATGTATATACACGAGCTTCGGTTCAATGACGAACAATATATGGTCTCCACTCTTTCAAAGTCCATCTTGATTTCAAATCTCATAAACGAGAATGACAGTAGTTGAATTAGTAAGGATTCCGCTAATGAAGCAACTGCAATTATATTGAGAAATCTACGGCATAGAAGGCTCTCTGGCCAATTTTCACCATTCACTCCTAGTCTAGGGTTGGATGCTAATCGTTTTATCCGTTTATCTAATTTGTGGCTTTCATTGGACATTTCCTTTCTATTCATGCCCATGAAATGAAAGCAACCCCCTCAAAATCCCTTTCAGCAATTTAGTCCAAAAGTTTTCACCAATCACAGCCCGTGACATCATCACGTATTGGCCTTTTTGGACCTTCAGGATTATGACATAGTTCGTTTTTATAAGAAAAGATCTCCAGATTCGTCTGGAGAAAATGCAACACTTTGTAACTACAGACGCTCATCCGGCTTCTCTGCCAAGAGATCTCACAGGCTCTCACTTTACTAAGACGTGATAAGTCTTATCTCTTACACCATACAGTCTACAATTTCATGCTTTAAATTTACGTCCGACATCATATCCGTGTACAGTCGGACGTATTTTTATACTCAGATCAGATGCACTTTCAGTGAAAAATTGATTGGTGAGAAGGAACAGAAATGAACATTGTATTATTTCATCTCAGTCATCTCCACGACTCAATACAAAAGAATCCCTAAAAATCCTAGTCAGCAAATGCCATTGAACAATAGTATCGCGGGTTCCACACCAAAGGATCAGGCCCGGGTCACACAAAATTTCGAAGGATTTGGAATTGGCAAGCATGTTTTCTCATGGTAACCTTTTCGAATCCTAGTCAGCACTTCTGATCTCCTGCTCACTATTGACCATTGAAATTTGTGGCCACCAACTGTTTGATCAAATGAGCCTTAGACTCCCATGGGATACAAAACAACAGAAACCTACCTGATCCAATCTTTTCTAGCACTCTCTAGCTAGCTACAATGGCCACACCCTCAAACACCAACTTTAACTCCCATAACTCAGGAAAACAGAGCATTAACCAAAAAGCTTTAGCTGCAGAACAGTTTCCCTGGTGGTTTTCACCAGAAACAGGAATTTACCAAAGCAAACACCTTTCCATTGACCTCCCATCAGACGCTTTTCTTGATATTGTCTCCTTCATTTTCTCACACCAGCATGATGGGGTTTCCTCAGCTCTCATTGGTTCCTCTTGTGGGTCTGCAATATCTTACTCACAGCTCTACTCTTCTGTCAAGTCCATGGCCTCTGGCCTCCAGCAAATGGGAATCTCACAAGGTGATGTTGTTTTGCTTCTTTTGCCAAATTCCATTTACTATCCCATTGCTTTCTTGGGTGTTTTGTACCTTGGTGCTATTGTCACAACCATGAATCCCCTCAGCAGTGTAGCAGAAATCAAGAAACAGATTGCTGATACCAAAGCATGTCATGCTTTTACTGGACCTGAGAATGCTGATAAATTACAAGCATTGGGCATTCCTGCAATTTTGGTTCCAGAAAATGCACTTTCGGGTTCTTCAAAGGACATTTTTTCAGTTTTTTACAAGCTTATTTATAGTAGGTGTTATTTGGCTCTAAGGCCAGTGATTAAGCAGCAAGACACTGCTGCAATAATGTATTCGTCCGGGACTACTGGTGTAAGCAAAGGTGTTATGATAACACATAGGAATTTCATTGCTACAGTCGTCCATTTTGTGCGTTTTGAGGCTTCGCAGTATGAGGCTTCAAGCTTGGATAATGTGTATTTAGCTGTTCTGCCATTGTTTCATATCTACGGGTTGTCACTTTTCGTGATGGGGTTGTTGTCTTTAGGATCTAGAGTTGTTGTGATGAAGAGATTTGATGTCAATGAGGTGATCAGGGCAATTGATACGTATAAAGTTACACACTTCCCAGTTGTTCCACCAGTATTGACAGCATTGACAAAAAGAGCCAAGGATGGCTTGGCCCCTCATAGCCTCAAGAGTTTAAAGCAGGTTTCTTGTGGTGCAGCTCTGTTGAGCATGAAAACCATAGAGGACTTTGCTCAAACCTTTCCTCACATTGATCTCATTCAGGGCTACGGCATGACTGAGACCACCGCAGTAGGAACTCATGGTTTCAACACCGAAAAGCTTAGGAAACCCTCTTCAATAGGGCTTTTAGCTCCAAACATGCAAGCTAGAGTGGTGGACTGGAACACTGGATCCCCTATGCCTCCAACAAGTACCGGTGAGCTATGGCTACACGGACCGGGGATTATGAAGGGCTACTTGAACAATGCCAAGGCAACATTGTCAACAATTGATGAAGAGGGCTGGCTACACACTGGAGACATTGTGTTTTTTGATGAAGATGGATACTTACATCTACAAGACCGCTTAAAAGACGCGATCAAATACAAGGGCTTTCAGATTGCTCCTGCAGATTTAGAAGGTGTGCTGATCAACCATCCTGAGATACTTGATGTTGCTGTGGCAGGTGCCATGGATGAAGAAAGTGGAGAGGTGCCTGTGGCTTTTGTGGTGAGGAAGCACAGAAGTGAACTAAACCATGATGCTGTCATGGATTTTGTGGCTGCACAAGTTGCTCCATACAAGAAGGTCAGGAAGGTGGTGTTTGTAGATTCAATTCCAAAGTCTCCAGCTGGGAAGATCCTAAGAAGGGAGCTTAGGAAGTTTTTGAATTCTAGACTCTAGGACAAGTTCAGATTGTCTTCTGGTTTTTGTAGTGGGGTTTTATCACATTTTCTAGGGAAACCAAACAAAAACAAGGAGAGATAAAAACATGGAAGTTCGAATAAATAACAGACCTTTCCAGTGCCGGCCATGGCGACGATGCCTCTGGAGGCTTTGAGGGAGGAGGAAGAGAGGCGGAGCTGGGAGTGCAGGTGTTGGAAGAGGGAGAGAGACTGGGTGTGGTCCAACTTGGAGCACGATCGTCGCAGACCGGAGTAAGAGGAGACGGATTTACGGCCAGAGGGTTGGGAAGCGAGAGATGTGGAGGCCACCGCCATGACTGACTCAGTGAGTTGGAGCTTCCGAGTTTGGGTTTGCTTGCTCTGTTTTTTTTACTTGTTTTTCACGAGTGAGAGAGTGAGTCAGAGAGAGAGAGAGAGGGTGAGGGTGGTTGGGTTAACCAGAAGGGTTGTTGAGCAACTCCACCCATTTGCCCTTAGCCATGGCAAGGGGGGGAGCTAGGGCAGCCACTATTCACGTGAATAGTGGTTGCCCTTGCAAAATCTGAATTTTGTGTTTCCACCCGTTGCCCTTGCTAAGGGCAGTTACTATTCATTTTTTTATTTTATTCACAATTTTTTTTACCTCAATAATTAATTTGGATAATATTTTCGGATAAGATTTTCGGGTTCCTACGTGTCAATACTATTCATATCTCATAATCGGATAAAATTTTCAATTTCAAATTTCAGATAAATTATATAAAAAAAGGCTGGTATTTATAGAAAAAAATTCATTAATTTTTGGGTATTTTTAAAAAAAAATTTCGAATTTTTTCCAGTATTTTATTGCAAAAAAATTGGCTGCCGTTGGATTGGAGGAAAAAATCAGATCGGAGAGCCCAGACGACGCCACGTGGCAACAGGAAAAAAAATCAAATCAGCGAAGTACTGTAGCGATACTGTAGCGGGGTACTGTAGCAGATACTGTAGCGCTACAGTAACCCCCCTCGTTTTGGACCTCGGGTAAGACTTGCCTTCGGGCCAGCCCGAGGAGGTGGGTCCCACACCCCCCCCGGGCCTGGGCTGCTCCGCTGGAAAGCCATTTTTTTTTCCCCCCCCTAGCCTTGGGCTGGGCTGCAACGGTGGAACCACTCTTAGGATAGGAGGGATGGATGGTTCACGTTGTTATTTAGGACGTCAAATGCACCCCATTTTTTTCCTTTTTTTTATTTTTTTATTTTTTTTAAAATTTTTTTTTACAAACCAACAATCTAGGGTTTGGTTTTTTTACTGGTTGTTTGTTTGTCAGGTACCAACCAAACGATCACCTACCCTATTTCCTACCAAAAATTTGCCAACGGCTAGGATTCCCTCATTGTTGGTTGCCCTCGTGGTTTTTCTTTGTAATTTTTGCCTTTTAACACCAAAAAAATATATAATTATGTTCAAATTTACTTGATACATGAGGTTTATAAACCCAAACGCATATAAAACTAATCTCGAAACATTCTACTCAAAATTTTTCCTCAACAAATGAGTGAGACATGATATTTTCCTTCGTTGCCAATAAATAAATAATTTTATTCTTGTGTAAAAACCAAGAATTAACATAGGTTTCATCTGAAAAGAACATAGGTCTCATCTGAAAAGAACATAGGTCTCATCTATGATGACAATCTTTGGCTATTTCAAACCTATATAGGAATCCACCATTTGTGAATTATTAATAACAAGTAGAGCAACTGTTGCCCATTCATTTTCTATGTTTTTACTTCAGAAATGACGACACAAAATAATAAGATAATATTATATGGAGGGTCGATGAAAATTGATTTCTGACTTTATTAGAAACATCCCTAGTTGAAGTTGATTAATTAGAAACATAATTAACCAATTCCTACGACTGAACTCTTTGGCACACTAGAACAGAAAGACAAGTTTTTTTATATTTGAAAGTGGTTTAAAACCTAGTAAGCAAGGGCTGGGAAAGTCTTGAGGTTTCAGTACAAACTAAGAAACAGTTGAGATAATAGTTAGCCGCTTTATTTTGTCTTTCATTAAGCATTTTTGGGTCAAGCATGCCAAAGAGACAAAAAAGCATATTCATTTTGGATCAATTTCGGTATTGTTGCATCATATCATGCACCCAATAGACACATACATGTATATACACGAGCTTCGGTTTAATGGCGAACGACATATGATCTCCTCTTTTTTGAAGTCCATCTTGAGTTCAAATCTCATAAACGAGTACAACAGTAGTTGAATCAGTAATGATTCCGCTTAATGAAGCAACTGCAATTATATCGAGAAATCTACGGCATAGAAGGCTCTCTGGCCAATTTTCACCATTCATTCCTAGTCTTGGGTTGGATGCTAATCATTTGATCCGTTTATCGAATTTGTGGCTTTCATGGGCATGAATAGAAAGGACATTTCCTTTCTATTCATGCCCATGAAATGAAGGCACCCCACTCAAAATCCCTTTCAGCAATTAAGTCCTTCAAATGTTTTCGCCAATCACAGCCTGTGCCATCACGTATTGGCCTTTTTGGACCTCAACTCAAAGATTCTGGATTATGACATAGTTCGTTTTTATACGAAAAGATCTTCAGATTCGTCTGGACAAAATGCAACACTTTTAACTACAGCAGCTCATCTGGCTTCTATGCCAAGAGATCTCACAGGCTCTCACTTTACTAAGACGTGATAAGTCTTGGTCTCTTACACTATACAGTCTAAAATTTCATGCTTAAAAATTATGTCCAAAGTCATATCCGTGTACAGTCGGACGTATTTTTATAATCAGATCAGATGCACTTTCAGTGAAAAATTGATTGGTGAGAAGGAACATAAATGAACATTGTATTATTCATCTGAGTCATCTCCATGACTCATGAGTAGATTTCCCCTTATTCACCTTATTCATGACAATATTTCCCCTTATTCACCTTCACCCTCAATACAAAAGAATCCCTAAAAATCCCTGCAGCAGCTTCTATCCGCTACAGCTAGATGCAAAAGCCACAATAAACCACATACACTGTTTTCACATTTTCACTGAATAAAATAATGTCTTTCTTGAATATCAAGACTGCTATTTACAACAAAAAATACATATTCCTGTGGACTAGATAACCCTATCTTGTATATTTCCCTACTGCAATATCAGTGTCTAAACATGCTAAGAAAGAGAATATGGAAATCCATTCAACGCCCCATACCTTGCTAATGAAAACCAACCAACATCGTTTGCCACCTTAATGCAAGAAGACACCTGCAGAAAACAAAATCTTTATATCTAGTACTAACACCATAAGCATTCTGCCACAATATATACAGCAGTTTAGTTCAGAGCTATGCCGCATGTTCAAGCAACCTTAAAAAACAGTTCACTAAAATCAAACAAATGGAGCACTTTGTTGACGTTATTGAAGAACAAAATGACCCTGCCTTGTTCTGTACTTTGTTACCTTTTCTCTTTTTAGTCATCAGCTTTTGTGCCACCAACTACGCTATTAGATGAGCTATCCTGTACACTACGAGAAGAAGAACATCTGCTTGAAGAACTCCCTTCTGTAACCTTGATTTCCTTCCTCGCTGACTTCTGAGATTTTCTTCGTACTGATGATAAATCCTACAAAACAATCAAATTACGTCAATAAGGACTGAACTGTCATAGCCCCAAAAGGTAAGATAAAGCCAACAAGCTCCATTATAATTTTATTAAACATGATTGAAAAGCTTTATATCATTCTTTAAACAACTTAGAAGGCTACAACTGACCTGATCAGTCATAGATCCAGGAGTTTTCAATTCTAGTTCTGTCATAACATCATTTGAATCCTCACTTCTGTCAATTTTACTCTCCCCAGATAATTTGTTCCTGGAATCTTGTTTGCCTGAAACACGAGACCGACTTCCTGGATGCACTACTGGCGATACATATTGGGTGGACTGCTGTTCAACCAGAGTATTAGGAGTAACATATGGAACAAAAGTTGAACAGGGGTTAGGAATGACCCCAGGATTCTGATTTGGGAAATAATGGTATGGCTGCATATGTGGATGCATGGGAATTGGACCTGGAGGCATTGGCATTGGCATTGGCATTGGATATGGATATGAAGGTGGGGCCATTACAACTGAGTGATCCATAGCACCCCAAGGGAACATAGCCCTGAGTCTCTGCTGATACTGAGCATTAAGGTTCTCAATGTCAGATTTAAGAGATGCCTTCTCTTCTCTGAGATCATTTTTCTCATGTGTCAACTGTTTATAAACAAAATAGTGATTAGATGCCCTATAAAAGAATCCAGCATTGGGCATAGTTCACCAGGATATAAAAATAAATAATAAATAAAACACTAAATCACCTCGCGAGACTCTTCGGTTAGTGAAGCACAATTAGCTTTAAGTTTGTCTACTTCCGATGTCAAATCCTTCAGCACTTGAATTGTATCAGCTAAAATGGTTGCTTTGTCATTTTTGGGTCTGTCTGGATCTGCGTTTTAGAGTAACAAATGTAAATCAATACAAAAGTGTGGGATATTCATGTATCCAGCAGTTATACAGGAAAATCCATAAACGTGCACCATAATGAAAGTTGCAAGCAGTTATACAGGAAGAATACTACACATTAGTAAGTTGAAGTAAGTCCCATAAACCAAAAGAAGGAACTTGTGCAAATATGCAGTGGCGCAAGGAATTTTCAAATGCAACTCTATATAACGTAGTGGCAGATAAATCGTGTCATATGGCACTCAGCTCCATAAGGACATTCAAACATAAACAATCTACTCATGCACAGTACTATAAAGAAATGATACAAACATAAGACAATAAGATTTGACAATAGAAATAGTTGTAGATGCCAACATCTCTATCTATGATATCTATGCCAAAGAGGTAGCCAAAGCCCATATGATAAATGGAGTACCTAAAAGATATAAAATCCAAAAACAATAGAGTATGAACAATTCAATTGTACCTAAAACATTCCCCAACTCAAGAAACTGCTCGTTCAGTCGATCCCTCCTCAACTTCTCCCGGTCAGCCTTCTGAATCTTTCTGGCAGTTAGACAATCCTTAGTTTCCCCTTCAGGCCTTTGGCTGCAAACAGTAATCCATCACAGATTGACTAGAGGGTAACCACCAATTCTGGTGTGCAAGAAAGTCAACTATTGAGAAGGCATTGTGCACACATTGATTTGATAACTGGGTTCACAAACTTCACATCATAGAATTTGCACACAACAAAACATACAATGTCCCATTAAACCATTCTCTAAATTAAACTTTTAAATGTGTTTAGCCACAGTTCTCAATTTGATTGTAAGCCCATTTACACTTAAAAATGCATATGAACCTTGAGACAAAACAAAAATTATTCATAATTAGCTCAATCAGAAACAAACATTTACACTGAAAAATGCACATGAACCTTGAGACAAAACAAAAATTATTCATAATTAGCTCTATCAGAAACAAACCCAGAAATGATAACACCATAAATCCAAGACTCAATCGTTTTAATTGGACCCCCTGGTGATAAAATGCCAAAATATACAAAATTTAACAAACAAAAAAAACCAGAGATAGAAAGAGCACGACGAACCTTGAATTGGGTTGGGAGCGGCCGGAGGGAGTGCGGGAATCGGGAGGGGGCTGAGGAAATTCTATGGCGGAAGGAAATGGAGGTGGCGCAGATTGGATGAAGCCTTCGTGTTTGAGCTGCTGACCCATGAGAGCCTACGCGAATTATCTGGTGGAAGAAGATGAACATGTAGCCATCTACGACTTGCGAATTGCAACAGCGAATAGGTTTCTCAGGTGTCGTAGAAGTGGTTACGTAACTTACGATGCGCGAATAGGTTTCTCAGGCGTCGTTTTGTGCTTCCTTGGTGAAGGACGCTGTCGTTCGGAGTTAGAGTTACCGGTATTTTGATCCTTTTTCGCTTTTTTGTTTTTGTTTTTGTCCAAATGTATTTTATTTTGACTGATTTATAGGATGATGGTAGGTATTTTATTTTGACTGATTTATAGGTGTTTTATTTTGACTGGTTTATGAAAAATAACTAGGTATGTTTGGGATTGCTTCCAAAATGTTAAATTACACTTTCTAACAACCAAAATTGTTTTTAAAGCATATAACCACGTGGCTATACTCTTTTTTTTTTCTTTTTTTTTTAAAAAGGGCAGCCTAGTCACTAAGTGGTTCCTTTTTTTAAATATAATAAATAGTATAATTTTCATGTATTATATACTTAATTTTTTTAATAAATAGTAAATATAATATTTAAAGAGTATAGGCTAGCCACACGGCGATTGTACTATAGTGGTTTTTTAATTAATAATGCCACATTGATATACTCTTAAAAAAATCAGCCACGTAGTACTAGGCTAGTCTTTTTAAAAATAAAAATAATAGTATAGCCACGCGGCTATTTTGTGATCCTTTTTAAAAATTTTTAATAAATAGTATAGCCACTTAGGGGTGGGCATCTCATCCAATTTATCCGCGTGCCGACCGTACTGTACCAACGGTTTGGTTTGATTTGGTTAAATAATTATTTTTTTAATTTTAATTATTCCGATCCGATTCGTACCGAGATATTTGGTTTGGTTAACGGAACAATATTTCTAACCCAACGAAAACCCGTATCGATCCGATATTTATACTTATTTTATTATTTAAATACAAAACAAGAAACTAAAGATAAATACAATAAGCACGTTGTATCACTCATTTATCACTGTTGTATCATTTCTTTATCACAATTGTATCACTGCTTTATTACCATTCTATCACTTTTTTATCACCATTGTATCACTGATTTATCACCATTCTATCACTTCTTTATCACTCGGCTACTGTAGCATTTTTTGGTCAAAGATGAATTTATGAATTTCCTATGTTTTTCAGTTTCGACATTTGTCCCCTTTTTTACCTGTAACTTTCCAACCGTTGATCCAAATTTTATTTTCTTTATATAGTTGGATTCAACATGAAAAACTAAAGAACCTCACGCAAAACAAATGTCAAAGTCATTTACATAAATATAGAGAATTTAGTAAAAATAACACTCAAATGTTCAAACAACAAACACAAATGGCTCCCATTACATCTTGAGTATATATTGAATGATATAGTGACTAAGTTATTTGATTTCATACTTGGATGAATTAGACTATTGGATTTTTATATTTTTCAAGGATAATTTGGTGTATTTGTTTAAGAACTTATGTTATGTGAAAGTATTATAAATTGTATTTTTATTAGGATGTTTTTATTACGGTACTACCAGCATACTGAATCAATTCGAATTGAATATTAGGTTAACTTATCCGAAGTCTACCGAAGTCTTTAGTTTGGTTAACGGAAAAGAAAATGGTCTACCGAAGTCTTTGGTTTGGTTAACGGAAGAGTCTTCTACCGTTCCGAACCGATCCGTGCCCAGACCTATAGCCACTCATGCACTTATAATATTTTTTAAAAAATTAAATAAAAAAATTAATCTATGGTCTAGATATTATTAGGCGGATCCCGTTTTTTAAATAAATAGAACAGTTGGGCGACTATATACTGGGGTCTTTTTTTATTTTTATTTTTTATATAATAAATAGTAAATATAATATCTTTAAATAATATACTCTTCATATAAAGTGTTGTTTGAAAAGTGAAGCAATTACCAAGACCACTCCAACTTAATATGCAATTATGTACGACAAATAATATGTGCAGTAACATCTATAATAATGTTGTTTGGCTTTACAAACATATAGTTCTCATAGACTTTCTAACAACCAAAAGTGTTTTCAAGAAGCACTTGGTACCTTAATAAAAATTTGAATACATTTGATACTTGTTTTGTTCATGAATTGACTTTCTCGTATAATTAGATTAATATTTTGTTTAAGTATTTAATTTATTAATTTAATTTTATTATATTAGCTTTCTTTTTCATATTTGTTAATATTTTTAAAGTTTCACTAAGTTATATTTTTTTTATTCGAGCAATAATTACAAATATTTTAAATTAATCTAATTTACAGTATTAGGGTTCAAACTTGAGTACAAGAAGGTTTACTTACTGCTCTAATTAACTGGCTTAACCCATTTATGTAGCTGCTATTATCTCTAGTATTCTATTTTGGGATAGGTAGATAAATTAAAATGTTATGTATCAAACCTAAATAATTAAGATCTAGTTACCTCACACAATTAATTAAGATATTAAAAAAAAACAATTGAGTATATCAAATTTAATTTAATTAATTTTTTTGGTCAAATAATTTAATTAGTATTCAATAAAAAAAAAACCATTAACACGATCCGAAACTCCGAATACACATCTCACAGACAATTCCATGCTCACTTTTGATACGAGACTTGTCGTCCTAAAATTAACGCGAAAGAAAATCAAAACGACGACGTCACGTCAATTTGTGTCCTAAACACAATTTCCAGTATTTTTATATATTTATTATTCCTATTAATTAATTTAGAACCACGATAAATTCTGAATATCGTCGTCATTTTTGACCCATAAACAGAAGCTTAATAAGTCCCTGCTTCGGCACTGTGTCGAAACCCACGCGTTCCTCACTACAAACAATCCACACCAACTCCACCTAAAATAACCAGAGCTCGCACCCATGGAGACCAAGGCGATTAGGGTTTTTCTCTTCGCTCTCCTCCTCATTGCAGCCCCTTTCCTCCAAGGTCTCTTTCTCAATTCCCAGATCTAGATCTATTTTCTTTTTGTATTGTCTCATTCATTTCGTCTGCTGAAATATGATTTTATGCATCGAAACAATTTACTGGCTAGTCTATGGTGGTTACATGCTGGGTTTGACTTTGTTGATCCATGCAAATGAGATCTGATTCGATTGCCTTTCGTGTTGATCGATCATGCGCTTTCAATTCGATGTTACATTGTTTTATTGGTTTGTGCTCGAATTTAAAATTTATTATTGATATGTTGCTTTGGGATGGCTTAGTTGAGTTTGTTGTTGACAATTTAATTAGTTGAAAGCGAAAATTCACTTTAAAAGTCGCCTTTTCAGCTAACATGCAATCGCTTTCGTGAGTTTTCTGAAAGCAACTTTATATTTGTTAATGAACTTTTTTTTTCCCATGCCTTTTCTGCCAAAACATATGTAATGCGTGCATGCTGGGTTAGATAAGCATAAGTTGGGTCTTGAGTTGAATTGGCAGTTTTAAGTGTGATCTACGTGTTTGATGAGGCTTTGCTGATTTAGATTAAGGATATTGGTAATGGTGGAATGCATGATGGTATTTACATGGATTTGATGTGACTTCGAAGCCGGTTGTACTGAATTTATGGTTCTTCCTCTTTATAGTCGCCAGGGGTCAGTCTGATTCGGAAGTGGATACTTCTGAAACCGTAGAAGAAAGCAGTGATCTCGGGATTGTTGGCGAGGATGTACAAGATTTTGGAGATGGAAATTTTAGCCCAGCTCCCGGTGTTGATACGATCTGTGTCTTCCCCAAAAACAGCGCTAAATGTGAGAATCTTATCAATATTGTACATAGAAAATTTGCCCCTTTTGTTTGGTTTTGAGAAGTGTGTTTTTACTTTGATCTCGTTTTTGCAGCGGTGACTGCAGGGGAAGAGACTGAACTACTGGTTGGACTGAAAAATGATGGTAATAAACATAAATTTTCTTATGTGATTGGACTCTCTCGTTGTCTGAGTGCAATGCAATGCTTTGTTCAAAATGTTTTTGTCACCTTTATGGTGTACTGTGTTGCCGCATCCCTTTGAAAGAGCAAATTCTGTTTGTGGTTGTGTTAGTGTACTTTTTTACTTAATTTTTCGCAAATGTTTAGAGCATAGCTTAGTTACTGTTTTGATGAAAAACCAGGGGAGTCAAGCTTGAATGTGATTGCAATCAAAGCCAGTGTCCATCTCCCTTTTGATCACAATCTGCTGGTCCAGAATCTTACTGCACAGGTAATTTTTGTTATGCTTAGTTTACATATCATTATATAATGATCTCCGGATTTGATTTTGTATAGGCGTGCTTCATTAGGAATTTTTTTTGTTTTTTAAACATGTTTTTAGAATGTAGCAACATTTTATGACGATTTGTCTTTTCTATTAAGTATTGAAGATAATTTGATTTCCATATTGCAGTATAATATCTTTTTATTGGCTTGCTTCTTGAAATATTGCTCTGTTGTTACGTGTAATTTATTTTACAAGTGAAGGATATGTATGTTTAGCAAATAATAGTTTGTTAGTATCACTATTTTCAACATTGGCTGGATATGCATGTGCAGCATAAGTTTGTTATACGAATATCTTATGGATCTTAATGAAATATCTTTTCATAACTGACTTGATAAAGATCATACCCGTCAATGCCTATTTTTTAGCACCCGACATCGGGCTTGAGATGTGGCGTCCATTCGTGTAATTTTGTAAAAATTCTTATCCTTCATTTGAATCTTAAGCGGATGAGGCTGATGATCAGATTGAATAGATGTTCAATGTTGCAAATATATTTTGAAGCTCAATCAAGAACATTGTGAGTGATGAGAGGGCAGTTTTGGTCTTTAAGTAGAAGATTCATGTTTTGCCCTATATGAGGCGTTGAACTGATTCATTTGAAAGTTTGGGTGCTTTATTACTTTGTGTTGTTTCGACATGGTTCATAACCAAAAGTTTATTCATTCATTTGTTTGTAAAGGGCATTACCATTGGGTTTGTTTTGTATTTTTCCTGCACCATTCTATACTTTATAGGTTGTAAACCCTGTCTCTTTAGTTTCATCTTGTGAATTTTGTGTTATGCTTTGCATTAAAATTGCTTATGGCTAATTTTTTTGGGTTATTTTGTCAGTTGTATTTAACAGTGTTGGTTTAATTGTAGACTTTTAACAATGGGTCAGTTCCAGCTTCGGCTCAGGCTACTTTCCCATACATATTTGCTGTCAGCAAGTTCTTGCAGGTACTTGCGTTCCTATGGAAGTTCTATACATTGCTATTTATTAACATCTGAAATTGCTCGCATTTGCAGTCATCTTTACTTTCAAACGCATTTAAATATATTGAGAGGTTCAAAAGTTATGATTGGCCTGAAGCAATTTATTTGTATTGTGCAGCCTGGAACTTTTGATCTTGTGGGTACCGTATATTATGAGATAGACCAGCAACCATACCAGAGCACCTTCTACAATGGTACCATTGAAGTTGTTGAGGCTGGTGCTTTCCTGAGCATTGAATCTGTTTTTCTTGTCACACTTGGATTTGCCCTTCTTGTCCTCCTTGGTCTATGGATTCATGGCCAAATACAACACCTTTCCAAGGTATTGAAACTTATTTGTGAGATAGTTTTATTGCTAACACACTCTTGAGATAACTATAAGAATACACGTATAATATCCCATGGGTATATATGCAATGATGAGAAAAGTCAGGAAAGCTCTTCAAATTTTATCCTTTCATCTCCTCATGGCTCTTAGTTCTCATAGTTATGTGTTTATTATAAACTTTGTTCGTTTTTCTCATAGCTCTGTTTTTTGTGTGTGTTTATGGTTAGAAAACTAAGAGGGCTCCCAAGGTGGAAGTTGGAACCAGGGCTACAGATGCATCAATGGATGAATGGCTTCAGGTATGCAGTTGATGCTGAATCATTGTACTAAAAAGTTTCCCACAGTTTCTTATCTGTTCACTTGTTTCACTAATTTTCGGATTTTGTGTTTCCAACTGTTCAAACGTGGGCTCTTACAATTCAAAACAATTTTAAAAAAAATAAAATTTAGATCTCTCGTCGACCAAGTAATGCCCTCATATAAACTTTAAAAGTTGTTATTCAAAACAAAAATATGTGTGTTTTAAATGAGTTGCTTCTTGGAGAGCTTCAAACGTGTGTTTATAACCTTAGTCTACATTTTGAATGGGGGGATTCAACTAAATTTTTTCATGTTGAGCTACAAGCATCTGTTCTTGTAATTTAGTATATGTTTAGAGTAAGTGGTTCAGCTGAGTGGCTTTAAGTTTACCTTCTATCTTGCTCATTATAAATCCAAGAATCGATCCTGATATGTTTCTCTTTGCTGCTTTTGATGATCAGGGAACTGCATATACTCAGTCACTCAACAAATCATCAAAGAAGAAGAAATAGATTACAGAATTTGGCGCAGTTCATCTGCACAAGACATTACAGTGAAGTGCAGACTCTTGTAACTCACGCTAGGAATATGGAGATATTTAAGAGAGGCGGAAAACTCGAGCTAGTTATGGAAATTGGACCAGAAAAAATGGAGAGAAAAAAAACGTGCCTTGGTGTTGTAGACTTGAAAGAATTTTTTACATTTCATTTTTAGAGATGAAGTTGAGAAGTAAAACTAACGCAGATTTTATGTTAGGAATCATACAATTTTGTTGAAGCTATACAATTTTTATTGAGATCTCTCATTTTGTTCCAAAATTTGCATGGATTTGGCTTACTTGTGGGTGAAATTAAAGTCGGTTTTCTGCTTCATATATCTTTGATGATATGCAAGACCGAATGAGGTTTTCTGGTGAGACTGCTGCAGCATGGAAGCTGAAATACGTGCAGCTACTTTCTGGTTTTCAACTATGGAATTTATGCAATGGTGGCAATACTTTGTTGTGAGAAATTTTATTTAATTTTTCTTTTTACAAAGCGGTATTCAACATGATCGAGATTTTATAGATGGTTTTTATAAAATTAGCGTCAGATTATGTCAGCTGTGTTTTAAGACAACATCCGATACATTGTCTGAAGTGGTGGTAAATTAGATCAATTAACGTTAGTTGGCCTGCCAAATATTAGGAACAATTGAGTTGAGTTGTCCTGACTGATGTGTCACGATCATGATTTTATGTTGCTCACCAATCTTGTCCTGACTGAACAGAATGAACATTTTATTGCAATAGTACCGAGGACTGTAAAAGAATTTCGCGTTTCAAACTTCGGGGCATAAAATGATATAGGTTTAGGATATAGGTTTACTTGATACGTGTGATACGTGTGGTTTACAAATGATCACGGGCGAATAGGTTGAACAGTCTTGTCACCTATTAAATTGTTCTAGCAACCAATTTGTTTTTGTTTTTTTGGGCCTTAAAAAAATTAAGGTGGGGACATTCCTTCGAGAACTTCTTCCATCTTGTTTTCACAAAGTAAAATTGATGGATCCGTCACTGCCAATAATTGTACGAATTCGAATTTGATCTTAAAAGGTGTGTTTGTGTAAAACGTTGTTATATCAGTTATAATATAACTTTTCGGTAAGTTTTCTGGTGGTGGTCCTTTACCTTATGTAACCTCATAATTGGCAAGTTTTCTCTTTTTGGCCTTCGAAGTTAATGACTTAATATTGTAAGATACCCATCAACTTACCTTTCCCACTGGTCTGATTGCTCTACTTTGAGCAGCCCCCTACTTTTTTGCCCATCTGCCCTTATGCTTCCGCAGTTTTGGAACCCCACCATCACGCGCATATGCAGTAAGTAACCAAATTTTTTATTATAAAAAAATACAAGCGATATTGGGGATGGGAAATTGAACATACGACCTCAGGTACAAGGGTGAATGCTCTTAATCACTTGAGCTACAAGTCCCTCTATAGAAACCAATTTTAAATTTGACAAAGAGAAAAATGGGTAGGCTGCAGGCTTCAATTCTAATTTCCAACTGCACCAGTCTCCCATTTTAATTCATTTTAATAGGCATATGATGAATGTGTGCACATTTAATAAACATGGACTTGGACTTGTGATATGATGAACTTAGCTGGTTTTTTGTAGTTTGAAATGATCACGTGAAGTAGATATGTACCTCAGATCAATCATGCAAATGCCACAATTTTTTTCTCCTTTTAGGCTTCCCAACTGCGAGAAATTAAAGCAACCCAATAAAACAAAATATGGGAGCAACAATCATATACAGAAAATACCTGTCTTTCTTCTTTCGAAAATAGAAACTCATACTTTCTTATCAATTATAGTTTGACGCGTGTGTGCTGAAATCTTTTTTAATGTATTTTTTATGAACTACTTTTGCATATACGGGACTTGTATTACCGTCGCCAAATTATCATGTGCAAGTAAAGGGTATGGATTGTTTTGGTAATTTAAACATGGGTCTGTGTAAAAAGGAGGGTATTAATGTGAGCTGAATGAGTAGGTTTTGACAGATAAGAACACAAAACTCATTAAGCTTCGCAGTTGGGAGGTCATTGAATGAAAGATAATGGCATGTAGGGGGGTGAAGCCGCACTGCACGTTACTGTCATTTTCTTCTCCCCTAAACGTAAGGTCATCTAAAAAGAGAGGGTCCCTAACCTCATGTGAAGCCCTTAACTTCAGTGTCGGTGTGCCTTTAAATCAAAACCTTAAGGACACTATATATAACAATGCTTGTAAGCTTGTAATACCATAAGCTTATAGAATTAAGCTGTTTTCTTTCCTTCCTATTCTTTGTTGGGGTGTGGTTCCCAATGAAGATTTTTACTCTCTGTCAAGAAGCACTTTTGCAGAAGTGCTTCTTGTTGTCTTTGCTTTTTGTGAGCTTTGTTATGCTGAACATAAGACAGTTGAGGTAGTTGGGGTTGGAGAATGTACTGACTGTGCTAAAAATAGCATTAAGACTAGCCAGGCCTTTTCAGGTACTATAATTCTGGTTGCATTTTTCTGTCTAAGTTGCTTAATACTCTGATGAATTTTTCATTTGCCATGCATTTCAAAATTTGATAGTGTTAAAAATTACCATGTATTAAATTGCTGTGTCCGTGTGAAACTTTAAAAAGGGTCAAAGAAAGTGACTGGTCCAGCTGGTTTGATACTGGGGAACAATTTCCTTTTATTAGGGAATTCTGTGGTTACTTGTTTGGCTCAGATGGTCCCTGATCATCAAGAGTTTTATCCCGTAACACAATTCTTGTAGCATCAAGGTTTATTTCTGCGGGACATATCACGCGGTAGAACACTTACACTAAACTCTCGCCTTCTCTCTTGAATAAAGAAAACAATAAAGGTTTATGCACAATTAGCATTGTCATTAACTTATTTATAATCAAAAGCACCTCTTTCAAAAATCTTTGATGAAGAAATACAATAAGTGACCTTTGTAAATTTCTTTTGCAGGTCTTCATGTGACAATTGACTGCAAGCCAGCAAATGGGCACTTCAAAACAAGAGGGTTTGGGGAGCTCAATGAAGAGGGAAAGTTCATGGTGTCCCTTCCCAAGGAGATTGTAAAAGAAGGAGATGATGAACTAAAAGAGGAATGTTATGCCCAACTTCACAGTGCATTGGCTGCACCTTGTGCTGCCCATGATGGCCTAGAATCTTCCAAGATAGTCTTCAAGTCCAAGACTAGTGAAGGAAAACAAACCTTTGGAGTGGCTGGTGGCAAACTTAAATTCTCACCAGTAACATGCACTTCTGCCTTCCTTTGGTCTCACCCGCTTCCCAAATTGCCACCTTTAATTTTGCCTCCATTTCCCAAACCACACCCGCTCTTTGGGACACCCATTCCCTACATTCCCACCCAAGGTCTTCCCTCCTTTCCCACCTAAAGTCTCCCTCCAAAAGTACCAATTTACAAGAAGCCTCTTCCTCCACCAGTTCCAATTTACAAGAAGCCTCTTCCTCCACCAGTTCCAGTTTACAAGAAGCCTTTGCCTCCTCCAGTGCCAATCTACAAGAAACCACTTCCACCAAAACCACCAAAGCAAGTTTGTCCACCAGTTCCTGTGTTCAAAAAGCCACTTCCACCACCAGTCCCAATATACAAAAAGCCACTTCCACCACCAGTCCCCATATACAAGAAGCCACTTCCACCACCAGTCCCATATATAAAAAGCCACTTCCACCACCAGTCCCCATATACAAGAAGCCACTTCCACCACCAGTCCCATATACAAAAAACCACTTCCACCACCAGTCCCCATATACAAGAAGCCACTTCCACCACCAGTCCCCATTTACAAGAAGCCACTTCCACCACCAGTCCCCATATACAAAAAACCACTTCCACCACCAATCCCCATATACAAGAAGCCACTTCCACCACCAATCCCCATATACAAAAAGCCACTTCCACCACCAGTCCCCATATACAAGCCACTTCCCCCACCAGTCCCAACTTTCCAAAAGCCACTTCCACCTCCCATCCCATTTTACAAGCCAAAGCCACATCCATTCTTTAAGCCTCTCCCTCCATTGCCAAAGATTCCACCATTCTTCAAGAAACCCCCACTCCCACCACTCATTCCTAAACACCCTCTTCTTCGCAAGCTTCCTCCTATCCCCAAAATCCACCCAAAATATTACCCCACCCAAAGCCCAAGTTTCCTCATATTCCCAAAATCCCCCAAAATATTACCCCCACCCAAAGCCTAAGTTTCCTCATATTCCCAAAATCCACCCAAAAATACCCCCACCCAAAGCCTAAGTTTCCTCATATTCCCAAAATCCACCCAAAATACTTCCCCCACCCAAAGATTGGCAAGTTACCATCCCTGCCACCTTTGGTTCCTCAATATCCTTAGGCTGTTGCAGACTTGCAGTACTATTTTTTCAGTTGTAAGTAGGATCATGGATGTTGTGTGGTGAAAATAAGTTAAACCTTCAAGCCTTATAGAGATGCCAAGATCAGAGAGAGAACTCAGAGAGTGGAACTGAAACATTGTTTCCCTTGTTCTATTTATTTATGAAATCGACTTGTGAGGTAATCCCAGTGTTTATAAATTTTCAGATGCTAATTAATCGTGTCATTTCGGGTTCATATCGAATGGTAGTTAATCATGAGCTGACATGATTAATCACTCATAATTAACAGTAAATCGAAATTTGTTTACTAATCAGGGTCGTTATCGATGGAATGTCGATGAATTCTAGTCTCATGCTATTGCACGTGCCTTCTAACTAATCACCATGCACCTACATAAACAAACACATAATTATATAACTGATTTTGCATCTCCATTAGCTTGTGCTAGTAACTGGTAACCAAGAACCCTCATGTGCATGTATGGTTAAGAAACCAACAACCTCAAAAGGATCTGCCTCTCTCTGACAAAATAAAGCAACAGTTCTCATTTATTGAAGATGTACTCTTTCCTGCGAAGGAAGTACATTTGTTTTCAAAGAAACCCCTCAACCAATTGTGAAAACTTTTCCGATATGTCGGCATAATATTACAAATTCACTCAAATTAAATACGTGCATAACTGTGAAAACCATAAAACTATAAATCCTATAATAAAAGCATCCCGTAAATGCTAATTAATCTACCTTTCATTTTCATTTGCTCTCAAGTTTCTTCTCCATTGACGAACAAAGCACAAGATCCAAATATCAGATATTGTTGTCGCTTTCAAAGAGGCTCATTTCGCCGAGCTATATTTGCAGCCGAATGTTGCGTGTCTCAACTCAAACCAATTATTTATGGGTCGTTTTCCATACTCCATAAAGAAGTAGGTAGATAGGATAGCGACCATGCAACATAATTTATGTCTGTAGACTATCAATTATGGAACCATCGAATGACATAAGTTAACCCATCTCTTGTCATAGCACATGGGTGGCACCACAATGAAAAAGTGGGCAAAATTCTCTTCCTACCCCCAAGTGCGTCCCGTTCGATTCACGTATGAGACAATCTTGAGGCAACCCTATATAAAACTCCCCCCTCCCCCTCTCCTCTCTACTGGAATGACAAAAAAAAAAAAAAAAACAAAAAAAAAAAAACAAAACTCTCGCCATATATTTTTTTCCCTTAATGAGAATACATATAGACATTAATCACGTTGTAATATACAAAGAAGTTGTATCAGCAATTCAAAAATGTTCATCCTCTCATGAAAAATAGTAAACATTGATTACAATGAAAAATGTATATTTTAAAGAGTTATTTACACTACACCCCCTCAAGTTTTCGGCTTTTTTCACAAAACCCCTGAGGTTTCAAAAATTACACAAACACCCCCCGATGTTTTAAATTGTTTCCACAAAACCCTTTTTCATTGTTTTTTAATCCAAAGATTGATGATTTTATATAAAAAAAAAATTATCCAAAAGACATAATTAACCTTTGAGATTAGATTGCACATACATTCACTAAGGTTGCTTTGTCATTTGCACACGTTTGAAAAAAAAATTAAATCATCAAGTTTTGAAGGAACAATCAATGAAAAGGGGTTTTGTGAAAACAATTTGAAACCTTAGAGGGTGTTCGTGTAATTTATGAAACCTTCAAGGGATTTTGTAAAATAGTAGAAAACTTGAGGGAGTGTTAGTGCAAATAACTCTCTTTAAAATGTTTGTAATAAATTTTGTGCATCGTGTACGACTGTCCTTTTACATGTGATAATAAAGGATTTATAGTAAAACTACAAATGATAACATTTTATACACTCACACAAAGAAACACGAAAATAAACAAATTATTTCTATAATACTTCAATAAACAAAATTTTATTATTAAAAGAAAAAAAATTGACATATAGAAAAATATGTAACGTTACTGGTATATTTCTTGATATGTAAAAAAATAAAAACGTATTTAACATTATCAACTTGCTATTAGTCTGATTTCTCTTATGAATATTGTAAAATATCTCAAATTCGAATTCTCTTCTCACATGATTTGAAAGAAAAAAAAAAACTCAACACTTTCCAAATTATATTAAAAAGTTCAAAAAGCAACGAAAACATTAGAAAATTATATTTAACGCGGGCTAGTTAGACTAACCCAAACTCAACCCACAGAGCCCAACAGACTTGGACTGAACCGAAGGCTAGTCAAGTTCGAGCCCAATTGAAAATCTGCGTTCTTCTTCTTCTGACCCCGAAAAAAAGAGTCCAAATTATTGCCAAATTCAGGTATGTTTTATTTTACAAATTTATAAATAAACCCAATCCTAGACATGTATTTATAAAAAACTCAAGCACTATTTAAACATAGAAATACACCCAAAATCAACAATTGTATATTTTTAGGTGTGTTTATAAATGGGTTTTGAGTGTGTGTAATGATGAGTTTTGGGTGTGTTTATAAAGTGTTTTGGGTGTTGGGTTTTTTATAATTTCAGCCCTATTTTGGGTGTTTTAGTGAAACTCCCTTTTTATTTTATTTCTTCAATCGCGGAAGCGCGAAAAGAATCAAAATTCGTACAGTAAAAACCCCATAATGATGTGTTTCTGCTTCTGAAACTGAAAAACTGAAAAACTGAAAAACCCTCTTCTAGGGTTTAAGTTCAACGGTCAGAGCTTTCAGGCTCTTCAATGGCCAGCCCTAAGTCCGTCGACGCCTCTCTGTGGTGGGACCCTTTCTCTGTTTACTCACTGATCCTCGAAAATGCGTCTCTCTCGTCCGACCTCCCTCCCAATTTGGTAATCTCCTCTCTCTCTCTCTCTCTCTCTCTCTCCTCTCTATATATATATATATGTATGTATGTATGTATATCTCTATCCCTCTATTCTGCATGCATTTGTGCGAAAGTAAGTAAGCGTTTTGAATTTGGTTGGTGTTTTGTTTAGGTAAAGAAATTGAAGGACAATCATGCTTGGTTTGTGGATACATTGTCTCACTTCAAGCCGCCCAATGAGAATTCAAGAGAGGCTTTGAATTCACAGCAAGTGAAAGTTGGGTCTCACCAGTTGGATATAAAACCTGAATTGAAAGATAAGGCTTTGAAAATCAGCTCGTATTTGGTGAGTTTGTACTACTGCTTTCATTCCATTTTCACAATTGAAATATGTATGCGTGTAGTGTTTATATATGGTCGGATATTGGATTTTTTATATTGTAAATATTATTTTCAGAAATTGTGTTAATCTATAAATTTGTGGCAATTTTTGTTTCTTGCTTTTGGGCTCTCTGTGAACTTTTATTTGGTTGTGGATTCTCAATTAGTGACTTGTAAAACTAATCATATGAATTATAAAGGTGATTCTGAAGAAACTTATTATGGGTTTGGCAAGTTCCGCATGCAAATTTTCAACCGAAGTTATGCTTGGTTGATTTAATAGTATGTTATTTTCTTCATGTTATGGGAAACAGATAGATAATGATGTTCTCCATAACATAAATCAGATGCTACTGATGGTCTTATTGATTGCCCTAGATAATGATGTTCTCTATAACATAAAGCAGATGTTACTGATGGTCTTATTGATTGCCCATTTGCTACAAAACTTACTTTTTTTGTTTGTTTCAGTATCTAGATGAGGTGCAATCGTACATTCTTGTTGAGAGGTCTTTCAAGAACAACAACGTAGCTCTTGACTCTATAGTTCACGAGTATTTTCATGCGGTTAGTATCTCACTCATATGGTCTGACTGGTACGTATGTTGAATGCTATAGTTCTTATGTTCAACGTACCTGGTGTAAGGGGTGGATGAGTTGAGTGTAAATGTCAAATTTTTGCTGCTTGCAGAAAGTGGACATTTTTCAATCAAACAGAAAAAGAAATTGGACATTTACTTTGTTGCATTTAGTGTTACTGTATCGTTCTCAGTTTTTTCTTCTGTTTTTCCCACTTCCCTTCCCTCTTATGCAGGTATGTATTGACTATTACATTGAGCGACAGTACCTGCTGAAATGTACCAGGAGAATTCTCGCACATGCCTGTAAGTCAATCATGAGTCCCTCCCTCCTGTTGGCATCAGGTTTTTTTCACTAAGGCTGAACTTCAACAACGTTTGGGAATTGATCATCAATGCAGTGTCTTTAGGAAGTGTCTCTGGAGAAGGTAATGCTATGAAGGAGGAGGCGCTAAAGTTGATTTCTGATGGATTGGAGGGGAACCTGTTATCCGTGCTGCAAGACCTTTATCCTCTAATCACCCTGAACAAATGGTATGTTCAAATGCCAATTAGGCATAATAATTACCCCTTAACTTTATAGATCCTTGTTCCGTAATAGACCAATTAGGTTATTTTTGTTCTCTTCAGGCGTCCTTTTGCATTCTTATGGGTTGTGCTGTGCTAAATTATGAAGTTAATTGTTGTTGAAATTACATCTCACTGCATGCTTGACCATCGTTGGCTACAATGTGGATACTGGGGTATTGGAAGCTGAAGAAAAACTCTTTAGTATATTATCATTTACCAGGTTGAGTATTTATATTTGATAGTGTGTTGAAGGAGGTTATGTTAAGAAAAATTGAGGTAGTAGTGACATAGTGAGAGTGGTTGCTATAACAACTGCTGGAGGAAGTTTTAAACCAGTTATTGACAAATAACAAGTCCCTGCGGCTGTGCGATGTGCAATAGCCTAAGAAACATGTATATGGGTGTGGAATATCTATTTGGCCGCTCCTGTATTACATTCATATGATGCTTTAGGACAGAATAGGTGAAATTATCATCGTTTATTCTGCTGAATTGCAATCTTATGTTTCCTTAATTACATTTGAGATTGTATGTCGATGCCCATGTAAAGGGATGTTATTGACATAGGTGTACGCATCTCCATGCATGCTTTTATTTGAAGAATATAGAATTGAATCATTTTGTATTTGTTACAAAGCCCTAATGTTAATTTGTCTGGGTGCTTTATTAGGATATTGACCTTTTCACTTTGTGGGCTGAGGAGACACTAGTTGAAGACAATTTAGTTTTGGACATTCTTTTCCTTGTTTATAATGAGTCAGTTTGTACTTGTAATGGTGAAAGGTGGAAAACATTGTGCTGGCTATACAAGGTATTTTGTTATCTTTCTTGCAGAATTCGTTTATAAAGTACTATCTTATGCGAGTCCAAGCTCAAAAGCTTTCTCCTGCAGGGAATTCTATCTGGGTCTTATAACTTTGGAAAGCTGGCAGTATCAACTGAAGCACTACGTTCTGCTTATCAAGCCAAAGTTCAGCTGCTTCTAATCCTTATAGAAACCTTGGACCTGGAAAATATTCTCCAAATGGTTCACGATGAAATCCCTTTCAGGTTTTATCTAGTTAGGATGCATCTACATATTTATTCTGCAATTCATAAACTATCAAGAGCAAAACATCTTAGGCCATATCAATGATTTATACATTTAAATATCCAGATCATGAAGATCACATTTGTTGCGCAATACAGTGCAGCATTTCTTATGTCATCACTCAATGAAGATGCCTTTTGGTGTATGCTAAGGGACGAACTGCCTTTAGGTGGAATCCACTTGTGAGGCAGATATGGCGTGCCTTTAGTTAGCACATATGTTGTAAATTAGACAAGACAAAACTAAAATAACAAAATTGAACTTAAGTATTGGTTTCTATTGGATCAGAAAATTCTACTAACTATGAAAAGCAAGAGAAACTGCGATTGCTTTTTTTCTTTCTTCTTATTTATTATTATTTAATTAATGTGAATGCAGTACGATCAATACTCTGATGTAAATGAAAACCACTCAGACTCATTACAAGCAGGCCTAGAGATCTTTGAAATAATATGGGCGTTTAGGTCTAACATTTCCACACCCAAAAAACTGCAGATTCCCAATTCGCTTGAAGCTTGAGTACTATCTCTATGCATGCTGTTAGCCAAGCTATTTATCTGCGAATTTAGGACCTTAAGATAATTTGATTTGCAATTTTAAAACGCCGTGATTGCAACTATGGATATAATATGCTTGTTAATGCTATGGTAACTTCCCTTTTATATATTTAAATGAAAAGTGTTAAGCTTCATCAGTATAATTCTAATCAATGATTGTTTCCTTAAGGTTAATATGGTATTGTTGGTTCTGTTCTTTGTGTCCTTGTTAAAATTTTCCATGGTTATATATCCTTACCTCCATCTTTATTTGCCTTTTTCTGCTATTCCTTAGGGAAGGCAAATCCGTTTTTACTTTGGCTGATGTCCAAGAGATGGAAGCAATAATTTCAACTTTCAATGTTTTTGAAACAAAAGAAGCAGGCCCATTAATTCTAGCATGGGCTGTGTTTCTTTGTCTGATTTCATCACTTCCAGGCAAAGAAGAAAACAATGTAGTAATGGTAGGTGGTTCCGTGCAGATGTTGTCTCCCATCCAGGCTGTATGAATGATACACATGATTATTGTGCTTAGTTTTTCTCTCATTTTCCAGGAAATTGATCATGGTGGTTATGTTCGTCAAGCCTTCGAGGCTGCATCTTTGACTTATCTTGTAGAATTCCTTCAAAGTGATGTATTGAAGGAATCTGACGTAAGTTATTCACAGTTTATAAGTGTATGTGTTTAGAGAAAGTAGTTTCTCGTGTTGCCCAATATGCTCAAATTTGCCTATTGGTTTCCCCCTTTACCCATTAGAAGGCTTGGGGTCCATCCCGAGGTTTTAACAAGTTTTATTTACATTTGCTTTGGCCATTTAAAGTCTTTTTTTTTGGGGTCTTTTTTCCCCCAAATTATTTTCATTTTCAAACGAGTGACCTTTTTTTCTTTCTTTTTCTTTAGGGGCCTGTTGCTGGTTATCGAAGTGTGTTGAGAACCTTTATTTCTACATTTATTGCATCTTATGAGATTGGTCCTCAGGTAAATGCATAATGGATCTCTGCAAATTCCTTATTGGCATTTGTTGGATGCATTTCTCATTTCTTCTGCTCCTTATACTGTGCAGCTGGAAGATAGTGCTCTTAAGTTAATAGTGGATATTCTTTGCAAAATTTATCAGGGAGAGGTTTGGACACTGTTGTTATCTTTCAGCATCTGTTGCTATGAGAAAAATATTTTATAATTATAAATATGAAATTGCTATTATCAATTTTATTAGTGTATTTGTTACTCATTTTTAAAGGGAAGTTCCGCTGAATTTTGCAGGAGTCACTTTGTATCCAGTTTTGGGATCGTGAAAGTTTTATTGATGAGCCTATCCGGTGTCTTCTTCGCAGCTTAGAGGGTGAATTTCCTTTCAGGACTGTGGAACTAGTTCGCCTTTTATCATCTCTTTGTGAAGGAACTTGGCCTGCAGAATGTGTGTGAGTATACTTATTTGGCAAGGCTGTTTCTTATTCTGGTTTTTGATAAGCCGAATGAGTTGTAGACCTGATCAGTATATGGGTGTTGGGTTCAACTTTAATTTGGTTATGGAAATTCTCAGGCCAGACTTGTTTGCTGTATTAGTTGATTATAAGAAGTCTTTGTAAAATTGTATTTATAAGCGGGTAGAAAGCCTAACAACAATTAATCATAAAAGCTTATCTAAACTTTTCTCAGTTATCCTTTTCAGTTTGTGCAACATAACTGTCCTCAAAATCCTATATTAAAAGGCCTACACTACTTTTACTGTTTTTATAGAGTAAGCCAAAACATTTTATTTTTATTTTCACCTGGTCCTCTGCATCAAATACTTACAGTATTGGTGCTGTGATTAAAGCTAATGTATATATTTGTGGTAAATAAGAGTAATGCTACACTTACCACCTTTTTATCCCACATTTCCATACCACATGATGTGGCATGTCCATATCATATGCCACATCAATTAAATCAATGAAGTGTATGTTAATAAAGAAAGTTTAATTGACAATTTTTTAAGAAAATGTTAAGTAATTTTAATTGATATGTGGCTGTCCACCTCACCTGTCACATAAGGTGGTATGGGAATGTGGTATACAAATGTGGTAAGAGTAGCATTATTCAATAAGTAAAGCAAAGTTTGTTCTAAGTAAATGTGTGTGAAAAGATATGATCAACTCCGTCTAATTGGTTAAACATGTTTATATCTAGTTGTAAACGTGTGTGATTTTTTTCCTATATATGTATATAGTTAGCGTAGCTATTGGTTGTAATTTTTGTATATTTTCTGGTGTTTCTCAAGCTTCTTTTTGTAAGATGATATTGATTCATTATCTTTTCTATATTCCCTCTGCCCAAGGGAGTGCTCAAAATAAGTTATATTATCTTTTAATTGGTTCCCATGCAAAACATGCTGCTTATTCAATTATTATGTTCTCTCATTTGTCGTGTGTTCATCCTTTCAACAGGTTTAACTTTCTAGATAAGTCTGTTAAGATATCATCCTTGGTTGAGATTAATAATAGTTCCTCTGTGGATGATATCTCTACAATTGTTGAGACGCACCTCCCATTGCATGTTCCTGGATTTGAAGGTTTAGTCATTCCCAGTAGAACTTGTGGACATGTTTTAAGATCAGTTGGTGGAAATGCTGCTCTTGTCCAATGGGAGGTAAGCGAATTACTTTTAACTATATTGGTAATTGGTTTGTATTGATGACTTTTATATATTCCTGACAAAGATCACTAGAGTTTCAACTGCTTATAAGGGCACGGGTATTCGGTGATACTTTAAAAAGCATGTTCCAATGTTACTGCATTTGTCTGTGTGTGCTGTTTGTGAATACTCTATCTTTCTCGTGTATTTTGAAATTTGAATACGCATTTTTAGGGATTACCATGTGACAAATTATTACCTCTCCTCAAAGGTTTTTCTTTGTCGAAATTTTTTAATATCTCAATTATACGTGCTACTTATGAGGCATTAAAATGCAAAAACATGTATTATTTAATATTATCTTGTCTTACTTTCCTTTTTGATACCATCTTCCTTTAACAAAGCCATGATTTTTTCTGCTATAATTCAAGTGACATGTCTAGTTTTATTTAGTGCATTGTGAACAATATATTCGAGGAGAGTAATATAAGATATCCAATTTAATATTCAATTAAATTTTTTATTGGTTGCTGTTTTGTGCTAATTCATGCTTCTTTTGTACAGTATACACAATCTGAGGTGCTAGTATTGCTCATGCGCCTGGCTGAGGAGCTGTATTTTGAGAGAAATGACGAAGTTCTTCTTATCCTTGATCTGATTAGCCGGATGGTTACCTTTAACACGGTATTTTTTTTTCATCATTCATTGCTAGAGTCTTTATGGATTTGGAAAAGTATTGGCTACATCAATTAGTGTATTTTACAATTTATTGTAGTCGTTGGGTTGTTGCTAAGAAACTTGGTGGCCAGGCCTTCATGCTTTATTTTGAATAATCTCGATTAAGCTGTTAAATGCTTGTGGGTGCAATTCATGATTTCTTACCATTTCTGTAACTATCTCTTTTTTACCGACCTTTTTGGACTGGTGTTTTATGTTTAGGCTGTATGTTTTGCTTTGATGGACATTGGGAGCTCATTACATTTCCAATCAACTGGCATGAGTTGGCAGATAGGAAGTAATATGTGGTATATAGCAACCTTTTGTTTGTGCTTATGTGTTTTGTTTCCTCTTTCTCACCTGTCTTAGTATGTCTTGTAATTTGCACTTTTGTTATTCATTCAGGTTGGTTGAGATCATTTGCTCTTTAATCAGAAAATCATCTCCTACTTCTGATGGTGCCGCTCTGATGTCATTGGGTATAAATATTTTGGCAAAAATGTTAAAATGGTAACTTCATCCTTTATCCTCTTGACTTCTCTATGTCTTGCGTACATATCTTTGTCTTTTCAATTGTGGGTGGTCTAATATTCTTATTATTAAGATGATGTCAATTGGAAAGCTGTTCTTAGCCAGGGATTTGGTCTGAGTTTCGTTCGCTTTATTGTGGAATTGTTATTATGATCTGATGTTTCGTGGCGCATTGTTTTAGGTTTGTTTTGCTTTGGCAGATACTTGTCTGCTGTGTTTGTAGTTTGCCTTTATATCAATATAGTTCTGTTTCCGCATTAAAAAATATGGCGTCAATGAGAATGACTTCCCTCACAATGACAGCAGTCGTAGTTGTACATGATATAGTGCAGTCCTGAGTGTGATGTATCTTGAACTTCAGAGTGTTATATCAGCCTATAATTTTTGCTTTAAATTGATTTCGGCATATGCCAGACCTGAGCAAAACCTCTGTGTTTAACGTGCATTTATTGTGGCAGTTACCCTTCTCATGTTGCTGAGGTGGCTTTAAAGGCAAATATATTTGATTTCAGCAATGGTCACGATGATTCATCAAGGTGAATCCTTTGAGAAAAGACTTATTTTCTTCGTTCTGCTGTTATTGTGCATACATATAAATGTGCGGTTTATATTCTTACCTGAAGTTAATTGAAGTATATCTAAAGTGGAGCTGTATTTCCCTTTTTTTTTTTTTTTTTTTTTTTTTCTTTCTCGAGCTTATGTCTGGATCCTTTCTTTATAAGACCTTTTTTCCCCACTGTATATTGTTGGCCACATTAATTTCCTGTTATTCTTGTTCATCTCATACATATTTCTTCCTGGGGGTGCTCTACTTGTTACACAGTTGTCTTGTAGAAGATTAATTTCTCTTTATGGCTTTTGTTCTCCTCTTTCTTCGGTTTTGCAATTTCCCTTAACTAATGTTAAATGAATTTGTTATTGATAAAGTGAAGCATTGGTTGGGTGGAAGAGTGCATTATGAGTATGTGTGGGTTCAACCCCCCACAACAACATTTCATTTCCCTTTTTTTCGTTTAAAAAAAGAAAAGAAATTGTTACTGACCCCAGAAAGGCCTTGTGTTGAAATTGATGAGGGTAGAAATAAAACATGTTCATCAACATGCCTCAATGCTACATTTCTAGACAGAAATGAAGTTCTACATACCGCGATGCTCCAATGAAGTCCTTTCTTGTGTTGTGCTGCACATAAGGCAAGCCTTATACTGTCTTTTTTTTGGTGGGGGGCACAATGGAAGTTGGTTATAAATAATAATCTAACATTTATCTTGGCTTTCTTGTTTGTATTGGCAATGTTGATGCCTCATGTGAGACTGGGGAAGTTTTTGTTCTAATCCTTGATATTACTTTTTGGCTTTTATTTTTTTTCTTTTTCTAGTGGATCATGGTTGCTTTCTGGAAAAATGGCAAAGATGCTATTAATTGACTGTGAGCAGAATGATGGTGACTGCTCATTGACTATATCAGGTATATTTTGTTGTATGATTCTTTTTGCTTTCTTACGTTCTCTTTGTAATTTTTTTTTAAAGTCTTACAATTTGTTAATGTGCTTTTGCTGTTCTAACATCATCTAATTTGTCGGGCTTTGTTTACTTTGTACTAAATTATGTCTATATACACAATAACATAGGAAACACTGATGTTTCATTGTTTTTCATTTATTTATTTATTTATCTTAGTTTTCTGCCTAGTTGTGTTTCAAAATTTCAAAATTTCTGTGATCTATTCCATGACATGGATGGTTTTAAAACCTTGCAGTGCTGGACTTCACTGTACATCTCATGGACACAGGACTGAAAAATGATGCTGTCTTGGCTTTAATTGTTTTCTGTATTCAGTATGTTCTTGTTAACCATGAATACTGGAAATACAAGGTGAAACATACTCGTTGGAGAGTAACATTGAAGGTACATCCTTTGGTTTCTCTTATGCTGCTATTGTGACAAAAGTTGGTTCTATTTTTGTTTTACTTTAAGTTTACAACAAACTTGATTCCTGTTGGGGGGGTAAGCTTTTTGTTTTTTGTATAACTAGCTTAAATTCTGAGCTGGTCCTAATTAATAGGATTGCCCTATAAACCATCAGAAACAGAGAAAAGTTGATAGTTCCATACAAGGTACATACAGGAGAGTAACTTTATATTTTCTTGGCAAATTATATTTTCTTAGCAATTATTATACTGCCATATGAGATCAAGTCCTTTTGCTCTGCATGCAGTTGCTGTCTTATGTGCTGTGTCCTATTGGGATGACAAGTCTGGATATGAGTCATGAGTCTTTTAAATATCTTTCTAAAAATTATGAATGAGAGCACCATTAAATAGGAACTCGGCTTTGTTAGGGAAGTTGTTGTGGAGCTTTCCTTTGGAAAGAGAATCTCTTTGGCCTGTTGTCATTCAAGTTATATTTGGCATTGATGCCAATGTGTGAGGCTTTAATGTGGTGGCTGGAGGTTCCAATCGAAGTCCTTGGAATGACATTTCATTGAGAATTAGGTATTTTCTTCATAATCTTCAGTTATTTGTGGGAAAGGGAGAAAATTAGTTCATAGGGAGATAATTAGGTTGGGTTCTTCCTTTGTGCTTTTTATATCTGTGTCTATTACTTGATGTGCAAATTGCCAATCTTCGGCCTCCTATATTCCAATGAGCTGGATTTCCATTTCTGGAGAAATTTGAATGATTTTCAAATGGGTAAGCTTCGTTCTTTAGTATCTGCGGTAGAGAATATCTCCTTGTGTCCATTCTGATAAAAGGTCTTGGCCAATTGAGTCTTCCAGAACTGTTGAGTAGATAGCAGGCTGATGTAGAATTTTTGTACCTTCAGTGGATTACTTGTTTGCTGTAACTGTAGTACTCGTTTCACGTCATTTTAATAGGGGAGTTTCACTAAAACACCCAAATGGAGGTTGAAATTATAAAAAAACCCAACACCCAAAACACTTTATAAACACACCCAAAACCCATCATTACATACACTCAAAACCCATTATAAATACACCCAAAAAGTTGACTTTGGGGTTGATTTTGGGTGTGTTTCTATGTTTAAATAGTGCTTGGGTTTTTTTATAAATACATGTCTAGGATTGGGTTTATTTATAAATTTGTATTTTAATAGTGTTATTCTAGTTTCACGTCATTTTGAAAGCATCATTTTCAAGACTATTTCTAGGATGATACAACAAATGAGCCCAAATAGGCAAGCTTGTAAAGAATTCATATCCAAAATTTTGTCTGCATCAATGCTTGGTAGGGAATCACAATGTGTGCATGTTTGGCTTCTTGTGGCTAGTTAATCTTCTCTATTAATTGGTTGTCTAATTTATTATATACTTGGCCCAACTGGTATTGTAAATGTAGATTATGCTGGGAAGGTGAATTTTAATATCCTTTACTGTGTCAGGTGCTTGAAGTGATGAAAAAATGTATTACATCAATATCATGCTCTGAAAAGTTGGATGAAGTCATCTTGGATAGGTTACTGTCTGATTCTTCCATCCATAGTACTCTCTTTCGGATTGTTTGTACAACTACAGAAGCATTAGAGGTGGGCTATGCTGTGTATCTTATGATCTTGTTTAGTCACAATCTGTTGTGATTTTGTTCTAATCACTAATTTGGGGACATTTTTCTGCAGAGACTTTATATCAGCTGGCATCCGACAGAGATTGAAGGTTTTGAGATGGCTATATGTTCTGTTTTAGATATTCTTTTCATAATTCTCTCCAAATTTTCTAAGGTATGCTTGGAAGTAAGCATGTGGAATTGGCATTTTGATTGGCATGGTATATGTTACAATTTTTTGTATAATGCTAAATGTAGTGATCTACTTCTGTTTAAAAGTGAGTTTTCTGGAGCGTATGTGTAGAGACCAACTATACGTATCCGTGATGGATATTTTCCTTTATTTGTAATATGGTGGTTGGTTTTAAGCATTGTATTTTTATTTAATGCAAAAGTTGATGTTCAGCTTTGTGTATTTCCAGGATATATCTTCCAGCCCTCCATTTTTTCACCAAGCAGTCTTCTCATCTGCAACAAAACCAATTCCTGTAGTTGCAGCGCTTGTCTCCTTGATATCTTACTTTCGCAATCCTGTATGGCCTTTCTCCATTCTCAATTGTTATTGACTCTATTCTTTGCTTTACATTTGTAAACAGTACAGTTACAGGGTTCTCCCTTTTTGGTTATTGTGTATCTACATGTATATCATCAAAGTATTATTGGGATAGTTCCTCTTTGCTTGCCTCAATTGTCTATATAATTATTGTTTTTTGGTGAATTGCAATGCCAATTTGTTTCTTTTTTTATACTTATTACAACACTTTGATTCATAAGAAACTTGTAGTTGCATTCAATGGTTTTTAAGCCTTACTCTAAGCTTTGGGCATGATAGGCGTAATGTTATTTCGTTTAACCGTCGAACTAGCATGCCCTACGGGATAGAATATGGCATTGTGCACATCTTATATACATTTAATTACACAGAATTGTATAGCACTATATAAGTCGGGAATGTTAATCCTTTGTCACTACCAAATAATTCTAAGTGGTATTTTTTTTGTCTTGGTTTGTTGACAGTATGTCCAATAATATTTCCATAATTGTTGAGTATCTTTATTAAGGTTCTTGAGTTTTCTGTGCAGGGAATACAAGTTGGTGCTGCTAGGGTTTTATCAGCGTTCTTGATGATGGCCGATTTAATGCAACCATATTTGTTTGGTAGCAGCTTTGGTCTGGATGATAAGCAGGTTTGGTGTGTTTACATTTATTTTTTAGTTCCGTGTTAATTTCTTGTAATTCCAGTTGAATAAATTAATTGCTTCTAAATCTGTTTGTTGCTGCTATACACTGTTGTAGATTGGAGATCTGAGGCAGTGTGTTAGTTACATACTACTTGAGCAGTCGGAATGGAATGAAGATCTTTTTGTTGCTGTAGTCAATCTCCTCACTTCTGCTGCTCGTTATCAGGTTTGTTATTGTATGGTATCAAGTTCTGTATTTTATTGTTTGAGTTTCACTCACAAAGTTAGGAAGTAATGTTTGAATGCTAGTGGTGTTCAGGTCCAAAAAAGAAAAAGAAAAGAAAGAATGCTAATGGTCCATTTCTTCCAATTTTAATTTAAGCCAACTTGACAATTGTTTGATCAACGGCTCCAAATTTTGCTCCCTTTTCATTTTCTTGGAAAAAAAACACTTTTAAATTCTGTAATTAGGTGCTTATATTTCACAGATATTTGGTTAGATTGGCGAGCACAATGTATTTGTTGTGTTTTCTGTTGGGTCTGTTTTAGCACTAGATTGTCCACGTATTTTTGTTCTGTTTCTTTGAAGTGAATGTCTTGTCCATTATACTTGTACTTTTGTCATTTAATCCTTAAAAATCTTTCTTTTAAAAAAAGAAAACATTGTATGTGTGTGTGTGTACATATGGTGGCAATTTTAGTGCCTTTCATCCTCAAGGCAAACTTTGTGTGGTTATATTGCTAGCCTTTCATTGGAGTTTTGTGATCTATACAGATAACATTTTCCTCCACTTATTAAAGCGTTTGACTTCAAAGTAGTAGAACTAGTAGTGTTATTAGCTGTTGAAAAAGCCAAGTTTAGCTGGGTGCTTCCACAGACCTGTTATTCATTGTTAAGCAAAGGGTTAGGTTTTGGTCTTGTATGTAGGCATCTGTGTCATCTGAGTTCAGGGGTATTTCTCTGTCTGATATTCTTCTAGATAGAAGGGTAGTTGTTAATAACTCAGCAGTTAGATTTGTCTGGATCAGTGGTACTGTAGTTTCTTATGTTGTTTGAGGTGGACACCTTCACCGTAATGTATTGTTGATTCTGATGAGTTGGAGTATCTTCTTAAAAATTAGCAGTTTGGGCATCTAGTACAAATATACTTTTTGATGCAGTCAAGGCAGCTGAGCCTAAGCTACTCCTTAATGAAAACAGGAACAAAGCTCTGGCATTCAAGCCAAAGTTGTCTGGTTTACTAGATCTTAGGTCGTCAGTGACCTGGTTATGGCCTTTTTGAAAATGATTTGGTTTAGCTTTTTCTGATTGATTGTTTATTCATATACAGCCTGCTTTTCTTGTTGCTGTATTATCCACCGAAGTGAAAAAGGATGTTCAACAGAGTAATGCTGGTCATGTGAAGCTGCCAACAAATGATGTTACCTTCAGGTCATCTGAGTCTGAAAAAACAAGTATTGTGGATGCAGTTCTGTATCAAATTGAAAGATCCAATGATCTTATCAACAGGTATTTTGTGCTCAATGGATCCTTAATTTGGTTTCTTAGTTAGTTCTTTCATCATTATCCTGCAGTCTTGAAATTTATGCCTTTTTCTCTCATTTTCTTTGTTCTTTTTTTTTAAATCTGCAGCAATCCCCGAATACTGCTGAATGTTCTTAACTTTCTAAGGGCACTGTGGCAAGGTGCTGCTCAGTACACTAATATTTTGGAATGCCTGAAAAGCTCCGGAAATTTCTGGAAAAAATTGTCCAGTTTTATTTCAGTAATTTCTAGTGTAGAAGCTCCTTCACCTGAAAATATAACTGAGACAGAAGCTCAAGATTTGGCTTTCAGATATCAGTGTCAATCTGCCATATTGGAAATAATGGCACATGACATGTTTCTGCACAAAAAGCTATTACATTTGGAGACACGTGCAAAACAAGTGCCTGAATCACAAGACAGGATACAAAATACAGTAAGATTAGAAAAATCAAAAGCTTCAGATCTGGTGGATATTTTATCAGCCTGGTGCAGGAGCTCTGTTTTGGATAATCTTACCAAGTCACTTTCTTATTGTGAATATGACCTCAAGTTGTATTTACGGGCAAAGGTGACTTCTATTCTGGAAATTTTTACTTCCTCTTACGTGTGAATTATGTCTGTTGTTTCGGTCCCTGATTTTTTCTTCAATTTGGTTGGTTAGTTATCACATATCATCTCATCTTCACTCATTCTCTGATTTTTGTTGGTTGTTTAATGTTATGTAAGTTCACTGTTCAATTTGGTTGGTTTCATCTCATTTAGTTTCTGCTTAAGTTCACCGTTCAAAGAAACAATCATCCTCTGTATAAGAACGTTCTCACCTATACATTACTCTGTTCAATCTGTGCTTTATGACATACATTAGTATCAAACTATTAATAAAGCGGTTCCTTGATAGGATGTGTACTGTAGACCTTTCCCAATAGTTTTCTTAATTTTTAGAATGCAATAATTGTAGCTGTAACTTCACAGGTTGCTGCAAGTGTAATCACTGCCCATGTGATGGTGAACTTAGCAAATGGTGATGCAGGAAGTGTGTCTGTGTCATTACTTGAGAAGTCCAGCATCCTGTCAAATAAGGTTTGATCCTTTCCTGATTGTATTACTTAATTCGTAACTAAATTTGATTGTATGCTGATAAACCCATTAAGAGCTCAGTTTAATTTATAATTTCATCCATTCTCTAATTTAATACTTTCCTTATAGTATTGAGATTGTAAAGTTTGCATCATATCTGTTGTTATCTTTTTTCTTTCCCTTCATTGGCAGTTCAGAAGTCATCCTGCTTTTTCTGAATTGTTAGCTCAATACTCACAGCATGGTTACAGGTAATATGTGTGTTGTTGTTAATTTCTGTTGGAATTTCTATGTTTAACTGTGCACTTCTTGTGCGAAGCATTTGTATGTCTGGAAACTGATATTATACCCTCCCCTGAAGATTCTGGATATTTACGAGTGCTCCTTCCAGTAAATGTATTCTTATAGTGAGAAAACAGTTCTTCCTGTGATATGATTGATATGTGAAACTTTAGTTTCAAGTCCTGGAAGTCACCAGAGTATAAAGTAAGGATTTAAATACAGAACCTTGGAAGAGGTATCTGATGCTTTGGTCAAGCAGTACTCTTTTGTCTCTTGCCTGTGTTCATATTCCCTGTATGTCGGTTGACTACTGATTACCAGTCCATTTTCTGGTTTCAAGAGTCATGTTTGGCTCTTTTTGTGTGTGTGTGGTCACCTCCGTCCACATGCATGTAAGTTGTAACAGTGATTCTTCATGTTGTTATCACCTTATATGATGGGCATCCCCCATGACGTGCTGTTGCTTGCCTTATTTCCATTGACCTTGAAGTTGATCTGTTTTCTAGCCTTTGACAGACCATCTAAGTTGTGACATGTAACCATAAGTTTGGGTGGATTCAATTTGCATAGGGTTCAACAGATAATTTGATCTGTCGTATATTCTGTTTCACGTATTGATCTTTTAATTACATATGTTATCTCTCATAAGAATTTGTTGAGAGTATTATCCCACATTGGGAAATGGAAGCAATAAATGACACATGTTGTGCATTTGGCTGCATATGAAGAATTTATTATCTTTTTCCAGTGCAGGGAAGGAGCCAAACTATTTGATTCTCAGTGATCTCTATTATCATCTACAAGGAGAGCTTGAAGGCCGTGAAGTCAGTGCTGGACCATTCAAAGAACTCTCTCGGTTCCTTATAGAATCAAATGTTTTTCAGATTTACCAACATAAATATGATGCTGATCTTTTTGTAACTGGAAAAGATGCATACTTGTTTGATCTTAAACATGTACGAGCTGATTTGGGGTTAGATCTTTGGGATTATTCACAGTGGAAGGCATCAAAGGCGACTGCAGAAACAATGTTGAATCACATGAAGGCTGCAAACTCAATGGCGTTGCTTACAAGTTCGAAGCTTTCTGCACTAAGAGCATTAAGAAGTATCTTGACTGTGTACACGGATGATGTGAGTCCTCTCTTAGACTTTGTAATTGCTTTCAGTTGCGTTCTCATAGTTAGAAATTCGATATCTGTAGCTGCTTTTTATGGTTCAAGATATTTTAAGGATCATGTAGATGTATATAATGGTTTAAAATACTTTAAATCTAATGTTAGTTTAAAAAAAATAAAAATTGATGTCTAATATTTCAAATATCTGATTTCTCATTTCAAAGTTTTTGAAAGTTAAGCAGTATTAGTGATAGCTCAGTTGATGAACACTGTGCTGCACCTATGCCATGTCTAATTAGGGTGCCGAAGAATGAAGTAAAAACACTAGGACCTAGAGCTAGAGGTTCAACCCTCATGATATATCAAGTTTCCTATCGTCAAAACTGGGTATGAATGGTAAAAGCATTTAATTGTACCTGAGGAATACTGATTTTATTTTGAGATACTCCGGTAACTTCTATCCATTTTCTAATGAGAGTGACGAAGTCATTGCATTCCATCTAATCAAGAATACGATACGAAAAACTGAGTTGTTGAGGTTTTAACATATAGTGAAGGCCCCAATATTGTGTTGGAAGAAATCACATGATCTAAGCATCCTGCTTTCAGCAGTGGGCATCTAAATGCTGATTAGTGCAGTTTGTGGGCTGTTGTATGGTTTTATTTATCATGGTTTGTTTGTTTTTTTCTTGCTTTAGAAAATGCCTTATTCTTTTTTGAAATTAATTCACATGTACCTGTTACTGCAGTCACTGGAGACAAAAAGTACAGCGAAAGAGATCTCTGATCATCTTGTTTTCTCATGCATCAATCACATACGCCAGAGCTTCCATGACACAGTAGAATCATTAGCTTCATTACCTGGTGCTCCTGAAGATATCTTTCACTTCCTTTCAGCTCAAGCAGAGTTGCTTCTCTATCTTATGATGTATGCACATAAAAGCCTGCCTTTGTCTGTTTGCATTCTTGTACTAAAAACATCAGGTTCTGGCCTTAAAGTGTTGAGTGATTTCAGAGCATTAGTTACCGGGCCAGCAGTTATGGGGGTTAACACTACCGTAAAGCTCTTGCTTATGTTGCTTCTCTCGGCAGTGGAGTTTAGTTGTCATAAGTCACGTTTGGTTGGGGCAAGAGATAAAATATCTGTTGAAGACCTGGCTAAAATATCTAATGCGAGTCTTGGTCTACTACCAATTCTCTGCAACTGTATGGCTATTGTTGAGCATGGCACCCTCTCCCTAACTACTATGGACTTGATACTGAGAAATTTCTTAACTCCCAACACTTGGTTCCCCATTATACAAAATCACCTCCAGCTTCAGCATCTTATTCTGAAGCTTCAAGATAAGAACTCACTTGACTCTGTGCCCATTATAATGAAGTTCTTTTTGACTGTTGCCCGTGTGAGGCAGGGTGCAGAAATGCTTATTAATTATGGGTTTCTTTCGTCTCTGAGACTCTTGTTCACTGAGTGCTTGGAAGGTAGGTCTTCTTCCGTTAGTACTAATAAGAGAAATCCCAACTCAACTGAAAAAACTGAGAAGCCTCAGCAAATTTGGGGACTTGGTTTGGCAGTCATCACAGCTATGGTTCAGTCTTTAGGAGACAGTTCTGCTTGTTCGGATGTTGTGGAGAATGTAATACCCTACTTCTTTTCAGAGAAAGCCTATATGATTTCATACTATCTCAGTGCTCCAGACTTCCCATCTGATGGTCATGACAAGAAAAGACCTCGGGCTCAGCAGAGACAAACTTCTCTTACTGATCTTAAAGAAACTGAGCACACTCTCATGCTGATGTGCGTGCTAGCAAAACATTGGAATTCATGGGTTAAGGCCATGAAAGAAATGGACTCCCAGCTGAGAGAGAAAAGTATCCATCTTTTGGCCTTTGTCAGCCGGGGAACTCAACGCCTTGGAGAATCTTCGAGTCTTAATGCTCCTCTCGTATGCCCTCCTATCCTTAAAGAGGAATTCGAAGGCTGCAAGAAACCCTCATTTGTTAACAGTAGAAGCGGATGGTTTGCTCTTTCACCGCTCAGTTGTGTGTCAAAACCAAAATTCTCAGCCGTCTCTACCACAACTGCGCTGGCTATTAAAACTCAATCAACTGAAAATAGTGATCACGTATCTCAGTCATACTTCTCCGACACTATTGCCCTTCAGATATACAGAATTACTTTTCTTCTTTTGAAGTTCCTCTGTTTACAAGCTGAGGGTGCTGCTAGAAGGGCAGAGGAGGTGGGGTTTGTTGATCTTGACCATTTTCCTGAGCTTCCAATGCCTGAAATCTTGCATGGCTTACAAGTAAGATGACAATTTTTATTATTTAATTAGTTTTTATTTTGCTAATCTTTTAAGATCTTGAGATGTCTCAAGGTGTGGCTTTGATTTGTTTAATTATGCAAAAAATATCTGGTCTTCCAAATACTTAAAATTAAGTTTTGAGGTGACTTTCGTTTTTTTGAGTTGGATATGTTATTTCTGATGTAGGATCAAGCAATTACCATTGTTACAGAGCTGTGTGGGGATAACAGATCAAATGATATTCAAATTGAAGTACAGAGTATCTGTTGCTTATTGCTACAAATAATGGAGATGGCCTTGCACTTGGAACTTTGTGTTCTACAAATATGCAGCATAAGACCTGTGTTAGGGCGTGTGGAGGATTTTTCAAAGGAAGTTAAACTTTTAATAAAAGGTAAACTCCATTCATTCTGCATACATGTTTTGTCACTTTTTTTTAATGGTAGTTCTTCAACATTTAACGAATGGTTTTTTCCTTGTAATGTATTTTGTAGCGATGGAGAGACATGCTTTCCTCAAATCATCTGTGAAGTCCTTGAAACAAATAACTTCGGTTATCTATCCCGGATTGTTACAGGCCGAAGAGTTTTTGTGAGATAAATTCTTGTGCATATAGGTGAAAACTGATCACTGTAGGCTTTGGAAGAAAAATGTAAAAACTAGTGTGTATTGCTTACATCAATGGCTTTAGAAATATTCCGCAGGCTTATAAAATCGTGCCATTTCTTTCAGCCATTCCTTTTGTATATATTTTCTTTTGAGAAAGGTTGTGGCTCTATGATGGAGAAGATTTCTAAAATCCGTGGCCATTCATGATTGTCGCGTGAGAATTTCCTTTCCTTCACTTTCCCAAACAAAAGGTCCCCTATAGGTATTAGGTATCTATCATTGCTTTTATGCATTAGTGGGACCTATGATTTCTTCATTGTGAAATGCATGTAATTTTCAGATCCAATTCGAATTTAATAAATTACTTTAGTGTTTAGGGCAGTCGCTCTCGTGGGTGACTCTCGGTTGTTGATGCATGTGCATTAGCGGGGTGTGATCACCCGCACGTTCGTAAGCAACTGTCGTAGGATTTCATAAGTCTACTTTCTCTCCATGTTGTCGCATCCCAATTCTCGACCCAAAGAAGAAGAAAAAATTGATGGCACCAACGAAAAGAATTTTTCCGGTCCCTACAAAAAAATGGCATATGATCACAAGTTCTGAGCTCCATAACGCATATACCCATTGTTTTGCTTATGAATGATGATCTGTTAGTTGGAAGATAATCAGAAGGTGAATCCCCGCAACTTTACTACAGAAAGTGTGCTTCCTCTTTTAGAGGATAATGATCCTCCAAGAATATATGATTTCATTGATTTGTTGATTTTTATTTCATAATTAAGAAAATTTTATATTATTTTCCGCATGGAATAAAGAGCAAATTAAATTAATTAATCCAATGGTTGTCATTCGTCCTTCAATCCACATTTCCTAAGTTGGACCAAGTGAACGGGTCCAATTCATGGATCTATGGACCGGGCATCCATCCATGATCCATGGATACATATATATTTATTAATTTATTTTTCTTTCTGAAAAATAAATAATATAAAAATTAGTCCTCATGATCCATAATTTCAGATCTTTTTGGCTTTATGTGTATGTCGGCATCTGTATCCTTGCGAAATCCAGACCGTTGGATCTGCGTCAGAGGGTAAGTAAAAATCAGTAAAATTGTCAGTGTTTCACCTTTTATTTTTAATACCATGTGTGCCATCCAAGTGTTTACCAAATCCACAACTTGGTCCAAACGGTGTCGTTTATTTCTACCGAAAAGTCCACGAACCCTAATAGTACCCTATCCGAATAATGACAAGCATATACCAGTACACAACCACTTCACTCAGCCTCGGATCCCAAAACCCAACCCTGGTTAAAACCCGACCCAACCACGGTTAACTCATACCCCGTCAGATTCAACCCACGTGCCTTCATCCAACGGCTGAAAACAACTTGCCATAGATATTCACCTCAGAGGCCCTTTTATAAACCCCTCGTCCTCGTGACCTCGTCCACGCATCGCAAACCCTAAGCATCATCACTCTCGTTTTCCCCAAATCTCTTCGTGAACGATCCAAACAAACCCTCGAAATTCTCATCAATGGCTTCAAACCCTAAGGTTTTTTTCGATATGACGATCGGAGGCCAGCCTGCCGGCCGCATCGTCATGGAGCTCTTCGCCGACACCACCCCCCGCACCGCTGAGAACTTCAGGGCTCTCTGCACCGGAGAGAAGGGCGTTGGCCGCAGCGGCAAGCCCCTGCACTACAAGGGCTCCTCCTTCCACCGAGTGATCCCAGGGTTCATGTGCCAGGGAGGTGACTTCACCGCCGGAAACGGCACTGGAGGTGAGTCGATCTACGGTGCCAAGTTCGCCGACGAGAACTTCGTCAAGAAGCACACCGGACCTGGAATTCTGTCCATGGCCAACGCTGGTCCCGGGACCAACGGATCTCAGTTCTTCGTCTGCACGGCCAAGACCGAGTGGCTCGACGGCAAGCACGTCGTGTTCGGTCAAGTGACCGAGGGGCTTGATGTTGTGAAGAACATCGAGAAGGTTGGGTCGAGCTCTGGCAGGACCTCCAGGCCAGTGGTGGTTGCTGACTGCGGCCAGCTCTCCTAAACGACTCCGTTTGCTCGGTGCTCTGGCGATGATGGAAACGTCGTCGTTTATCTCTCTGTTATTATGAGTCGGTCTGTCTTTACTTTTTCGAATTTCGGTTTTTAGTAGGCTGGGGTCTGATTAGGGTTTGGGGTTTATGGACCTTATTATTATCTCTATGGTCGTCTTCCTTTTTTTGGATCTCTAATTGCTCTGCTGTTTCTGATCTGAGACTCTTATTTTGTGATAAACTGAGCTGTTATCCTTAAATAAAATAGGTTTTATTCTCCAATTGTTTATCTTATTTTCTTTATGTTTCCTTTCTATTTTTTATTCTATAATTGCCTAATGCCTCTAATATTATTGTGCTCGTGTTTTATCTAAGTGATTAAAAGTATTTATTTATTCCGTATTCGATTTACAATACGATTTATAAATTGAATACGGTTTATTATCTTAAATGATTAAGAGGGTTTATCCTATATGATTAAAAAGTATATAAATATCAAATGTAAAAGAAAGAGTCAACAAATGGGAATGGTCATAGTTTACCTATTTATCCGAATTTTTCCTGTCAAGTCGTTTGGGGATCTTTTGGGCCACTTGAGATTTTAGGCCCCATTGATGCAGCCTTGGGTTTGTACCGATCGGCTTGTTGGTACTTTTTGTAAACGTGTAATTTGTGAATTTGAAAGAGAAGAAGTAAAGGGAACAAAGCAAATGGATAGATAAGAATTGCGTTTTGGCTTTGGATGACGCAGACCCTTTAGTCTTCTTGTTCTCGTAGAAATGAATAAGGTGATTCGCTATTATCCTTAACAATTAACTTCTTTTAAATTACAAAACTGCTATTGATATCTTAAAACAAACTCAACTTTAAAATTTCATAAAAAAGCTTAAAATACTTAATAGGGCATCAAAGTAATTTAATAATCAAAATGAAATTTAATAGGGTCATCTGTCGTTTTTTGGGTTTGTTTATAGAAATTAAATGAGTAGGGTTTATTTATATCATTAGTACTAAGAATGAGTATATAACTAAATATCTCAATGAATAGTGTCAACTATTTTTGTGGTCCATCAGATTCCCAAGTTCTCAAAAATTTAATCTCAGATTTTTCTGTTTTGGTTTTTGTTGTTTGCTATCTTTTTACACTGGTTTTCAAAAGAAAGAGAATTTGGATTTGTATAGTGGTGGATAAAGCCTTTGTGATTCTTGAAACACCACTTGCCGCGTATGTGGCATTGTACAAGGGAATTTTGTGTGCATGCGTTTTCTGTTTTCTTTGCATGAGGATATGCTCTTCTCATTCCAAAATTTTAGATTTTTGTGGTTCTAGAGAGAAGAATTTTGTTTAGTCATCGTACGTGTTTTGCGTTCCTATAAATCTTTGGTCACGTCGCCTCATCATCTAGTTTGTTTGATGTCCGGCTAACCTCACAAAAGTTTTATCTTTGGACCCACAAAACAGTGATATTCCCGTTTCACATAAGTTTTTCTCATACTCAACGTCCTCATTTGATTTGCTTAGTCGTTTTAGTGGGCCAATGAAGTAGTGACTTAAAAAGTATTTAACTTAGGTTAGAGTAACAAACTCCCTTAACATTAGAACCATTTACTCAAATCACAGCCAAATTATCTAGACAAAGGGGAAAAATCTTCCAACTATCTCCAGGATTCATAACCAAAACATTTCCTACATTATAGGTTCGCTTAACGCAGTCCCCAAGGCCCAATGGGATGATCTTCATTCCACAACTTGAAAAGGTTTTTTCATATGCTGGATGTACACATTTATGTGCGTAATTAATTATTATGGGAGAACTGTTCTTTCCTCGGTTGAAAGAAAAAGGTTCAGCAAACCTGGTAAGAAAACAATTAACTACAAAACTCATCTGCCTTGGCAGGCTAAGAGAGATGAAGATATTGGGTATGAGATAGTAGAAGAATTTGTCACGTGAAGAGAGAGATATAGATTATTGTATAAGAAATTCCTTCCTCCAACGTTGTATCAGCAAAACCAATGTTTTAGGATGCATCTTAATTAACCTTCCTCTAACATTGTGCAATTAGGAAGCTTCCTTCTCCTTGGCTTTGCCCCCCTTAGCTTTCTGCCGATTATTTATACTTGATTCATTGTCTTATTGTCCTTAATGGAATTATTCATAAGGTTAAAATTGTCAAACAGTAAAGTACATCTACAAATTATATGGATAGTTTCCATTCAATACATCCTACAAATTTCTTCTTTTTGTAATAAATGAAGTGGGGGAAAAAACCAAATAATTTTGGGATGATGCGCATATATCTAAATTTGTTATTTTTTTTCTTCCCAACTTTTCATAAAATCAAATATATGATTTGTGTTATTTGTTTTACTATTTTCAAGAAAAAAAGAGACCTTTCTCCCCCATCCCAACCTCACCTACCCACAAAACACATCGCACAAGATCCCCCCTCCCCCCACTCTCTCTCTCTCTCTCTCTCTCTCTCTCTCTCTCTCCATCAACAAATTTTCAATATACAAATGGAAAAATATCAACAAAAAAAACAATAAGAAAAGGTGGAGTCGGATTGGGTAGGCTAAGGGAATTTGTGTGTGGAGGGTAGGTGTTCCATGGTTGAGAAGAAAGGAGGAAGAGGATGTGAAGAGGGAAGGGGGAATGGATTTCAAGGTGGGGGTTGGTCGGAGCCATGCCACATATGGGATGGGGGAAGGTGAGATTTTTTTAAAATACAATTTTTTAAATAATTATTTTTCTATTTTAAATACTCTTGAAAATGGAAAGACTAAAATACCCTTTAAATGTATGAAAAATTAGATGGTATTAAAGTCAGATGACAAATCATGGATTTTGAAAAATTAAAGTGACATTTCTCTTAAATTTTTCTTTAAGGTGACAAATTGAAACTATGGTATAATTTCATGTGACATTTCTACAAAAATCTATTTCCAAATATAGTACACCTCCATCGATAATGTCAGAATTACAAGAGCGCATGAGTAACACTTTTTATAAATGATCAACTACGTAATGCAAATGTAAAATAAAATTCTTTAGATTGAAAATTCTGCATTGTTTTAAATGTTTTTCTTTAGATTTTTGGTTTAGGGATGAAATCTATCATATCCAATTCATTAGTATATAAACCAAATTACTATCCATAGCAGAGTATATTTGCAAATCCCATAATACTAATTTCTTACGTTTGACGCAAATAAGGTCATCCATCATTCCCTTTTTTCGCGAAATTAGCTAAAATAGTCATTTTTCATAATTTTTTTTCTAAAATTGTCCGTTTTGCATTAAAGAGGTTACTATAGGGACAATAAATGGGAAACTATCCGAATAACAAAGAGACATTGTATGAGTCAGGAGCTATTATAGAATAAAAGTCATGAAAAATGGCTATTTAGCACAAACACCCTGATTTTTCCAGACATGACGTGGTGCCAATTTTATATTTTATATTTTTTTTAAACTTTCCCACTTTCAATTTTCCCAGCGTCCAAACAGAACCAGAAAAAGTTACAGAGAAAAGTAGAAGTCCAAACTCCAGGGCAATCTTTGGCGCATAAGCTGTCATCCAGCTGATTCCAACTGTAACAACAGCAACAGAGAATCCAATCTACCTTGTTGCCTACGTGGCACCCTCCAAATGAGCTAAGGGTACTATCGTCATTTCAAGAAAAGTAGAAAACCATAGCCAATAGAATCAGATCCCGCACATTGGTGTAGCGAGCGCGCGAAGCACTGGATTGTTACCTCCGTCCGTACTGCCACGGGAAGCTTCCGACTAGACGACGGGCTCAAGCGTGTTTATCCGCGTTGAGAGAGAGAAATCTCTCTCTCTCTGAAAGCTTCAGAGGGTGTATTGCAATTTACAGAGAGGGAGAGAGGTACAACTTGTTCAACTCTGGTTGGCGGGAATTCGAAATTCTAGAGAGAGAGAGAGAGAGAGAGAGAGAGAGAGAGAGAGAGAGAGAGAGATGGGGGTGTCAGAGAATACGAAGGGGCTGATACTAGCGATGGCGTCGAGCGCCTTCATAGGCGCGAGCTTCATCTTGAAGAAGAAGGGTCTCAAGCGCGCTGGAGCTGCCGGTACTCGAGCAGGTCATTTTTACTCTTACATGAATTCTGGGTTCTATTCTTTTAGTTTATTTTCAATGTCAATGCCATTGGCACATTAGCATTTCCCTTTTTTGGATGGTTGAGGTCGGAAATTGGAGTTAATTACAAAGATTTAACCAAAAGATACAATTTTTGAAATTTAATTATGTGTTTGATGATTGATAGGTTCCAGAATCCAAACTGCTAATTCATGGTTTTGATTGTTTTTTGATTATTTAATAAGTTGCCATGTGATTGATTTGTTGTACATCTTTGATTTGGGTAATTGAAAATCTGTGTCTTTTGAGTTGTGCAGGAGTTGGTGGTTATACGTACTTACTAGAGCCACTTTGGTGGGCGGGCATGATCACCAGTAAGTACAGCTCTCTCTTTCTCTACAGAAAATGTATGTGACTGAAGTGATAAGTACATGTGAGTTATTGATATTTGGTTTTGAATTTTTTCAACTGGGTAGTGATTGGTGGAGAGGTTGCCAATTTTGTGGCTTATGTATATGCTCCAGCAGTTCTTGTAACCCCACTTGGTGCACTGAGTATAATAGTCAGGTAAATGCACTAATGTCTGAGTTCATTTCATTGCTGATTTCTGATCAAAACAAGGTATTGTTTAAAAGCTTTTGTTACCAACTGGCATGTTTGTTGGATTTGTCTAGTGCTGTTTTGGCTCACTTCTTGTTGAAGGAACGAATACAGAAAATGGGTATTGTGGGATGTGTTACCTGCATCGTGGGATCAGTGGTAATCGTGATCCATGCACCTCAAGAGCATACTCTAAATTCTGTACAGGAAATCTGGGTTCTGGCGACCCAACCAGGTTCATGACTTTAAACCTCATATTTCTTCTTCGTCTTCAATGCTACTTGCCATAGAACCTTCATTGTGTTGTCCTGAAAAATTACTTTTGTTTTTTTTTCCACAGCTTTTCTGGTTTACGTTGCTGCTACACTTTCCCTAGTGTTAACTTTGGTTTTGCATTTTGAAACTCACTATGGGCAAACAAATATACTAGTCTACTTGGGAATCTGTTCCTTGATGGGTTCACTTACGGTAACTATGATTTTCTAGTTTGCCAAGTACAAATAGGCACTTTGTTCCTCTATGTCTTATGTGTTCAAATTGTTAGGTGTTTAGCTGTGTACCTCTGCTGTGCTACTTCAGGTTGTAAGCATAAAGGCCATTGGAATTGCAATGAAGCTAACTCTTGAGGGAGTAAGTCAGATAGCCTATCCTCAGACTTGGTTTTTTCTGACTGTTGCAGTAATCTGCGTAGTTACACAGTTGAATTACCTCAACAAGGTCAGTATTGCGCTATTAATCTTGGTCTCTTCCTCCGAGACTATCATCATTGGCATTTTATGTGCTGACTAGCCATTTTGTGCTAAAAATATGTGCTACACCTGCAATGCCTATTCAGCATTTGGTTTCTCAGATCCTGATTTGCCCATTTGTTACATATTGACTCCAATGTGTTCCTGGCATATAAAGGAGGGGACAGTAATGCATTCTGCCCCTGTCATATAACTTGTAAATATAATAACACTTGATCAAATCTCAATCACACAGGATTTCCATTGTAATAAGTCTGGAAATTTCTCAAAATCTGAAAATTTAGTTATTGAAATTGGAAAGTGAGTTTAAGTTGGTCTACTTTATTGAAAAATTGAACTTTAAGTATCACGTGCTGCTTGCACAGTAATCTTGTTAGTACTTCAATTCAGCCATCTTTTAACTCAGACTTTCATGGACTTCAAATTATAATAATTACGTGCTGAATCTCACATCATTCAAGTTCATGGCCGCTTTGTTTCAGGCTTTGGATACATTCAATGCAGCAATTGTTGCCCCAGTATATTATGTGATGTTCACAACTCTGACCATTATTGCTAGTGTAATAATGTTCAAGGTAGATTGCTTGATCTATATACTGTGGTTTTCTTCTGATGCCTTTATTGGTTGTTTTCATGCAATTACAAAGACATGGGATTCTGAATTTCACGTTGTTTTCTATGTTCAATACAGGATTGGTCTGGTCAGGATGTAAGCAGCATAGCCTCTGAAATATGTGGATTCATCACTGTTCTGTCAGGAACTATCATACTCCATGCAACCAAAAATGAGGAATCATCTACACAAGGTATACATGGACTTTGCATCCTTCTATTATCTGGGATTTGGGGTTTTTATTATCTCCTTTAAATTCAGATCAACATGACAATTGAAAATTCTTATAAGATGATTGAGAATAAAACAGATGCATGCTAAATTTGATCCCAATGATCCGAAACATTCATTTTCCTCTTGATCAGGATGCTAATTTACAATGTTCCATGCCTACTCAGTTGCAATCCCATCATTAATTATTGGTTAGACTGAGGGGCATATTTACACTTACAGTTGGCTCTAACATTTACTATCTTTGCTTATGGCTGCTTACAGTAGTTTTTCTTTTCATAGCAGGAACTGTAACATGGTACATTAGAGATTCAATGAAGGGCTCTGAAGATGAACGTTTGCTCACCTTACACAATTCAGATTATCCTGAACCGTAACCCTGCAACAATCATCTTGGAGAATGAAATCCCCAGCAATGAAGCGGCACTGCAACAATCATTTTGAGTAGGGGTGAGTCTATGGGCATCTAGCACATTGCTCATTACACCTTCCAAATACCCGTTTACTCCTATTCATTTTAAAAAAAAATGGCCTCCCCTCCCCTCCCCTAGTTGGACATTTCTGTGGCCTAAGACCAGCCATAGCTAGTCTTTTTTATTATAAATTCTTTCTTCTTTTTGGATATGAAATGATTTGGGATATAATGAAAAAGTAAATGAATTTTTTTAGGGACAGGTTGTAGCAATGTGTTGGGTGCCAATAGCCTCCCTTTGAGTAGTGTTTGTAGTGTTGGGAGCTCCCGGTTTCTTCTAGACAGACCTTGGGGCTTTTAGCAGATTGCAAAAGTTACTTTTTATGTGCCTTTCTTCACCAGCCAGCGGATGCGACCCTCAACTGGATGCTCAAATTAAATTGAAGTGTGAGGTGTGGCACCACTCTCAATGCTAAGTTCTGAATCAGCCTCAGCTTAGGAATGGGGCTGCAGTTCTGTATCAATACCAGTGCATAGAGATATTTGTTGTGATCTTGGCAATGCTCAGTCTCTCCGTGGCTGCTGATGGCATCTGTACATATCGATGCTCGGCTTCTCGTTCACTAGTTTTCGTGCATGATTCTTCTTGATATCTGATTCAGTTTGATTCTTTCTTTTTCTTTCTAGTTTGTATATATTTTTTCTTATAGATGTCTTTCTAGTTTGTATTAGTCCTTTTTTCCTTGGTTAAGAAAATCTTTAGTTCATATTGGCATTGATAGATCATAGAACACACAGCTGAGAGGTGTAGTTGCCAATTAATGGGCAAATACTGCTTGGGAATTGTATATCTTGTATTTAACTCTTGAGTTTTTGCTTTTGCTGTCAATGAATTCTGTTGGTATAATGGCAAATGAACTGTACACTTTATTACACAGTAAACCATAAATTATATGATTCATATAATCTTTCTTCCATGATCAAAATTTAACCTTTATTTTTTAGCCAGGATGTTCAAAATTTAACTCGAATGTGCAGATTGTGCAATATTTTACTATTTAAGCAATGAAATCTTCCAAATTGCTTAGGCAGAAAAGAAATAATAAATAGTTTAATTACAAGATAATTTCAAAATTAAAGAACGTGAAATTCCTTTTATTGGGAAAATAAGATTCTAGAAGTCATGAGTTCATAACGTAATATGATCTGATCTGATGATGCTATAAAATAAAGCCGTTTTAAGATTGAGAGATTTATTAATAATTTGGTTTGGATGGATAATTACTGAAAGCTAACCTTTTTCTTGTTGTTTTTGTTTTTATGGATATAAAGTCGTCTAAAAGTTGAAAATGAAAATCTCGTTCATCTTTCTTGAATAGCTATTTCGTATCATAATTCTAATTCATTTCTTAAGTTATCTTATCACTAAACTAATTCGAAGTTACATTGAAATCCCCAGCTTAATTCTAACACATTTTTTACCATTCAAAATTGCCTAGTCTAATTCTAACTCATTTCTTACTGCAATTATAACTCCTCTATAACTGATTTACTATTGGTAATTAGTAAGGTTTTAGAGTTCCTCAAAATCATTATTGAAAAAAAAAAACAAAGTCAGATTCCCTCTCCAGATCAAAAAAGATAAAAAAGAGAGATTCTCTCTCTGATGAGGAAAATCATAAACTTCAATCTCCACCGTCGGATCAAATTCTCTTCCCTACCCTATATATTCGTAACCCCCTCTTCGCTTCTCAACAACGCAACGCTTCGCCAAAAAATCCATCCTTTGCGCAAAAACAAAGGAGAGACCTTTTCATCGCAGCACACAGTAACCACAACCATGGCGGCAACAGTGTCTCCTTGGGCCAAACCTGGCGCTTGGGCCCTCGCCGCCGAAGAGCAGGACGCCGAGCTCGAACAAGAAACCCAAAACGCACGACACGTCGTTGAGCCGCCCTCCGCCGACTACCCATCTTTGTCTGTAGCCGCCACCGCCAAGCCCAAGAAGAAGAACAAGGGCCAGAAAGTCTCCCTCGCCGAGTTCACGGCCTTCGGCGCGCCCAAGCCCGTGGCCCAGCCCGAGGGCCTCACCCACCAGGACCGCATGCATCTCCCGACCGGTCCGCGCGAGCGAACCGCCGAGGAGCTCGACAGGAATCGGCTCGGCGGCGGGTTCAGGTCCTATGGGTCTGATCGAGGAAACAGCAGGTTTTCCAACGGCGAAGAGTCGTCGGATTCGAAGTGGGGTTCGGGACAGAGGAGGGAAGGTGGATTTGGGAAGGAATCGAACCGCGATGGGCCTTCCAGGGCCGACGAGATTGATGATTGGGGCGCTGCGAAAAAATCGACGGTGGGAAATGGGTTTGAGAGGAGGGAGAGAGGAGCAGGAGGTAGTTTCTTTGGTGGGTCACAGTCGAAGGCTGATGAATCGGACAGTTGGGTATCCAATAAGAGCTCTGTGTCGTCTGAGGGACGGAGATTCGGTGCTTCCGGTGGTGGGTTCGATCGGGAGAGGAAAGTGGGGTTCACATCTGATGGAGGTGCTGATTCTGATAATTGGGGGAGGAAGAAGGAGGAGAGTAATGGTGGGTCTGGTTTTGATCGAGAAAGAAGAGTTGGGTTCGTATCCAATGGTGGTGGTGCGGATTCTGAGGTTTGGGGGAAGAAGAAGGAGGAGAGTAATGGTGGTCTGAATGAGGGTACTGGAAGGCCGAGGCTCAATTTGCAGCCGAGGACACTGCCTGTGAGCAACGAGACCTCACCTGGGTCGACGACAGTACCGAAACCCAAGGGGTCAAACCCGTTTGGTGAGGCGAGGCCAAGAGAGGAGGTGTTGGCAGAGAAGGGGAAGGACTGGAAGAAGATTGATGAGGAGCTCGAGTCGGTGAAGATTAAGGAGGTGGCTGAGAGAGACCACTCGCCCTCGTTTGGGAAGAGGAGTTTTGGGATAGGAAATGGGCGTGCCGGTGATCGAACTGAGAGAGCTTGGAGGAAGCCTGATGTGGCAGATGCTCGTCCCCAGAGGTTTGTTGTTTCAGTCATATAATTGATTGATTGGGTATATCAATCGCTAGTAATTAGAATGCTTAGTTGTAAAGTCTGATGCTTTTGATATTTCTATGTTGAACTTGATTGCATGGATTTTCTTAGCTATGTTAATTGGAAAGATGCATTGTTGATAGAATTGGTTTCAGTTAGTTATAGGAAAGTTTGCTTGATGGAACAGTGAATTAGCATATTGGTTGTATGTATGTATATGTGTGTCTTTCAGTTTAACCTTTTCATAAGGGGTTTGTCAACCTTGTGGGGGAGATGCTGAGCATTGATGGTTTGCATTTGTGTCCAAAAGGAAGCTTCTTGAGGTTTCTGTATTAAAAAGAAAATCACTTTGCCGAGCATTACTTGTTATCTTGTTGATAGGTCGAGTTTTACGAAATACTTGGTGCTATGATGAATTGCAATTCACTTTTGAGGATTTTTTATGCTGTCTTTGTTTTGCCCTCTTATCTTCTCATGTGCACACATAGACAAGTTTAAATTGGTGGGACTGCTATCTCTTTATTTTTGCCCTTGGGTAATATATTTCTAATTTGTTTGATAAAACACCCTCCTTTTTCATTTTCAACCCTAACCTTGTGATATTCTGAAGGCTGCCCATTCATCTTTAGATGTTTTTGCAATTTTCCCTTCTGCTGTTTGACACATACTACTACTACTATCCCTAACCCTGGCTGCTGCACAAGGAAAAAAAGTTGTTTTATGTAAGTATGTGTTAAAGATGAATATTGGACTAGAAGGATCTACCTGACTTGAATGGAGCCATTTAAAGTTAAAGGTTCATGTAACCATGGATTTCTCTTTTAGTTTTTAGGGGGTTAGTAACTTGTAATGTGTGTGATTAGACGTGCTTTCAACTATTTGTTGCTATTTTCAGGGTTCGTTAAAACTCTGAAACTAATAGTTTTCTTTCCGTGTAGTGCTGAGGAAAATGAGAGTAGGAGCAGTTCTGTGGAACCAGAGAATGGCCATGTTGATGAGCATGTTGACAGTCATGTTGACGGGCATGCTGATGAGTGAAGATGCGTTTTACAAGTTTGGTGTAAGCCATGGGAAAAGATTTTAAGTTGAGCTGTTGGATCCATGAGGCTGTTGAATTTTCAGTTTCAATGATTTGTGTTCTTTTCTGCGACTGTAATACATTGAACTTGAGACAATTTTTGTAGGATTTTAAATAGCTATACTAGTTTTGCCCGTAGGGCTTTGTTTGTATGTTGTATTTAAGATTGAGAAATACTTTAAACTCTAATTATTATTTTTGATCCTTAAATTCTGGTTCACACATTTCATGGTTGAAGATTTTGGTATGTTGTGCATTTGATGCTTATGGTTCTGCCTATGTTCTCTGGATAATTTATTTTGTGTTTTAACATGAAATGCTGCATAAATTTATGTATTTCTGGTCGTGTGATCGATTGAATTTTGCTGAATGTGTACATTTTTCGGTTATTTACAGTATAGGGTTTGCTGATGTTTTAACTTTTTTATGACTTAGGGTAAGGGTCAGAATTGGCTGAACTGGAATTAGAGTTGCCTGTAGTTTCAAGTTACTGATTTATAGAATGAATCATATTTGTAAGCAAGTAGACTTCTGATTGAATCATTTTTAGCATGCATTATTCTGCTATAGGTTCAAAATTTTGTTGCGAGTAACTGATGTTGTAATTGTTTTGGCCAAAAAAAGAGACGAGAAAACATATTGCAAAGGCTTAGTTTTCAGTTTTATGCTAAAGAAACAATACAGAAGTTGCAATTCTGATGACTCATGAGAGATTCTTGAATGTCTTCAGTCGTATAATAGTAATAGGGTAGATTTTCCCCCACAAAATTACGAAAATGGCACAGTTGACTGGTTAGATGTCACCAGTTGTACAGCCACAGAAGGACGGCAAGGGCATTGGCTGTGAGCCTTAGGGATTGCTTTTGTAACTGCTAAAGCGCTACTGGCATAAGTGCTTTTAGTGCCAAGTGGGCACTCACTGCTACAGTTGCTCTGTCATGCTACAACAACAATGCAGGTCCACGTTACACTGGTATGGAGTTTGGTTCATCATCATTTTGTTGGCAATATTTTAAGTTCACTCTCTTAATCTGATTCTTCTTCTTATTTTTTTAAATAATTAGTTTATAATTACTTGTTTTTAAAAAAAAAAAAAAGGAAAAAAAAAAAAAAAAAAAAAAAAAAAAAAAATCAAGGCTGGCCTTAGGCCATGTTCGAAGAGGTTAGATTACACTACAGAAAACAAAAGTTCACCTTCAGCGTGTGCCTCGCCTAGCAATATGTCATTAGACAAATACATCAATTTTTGAGTAAGTATGGGCACGAGAAAGAGGTTTGCAGACATGTGTGAGGTGTAGTTGAAGAGCATTAAAGAGAAGCCATTACTTATTTCTCTGTCTTTGCACATCGTGAACCTCTATCTCCTTATAGGCCTTCCTCATCAATGCCTTTGCTGCTTTGACGGCCAACTAATGCCCCCCACCAGCAAAACCTTGAAGTCATGTTTTTTGGATACAAACCGACCCACGTCTCCAATAATGGCAACATATGGACTTCTTGCCTTCAAAATCTTGGGATAGGCACTACTCATGTCCAGAGTCTGTGTTTGCGTGACAAAATTATTCTAAAACTAAAAACTCCTGCCCTGCAGTTATATCTATGGCCGTGGATGAAATAACATGTTATGGTGTGTATACACTATTGTGTCTATCTCTCTAATCACATGATACGCCATGCGTATGCATCAACTTCAAACAATTAATTGTTGGATCATAACACTTGTGATTTCAAAATTAGTTCTAATGAAACCAAGAATATTAGGCTATTAGCACCAGCCTTAAATGCACCTCTGGTTTTAAAATGGTGTTTTCCACCCACCATAAAGGCAGGTAGTTGAGAGTTGAATGTAAGCATTACTTTACCATACTCTGTATTAATTTGCTTCTTATGGGTGTTCATCACATTCTTATTTTTACACCAAACCCTCTTCTTTATTCTTTACTCTCTCTTTCTTTGCATTTTCATTTAGTCCAACTCCAATGCCCATGGATTGGCTACAAAAGTTCATTTTGGCAGCACTTCTCATTTTGGCTGCAGCCATTGATGGAGCTCAGGCAGATACCGTGGTCAGTGGCACAGTCTTCTGTGACCAATGCAAAGATGGTGAAAGATCCCTCTTTGATTATCCCATCAATGGTGAGATCCATAATCTCTAATTAATTAGTACTAATCACATTCTCTATTAACACTCTTAATTGTAAATTCATATGCTTTTGTATTTTGCAGGTGTTAAAGTACAAGTGGCTTGCAGTGACAGCAATGGGCAAATCACAATGTCAAGGGAAGAAACAACAAATTGGTTTGGAAACTATGCTGTCAAGTTTGATGGCACGCCAGATTTGAGTGGCTGTTTTGCTCAGGTTTCAAGCACAGGGCAAGGCTCAAATGGCTGTGGGGTTAGTGCTGGCCCTGCTCAAAGCCTTAGACTTATCTTTAGGATATTTGATACGGCGATGTATGCTGTGGACTCTTTGCTCACTCAGCCTGCTCAGCCTATGTCATTTTGCCCAAGGTCAGCTAATCCGGTGGCTCCTGCGCGGCCGACACCAGCTAGGCCTCTGCCTAACCCGGCCAGCCCTCCGCCTTTTAGGTTTCCCCCTCTTCCAAAATTGCCTCCATTGCCTCCATTGCCTCCATTGCCTCCACTGCCCTCATTGCCTCCATTGCCTCCACTGCCCTCATTGCCTCCAATGCCACCAGTGCCCTTCTTGGAAGCTACAGCATGCCCTCATCAGTAAGTTATTTACTGTGGTTTGCTTTGTAGTGTCTTAAGTTGTTGGTTACCTACTTTGAGTGTGGTGAGTAAAAATTGTTTTCTCCATAAAATACCATAGAGTCTAGTATGATCTATTATGGTGTACACCAAACTGTTTTTCTACTTACCAACCAACTCTTGGTTTAGCGATATTTCTCTTTTAGTGTTAAAAGAGGTTCCAAGTTTGAATTCAACGATTTTTTTCTTTCTGACCATTTGATGGGGTTGTGTTTTTTCAGGCAGTGGACATTGCCAGGGCACAAATGCTACTGGAGGGCAGTGAGCCCGGACACAAAGGTAGCCGTTGTTTTCGGATTGGCGGCGGCCAGGAGATACGGGACTGACCTGACATTATTGCAAGGCCTACAAGGAAGAGGAGAACCTTACAGGACTCTCCTGAGGGAAGGGATCACTGCATTTCTCAACTCCTACAGTAGTCTTCAATTTCCTTACAATTCAATTGCTGTGGTCCAGCATTTTAATTATGGCTTGATGGGCTCCAACAGAAACGTCCTCTTTACAGCCTTGCGCTTCATCAGGGCCAATTCAGGTTATGGGAGAGTCCCTTGCAAATTTACTGCTTGCAAGTGATTTCTATTTTAAATCTAAATTGTATTAGACTGTGTTAAGTTTGCTTCTATGTTTAGCTTAAACTATGATTATGTATTTTTGATTCTAAAGAGAGAGGGAGGCCTAGAGTCGAACTTTAGTTATGAGTGCATGGTTATAAGTGCTCTACTACTAAAGCTATAAGGTCTTCCAAGTTACGATATTTAAACAGTTCCATTCTTGTATTTTTTATATGAATTTGTAGTTTATCTATATTTTTCTTTTTTATTTAACTAATTAACATAATTTATGATTTATAAGGTTTGTCTATCATCAATCAAATCTTCAATTGATTAAGATTTGATCGTCATCATTTTCAAATCTTCAATTGATTAAGGTTTGTTCGTCATCAATATCAAATCTTCAATTGACTATCATATCTGCCGACAGAAACCAGATTTCATCTGGTAAGGTTATATATGAATGGTCACACAAATCCCACAAGAGAAAATATGACCGTAAACCATGTCATCCCTAAAATAGGGGAAAATAAACCATGTTGTCCATCTATATTATAACATGTGTACAATATCTATTACGTGACCATACTATGTGGTATTTTATAATTTCTCCATCTTATGAATATCTGTTGAGAATTGATTGAGCTTCTGTCCATTTCAATCAAATAATATTGAATGGCATTTCTACGTACTGATCAAAACTAATGTTGTTTAGTCAACACCATGCGTATAAAAAGAAAAACCCACGGTTCTCTTGCCAAGGCCACAAAATTAAAGCAGAGCAAAATGAAGCTCACGGTCAAGCAGGTACAAGTTCTTTGCTTTTGGGCTCTAATTGTGTGCATGCTTATAATGCCCTTCCTTTTTCATAACCACTTAGCAAAATTCCTTAACACACATACATATTTGAGAAGGAGACTGTCCGTTGTTCTCCAATTTTTCTTGCATGGCACTCCTGGGGGCATCAACCCTAGCGCGACCTGTGTGGTCCGACCCAATGGCACCCAATGACACCTTGCACACTCCGTTTGGCACGGTTTGGGTTGTGGATGACCACATTGACAGAGGGAAACGACCCGAAATCAAGGGTCATTGGCAACTCTAGAGGTGTATATGTGTCCGCAGGTAAGAATGAGCTAATGCTTGTGGCTTACCTTGACTTCGGATTTACCAGTGGCAAGTTCAATAGCAGCTCCATCTGTGCTTTTGAGGAACCTGGTAAGGGACGTTGATCGGGAGTTCACGGTGGTTAGTGGCCGGGGGAAGTTTAGGATGGCTAGAGGGTTTTGCAAGCTTAAGTGCATTTTCTTCAATGAGACTAATGGTTCTATTGTAGAGTACACTGTGGTAGTGAGGCATTATTGAGCTTGGTCTGTATCTTAATATATATATAACTCATCAAACATTTCCTAAGGTGCAGTGAAATTAGAACTAATTCAGATTATGGGACAATCCCTTGCAAATTTACCGATTGCAAGTGATATGTTTGTCTTACATGTGTTAAGCTTGCTTCTATGTTTAGCTTAAACTATAATTATGTTTTTATTTTTTCAAAATTCTAGAGACATATTGACCTCATTGAGGCCGAAATTCGAACTTTGGTACAAGGTTAAGTACTCAGCTACTAAAGTTATAAGCCCTTGCAAATTATGATATGTAAACACATTTCCAGTAATGTTGTTCGAAATACTAGTTACTGGCTAAAAAATTTATCAAGCTAATGACCATCATATCTTACATATGGCCGAATTAAACATCATCAGTAAGAAGTGCAGTTGGGCGTTTGATGGAAAGAAAGCACAGTTGGCACTTAATTCCAAGGAAAATCAGTTGTGCTTCAATTTAAGGAACTCTGTTTACACTCCAATCTCGTCTTTGGACACCCATTAATGTTGTTTTAAAAATATAATAACAATTATAACCCGTTCATAAGATTACTATAATGGGCTTCGTTACGTTTATATAAAAATTTCAATTTCTTGGGCACTCACAAAATATCATTAAACCTCACCCTTCCACTCTCACTAATACTATACCTATTATTTCTCTAACTTCTTAACCACAACCCATAAATCACTAATTCTTACGTGAAATAAATCTACCTAAATTATGTGGAAAGAATTCGACCAATTATTATTATTATTATTATTATTTTATGTGGAAAGACTATAATAATGTACAAACAACTTATCGTCTATGATAACTCTAATTAATAAGGAAAAAGTATGATTTTGTGTGTCTTGGGACACTTTTTTTCTTCCGGTTTTGACATTGACATTTTTTGAGTTGCGACACATACAGTGATTAGGAACCACACAACTCATAAATCTGCAGTTAGGAAACCACACATCATCAAGTTGTGTGGCCAACACCAACCACATATTTTTATTTTTATTTTTGAGATACACCAACCACATATTTTTTAGTAATAATAAAAAAAAATTCAATCTCAACTAATGTGGTAATGTTTTATTTATTTATATTTCAATTCACCGTGAACATCATTTATTTAGATTACCATATTATGTGTCACCCTAAAAAAACTGATCTTGCACCATATTAATTGATATTATAGAAAGTTGCAATAGTAGAACTTGGTTTAACAAGGTGGCCTTTGAGTGAGGTTAGATCATATAGAAGAAGAAAAATTTCATTGAATGGAACTTTACTTTTGGATCTTAGGGTTAGGTTACATCCTAGGTGTATTCGTCTGACCACTAGAAACAATCACGAGATTCTTGTTTTAAAATAAGGTGGTCCAATCTTAAGTTGTCATAAACATTGCCTTGTTCTAGAAATAGTGGTCCAATCTTTGTGATCATAGTATTAGTACTTAACACCAGACTTGCGCGACAAGGTACTTGGCTTTTAGTCACGACTCGTTACATAATATCAACTCATATTTAGACCAATTGTCCATGATGTTTTTATGATTAAAAATTGTCCATGATAATGCTGAGGCAAGTAGACGTGGGTTATGTTTTCTATTGTTGTTCCTTTTATAGGAAACGCTACTACAAAATCAGGCTTTGGGCACCAATGCACCATTACTTTTTGTGCTCTTTGCACAGTTATTCGTATTCTATGTTAATAGTCATAGTGCAATTGCAATAAATTGGTTGGTTTGTTCTGTAGGAGAAGACACGATTAATAGGTCGGTTTGCTTTGTAGGAGTTTTCATTACTCATAAAGCACGATTTATTGGTCGGTTTGGTTTGTAGGAGTTTCTATTGCTCATAAGGCACGATTTTTCTTTTGTAGGAGTTTCTATTGCTCATAAGGCACGATTTTTCTTTTTCATGCTCTAAACTCATCATTATTTTTGGGCACAAATGTGACATTGATCTTACTACAACGGTTGTTGCTTTTGATTTCACTTTTGTATATGCACATCAATTATTAATTTGTGTCCAAAATATTTATTTCTGAAAAAAAAATTGATTGTTAAAAATAAAAATATAAATCACCTATTCTCTCTCTCCACCGCCACCTATTGTCTCACTCTCTCTCTTTCTCAAAAACCACCACCACCACCACCTTGTGTCTGTCCACCATCTAAACCACCGTCACTTCCTCTCTCTCCTCCACATCTCTCTCTACCATCTCCACCTCATCTCTCTCTCTCTCTCTCTCTCTCTCGTCCAAAATCTGCTCTCGCACACAACCTCAGCCCAGGCCCAATTTTAAGATCCCAGCCTTAAAACCCACCCTAGCCCTACCACCATTGGCTCCACTTAGTTAATTCTCTCGCTCTATATCCCTCCAAATCTTCTCTAGACACCCATCATCAATGTTCAAATTGCAACCTCTAACACCCCAAATTCGAGGCCTGCCACTCACGATCTCACAGTCGTGAATCTGAAACGTGGGTTGGGTGGGTGGGGTCCGACTACAGGTGCATAAAGGTGGAGATGGCTGGGCTAGGTGCGGCTACAGTTGGGCTTCAGAGGGCTGGGGTTGGGTGGGGGTGGGGAAAAATTGGTGGGTTGTGGGCTGCTGGGGATGGGGAGGACGGCGATGGGGGAGCAGAGAGGCAAATGAAAATCTAAGTAGAATGAGAATAAAGGAGGCTGGTTTTCAGTTTCTAAATGAAGTTATTATTACTCACAGTGACATGGAAATTAGGCACAAATCTCGTGTCAAAATTTCAATGGGCACAAATAGATTCTTTCTGTACTCGTCTTAGACACAAACCTACAGTGTTTTATGTGTAATAGATATGTTTAAGACATGTTTAAGACATTTTTGTGCTAAATGAAGTTGAAAAAGACATGATACTTCTTTTGTGCTCTATAAAATGTGTCTTTAGAGCAGTTTCGTAGTAGTGAAATAAATTGTACATGCCTAATTATGTAGCATGCGATCATGTTGTTATACTAGAATTGCTTAAAACTTCCATATGGACATCAAATGACAAAAATTGTAGGAGAAAGTTGCTTCAAACAATAATCAAATACTCAGAACAAGGAAAAATTGCAGTCTCCTAACAAAGAGAAAGAGTATATCATCCAGCTATTAGCAATGAATCTGGTTCTTTGTATCTCAATCCTCTATAAAGAGTATTAACCTAGAATAGTGTACATAATATTAGAATCATTAGCTTGTTGGGTATGTGACAATAATACTCGAAACTTCATATAGTCCATGGTTATGTTGGGAACTAATATAAAAAAGATATAGCTTTAAATCATAGATAACTGTCCACAAATTGGATAATTTTAGTTCCATAGATAGAAGGTCAAAAGTAAGAGTTCATCACGATATCATCTCTAAAAGTGAGGTCAAATGCAAAATGTTAAATTCGGATTTGATGACCTATTTAGCAATTTGACGCTTTATAAATTTTTAATTTTCACCCGAAATATCATATAACATATTACTTTTATTTTTATTACATCTTTTTTTTAAAAAAATGGGGGTCATATTAAAAGAATAAACGATAGTAGGGCCCAACATATAAAAAGACTTTAAAATAACTTATCAAAAGAGCTTCGAGTGTGAATTGCATTGCTCGATCCACCATGTGACACACACGTTGGTAGTTCGTTTCTGATAATCTGAACAGACATATGTACGCTTGATTTGGGACCAGACCAGCTATTATCAACTTTGAAGGAAAATGTGTGGCGCATGCAAGTACGGAAAAAGATGAAAAAGAAAGAGAATATAATTTCAATCCCACTTCAGGCTGCAAAGGTTTTCATTCACACAACCTGAAATATGGGAAGGTTCTGTTTGCATATAGTTGATAAAATCAACTATCCAAGTGTGTCAGCTGGCAGATTGCAATTGGTGCTAGCTGGTTCTTCTTGTGGTCACAGACTCACCATACAACACTAATTTTGTCTTATCTTTTGGTGGGAAACATGAGCTTTGAATTGTCACCTCAATCAAATTCAAATCAAACTCAAGTGCTTGAGTGAGTGTTCATGGTGGGGGGCAATGTAGATTAAGTTATGGGACCAGAGAAACTTTTGGGATCCTATATCCATGGCACAATTTCTAAGTTTGAAGTTGTAAATTAAGTTATAGTGATCACTGCTCCAATGGCACAACCAAGCCTCTCTCACTTCTCATCCTTCCTTTTGATTCTTCTTGTCTTTGCATTGCCACTTGGGCAACAAACAGCTGCAGGACATGGACTCTCAATCAAGGAAGCCACCATAGACGATCTCCAACTAGCTTTCAAGCACAGCAAGCTCACCTCAAGGCAACTTGTCCAGTTTTACCTTGGGGAAATCAGCAAGCTCAACCCTTTCCTCAAGGGGGTCATAGAAGTGAACCCGGACGCGCTTTATCTTGCGGACAAGGCTGACTACGAGCGCAAGACTAAAGCACCATCTGTGTCACTCTCTAAGTTACATGGCATTCCCATTCTGGTCAAGGACAACATTGCAACCAAGGACAAGTTGAACACCACAGCTGGCTCTTATGCTCTGCTTGGCTCAGTTGTGCCCCGGGACGCCGGCGTGGTGACCAAGTTGAGGAAGGCTGGGGCTATCATACTGGGAAAGGCCAGCTTGAGTGAGTGGTCCTATTGGAGGTCCAATGATGCACCTTCTGGTTGGAGTGGCAGAGGTGGCCAAGGGGTGGTGAGTTGAGGATCATTAATTGCCTCATGTATACCTTGTTTGATTTATTTAAAGGGTTAAGTTCTCTTGGTAGATACCTGGTATGTTATGTTGTGAAACTGTCAATTTAAAACATACATTCAACTAAAAGTTCACATAACTAATGTTCGAGATTGACTGACAGTCTGATAATATAACATAACAGATTCTGAGATATAGTTCCGTTGAGTGCAGAACCCTTACAATTTCAACGCGACGCCAAGCGGCTCAAGTAGCGGGTCGGCAATATCAGCGGCAGCAAATCTGGCAACAGTGACACTTGGGAGTGAAACAGACGGGTCAATCTTAAGTCCATCCAGTCGGAACTCAGTGGTGGGCATCAAACCAACAATTGGCCTTACAAGTCGAGCAGGGGTTGTTCCAATCTCTCCAAGACAGGACACGGTCGGGTAAGTGGTGATCAATCAATGTAAGTTATTTTTACATTAATTTAGATGGCTACCTTTTCAGTCTCATTGTTTGTTGGGGGGTGTTGGATTGAACAGGCCAATTGCTAGGACAGTATCAGATGCCGCATATGTTCTTGATGTCATTGCAGGCATTGACAGCAATGACCTTGCAACAATTGAGGCATCGAGGTACATTCCCAAGGGCGGCTATGCACAATTTCTCAGACCTGATGGACTTAGAGGTAAGAGAATAGGGATAGTGAGAGCCTTGTTCAACTTCGGCGGTGACGCTTCGTTGACTCGAACTTTTGAACAGCATTTCAAAACTCTGAGGTAACAAAACCATGTATTAGTCTCTCCAATTCGAGACATACGTTCTGTTTTGATGACATAATAAGTTGTTGGAATTTGGAAATTTAATGTAGGAAAAGAGGTGCTGTTTTGGTAGACAATTTGGAAATAGCACATTTTGATGAAATCTACTATAATTCAAGTAGTGAAAGCATTGCATTGTCTGCTGAGTTCAAAATTTACTTGAACACATACCTCAAGAACTTGGTGGCTTCGCCGGTTCGATCCTTGGCAGATGTGATAGCCTTCAACAATAAAAACTCAAAACTGGTGAGTAAATAGGAGCAAGGGTTTATGTTACTTTCAAATTATATGCCCAGAATTTGTCCTAAGTAATTGGTTGAGCTACCGCAATGCAGGAGAAAGTGAAGGAGTATGGCCAAGGCCTACTCTTGGAAGCTGAAGCAACAAATGGGATTGGCAATGCAGAGAAGGCAGCGCTGGTAAACTTGGCAAAGCTATCCAAAAATGGTTTCGAGAAGCTCATGACGAAGAAGAGGCTAGACGCAGTAGTGGCTCCATCTGCAGCCGTGTCGACGTTGCTCGCCATAGCAGGTTCCCCAGGTGTGGTTGTCCCAGCAGGATATAATAAAGATGGGGTACCGTTTGGCATCTCCTTTGGCGGGCTGAGGGGTTCGGAGCCAAAGCTAATTGAGATAGCATACGGCTTTGAGCAAGCCACTAAGATTAGGAAGCCTCCTTCACTTAAAAACTTCAAGATTTAGAGCCCCATTTTATTGGTATTGAAGCTAATGGGTGTACTATTGTAGTCTCATGATCAATAAAAATGCTAAGAATAATAATGACGGGTCTTGATCATTTAGGTTTTATTACAACTGTTCTCTTGGTCTAATACTATTTCTCTTTCAAATGGTGCAAGATATTCAAGTTCAAATGGCTCTCCCAAATAATAATAATAATAATAATAATAATAAACAGAAATTATATTAAAATTGAAAACCATAATTACTTGTTTTCTATGATAACCTTTTCATGTGTTTAATAACTGGAATGCATCATGATTTTACCACAATATCAATACATTTAGCATTAAGAGTACAAGTGATAGTCTAAACTATATAAGGGCATGTTTACGTATCAGTAATGGAGAAACTAAGGAATCAAAGAATTTAGGAATCGAAGAACTACTGAATCAGTATGGGAAAAATCATTCCCATTAAGCTATTTACTAAACATATGGAATTAGCAATTGAATGGGATTGATTCCCATTGTTATTGTTTACTAATTTGCATAAATCAGAATCCAAATTAATTTTAGAATTATGATAAAGTGATAAGGGTATTTTTGGAAGTTATTAAGAGAAAACAGGAATGAGAATCGTATCGACTACTCCCCCCTAGTTGATCTGATTCCTAGTTTTGAGGGAATGTGATTACGGATTTTGAGATAGGGCCCACTTTTTTTTTCATTCCTGATTGCAAGTAAACGCAGGAGAAGTCAGAAATGGAAATCATTCCCTTTCCTTCCATACCCATTACTGATACGTAAACATGCCCTAGAGTTGAGATGATTGATGATGAAGAATGAATATTTTTATTTATTTTTTTTTTTTTTTTTTTTTTTTTTTTTTTTTAATAATTTTTTTTTTTTACAGGTTTTTTTTTCATTGTGCTAGACCCGATTGGCAACAAAATATGTATGATTTAGACATTATAAACATGATCCATAACCATAGGAAACATAATATAACTAAGTAAATAATAAGCCAAAGAGAAACTCCTATCCCGTGAGAATTAACCAATTAAACATCATCTAATCAAATTGCTCTCACTATCAAAGGCGGAGGCACAGAGGGACAAGAGGGGTCAGGTGACCTCATGGCAACTAGAAAGGTACCTGTAGAGGTCTCAGATGACCCTATGGCTGGCTGGTGTGTGACCCTGAAGGTGCGCACCAAATGTTTGATGAAAGGTTTGAAAGACCTTGCGATGCTGCTGTTGTGCGCAGCACATGCGAGGTCTCTTTTTTTTTCAAAATCGCATGGCCAAAACGACGTTGTTTTGGTCCAGGCGTATTCAAATTTTTTTTAATGACCTGGCTTCAAAACGACATCTTTTTGAGCCAGCTTATAAATAAATAAATAAAAGAATATAACCCATCCTTTTTTTTTCACATTTACACCAGGTCTTAAATATGCTGATCTTTAAAGCACTTCCAGCGCGCGTTTTCAACCCTGGTAGAAGGGGGCCCAAAGGCCACAATCCAACTCCACCGTGCCAAGTCTAGCCAGGGCAAGGGTTGGGTCTCATAAGCCTAGCAAGCCCACAGGCAAATTCAGCTTGAGCTGCTGCCTAGGCAAAATGACACACTGCTGACGTCATTAACAAAAAAAAAAAGACAAAAAAAACCAAAATTCCAGAATTCCAGAATTTTTTTAGGGAGATTCACTAATATACCCAATATAGGAGCCCAAATTATAAAAAAACCCTATATGAAATGGAATTTATAAACACACCCAAAGCCCATTTATAACATAACAAAAAGGCTTTTAACTTCTTTTAAATTATAAAATTGCCATTGATTTCTTAAAACAAACCCAACCCAAAATTTCATAAAAAAGCCCAAAACACTCAATAGGGTATCAAAGTAATTTAATAATTAAAATTAAATTTAATAGTACCATTTGTCATTTTTTGGGTTTTTTTTGGGTATGTTTATAAAAATGAAATGATGTAGGGTTTATTTATAGTTTTAGTGCTAAGAATGGGTATATTACTAAATATCTCATTTTTTTAATTATATATATATATACAGAGAGCTTCTATTAAGGGATCCCTCAAATAAGCTTATTTGAGGGACATCCCTTATAAGGCCCACTCTGGATTGTATTTCACTAATCCAAACAATCTATTTTATAGATACTCATTGAAAGATCATCTCTACAAAAAATCACTTGAATCCGATATCATTTGACCACTCAATTAAGTTATTGAAATTTTAGTACTTTTTTGAAGCACCGTGTTCATTGATTTTGCAGGATACAATTGGATGTCGAAACGGTTTGCAATTTGTCTAATTTTTTTTTAAGGATGATCTATGAATGAAGACCTACGAAATAGATGGTTTGGATCATTGGAGAAAAAATTGTAAGGGATCCCTCAGTAGAATGGGACTGTATATATATATACGAAGAGCTTCCATTGAGGGATCCCTCAAATAAGCTTATTTGAGGAACACCCTTTGTAGGGCCCACTTCAGATTGTATTTCACTAATCCAAACCTTTTGTAGATACTCATTCAAAGATCATTTCTACAAAAAAATCATTTGAATCTAATATCATTTGACCACTCAATTGAATTCTTGAAATTTTAGTATTTTCTTGAAGCACCGTGTTCATTGATTTTGTAGGACACAATTGAATGTCTAAACGGTTTCCGATTTGTCTAATTTTTTGCAAGGATGATCTATGAATATAGACTTAAAAAATAGATGGTTTGGATCATTGAAAATAAATTCGTAGGGTACCCTAAAGTGTATCCCTCAAATAAAATTATTTGAGGGATCCCTCAATAGAAGGGGACTGATATATATATATATATATATATATATATCTAGCCATATTCATTACTTCCCACATCAAAAACTTCTTTCAAATTCATCTCCTCATATCTCATGTGAATAGTAATTGCCCTTGCCCTAGCCCATAAGGGTGGAAACAAAATTACAAGGGCTGCCACTATTCACATGAATAGTGACAACCCTTGCCTTGCCTTTGCCCATAGGGGTGAAAGTGCTCTTATATCAATTTCTTCATATATTACAATTGTACTAGCTAGTACAAGCACCCCTTTTACTTGCCCAGCTAGACTCCCCCCTCGTTAACCCCCCAAATGAATAGTTGTTCCTCCTCTCATCAACAATTGATTAGGGGGTTATTGATAGTGTTTTCATTAAATGATTAATGCTTGTGTTTTGATTAATTGATTAGGGATTTGTGTTTTGATTAGTTTATTAGGGTTTTTTTCAAATTTTTGATTAGGGTCTTGTGCTTAGGTGTTTTTTTATATGTTTTGTGTTTTGATTAGTTGATTAGGAATGAAAATGCTATTGTTTAATTATTCAATGTTAATTTTGTTCTTAAGAAAAAATTCAAAACCTTTACACTATGACCCCATATTCTAAGAATCCTGAATTTTCCACTGGTTACTATACCTATTATTTCTCTAACTTCTTAACCACAACCCATAAATCACTAATTCTTATGTAAAATAAATCTACCTAAATTATGCGGAAAGAGTTCGACCAAAAAAAAAAAATTATGTGGGAAGACTACAATGTACAAACAACTTGTCGTCTATGATAACTCTAATAAGGAAAAAGTATGATTTTGTGTGTCTTGGGACACTCTTTTTGTTTTTTCCGGTTTCGACATTGAAAATTTTTGAGTCGCAACACATGCAATGACCAAGAACCACACAACTCATAAATCTGCAATTAGGAAACCACACATCATCAAGTTGTGTGGCCAACACCAACCATATATTTTTACTTTTATTTTTGAGATATCGAGTAATAATAATCCTAGAAGTATCAAATTTTTTCAATCTCAACTAATGTGATAATGTTTCATTTATTTATAGTTCAATTCACCGTGAACATCATTTATTTAGATTGACATATTATGTGTCACCCTGAAGAAAACTGATCTTGCACCATATTAATTGATATTAGAAAGTTGCAATAGTAGAAACAAGGTGGCCTTTGAGTGAGGTTAGATCATATAGAAGAACAAAAATTTCATTGAATGGAACTTTACTTTTGGACCTTAGGGTTAGGTTACATCCTAGGTGTATTCGTATGACTACTAGAAACAATCACAAGATTCTTGTTTTAAAATAAGGTGGTCCAATCTTAATTTGTCATAAACATTGCCTTGTTCTAGAAATAGTGGTCCAATCTTTGTGATCATAGTATTAGTACTTACTATCAATATACGTAGTAAATTGTCATACAAACTTCTATTCTTTAAAACAAGACTTGCGCGACAAGGTACTTGGCTTTTAGTCATGACTCGTTAAATAATATCAACTCATATTTAGACCAATTGTCCATGATGTTTTTTTTTATCAAAAATTGTTCATGATAATGTTGAAGCAAGTAAATGTACGGGTTTTGTTTTCTATTGTTGTTCCTTCTGTAGGAAATAAACTGTACATGCCTACTTATGTAACATGCGATCATGTTGTTATACTAGAATTGCTTAAAACTTGCATGTGGATAATGACAAAAAATCGTAGGAGAAAGTTGCCCCAACCGATAATCAAATCCTACATGAAATTTAAAGCAACAAAGGGGTTATTTAAAAATTTATCATGTGTCAAATTGCCGTATAGGTCATCAAGAGATGATATTGTGATGAACTATTACTTTTGGCCTTCTATCTATGCAACCAAAAATTATCCAATTTGTGAACGGTTATCTATGATATAAGGCTTTATAATTCCTTTTTTTAGTTCCCAACAGAATCATGGACTGTACATGAAGTTTTAAGTATTATTGTCACATACCCGACATGGTAATGATTATAATATTATGTACACTATTATAGGTTAATACGGATTGAGATACAAAGAACCAGATTCATGGATAATAGCTGAATGATATACTCTCTCTTTGTCAGGAGACTGCAATTTTTCCTTGTTCAGTTGTTCTGAGTATTCTTAGAATCAAAAGAGCTTTGAGTGTGAATTGCATTGCTCGATCCACCATGTGATACACGTTGGTAGTTCATTTCTGATAATCTGAACAGACATACTGATGCAGGAGCATAGGGGTGGATCAAGATAGATATTTACCATTTAATTAGCTATTTCTTGATATATTGTTATTTTCTTATTTAGGTAGTTTTAGGATATCTTTTATTATTTATGTGTGATTTTATAATTAATTGGTTTGCTTTTGGACCAAGCAGTCTTGGTGCCCAAGTCTTGTAAAACCTATAAATAAGGCTATTGTAATAGTTGTAGGGAGAGGGAATATTGATGATTAATGAAATAGTTTATTTGTGGCATGAATTTGCTACGATATATGTGAGTTTGCATTAGCCCTAGATTTCGGTGCTCGTGTATGTGGTTGGTGACCTGTGTTCTAATCCCGATCCCCATCAATTGGTATCAGAGCTACGGCTCAAGATCTGCTTTATTGGGGAGGTTTTTGGATGAAGGGTCGTGTTGACAACTACAACGACATGGAGGAAATTAGGAGGATGCTACGGCAACTTACGGAACGCGTCGCTCGCATCGAAGCTCGAACCCAGATCAGTAAGAGTTTTGACGGGGAGAGAAGCGTGAACCCTTATCTGAACCGAGTAGCTCGCATCGACACTCTAAGCCGTGAGAGTCTCGACGGGGAATACGAGGGGGATAGCCCTTTTCATTATTGCGCTCTGCTGTGTGAGTCAAGTGAAGAGGGGCACGGTTATTCTCATTGTGTCTATGAAGGTATAAATAGATTTGGTAATTTTGGTGCATCTTGTTATTCATCAAAGTTATTAAATTGGGATTTGCCTCCAATATTTGATCCTTGCAACTGTGAAAATTGCAATGAAAATTATTTAGGTGTTCAAAGCAATTTTGATAAGCAATTTATTGATCAGAACAGTGAAGAGATGAGAATTGAGAAAACTTTCGAAGATATTATTGATTTTATGGGCATTAATGTTTTCACTTGGAAGGTTGCCAAAACTTTGGTTGATTTTGTCAATTGGTTGAAGATTCTAGGGAGAAACATTTGCATTGTTAGAGGGAGTAAGAAGAAACCAAGAATAACGAAATATTCCAAATATCTTTTTATTTGGAAAGGAAGGTTTCAACTGGATGCTAAAAGATCCAGAATTAATATGAAGCAATTGAAGATTCTACTCGGATTTTCCTCAATCAAAGGCTTGAATTCGAGGACGAATTCTTTCCAACCAGGGGAGTCTGATGCAGGAGCATAGGGGTGGATCAAGATAGATATTTACCATTTAATTAGCTATTTCTTGATATATTGTTATTTTCTTATTTAGGTAGTTTTAGGATATCTTTTATTATTTATGTGTGATTTTATAATTAATTGGTTTGCTTTTGGACCAAGCAGTCTTGGTGCCCAAGTCTTGTAAAACCTATAAATAAGGCTATTGTAATAGTTGTAGGGAGAGGGAATATTGATGATTAATGAAATAGTTTATTTGTGGCATGAATTTGCTACGATATATGTGAGTTTGCATTAGCCCTAGATTTCGGTGCTCGTGTATGTGGTTGGTGACCTGTGTTCTAATCCCGATCCCCATCACATACGTACCCTTGATTTGGGACGAGACCAGCTATCATCAAGAGAAGAAGACGTCAGAGCCTAATTTGGATCCCACCATCACATTCATTGATACCAACCTCATATCAGAAAGCTCCATTTCATATGGATTCTACTTTTTGATCCCACACAGTATTCTTGGAGTTTGGCACACAAGGAAATATAAAAATCCATCGTGATAAAACAATTTGTACTCAAGATTTTAATTAGCAAAGCTATTTGGGTTTGAGAGAACAAATAATGGCCATTAGTGGCTAAAAAGAAGAACCATGTTTCAGTGTTGTGGAGAAGAATGTCAAATCTGTGGTGGGAGAAGAGAGAAGGGAAGATGATAAGGGTATAAATTGAAGGAATATCTAAATTGAAGGTAAATTTGGAAAACAAAAATTAACTTGTCTACAGTATTAATGATATTGTTTTAAATATAAGAAAAGTGACACAAAAGGAAGAGACAAAAGGTAAAAGAGAAAATTGGAGAGAAGGTTTCTCGCATTCCTATATATATTCTCTCTATTTCTAATGTAAAAAATAAAATCAACTTTCCAAGTGTGTCAGCTTGACAGATTGCAATTGGTGACAGCTGGTTCTTCTTGTGGTCACAAACTCACCATTCAACACTAATTTTCTATCATTTTAGGTGGGAACATTAGCTAGCAACTAGTCTAGTCACCACAATCAAACTCAATTGCTTGAGTGAGTGGTTCACCGAAGTGGCCAATGGGAACAGAGAACTTCTCATTCCAAACAACCAAAAACACATAAAATGATCATGAAGTCAATCAAATTGCAAATTATTAAGAAATGAACTGAGGGGTACTTTTCACTTTTGGGATACTATATCCATGGCACAATTTCTAAGTTGAAGTTGTAAATCAAGTTCTAGTGTTCACTGCTCCGATGGCACAAGCAAGCCTCTCTCACTTCTCATCCTTCCTTCTGATTCTTCTTCTCTTTGCACTGTCACTTGGGCAACAAACGACTGCAGGACATGGACTCTCAATCAAGGAAGCCACCATAGACGATCTCCAACTAGCTTTCAAGCACAAGCTGCTCACCTCAAGGCAACTAGTCCAGTTTTACCTTGGGGAAATCAGCAGGCTCAACCCTTTCCTCAAAGGGGTCATAGAAGTGAATCCGGATGCGCTTTATCTTGCGGACAAGGCTGACTACGAGCGCAAGACTAAAGCACCATCTGTGTCACTCTCTAAGTTACATGGAATTCCCATTCTGGTCAAGGACAGCATTGCAACCAAGGACAAGTTGAACACCACAGCTGGCTCTTATGCTCTGCTTGGCTCTGTTGTGCCCCGGGACGCCGGTGTGGTGACCAAATTGAGGAAGGCTGGGGCTATCATACTGGGAAAGGCCAGCTTGAGTGAGTGGGTCTATGGGAGGTCCAATGAAACACCTCCTGGTTGGAGTGGCAGAGGTGGGCAAGGAGTGGTGAGTTGAGGATCATTAATTGCCTCCTGTATACCTTGTTTGATTAATTTAAACGGTTAAGTTCTCTCGATAGATACTTGGTATGTTATGTTGTGAAACTTTCAATTTGAAACATACATTCAACTAAAAGTTCACATAACTAATGTTCAAGATTGACTGACAGTCTGATAATATAAGATAACAGACATTCTGAGATTTAACCCACTGAGGTAACACAGTCTGATAATGTTCGGTTGAGTGCAGAACCCTTACAATTTCAACGCAACGCCAAGCGGCTCAAGTAGCGGTTCGGCAATATCAGCGGCAGCAAATCTGGCAACAGTGACACTGGGGACTGAAACAGACGGATCAATTTTAAGTCCATCCAGTTGGAACTCAGTGGTGGGCATCAAACCAACAATTGGCCTTACAAGTCGAGCAGGGGTTGTCCCAATCTCTCCAAGACAGGACACGGTCGGGTAAGTGGTGATCAATCAATGTAAATTATTTTTACATTAATTTAGATGGCTACCTTTTTCAGTCTCGTTGTTTGTTGGGGGGTGTTGGATTGAACAGACCAATTGCTAGGACAGTATCAGATGCCGCATATGTTCTTGATGTCATTGCAGGCATTGACAGCAATGACCTTGCAACAATTGAGGCATCGAGGTACATTCCCAAGGGCGGCTATGCACAATTTCTCAGACCTGATGGACTTAGAGGTAAGAGAATAGGGATAGTGAGAGCCTTGTTCAACTTCGGTGGTGACGCTTCGTTGACTCGAACTTTTGAACAGCATTTCAACACTCTGAGGTAACAAAACCATGTATTAGTCTCTCCAATTCGAGACATACCTACTGTTTTGATGACATAATAAGTTGTTGGAATTTGGAAATTTAATGTAGGAAAGGAGGTGCTGTTTTGGTAGACAATTTGGAAATAGCACATTTTGATGAAATCTACTATAATTCAAGTAGTGAAAGCATTGCATTGGCTGCTGAGTTCAAAATTTGCTTGAACACATACCTCAAGAACTTGGTGGCTTCCCCGGTTCGATCCTTGGCAGACGTGATAGCCTTCAACAATAAAAACTCAAAACTGGTGAGTAAATGGAGCAAAGGTTTATGTTACTTCCAAATTATGCCCAGAATTTGTCCCAAGTAATTGGTTGAGCTACCGGCAATGCAGGAGAAATTGAAGGAGTATGGCCAAGGCCGACTCTTAGAAGCTGAAGCAACAAATGGGATTGGCAATGCAGAGACGGCAGCGCTGGTAAACTTGGCAAAGCTATCCAAAAATGGTTTCGAGAAGCTCATGACGAAGAAGAGGCTAGACGCAGTAGTGGCTCCATCTGCAGCCGTGTCGACGTTGCTCGCCATAGCAGGTTCCCCAGGTGTGGTTGTCCCAGCAGGATATAATAAAGATGGGGTACCGTTTGGCATCTCCTTTGGCGGGCTGAGGGGTTCGGAGCCAAAGCTAATTGAGATAGCATACGGCTTTGAGCAAGCCACTAAGATTAGAAAGCCTCCTTCACTTAAAAAACTTCAAGATTTACAGCCCCATTTTATTGGGGTATTGAAGCAAATGGGTGTACTATTGTAGTCTTGTGATCAACAAAATGCTAAGAATAATAATGACGGGTCTTGATCATTTAGATTTTATTACAACTGTTCTCTTGGTCTAATACATTTCTCTTTCAAATGCTGTAAGAGATTCAAGTTCAAATGGCTCTCCCAAATAATTTAAATTAAAAAAACAGAAATTCTATTAAAATTGAAAACTATCAATTACTTGTTTTCTATGATAACCTTTTCATGTGTTTAATAACTGGAATGCATCATGATTTGACTGCAATACCAATACATTTAGCATTAAGAGCATGTCCAGTGCTCACCCCAAACCAGGGGAATGGGCCCCCAGGCGAGCCCAGATGTGCTCCAGCGCGAGAGAAAGGGCCCCCAAGCGAGGGCAGGGCCAAAGGCAAGTTCTGCCTGGGCTTCAGCCTGAGTTTTATGACGTCAGCGCTGACGTCATGCTGATGTCAGCGCACGGAAATTCAATTTTTTTTTACCGTTGTGCCACGTGTTGCGACAGGGACGCTCCAATCGTTTTTTTTTCCAGAAATCCAACAGTCCTCGTTTTTTTGGCTTTAAAATTCTGAAATTTTTAAATAAATAAAAAAACCAAAAAATTCTGTATTTTTTCCCTATAAAATACCTAACCATTTTATTTACTTTCCACACCAAATCTTCATACAATTCTTCTCCATCCAATATTTTTTACTCTCCACTCACATTATTCACTTTCCACACCAAATCTTCATACAATTCTTCTACATCCAATATTTTTTATCCAAAAATTTAATTACAAAAGATTATCAAAATTAATGGTTTAAAGTATAAAAAAAATAGAAAATAAAGTATAATGAATAGTATTTGCCTTAGACTTGCCCTAGACTTTGCCCTCATGGGTGGAACCACAAATGGCAAGGCTGACACTATTCACGTGAATAGTGGCAGCCCTTGCTTGCCCTTGCCTTAGACTTAGCCCTTATGGGTGGAAGTGCTCTAAGAGTGTTAGCGTGTGAATTTGTACCTAACAGATTAAGACACAATCACACACATAACACAAGTGTTTGAGTGGTTCACCAATAATGGGGCTACATCCACTATAATTTATAGCTTTGTATTTGTATTTGAATATGAAGATTACATTATGCATGAGAGAGATATGGGAGAGAGGCTTAAGGGCTCTTGTTGTACAAGAGGAATAGAGGGCTTGGGAGAGCTCTTGGAGAAGTGGCAGTTGCTGGTCCCTTTGCTTGGAGGTGGTGAGATCTCTTTTGTAGTCCAAGTAGTGGTACTCCTTGATTTGGGGATTCTACATGGCCTTCCCCTGATTTGGGGCCTTGGGCATTGAGAAGGCATGGGAGGGGGCATGGCTAGCTACTTCTTGTTTGGTGGGATGTGAGCAAGCAAGGGTTATCCCTTAATTGGTGAGATTTGCTTAAGGGAGAAGGTGAGTTCAACATGGTATCAACAAAGAGTATAAGTGATAGTCTAAATTACAGAGAGAGATTGATGAAAAGCATGTTATGTTTTTTTTTTTTTTTTTTTTTTTTTTTTTTTTTTTTTTTTTTTTTAAATAAATTTAAATGTTTAAGTCAAGGCCCTTTTTCATCGGAGTAGACCTGATTAGCAAAAAGATGTGTATGATTTAGACATTACAAACATGATCCATAGAGATCGATTAAATCTCAAATACAAGCAATTAAGCAGTAGAAGCTATATTTACTAGAAGAGAGACGGCCAAGGCTATGAATTGGTCATAGGCAAGGCAACTTTTTTACTAGAAGAGAGACGGCCAAGGCTATGAATTGGTCTGGACTATCTTCTTCTCGAATATTCGTAAAATGCTGCATAGTTTAGCCGATTATCGATTCATTGCCATATGCTCTTAGCCTTGTTATTGTTGTATTTTTTTGCACAATGGCATGCATTTAACAAAAGCATCTTGTAAAAACTTGAACTAGGCTACAAAGAGACCATGCCCGATTGAGATTAAGAAACTGTCAGCGGTCCAAAGATTTTGTTTATATAAATTGTAGCTGGTAGAACTCCTCTGAGCAAATCAAATCAGCCACTACATTACTTCAATGGCTGCAAAATCACCATCATGCTTTCCTCTCTTCCCATATTTGCTTCTCATTCTTCTATCCTTTGCTTCATTTGGGTCCCAAACTTTTTCTGTCCATGGGCTCTATATTAGAGAAGCTACAATCTCTGATCTCCAACAAGCTTTCAAACAGAACCAACTGACTTCAAGAAAAATTGTTGAGTTCTACCTTCAAGAAATCCGCAGGCTCAACCCGGTCCTTAATGCAGTCATAGAGGTGAACCCAGATGCCCTTTACCAAGCTGATAAGGCGGACTATCAGCGAAAGTCAAAGTGTCCTGGTTGCTATTCTGGGTTACATGGCATTCCTATCTTGCTCAAGGACAACATTGGAACCAAAGATAAGCTTAACACCACTGCTGGCTCGTTAGCTCTGCTTGGCTCAGTCGTGCCTCGTGATGCCGGCGTGGTGAGCAAGTTGAGGAGTGTGGGAGCCATCATATTGGGCAAGGCTAGCTTAAGTGAGTGGGCTCAGTTTAGGTCTCTTACAGCACCCGCTGGTTGGAGTGTTAGAGGTGGCCAAGGAAAGGTGAGCTTTGAAGTTCTTGTCAAATGCGTGTGAATTAGTATGGATTTTGAGCATAACTTGTAATTACCATTTCAATCCTCTATGGTTGTGTGCAGAACCCTTATGTGCTATCAGCAACTCCCTGTGGATCAAGCAGTGGCCCAGCAATTTCAGCTGCAGCAAATTTGGTAGCAGTATCTCTGGGGACTGAGACTGATGGCTCCATATTATGTCCAGCAAGTTTCAACTCAGTTGTGGGCATCAAACCAACAGTTGGCCTCACCAGCCGTGCAGGGGTGATTCCAGTAACTCCCAGACAGGACACCGTTGGGTTCGTGCTCTTAATCGAAACCAAACATTTCATTGTCTGGATTTTTCTACTCTGTTCCTCCATCTCAGTTAGCAACTTAGCCCAAGAAAATACTATTTGTGTTATGATGTTCATTGCTTGTTTCAACAACAATATACACTTCTGTAACCTTAGCTAATGTAGAATTATAGTGTGTTGAATGTAATAGGCCCATCACCAGGACAGTTTCAGATGCCGTTCATGTTCTTGATGCCATTGTAGGCTATGATTACAATGATCAAGCAACCAGAGAAGCCTCCAAGTACATTCCAAGCGGTGGCTACAAACAATTTCTTCAGGCGTACGGGCTCGAAGGAAAGAGACTTGGAATAGTGAGAGATCCCTTCTTCACTTCTGGCAGCGGATCTCTCCAGCTTCAAGCGTTTGAGAAACATTTCCAGACTCTAAAGTAGCACTTTATGCACTTTCGAGCTCACTACTAGTCCAACTGAACCAATTAAATGTAGTGTTTAACATGATACAATGTTCTTTCTGCAAATTGCAGGCAAGGAGGTGCTGTTTTGGTAGACCATTTAGAAATAGCCAACATTGATGTTATCTTGAACTTCAATTTGAGTGGGGAAGCAACAGCATCACTGGCTGAGTTCAAGCTAGCCTTGAATGCATATCTAAAAGACCTGGTGGTATCTCCAGTTCGATCATTGGCAGATGTAATCGCCTTCAACCTCAAGTTCTCGGGTGTGGTAAGTAAATTATACACATGCACAATAAGTTCCCTATAAATCATGTTCAATGATGACCAATAAACTTGATTTTGCTGTGAAGGAATTGATCAAGGAATTTGGACAAGACATTTTTCTTGCAGCCCAAGCAACAAATGGGATAGGCAACAATGAAAAGGCAGGATTGTTGAATCTAGCAAAGGTAACAAAATATGGGTTTGAGAAATTGTTGACAGACAACAGGCTAGATGCATTGGTGACTCCTGGTTCAGATGTTTCCCCTGTGCTTGCAATTGGGGGTTTCCCAGGAATTAGTGTCCCTGCTGGATATGACAAGAAGGGTGTGCCCTTTGGCATAACCTTTGGGGGACTGAAGGGTTCTGAGCCAAAGCTGATCCAGATTGCCTATGGTTTTGAGCAAGCTACTAAAGTTAGGAAGGCTCCTACATTTTTTGCCTTGATAATGAATTTAGAATTAGCCTTCAAGTTTATTTTTTTTTTTTTTTTTTTTTTTTTTTTTTTCATGAACCAAGTGTGTTGTGATGTCATCTATAAATACATGATGCATCTTAGTTGGGACAAAATTTTGATAATTTCATGTTTACTTGAATTAGAGTGGGAGAAGTCAAGAACTGAAGAAGTTGGGAATATGGCAGAGAATGAATAGTAACTCATCTAAATCCTGATTTTCCATGTATTACGGATTTTAATGTGTAACCCGTATATAATTTTTGATTCATGAATGGGAATAGTTCTAATCTCCAATTCGGATTCCACCAAAGGAAAGAAAAATAAGCAACATATCATATATTGTCGTTCATATATGGTAACCTGAATTAAACAACAAAGAAAATATCCATCCTTGGACTAATTAAGAAGAAAATAAGTTGGTCAAAGAGTTGGTGCCCCTAGCAATACCCTTTTTTTATTCCTTATATGTTACTCAATATCGAAGAATTTATAAATCTAAATAGTTCTTAATCTCCATTTCAGACAAGTACAGAAAATTAAGAAAGATATGTATGTCATATCTGATCTCCCCATTCATATATGGTAACTGAAATTATAAAATAACAGAGAGAAATCTTCATCTTTAGGACTGATTAAACAGAAAATATAGTTTTGCCTTAATAGTTATTATCACATAAGACTAATTACCACAAAATGAATCACAATGAACATGAAACAATGTAACGGCTAGGATCATCCAACTCCAAACCAATCACAAATTTTGATCTGCTATATAAGACAACACCTCAACCCAACTGTCCCCGCACTCAAACAAACAAATACCGACAAACCAAAAAAATAAAAAAGATGGAAGGCAGTCGATTCGTCCTCGTTTTGGCTTTGACTCTCACCGCGATCACACCAACACTCTCTACCTACCACTCCGCCACGCTCCTCAACGTCCGCCATAGAGAGAAAGTCACGCGCCTCCACTTCTACCTCTTCGACATCATCAGCGGCACCAAACCCTCCGCCGTAGAAGTCGCACGTCCGAAGGGCACAAAATACGACAAGTCGGCGACGCCATTCGGCAGCGTGTGGGCCATCGACGACGCTCTCCGTGAGGGCCCCGAGTTCACTTCAAAAGTGGTCGGGAATGCGCAGGGGCTCTACGTGTCATCCGTCCAGGACGAGAACAGCTTAGGGCTAGTGATGTACGCGGATTTCGGTTTTACGACGGGTAAGTTTAACGGGAGCTCCTTCAGCGTGTTCTCGAGGAACCCGATCATGGAGCCGGGGGAGCGTGAGCTGGCAGTCGTGGGAGGGAGAGGGAGGTTTAGAATGGCGAAAGGTTTTGTCAAGGTGAAAACACAATTTTTGAATGTTACCAACGGTGACGCCATTCTTGAGTACAAGGCTACTCTAGTTCATTATTGAATTGAGCAACGTTGATCATGGAAATAATTTGTGGTTTAATGGGATAAATTAAATAAACCAGCCATTATATTATGAACTTTGTGTTAATTACTAATTCCCACAAATTATAATTGGTGATTGGATTTATATGAACGAAAAATATAACAAATGTTGTTAATTAACCAATCGAAAGGAATACTTAAGACAATCACTCGGGAGCGGATCTGCTGTCCCCAAATTAAATGTACTCTTGTATCCCGTATTTAATTATTTGACACATGTCCACCCACTTAACCTTGAATTAACACCGTTAACTTAATAAAATTTTGAAAGAAAAAACCAACACTATAGCAGCAGCAACCACCCCTCGTGACCTTCATACCACTTCCCCTTCCTCCCCTTCCCTGACCTCCTCCCTTAGCCACAAAATCACCATATACCAGTACTCTCAATTGAGAAACCCAAATTTGAGGGGAGATCGGGAAGAAGAGGAGGAGGTGGTAGTGGAAGAGAAGTGGGCAGCAGGGTGGAGGTTGTGTGTGGCTTAGGTGAGGGGGCTGAACCAGCGAGGTTTGGTAAAAAAGTTTATATTTATATATAATAAAAAATAATATATAAAAATTATTTTATTATTTTATAAAATAAATATAAATCATAAATAAAAATAATTAGTTTAAATTTCTTTCTGGTTTCTTTTCTTAACTGTTCTTTGTTTTATTTTTCGTAATTTAAGAAAGAACTTTCAGAGGGAAGTAAGCCTATGACAAGAAGGTGGGTCAAAGTTTAAGGAGTCTGGCGGTAAGTCAATAGGCCTTATAATGGATCTCATTTTTTCAAGAATTAAATCTTCCAAAGAACAAGGCTTTTTTTGAATAAGCCAATTCATTTGGGACCCTGCGAATCTACTCTTTTTCCTATTCAAAGATCAGCCTTGGGTACTTGGGTGGGGAACTCGGTTTAATTTCTTTTAATTTTTATTTTATTGAAAGTAAAGTTAACAGTGTTAATATTGGGGTTAAGTGGGTGGCCACATGTCAACAAATTATACAAGGGACATGAAGGGACATTAAAAAGAGAGACAGCAGATCCCCTCCCCAATCACTCATGCTCGCGTATTGTATACTTAAAACAGCCGTTCATGCTTGCTGAAAATAGAAACTTAGGTAAACAAACATGCATATATAGATAGCATCCCATTTGAATTTCGGGATTCCTTAGTTACGCAACAGCCATGCATATATGTATTTATTCCAAACAAACTAAAAAAAGAAAAAAGAATTTCTGGATTTGTTTGGGTCGGCAAGAAATAATATAGGCCAACCAACTTTTTCGTGCAATTATGAAATTTTGATTTATATGATGGTGACCAGGCCACCGCCACTCCTTCCTTACGCATTAATTATTTGAAAAGCATTAATTTTTTCGTTGTGCTTTTCTATATTTTCATTTAAGGTTTAAACCCTGTTTAGTAATTGTAGAAAATTTTGTTTCTCTTCAATTCTGGATAGGAAAAACTATGATATCATTCATGTATCTTAACTATGGACTCATTTTCTCAATTTTTTTAAAGGACCTTTCATATATATTGAGATGGGCGATAATATACTAAACTCACACATACTACACGAATTCTAGGACCCGAACTCAAGAACATTTGCTCCAAACTACTACACTAGTAAGTCCTTTGCGACACATTTTCTCTTTTAGTTTCTGTTTTTGTTTTGCTTGCTTCACATTTGTAATTATAATTTTAGGAACAAAATTTATGGCTCCCCGACTAAAAAACATGCCCTAATCTGTCTGACTTTTATTCTTTTCGTTAATGAAATATCAGAAATTTTTATATATTATTTTTTTCTAAAATATTAAAAGAAATTTAGACACTCTAAATTGAAAACCCTAGCTGTGTTTTTGACTTTTTTTTTCTTTGTGGAAAGTTGAGACACAATCCTGGTGAAAGAAGAGAGTTGGCCACTTATAACTAGTGGGCCCCAATAAAAATCTTCTTCTAGTTGATGGGTAGCTTAACGGCGTTTGAACTCTCGCCCATTATTTAACCCAGTTCGCAAACCCAAACCCAGCAAACATCCTCCAAAACTAAACCCAATGGCAAACTCAGCAACCCCTCTGATTTTGCTCGTGCTCATCTCTCTACTGGCAGCCATTGAAGGAGTTCAAAACTCCACAGAGCTGAAGTGGGCCAAGAAGCTCAAGACGAGAAAGAAGACGACGTCGTCGGAGACAGTGACCAACCTCCAGTTCTACTTCCACGACACTGTCAGCGGGAAGACCCCAAGCGCCGTGCGTGTAGCCCAAGCCACAGGCACCGAGAAGTCCCCCACCCTTTTCGGAGCTTTGCTTATGGCGGATGACCCGCTTACTGAAACAGCCGACCCGAACTCCAAGCTCGTGGGTCGGGCCCAAGGACTGTACGGGTCATCTTGCCAGCAAGAGCTTGGGCTGATTATGGCCATGAACTTTGGGTTCACGGATGGCATGTACAACGGTAGCTCTATTAGTATTCTGGGTAAGAACTCGGCTATGAACCCCGTTCGGGAGATGCCGGTCGTGGCTGGAACCGGGGTTTTCCGGTTGGGCCGGGGGTATGCAATTGCCAAGACACATTGGATTGATTTTACCACGGGTGATGCAATTGTTGGGTACAATGTTACTGTAATTCACTAGAGTGAGTTACTTTTTCTTTTGATATTTCACCCGTCTACTACTAGTTTTATATACTTTTATAGTCGAATAATGTCATTTATGTCATCTACCATTTCTTGATGAGTCTTACCTTTATTAGAAATATTCGGTGATGAATTTATATTCAGTTGATATGGTGCAAATAGTTAGGCATATGTATGTTTCAGTGATAGTTTGTTTTTCTTTGTCGGTTCAATTTGCTATTTGCTTAATGTTGAGTCGTGATACCTATTTTCTTAGCGTCCCCCACTCTCTCTCATAGGCTACATAATATGAATCAACGATCGAAAATCACCAATGCCACGCTTAGTGTCTGTTCAAAGGAAAATTGCTATTTTTTATACTCAATCATCTTATTTTCTTTAGGGTGGTGACCTAAATTCTAGATTAGAAAATTGACTCAAAAGCATATTGAAATAGCTTTTTGATGACTGGTCAATATAAAGCTTTTCTATCCCTTGATAATTATATGTGATCCAAGTTGGTAGCATAGAAGGTCTATGCCGTTTTGATTCCTATCAATTCTCTTCCACATCTTTTCATGTAATATAGGGAATAAAAACCCACCACTTGCAATGTGACTCTTCCCTTTGTTTTGGTCCTTTGGAGATTCGACACCTGTCCAAACATCTCAAACCTTCTTCTCGTGACATTTTTGCATGGTTAATGGACATAGATATGTTGATGCAAAGAATCATTTTTTATTATAAATCATATTGGGCAGGTAGATATAATTGGTTAGCTTTATTGTCTGATTTTCCATCACAAAAAAATAAAGGAAATGAAAGTGATTTGGCCATTCGAAAACAAACACCTTTTTTGGCCTCGATTTTTCATGACAATGAGTGATTCTTCTCCATGATATGTCATCCTTGTCATGACAATTTAATTTCACTTCAATAAATTTGTCTAAAGTAAAGCATGCTGGGTCCGCCACTTTGTGATGATGAATATGTTTGGACTTTACACTACTTTTGATTCTTTAAATTTGAAGATATTTATAGGGTAATTTTCATTTTATCACAATAAAATTTACGATAGACTGTAACATCATTTTAATAACTCTAGATTATTGTGTAGGTGATTGACCGTAATATTATTTTTATAACTTATATTAAATGATACTACCAAAGAAATTTGTATGTCACATGAGGTGGAAGATAAAAAAAAAATTAATAAAGGACATGTACTCTTTTGAAAACAAAGTTTTAGTTTATATATTAATTTGAGAAGTTAAGAAGAAATTATCTTCTTCTTCTTGTCAAAGTTAGGAAGGGAGAAAGAGTAAAAACCCACACGGATATCACGGTAGCTTGAACTCATGATCACTTTAGAAGCATACCGAAAACTTGAGTCAATCAAACTAACACCCAATTGGTAAGAAGAAATTATCACATAGAAATGTTGTGTATAATCTTCCCCTCACATCGCTAATCGCATAACTAGCATAAGGGAGTTGAATCTGAGGAGTTGAATGTGAGAAAGTTTTAGTCTATATATTTGGATGTAAAGTTTGCCAAATTGTACTCTTTTAAGCCAATTTGAGTCATCAACTGGAGCTGCTCCTCTTTATCATGGAGATGCTCAACCAAACAATAAAGTATCAGGATTTTAAAACCTGAACCTCTTAAATAAGATATTACCTCTAATGTCTTATTAATCTCCAATGGTCATACAAAGTACAAAAGGGTGAGAGGATTTGAGCATGAATTAGTCCTGTTGAAGCTCAAAAATAATTCGGCACTTTTGAGCCCAACTTAGTGATGAGGTATGATGGATGATGGGTGAAGGTAAGGACCTTCACCAAGTGTGTGAGGATTTGAGCAAGCGATAAATATACATAAGACAAGATATACGTGGTTCACCCTTAATGAATGGGCTACGTCCACGGAGAAGTATATTCTCATTATTATAATATTGTGTATTTACATTTGTACATGAGGCTGGACCCAAATTTCAATGTAAGAAAGGAGAAGGTCATGACTAAAGATCAAGCCCAGCCCCAGGATCCTTTTCTAAGGGGAGAGTGGTCTCCTTTTATAGGTGAGGGGGAGCCTTCACTTCTTGTAATATTCCAATGTGGGACTCTTTGCTTTGCCTAGAGTTGCTTCTAGTTGCTTGGTCAGATATGGTATAAACAAAAGTCCTCTAAGTTCTCAAGCAAGGAGGTACTTCTTGGTTAAGGACTTATAATTTTCAATGCACTGACTGAGCAACACCTTAGTCTTCTTCCAAGTAGTGTGGTGTCGATGGTGCCAAATGATGGCGGGGTGCCGAAGGCATCGCTCTCGTCAAATGATGACGGGGTGCCGAAGGCATCGCTTGCGTCGAATGATGACGGGGTGCCGAAGGCATCTCTCACGTCTAATGATGAAGGGGTGCCGAAGGCATCGCTCTCGCCGAATCATGATGGGGTGCCGAAGGCATCGCTCGCTTCAAATGATGACGGGGTGCTGAATGCATCGCTCGCTCCGAATGATGACGGGGTACCCAAGGCATTGCTCTCGCCGAATGATGATAGGGGTGCCGTATCGCTTTCGCCAAATAATGACAGGGTGCCGAAGGCATCGCTCGCGTCGAATGATGACGGGGTGCCGAATGCATCGCTCGCGTCGAATGATGACGGGGTGCCGAAGGCATCGCTCGCGTCGAATGATGACAGGGTGCCGAAGGCATCACTCGCGTCTAATGATGACGGGGTCCCGAAGGCATCGCTCCAGTCGAATGATGACGGGGGTGCCGAAGGCATCTCTCTCGCCAAATGATGACGGGGTGCTGAATGGCATGTTGTACTTTTTGTGCTTTTGAGAAGGAAACCATGTGATGATGTCTTGCAAAATTTAGTTGCCACTACCTAGTTCAGAATTCAACTTGTGGTGGGCCCATGAAACTTGGTTTATGGGTTCAGTAATTTTGGAAATTACCGTTCGGCAATTGACTTTAGAGATCATGGGGAGTTGGCCTGCACATGGAGCCACATGGGATGCCGTTTGTTAACCTCAGAATATTTCCAAAAATGAAAGCTTGATCTCAACACTCTTGATCTGCCATTTAGCATTCTTGTAGCCACTTGGATTTCGATTTCAGTTCGGCAATTTATGTTGGGCACAGAGACCTGGCAATTTATGCAAGTGATGGGCTGAAGATGTGTTAGCTCCAGCAAGCACGTGAATCACCGATCAGTCGACATGTTGCTTAGCACTTGCAAGATGGCATAGGTGTATTGATAAAATTCTCTACTGGAGGTACCGAATGGTGAGAGGCTCCTACAGAGTGAGCTGAAGGAAGGACTAGTGTCGCTGTTTCCTTCTTGTCTTGCGGTGGTCAAGACTTACCGGTAAGACGTTATGTGAAGCTCTTGTTGTCCTCAACACTTGGGGTACCGTTCAGCAAGCTGATCCTGTGTTGTTAAGAGTGTAGCTTTCGAGTTGAGTCATGCTCGGCGTTGCTGTTCGGCAATGGGAGATTTCGAGACCATGAATATGGGCATTCATCTTATGTGAGGCATTGATCGGTGATCGGTGGAGCTGCCGATTAATAAATTGCAGATCAATTGGAGGTCTAAGCATATCACTTGGCTTAATCCTATCCTACTGAAAGGTAGGATGATTTGTGCTGTTGAGAAGGCTCCCAGATGAGCTACGCCCAACGTTACCGTTCGGCAATTTGCAAGTTCTGACAAGGAGACCATGCCTTATGGTGATACCTCATTTGGGGGTGGTTACCGAAGACAGGGTTTGTCGTTTGATAATGCGTTTTTGAAAGCCTTTTGAAGGTGGATATGGCTTCTGAAATCCACTAGCTGAAGCTAAAGGATTTGGGGATGAGCACTAGGTGCCGATCGCTCCATATTATTTCTCTGGTTTTGCAGCCGTCGTTCGGCAAGGGTGACCGGAAACAAAAAAGAAGGACCGGTTCAGAGATTGCTGGCTTCGAGTCACGGCTTCGGCACGACTTGGTTCGAATGAGAGGTCGAGTCTTCCATTGATTCCGGCGTGAAGCCATGGTGAGGCCACGGTGAGAGTTGGTTATCTCTCTTCCTTCAGCAGGTAAGACTTGTTGAATCCGACGTGTCTTGAGCAGATTTCGCAAGCTCCTTGTTCCGCACGACTCTTGCCGTTCGACAAAGGTGAAGGTGCTTTTCCCTTGCTGAACGGCAAGGGTGATTGGAAGGAATTTTTGCAAGCCCCCTAATTCTTCATCGTCGGAAGGAGCTCGTGCAGTGACCACGGTAGTGCGGCAAGACTGGGTGTCGTTCGACAATTTACAGCTTTTCGAGCTATGGAGGTCGACACATGGTAGTTGCCGTTCAGCATGTATGACACCATGGGTGTCTTGAGAGATTTCGGCAGAGAGAGGTTTTGACATTGAAGGTCCCATTTTTCGTCAACTTTGTCGTTTCAGCAGGTATGGAAACTGTCCTTCGCGATCTGTCGCCGCCCTACCGATCGGTAGGGGCATTGCTGATGGTTTTGGAAGTCGGATGGGGGCTCCCATGTTTTATGAAGACACCTAGGGATTGGCTTATGTCTCAGTCGATGAGAGGTGTCGATGGGGATGACACGGTCCTTGCCATTTCTTCCTTGCGTTTGGTCTCGGTGGTGGCCTTGCTGGGGATGAACCCGTTCTGTTTTGGGTGTCTAGATAAATTTCTAGCGTGTGGTGCGTTATTCAGTAACCCATGAATAAGCTGCAAGCTTGGTTACTTTTTGGTTTTTAAGCTTTCTGAATCGGATAGAGATATCATGGTTTGACCAATCAATTTGTTTGGAGGATGCGATGCCGATGGCCACTTTGGAGTTTTCCATCCCGTGTTTTGAACTTGCCATACTGTTTTGAGTGGCTTCCATCATATGATGGTTAAACATTTGAGATGGGTGGGTGCCGTTCGACATGTCCATTGAGATGGCTCCAACCTTTCCTATGACAAATAGGACAAAAATAGTATTAAAATGGGAAGATTTGAAGATATGGCTAGGCCACCGATTGATCCCATGTTTATGTCAGCCACTTGAATAATATATAGAACCACTGAATTGCATACTTATAGATATATTAAAATATAAGATAAGATATGCAAATTTGTTTCATCTAATATTAGAAGTATTAGATCATTTGAAAAAATAATGGGTATGCCACTTATCTGATAGAGGATTCGGCAAGAGTGGTGTCTTCGGCATTTGGGTGCCTTGTGACTCAAAGTTGCCTCACTATGGGTATTGCCGAATGACAATTAGATAATGTTGATTATAAGGGTGCCAAACTTTCTCTTCGAAGGGGGTGCCGAATGGCACTCTGAATTGAGATGGTGGTTTGGTCATGCAAGCCATTGAAAATGGTATCCACATTCTGATTGGTTTTTCCTTGAAATATCATATTCTGCAATTTGTTGCCTTAGCATTCATGGTTGCTCTAGCATGGGATTGCCATTCGGCAAGTTAGGAGATGTTGATTGCAAGAGTGCCGAAGGGCATTGAAAAAGGGGAGAATGACAGAAGCTTTTTGTGTCGATTCCCACAAACGGCGCCAAACTGTTGACGCTCAAAAATGTTTCGGCACTTTTGAGCCCAACTTAGTGATGAGGTATGATGGATGATGGGTGAAGGTAAGGACCTTCACCAAGTGTGTGAGGATTTGAGCAAGCGATAAATATACAGAAGACAAGATATACGTGGTTCACCCTTAATGAATGGGCTACGTCCACGGAGAAGTATATTCTCATTATTATAATATTGTGTATTTACATTTGTACATGGGGCTGGACCCAAATTTAAATGTAAGAAAGGAGAAGGTCATGACTAAAGATCAAGCCCAGCCCCAGGATCCTTTTCTAAGGGGAGAGTGGTCTCCTTTTATAGGTGAGGGGAAGACTTCACTTCTTGTAATATTCCAATGTGGGACTCTTTGCTTTGCCTAGAGTTGCTTCTAGTTGCTTGGTCATATATGGTATAAACAAGTCCAAATACAGTAAAGATACTCCTTTTGTATTGCCGGCTACAACGTGGAATTGTTTATGCTATCCCACTCCATTCAAACTCAAGCTTTATTTTAAAAACATATATTAACAAGTGTCGTAAATGAGATTTGAACTTAAGTGCGTCGTTAGGTCAAATAATCATTAGCACCCATGCTTAGGTTTAGATCAAAGGAACTTACCCTACAACTCCTTTAATGATAATCCAATGCCTACTAAGACCCACAAAAGTGTCTTTGGTTTGGTGTTGAACTTTGTTTGTCATGTAAAACATTGGATTATGATAAGCCAAAGTATTGCATCCACCATCATTGTTTCCTCCAGTCCAACTGCTTTTTCTCCTTCTTCTTTTTTTTTTTCTTGAATTTTTTTTACTTTTCTTCCCGCCATGAAATAAGGACCACATCAGTGCATTTGATTATGCAAACTGAAATTAAAATTCACGTTAAGGAGAGATTAAAAAATGTAGCTTATTTGGTCAAGCAACAAGGTGCCAATTTATGCAGGATCATGGGCTAGTGGGCCACCAATTGAAGAAAAGCAATTAAAATACAGAGAACAAGGTTGGTTGCTTCCACAGTTCCACCATAAAATCCCTCCTTGCCCTTCAAAGTTTTCTCAATTGAGAGATACATACACAGAGAGACACAAAAATGGGAAAGGTTGGTCCAATATTTCTAAACCTTTTGCTCTCACTATGCCTAGCCATGCCAATAGTACAAAGCACCATTGAAGGACCTGAGATTGAGCAATGGTTTCAAAACCTTCATCTAGCAAAACAGAAGATGACCCGCCTGCACTTCTACTTCCACGACGTCGTTTTGGGCCCAAGCCAGACCTCAGTGGGGGTAGCCCGAGCACCCAACACCTTCAAATCACCCACCTTGTTCGGGCTAGTCAACATCTTTGACAACCCGCTAACCAAGGGACCCGAACCCACATCTGAGCTCTTGGGTCGAGCTCAAGGGCTCTACGGGTTCGCCTCCCAAGAGGAAGTGAGTCTTCTTATGTCTGTGAACTTTGTTTTCACAAGTGGCAAGCACAATGGGAGCAGCCTCACCGTTTTGGGTCGTAACCCAGTGGTGCATTCAGTCAGAGAGTTGCCAATAATCGGTGGAACTGGTGTTTTCCGATTGGCACGTGGGTTGGCGTTGGCCAAGACTTATTTTATTAATACCACTCTTGCCATTGTTGAATACAATGTTGTAGCTCTGCATTATTGACTGAGAAGAGTTGTGGTTTTTTATTCGTGGGTTGGTTTGCTATTTGTTTAACAGTTTTTTCGTGCTTTGCTGCATTTTAACATGTTATACAAAGTTGGGACTTGCTGGAGATATTTGTATTTTTTTTCTATTGGGTTTCTTTATGTCACCACACCGCATGGTATGAAAATAATAATATTAAAGACGCAAAAGAATTTCTTGTGTTTCAGTCGCCAAATAGTATGGCGAATGACATAAACAAGTATAACATTAGCACATGCATAAGTTTAAAACCCTAACTTTTGAGATAGGTTTTGAAGCCCCTTAACATTACTCTTTGAAAATATTTTTATGCAAGGATGAAGTATGAAGCCAACCCACCTCACAAGTCCTTTTACTAGTTTCTTTTTCTTTTTATTTTTTCTACAATAGAATTATTCACCCACAACAAATTTACGTGACAACAATGAACTAGCCACAACTACATATCGAACTCGCCAATCAAGTGGAGACAAGCAGACACAACGAGTAGTAGACGACCTAGTAGTTGGTTTTTTTTTTTTTTTTTTTTTTTTTTTGTTGGGAGTTATTTTGTATCATATGATAATTGCAGTAGGGGAACGAAACAAGGTAATACCATTTAAACCCACCAACTGCTCCAAACCCCACCTTCTCTCCAATGATTTATACAAAACCGCATCAATACCCTAAACTAAAAACGTCTGAAAGGATATGCGACTTTCATGGGCTTGTTAAACCTTGGCACCTTGCTGGCAGAATGTTAGCAATTGGCCCTTTCTAAGACCCCATTGTGAAGTGACGACATATGACTTATAAATTATGCACTTTCTTTTTCATTTTTTTCTATCGGTTGGTATACGGGCATTTTCGGACTAGATATACTGACCACATCTATCGTAGAGGTAAGACCCACTTCCATAGGTAGGTCTCAAAAGAAAATATAGAGGTGGATCTCAGCTCAAGTAGAGTTTAATTCTTATTAAACATCTGTTCTACCACTGTTTCTTAGAAAATCTAGCTGCTGGCATGATGAAAATTATGATCTTCAACTAACAGATAACAGAAATGAAAACCAAGTCACTCAGATCTCGGCAGATTCCAAGACGAGAGTTGGAAAAGTCTAATTGATGCACAATTCATAAATCTGCATCAAAAAGGCACACGCTGTCAAGAATAAGATTGTATTCCAAACACACCGACGAGGAAAACAGCAAACACCATCTCTCAAGCAAAAGATGACATCCTCATTTGTCAATTGTCATCCTGGTCATGGCTCACCCTATACTTAGACAAAGAAACTGGGGGAACCTATTGGTGCTGCTCTACCTTTCCCTTAAAAAACTTCGAAAAAGACTAAAAAGTTAATTGTTTCAGAGCCCTCTGCCATGCACAAAGAACATCAAAAAAAGAAAGTAAAACACTCAATTTTATATTCAAAGCCCTTAACCATGCACAACCAATACCAAATGACTGGAGAGAATGGAAGAGAGGCCAAGCAATCAACAACTTCGGCAATATAAATGAATTTCCACACACAATTAAGAAAAAGGCCTGACTGAAAAAGAAGCAACTGTGAGTCCAGTACCTTAAGAGAACAAAATTCACCAACTGCCAGTATCTAGTTAAGAAGCTAAAATCACTATGATCAATGAAATACTAGATTGAAATGAGTTTAAACAAGCAGCTTAGAATCACTCACTAGTGGTGATGACCATCACAAGATGACCTCCTCACCCACTCTTGATGATGACCTATACCGCAAGGCTGCTGCAGCACAGATATTACTCTAATTTTCATCATTGTCCATACTGCAACTGTTGAGGATACGTGAAGAACTTTCTGAGCAGAGGAATGAGGCCGAACAAAGCTATTTGAAGCTGTTCTGAGCTATTCAAGCGCACGCTGATTTGTCCAGCCCCCCTATTATTTACATTGGCACGAGCAATCAGGTTTGTATGTCGTCCAACTGGAATCTGAGACTGTATATTGCCTCCAATGGCAAGATCTCCATGCCAATCCATTACCGACAGCGAAAGAGTTGATAGCGAACGACCCAAAGGATAATCTTTGTCTCTCAACTGGGCCTCCAAAGTACATCCATAAGCAATATCACCACGAGCAGTCATTGCACCACCAGTCATAACCATCTGGCACCGTTTATTAGCAATAAATTTGTCTTCGACTTTCATCCCAGCTGATAAAGCATCACCCAAGAGAGTAACTGAGAGACCAGCCGTTGCCTTATTCTTCTTAAAATTACTGAACCTTGTGTCACTTCGCAGAGTATAAGCCAAGTCCTTCCCAACAGTCTGCATATCAAATCCTAATGAAGTTGCTTTCCCTTCCCCATACTTTATTGAACTAGCTACTTCCATTTGGACATTGGCATCCTTTTTATCCTTGGTAACCTGGCCAGAAAAAGACAAGGGTATTTTGTCTTTGACAACAAACAATCTTTCTGCATTTATGCCCTCATAACCAACATCATGATCCCAACCATGAGTTTCTAGAACAGGTCTTACGATCCACTGGTTGGAGGAATCTAGATATCGATAACGGTGACTTGGATTATCAGAATCAAAGGAAGCAGGTAAGGCCAAATCTGGCATGGGAACAGGAACAGATGCTGCCCCAGAACTTTCCTCTTCAACATTTTCACCATAATCATTTGGCAGTTCCATTGCCGAAGCTGCCAACTTTTTCATCAACTTCCGTCGCTTTTTCTCTTCCTTCAACTGTTTCTTCATGAAAAGCTTTTCCCTATACTCTAACTCATCAAAATATGCCGCCTTCTGAGCTTTAGAGAGTTTCTCCACCTGGGCCTTTGCCAAACGTTTAAATGGTGGCAATTCATCATATTCTGATTCATCATCAGAATCTGAAGATTCATCCAGTTCATCATCTAGACTGTCATCATCACCAAACTGCTCCTCAGGCAGCTTCAACTGTGGTCTTGATTGAAGGAGGGATGAGAGAAGGAAAGGTAAAGGAGGTGCCCTAGACCGAGTTGCAAAAGGTTTTCCGGGTGGACTATCTTGCAACTTCAATAGGGCATTTGCTTCAGCCAGAATCTTGGATGCAAATGAGAGCAATAACAGATGAGGCTTCCAAACCTGACCATTTGGCAAAACTCTCTGCCCAGCCCTATTAGTTCTGCAAGCAGAGTGGTTCTCTACTAATGAAACAGGATTCATGAGCCGCATATCCCCGGCAGCCTGACGAATGGCTTGCTGGACAACATGAGATCGTTGAGTGACAAACATGTCATAACTAGAAGCTGTGCCATTTGGGCCATCAGGTGGAGCTGACGCAGCATGAGTCAGAACCACAATCGCATTGAACCATATAGATGCCCCAAAAATGTCTGTGATGGTGCGCAAGAGTGGCATATCACTGAAATCCCTGCTCTGCATGTCCAACCTATCAAGATACAACACAATATCTGGGGGAGTTTTCTTGATAAAGCGGTTCACAGCCAGGAGAATCTTCTCATTCTGACGCTGGTCAGACCAGGAAGGTAAAAGGCCAGGTGTGTCAATGACTCGTACTCTAATCCCTTGCACGGTACCAACAACATCCTGTACTTTCTTTGTCCCCATCTGAAAAGCATCAGTGTTGAACTTCACTTCATCAAATATAGAATTGATGGTTGCACTTTTGCCAACTCCTGTCTTTCCAAGAACCATAATTGTGCAAGCAAAATCAAGGGGTTCATTCCCTGATGCCTCAAGCTGCTCTGCCATGGCACTTGCACGGTCAAAACTAAAAGCACCAACACGGCCCCCATTTCTACCACGCAGCTGCTCAGCTAGTCCCAGTCTGTACAAAACCTGAGCCACAACAACATTATGTGGAGTCTGCCCAAGCCTATGTGCAAGACGCAAAAATTTCACTCTTATCATTTGAAGCTTTTCACGAGTCTCATCAGACTCCTCTGCCTCTCCATTAGCGGGGTCCTCAATTTGCTGGTTTTGCACATGAGATACTGTACCATTTACTCGAGGATGCTGTACCACCCTAGGTGCAGGTTCCAAAAGTGGGGCAGCACGGCCAAGGCCAGCTGGACGAGTAGGAGGGGGAGTGGGGTTTGTAGAATTTCCAGATGAAGAAGAATGCACTGATGCTGGCTGAATCTCTTGTTCTCTGTTCACTTTATTGATTCCCTTCTCTGCCTGAATGCTTTCTTTCTTTTCAGGCTCTTCAGGGGCAGCAACATTGTTGCAAACTTCACGAGCAATTTCATCAGCTTGCAGAGGTTGATCACCTTTGTTACTCTCTGCTCTCAAATCAGCATCACCATCCAGAATCTTCTCTGTCTGCTCAGTTGCAGATGTTTCAGGAAAAGCGGAGCTCTCTGATGTCACAGCCCTTTCCTTCCCATCCTCCCCTTTATCAGATGAAATGCCTTTTAGTTCAGATTCTTCCCCATGATGCTCTGAACCCAGCAAAGTGGAAGAGTCTTTCACTTCTCCATTCCTGTAATCTTGATGTTCTGCATCTGTACAAGTCAAAGTGTCTCTTAGTTCTTCAATTTTATTATCCTCTTGCCTTGCTTCAATGCAGGGCATAGCATCTTTTGATTCAGCACTATCACCTTCTTTATGTACTGTATTTTGTGACTCCGCAGCATTATCATCTTGAACCTTCAAAGGATGGCCATCTAACGCACTTAGCAGTCCCACATCCTTTTCAAGCTGAATCTTTAAGCTCGAGGAATTTTCCTCTAATTCCTGACCATTACCAGCTTCCTTCAAGATCTCCTTGTTAAATTCAGTTACTTGAGGAGAATCAAGATCAGCAGCTTCATTATCTAACTTTTCATCGGTAGACAGTGTCTCTGAAATTGAATTATCAAAATTGTCCTTCTCAGGTTTCTTATTTTCAACAACTACATTGGGCTTTGCATCAACATCATCCCCATCTGTCAAAACTGCTGTACCAGCACCAATCTCAGAAACCTCTTCCACCCCAACTTCTTGGCTATCCACCAATCCATCGGGCTTTAGATCAACCTCATCTGCATCTGTCAAAACTGCTTTTTCCCCACCAGCACCAATCTCAGAAACCTCTTTCACCCCAACTTCTTGGCTACCCACCAATCCATCATCTGTCAATCCATTTGATTCAACATTGTCTGTTTCAGACTTCACATTCTCAGGAACTACAGACTTTACATGAACCTCATCCCCACCTGTCAAACCTGCTATTTCTTCACCAGCCCCAATCTGAGAAACCTCTTTTACTCCATCTTCTCTGCTACCCACCAACCCATCGTCTGTCAATCCATTTGTTTCATTGGTCACTGCTTCCTTTACAGTTTGTCCATCATCAATTGCGCCTGCCACTGCGGCCTCATCAACACTGTTCCCACCCACAAAACTTCCCATCTTCTCTTCACCATTCACGATTGCCTCCTCCTCCTTCTCCTCCTCCTCATCCTCATCATCATCAGGAACCCCAATTGCCTCTTCAAAATTCTCTATACTAGGACTCTTAACAAGAACGGCCAAACCCAAACCACCAACTGTCTCAGCCTTTCTTTCTCCATCAACAGCAGCAGCATCCCCAAGATCACGTTTGGTCCCCTGCTCCTGCAAGTGTTCTTGTATCTCTATTGCCTCCTCAAAAACATCATCTTCTAAATCATCCTTGAGTCCATTAGACCCCTCTGCAACCCTCTCCTCAAAAACCTCAACTTCAACACTCTTGTTTTCTCCCACGTTAGACCCGCCAGCAATCTTATCACCATTTTCCATCCCAAATCCTCAAAATGCAGCTACAAAACCCTAGATTCACCAAAACACAGAAAACCCCAATTCTCAATAAGCACGATGATGAACAGATAATAACCATTTCAGGATCTTATTATTCACCGCAAACCCCAAAGAAACGAATCATAACAAAACTCCATTGACAATTCAATTTTCACTACAAAATTCTAAATTAACGAAACAAACAACACCATTAACATTTCCACTGTGTATATATCAATGATTAACCAATACAACAATTTAAACGAAACCCCCCAGATCCTACCATGGATTGTTATTAGGGTTTTGTGCGGAAAACAAGACACAAAAACTAAAACCAATACAAGATAAATGAACTGAGATAAAATAAACCCAATAAAGTATAAATAAATAACAAATAAAAGAAAAGGCTTACCAGGTTTTCTGGGTTACAAAGATAAAGGCTCTGCCTTTGGTCTCGCTTCGATTGAGAGAGAGAGAGAGAGAGAGAGAGAGAGAGACTGAGGTTCGAGGATTTTCTTCTTTTAAGCGGACTTCGTGTTTTAGATATCTCTACACACTCAGTACTCGGCTTAACCAGCAGAGTAATTAAGGATAAGAGTCCGATCAACAGTCCAGAATGATCCTAAGTTTTTAATCCGACGGTCCAGAGTTTTGCATCGATATCATCGTGAAAGACGCCAATCAAGATGACGTGGACTGAAACTGGAAAAAGGGTTTCCTGTTTGCCTTTTGGAATTTCACACGTGTGGATCAGCGGGTTTGGTGGCTCTCCAAGAGTCACGTGACCGGTACCGACCGTCCGATTTTGATGATGGCGAATGTGGGAGGGTTTTCGTTTGCTTTGCCTGTACATCTTTGGTAAATGATGTTCACGTGACTATCACGTGCTGAATATAGGGCACCATTTCCAAGCATGTTGCACGAGTCTCACCCTCTCACATCCATTTTCTTGGTGAAAACGATGCTTGGGTGGTTGGGATCTTTTCAATTAAAAAAATTGTGCTCGAAGGAGGAGGAAATGATTTCTCCACTTACCAAAGAAATATAAAATGTGCTTGAATGTATATATTTTTAAAGAATTCCATTTTAAAAATATATTGTTGTAAATGCATGATCAATTCCATTTTATCATGCAATTGTGATGTTACAATGTCACATATAAATTGTGTGCACAGTTTTTATACTATTATATATGGATATCTACTTGACATAAATAAATTTAAGAAGTTTACCCAATATGAATGCTCTAAAATCATTGTTTATATATATTAATTACTTGAGATATTGGGGAAAATTAAACTATTTTGATCAAATTTCATTTCATGATACCGCCAACGACTTTGTAATAAAACGCCCACTAGAAATTCTTTATTGTCCTTAGTAAAATTGTTACATTAGAAACTGAATTATTGTATAATAATGCTAATATTTGAGGACAAGGAGAAGGAAAATTAAGAAAACACACTTCTATAGTTTTTATTTTTCTAAGCCATGATATGAATTATTTTGGTCAATATATATGTGTAAAATACATGGAGAGTCGGAGAACTCTAGCCTCCCGTTCATGTTTTCGGGATCAATTTTTTGTTTTCGCAAAATGAAAACATATGAGTTCGGCGGATAAGAATTGAAAACCTTGAAAAGCAAGACTTTGAAAATGAAAACGAAATTCGTATTGGAGTTCAGAAAACAACCGCGTGATTCAATGTTGAGAAACAGGGGCGCCACCCCACAACCACTGGCGGACCTAGTAAGGCGCAAGGAGGTGTGCACCTCCTCTCGTCGGAAAAACCATTGTAGGCGCTTCAAATTGTCCCTTTGCTCAACTGGTGTACAGATTACCTTATTTCCATTTTCAACATTTAAGTAAATGTCTTTGTCCTTTTACTTTTATTTATTTTTATATTACTCCATTTACTTAAGTTTACAATGTAAATAAGGAAGTACCCCCCATTTGGATTCAAATAAAAATACTAGAAAATAAAATTCCCACCAAATCAAAATATGAAAATTCGGTTTTAGTGCAAAATACGATTTAGGCTAAAAATGATGGCTCATTAAGTCAATATATACTTCATACTAAAATCCCATAAAATCAAGTTTTCTTATTTGATATGTAAGGAATAAAAGCCGCCAAAAATTATCTTGAGAAAATGATTATTCCGAAAAACCATTTTTCATACGTAGTCAATATTGCACCTCCGCTAAAAAATTTCTGGGTCCGCCAGTGCCCACAACCACATCAAGCCATGGTTTGCAGTCTTACAGATTATATATTTGTGAAAGTGCTTTAATTATTTAAGTGGTTCAAATAATATATGATCTAGCTATTTTTTAAGTGTGGGGTTCTACTGAAATTTGCAGAGCACTCTTCTTTTTGTATGATGATGAAGAAGATGATTGAGCGAGGGAGAGAGGTGAGTTGATGGGGTTACTGCGATGGTAATGGGTGGGTGCAACGAGAGTGGGTGAGTTTTAATTTTGGAGAGAGAGAGAGAGAGAGAGAGAGATGTGAGAGAACAAGAGAGAGGTATCAACAGTGATAGAGAAAAAGAAAGGTTGAGAGAGGATTGGGGTGGATTTTGCGGAGATAAACTGTAGAGAAGATGGGAGGGCAGTATTGTTTTTTCTTTTTTTTTCTTTTCTTTTTCTAAGTGGGAGGTGTGGGTTGATGTTATTTCATTTTAATTTTTTTTAAATGATAATTCTAGTCTCTATATATTGTAATTTTCTTTAGAAGAGACATAAAAAAGAATAATACTAGTCTTACCACATTTTTTATATCACAATTTTATACCACATGATGTGGCTGCTAATGTGTACATACCACATCATGTAAAATACTAGTTTCTATTTTTCTAATTTTATTTATTAAAATACACTTCATTCATTTAATTGATATGTCATATGATATGGACATGCCACATCATGTGGTATAGAAATGTGGGATACTAATGTGGTAAGTGTAGCATTACTCCATAAAAAATAGTTATAAAAAATTATTTTCTTTTTTAGAAGAGACAGTAACAAAAGTGCCTAAAACTATTGAAATATTATTATTTTTTAATTAAAGAACGTTATATTCTTTTTTAGATGAGACATTAACAAAAATTATATTACATTGAAAAAAAAACTAACACATTGATTACATAATGCATTTTTAGTTAAAGTTACACATTTGTTTTTGCTATTTTCAAATTGTACTACTAAACACATTTTAACTGTTTTTATTTTCTACAATTGTTTTCGAATTAAGTTACCAGACATATTCTTGAACCGTGAAAATCTAAATTCCTTATCTTGTTTTCATTTTTATCAAACGGGCCCAAAAGGTTCGTCTCGGGTCCCATAATTTTAGGGTCAAACGTTGATGAGACAAAATTAGATTATCGCCCATTATTTAATATGAAATGAATTTTTTTTTAAAGGTCATTAATATCAAAATAATACAATTGATACTGTAAATTAATCTAATATATAGGGTGGGAAATTTGAACTTGGGTGTAAGGGCGTGATCTCACTAACTAACTTCTAACCCACATCTACTAACCTAGTTTCTTTTTAATTACTATTCTAGGATCCTTTAAAATTTATGAAAGAAAGTGAGAGGTATATATATATTTTGTAGTCAATTCTATGAATGTCATTTTATTAGTTTGGTCATGCTAATGGCTAATTAGGGCATCTTCATAAATTTAAATAAAACACATTCGTTCTCATCTACTTGCTATACATGATGACTAATGAACCATTGGGTTTTGGAGCTTAAAATTGTCATTTGGTCGATGCAAAGAAACAAAATATCCAACATCATGACATGATAAATTAAGATTACATATACCAGTTGCTATGTATTGATTGAGTCATGGACATGTGGGAAGGTTGTAGGAGTTGTGACTCATCATCATTCACGACTCATGTTTGTACAAACACGAAATTGCTAGCATAATATGATGGATAATACGTTTTTTATTTACCTGAAAAGTCAAAATCAATATTCTAGGGCAACGGGCATGATGGAATGAAACAATGAATGTGGATAATAAGTAATATGTTAATAAAATGGATGTCAGTTGTTAATGCTTAATTCAGTTATTAATATGGGATTTGGTACAAGAAGTCAAATGTCTCGATTAAAAATTGACATGATCTAACCTTCTATTCAACGGTTAAAACGTTAATTGTTTTGGAATCTATATATATAAAGCAAAATGTAGATAATGGTGAAATATTCAAAAACTCCAAATATGCCCTTAGTCAAAGAAAAAATTAAAAGCACACAATTTTAATTAAAAGATGGTGAAATAGTAAAACACGCTGATTAAAAAAAAGAAAAAAACAAGAAAGGGAAAAATGCGAGATGATCAGTTTGGATTGTTATAGGTTTAAGTGCTTGACTAATTCTAAAGCTATAACGAGGAATGAAAATGCGAGTGGGATTCACGCAAAGAATTCAATTTTTGATTTTGGAGGAATTGAATTTTTACAAATTTATAAATAAACCCAATCCTAGACATGTATTTATAAAAAAACTCAAGTACTATTTAAACATAGAAACACACCCAAAATCAACCACAAAGTCAACTTTTTGGGTGTGTTTATAAATGGGTTTTGAGTGTGTGTAATGATGGGTTTTGGGTGTGTTTATAAAGTGTTTTGGGTGTTGGGTTTTTTTATAATTTCAACCTCCATTTTGGGTGTTTTAGTGAAACTCCCTTGAATTTTTTGGTGGAGGTGGTATTTTAATTCATGAATAACTAACCCATTATGAATTCATATTTTTTTACCCATTATATCCTCACACAATTTTAAATTTTCAAAATTGTCATTTACTTTAACCCAACAACGAGGGCATTTTAGCAATCAATTTGGTTTCAATTCCAATTCATGAGAATTTAGTAAACAACTTATAAGAAGTAAATACAATGTAATAAGTTTCGTACTAAATGTGGGAGCCCAAATTAATCCTCAATATATTAGTCACTTTCTATATTCCATAAACCTAAAGAAGTAAAGTTATAATGAAACAAAGCGGTCCACCTCGCTTTATGACCGAGAGCTATATGACAAGTAATTAAAAGTATTTACCCTACATCCGAGTTCTTGAGTTTAATTCCCTCCTCCTCCAAAATCATTGATATCCAAATAATAAATAAAAAACATATATATATTATTGAGAAAAACAAAGCGGGTTCAGGCCCACCCGAGTTACATGGTACGCATCAAAACATCGGATCAGTATGTGTACGAGCCCACATTGTCACTGTCAATTCAACGATTACTACCGGCAATGCTCGCCGTCGCCGGAGCTAAACCCTCAAGGCCCATAACCACCGCCACCACCAACCCACCGTAGATGAAGAGACTTCAGCACAAACCTCTCATGGTTTCACTCTGCAATGCCCTCTCTCTCTTCCCCAACTCTCACTCTCACCAAGCCTAACAAACGCCTCACCGCCAAGCCTCCCTGCGTCGTCCAATCTCTCCTCAAACTCTGCTCTCAAGGCCACCTCTCGCAAGCCCTCTCGTCCCTCGACCTGTTAGTTCAAAAGGGCATCCGCTTACCCACCAAGACTCTCGCTTTCCTCATTCAACAGTGTGGAGCCACTGGGTCTCTCAGAGAAGGCAAATGGGTTCACATCCATTTAAGGCTCACTGGTTTCAAACACCCCCCAACGTTTCTAGCCAACCATTTGATTAATATGTACTTTAAATGCGCAGATGACGTTGAGGCCCGCAGGGTGTTCGATAAAATGTCTGTTAGGAATTTGTATTCTTGGAACAATATGCTTTCTGGGTATGCTAAAATGAGGAATCTGAAGGAGGCGAGGAGTTTGTTTGATAAAATGCCGGAGAAGGATGTGGTGTCGTGGAACACCATGGTGATTGGTTATGCCCAGAGTGGAGTTTGTGATGAGGCTTTGAGGTATTATAGAGAGTTAAGGAGATTGTCAATTGGTTACAATGATTTTAGTTTTGCGGGTGTTTTGACTGTATGTGTGAAATTGAAGGAATTGGGGCTTACTAGGCAAGTTCATGGGCAGGTTTTGGTTGCTGGATTTTTGTCAAATGTTGTGCTTTCTAGTTCGCTTGTTGATGCTTATACCAAGTGCGGGGAGATGGGAGATGCTAGGAGATTGTTCGATAACATGCCAGTGAGGGATGTTCTTGCTTGGACTACACTAGTTTCGGGGTATGCCAAATGGTGTGATATGGAATCAGCTAGTGAATTGTTCAGTCAGATGCCCGAGAAGAACCCTGTATCATGGACAGCTTTGATTTCCGGCTATGCTAGAAATGGTCTGGGGTATGAAGCCCTTGCATTGTTTACGGAGATGATGTTGTATCAAGTTAGACCTGATCAGTTTACCTTTAGTAGTTGCCTTTGTGCTTCTGCTAGTATAGCTTCACTTAAGCATGGTAAACAAGTACATGCGTCTTTAATCCGAAGTAATTTTAGACCCAACACAATTGTTGTGAGCTCTCTTATAGATATGTATTCAAAATGTGGGGATTTAGGGGCTGGAAGGAGAGTTTTCAAGCTCATGGGTGATAAGCAAGATACTGTATTATGGAACACATTGATATCTGCCTTAGCACAGCATGGTAACGGTATAGAGGCAATGCAGATGTTTGAGGACATGATCAGATCAGGAGTCAAACCGGATAGGACAACTGTTGTCGTCATTCTCAATGCGTGTAGTCATTCTGGTCTAGTGCATGAAGGGCTTAGTTTTTTCAAGTCCATGACTGGTGATCATGGCATTGTTCCTGATCAAGAACATTATGCATGCTTGATTGATCTCTTGGGTCGAGCTGGATGTTTTGATGAATTAATCAACCAGCTCAAGAATATGCCATGTAAAGCTGGCGATCAAGTTTGGAATGCGTTACTTGGTGTCTGTAGAATTCATGGAAACACAGAGCTGGGAAAAAAAGTGGCCGAACACCTTATTGAATTGGAGCCTCATTCTTCTGCTGCTTATGTACTACTTTCAAGTATATATGCCGAACATGGTAAATGGGAGTTGGTAGAGAAGGTGAGACAACTTATGGATGAGAGACATGTGAGGAAAGAGCGAGCCCTTAGTTGGATAGAAGTAGAAAATAGACTGAATGCTTTCACCGTATCAGATCGGTTGCATCCTCTGAAGGAAGAAATATACTCGGTTTTGGAACAGTTAGCTGGCCAGATGGAAGAAGATGTTTCAGTACCTAATGCTGTGAGGTAAAAATTTGATGTTTTGCTACTTTGCGGGGCGGTAAGAAGGAGAAGTGATATACCATATCCATTCAATTTTTTTATAATTTGTAACATGTTTTGAAGCTACTGTTTTTAGATTCGTTAGATTTAAATCTCCACAATGACATACTTGCGAGATTTTTCAATAAAAATCTAAGTTTCTGATCCCGTAGAGGGTATTATACTTTGTTTTGCATAGTTCTTTTCTCTCATTATCTGTACAAGACAAGCTTTATCCTCAGGCCTGTTATACTACACTTGAGTGACTTTTCCACTTAAGCTACATGGAGTTTTCAACTTTCAATAGGTATGCATATAACTGCAAAGTATGCTCATTTCTCATTTAGACCACAACAAGCTCAGGCTGTAAGTTTGGGTGTGCTGTACATACTTGACCCAACTTGAATTTCGAAACTTATATTAGGCATGGGCTTCCATTTGGCTTTAGTTTGGTTGGAACTTGGACTGAACTATAGCTGAATTTTGTGCTAAGCCTCTGTAGAAAGTCTCATAATCTTTTTAACCATTTGCTCATTAATTCTGCACTGTTGCCAAGTGATCTTATCCTGAACTATAAACTTACTCTGTAGGGTACAGATTCTGTGGGGCAATATTTGCACATGGTAGACCCCATGAAACTTCATGGTGTGAGCTTCTTGACAATTTTCTTGCTTGTCTAATTAAAAGGAGCGTGGGTTTTTTTAAAGGATTGTGACCCTTATCAACCATTATGAATTTTTATTTCTCAGAAGTTTTCATATCGTCTATTGAAACAGTAGAGAAAACCATCTTGACATTTGGGCAGAAGACAAAGCTTTACGGATGATTAAACATGTCATCACAAATTATGTTATTATTATTATTATTTTTTATACAAATGATATTCTACTTTAATTTAATCTAAACTACGGGGACGGGAATTCGAACTCGGGTGAAGAGTGAAGAGCACATCCGCTCTAACCAACTTGACTAACCCCATGTTTGCATCACAAGTAGTGTTGTGGTCTGCTATTGATAGTAAATGTTTCTGTAATGAGCATCTCTGGTAAATTCTATTGACCAGATGAGGAGACAGTAATGCTACACCAAGGTTAAAACTTAAAAAAAGTGAGGAACAAAATTATTCTTGTAGATACTACGGTTTCTTGTTATGGGAAACACCATAGAAAAGATAATCAAAACCAACAGCCAACAGCTCACGTAGCGTTGGACAACCATACAAGTGGACCAACCATACCACGGTTTCTAGATTAAATACAATTGGACCAGCAAGACAAGATGATCGATTATAACTCTCCACCAATAATTCAATCAAATGGGCGACCCACCAAGATAAAGATGACACATCTAGATCTAGTCCTAATCAAAATCTTGTCAATAATTATTAAAAATTTATGCACTAATGAACAATAATCAGTTTTTGTACGCATCAATAGGTGCTGCCACAATAAAAATCTGTTGTCTGACATTACAATGCTTCCTATTCTGACCCACAAAAACCTTTTATTTTTCTCTGCACAGCTTGCTCCTATTTACAGCCAGAAAAAGGAGAAGAGGAGGAAGAAGAAGAAGATAGAATCCGCTCTGCTTCTTCGGTTTTCATATTGGAGATGGGTTCTCGTGTCTCTAAACAGGTAGAACGGCGAAAGGCGATTTCGACGGAGAAGAAAACTCTATGTGATCTTCACCAAAACTGTGGTGAGGAGTTTCCAGGCTGTGACTACAAGCCTTCAGACAGGAAAAACTGGATGGCTGGCATCAACCCTGAGAAAGTTCATATAAACAAGATCGTATGGCCAGGAACACATGACTCTGCAACCAACAAGATTGGATTTCCAGCCATCACTAGGCCTTTTGCTCAATGCCAATCTTTGTCCATCTACCAGCAGCTTGTGAAAGGCACCAGGGTTCTTGATATTCGAATTCAGGAGGATCGCCGCGTCTGCCACGGGATTCTCCTCACTTACAGCATAGATGTTGTGATCAATGATGTCAAGAAGTTTCTATCCGAAACACAGTCTGAGATCATAATCCTTGAAATCAGGACTGAGTTTGGACATGAAGACCCTCCGGACTTTGACAAGTACTTGGTGGATCAACTTGGAGAGTTTTTGATCCATCAGGATGAGCATGTCTTTAACAAGACAATCGCGGAATTGCTGCCAAGGAGAGTGATATGTGTGTGGAAGCCGAGGAAGTCACCTCAGGCCAAGGCAGGGAGCCCTCTGTGGAATGCAGGGCACTTGAAGGATAACTGGATCGACACGGATTTGCCATCGACGAAGTTCGAAAGCAATCTGAAGCATTTGAGTGAGCAGCCACCAGTTTCAACAAGGAAATTCTTTTACAGGGTAGAGAACACTGTGACACCTCAGGCTGATAACCCGGTTTTATGTGTGAAACCTGTGACCGGTCGGATTCATGGATTCGCAAGGTTGTTCATAACTCAGTGCTTCTCTAAAGGTGTTGCAGACAGACTGCAAATCTTCTCCACGGATTTTATAGACGAAGATTTCGTCGATGCGTGTGTTGCAGCTACATATGCAAGAGTTGAAGGGAAAGCCTGAAGAAGCTGAACTTGTTCCTTGTTTGTGTGCAGTGTGTAGGTTTTTTTTTCTCTTGTTGATAAAATCTTCCTTCCCACTATGTAATTTAATTGAATCCATTTTTTCTTGTTATTGTTTCTGTATCCATGGAAATTGTACTGTTATTGCAGATTGATAAGGAAAAGAGACATTTTCTATGCGCAAAAGACCTTGAAATTGCAAGTTAGAATTTCAAAAACCTTAAAGAATCATATGATTTGGTTTGCAACATGGAGTGGCTGAGTGGATAATTGGCCTTTGGATGTGTATTGCTTAACTGCTTTTTGGTTTTTCAGTACCAGAAATATTTTCTTGGTTAAGGCCGAAATTCTTTTTGTCGGCAGGAACAAAGAATAGGAAAAGTAGTGTCATTTTTCCGACGAAGAAAGAATTATATGCAAGGTACAATTTTTAACTGATTATTTTACAGTTCTAAATAGCAATGAATTAAATATAATATATTTAAACATTATAGCCGCTCGGCTATACGATTTATTTAAAAAAAAATTTATAAAGAGACCTCAGTATAGCCGTGCGGCTATACTATTTATTTAAAAAAATTAAAAAGATCCACGTATCGCCGTGCGGCTATACTATTAATTTCAAAAAAATTAAAAAAGGACCCCAGTATAGCCAACGGGCTATAATATTTATTAAAAAAATTTAAAAGAGGACCCACGTATAGCCGGACGACTATATTATTTATAGAAAAATAATTTCTACAAAAGACCCCCGTATAGCCGCGCGGCTAAACTATTTATTTATAAAAACCCGGGTGTAGCCCTCGGCTATACTATTTAGTAAAAAATTAAACTAAACACCCTAAATATAATATAATAAATAGTACAGCCCGCATGGCTATACTATTTATTAAAAATAAATAAATAAAAAAAACGTTACATATATCCCACCATTCCTAACTTGCTTCACGTTCATTCAGAACCCAGACTCAGGGGAGGAGCGAGGAGCGTCGTTTTGGCCACCAAGGTTGTAAAGTAGCTCTGAGAGTATCAGTTCATGCTAATAATGGTGTGCCAGCTTGCTTTTCAAAGTGTTCGTTTTCAGAAAAAGTGGATAGATGAACAATTAATTATTTCATCCAGTATGAAATGATAGGGAAAGCTTGCTTGATTTGTGCATGCCAATTTCTTCATGAAGTCGAAGTTATGTTACTTTTCCTATCCTGTCCTGAGCAGTTCTTGAACAAATTCAATTGAATATTCTTGCTAATTAGTAGCTTGAATAATATAAAATTAGCTTGAAAAGTAGATATATTATATTTAAATAGGATAGCCGCGGGGCGATACTATTTATTAAATAAATAAAAAGACCCACGTATAGCCGTACGGCTATACTATTTAATTATATTATATTAGTATAGCCACACGGCTGTACTATTCAAAAAATTTCCTCGCGGTGATACTATTTAGGGAGTTTCACTAAAACACCCAAAATGGGGGTTGAAATTATAAAAAAACCCAAGCACTATTTAAACATATAAACACACCCAAAACCCATCATTACACACACTCAAAACCCATTTATAAACACACCCAAAAAGTTGACTTTGGGGTTAATTTTGGGTGTGTTTCTATGTTTAAATAGTACTTGGGTTTTTTTATAAATACATGTGTAGGATTGGGTTTATTTATAAATTTGTATACTAGGTAATCATGTATTCAAGTAGTATAGCCGATCGGCTGTACTATTTATTATATTATATTTAAAGTATAGCCGTGCGGCTATACGATTTATTAAAAATAAATTAAGAGTATGGCAGGCAATACAACAAAGCGAAAGCTGTGTTCAATTCAGTACATTCAACCAATGGGGATTGGGATATCAACAAAGAGAAAGTTCGTCAAGAGTTGAGAAAACTGGATCCAAGATTGCAAGGAAGAAAATCAGGACATACAGAAGAAAGCATTTCCTACTTAGTGTCTTCTAATTGATTTCTACCCACTTCACGGTAAAAGTTACTTCAGATGTGCCTATATCATATGAGAGAATTTCTGTTATATTGCTGGAATTAGATTAGACAAGGAAATGTCTACTACGGTCTACTTCCTTCTACAGAATTTCTGTTTCAGATCTTCCTCCAAGCGTTGGAATATCGATGAGAATGATCCTGCAATTAACATAAGGAAGGTTATATTGAATCGACGTTGCCTACAAGAAGTCACAATGTTACTAGAATGTCAGCAATGCCAAAACCATGCAAAGCATATTTATAGTTTTGAAGCTGAAATATTAATAGCAGATTGAAAGCAATATAACAAGTATTAGAACTTAAAAAATAGGTGGGTGAAAACCTGAAACTTGACTCTCTCTCTGCTGTAGAGAGCCTTTCACCAGAAGTGTGCCTGGGATTTGCTGAAAAACCTATAAAGAAAAATTTGTTAAAATCAAGCGCAAATTTAAAGACAATGTCACCAAATACAAGCCCAGCAATGACATAATTGTACCGAAACACGGAAACTTAGGTTATTGGGAGGCAAGTTCAAACAGCTTGAGCTTATAGTTGCCTCTTGCACATCTTCACAACTAGCAACTCTACCACAATGTTGTGACTCACTCTTCAAGACTGCATCTAAGTGATCTTTTGTTGTAGTGACCTATTAAAATTAAATACTGCTGCATGTAAGTACACACCATATCACTTGATAAATAAACAGAATAACAAATTAACAGATGAGCATACATCAACTGTAAATGAGGATGTGTTCAGGTTACACAATGCACCACTACTGCAGAAAAAGGATTGGACTGATTGCAATACATTTATGGCACTGAATTTTCGGTCGAGGCCCTACAAAGTAGACAAGGTGTGGGATTAGACATCACATTAATAGGAACAAGACAATAACAAAATGCAAGATATGATGAGAATTATGATGTGAAGCGATGTAACTGAATAATCATTGATACCTGTTGTCTGCCTACATAAACACATATTTGCTTATTACAGAAACAAAAGATATCTGCTAGTGCATACTTTAACATAAAAAATGGAAGGAAAAATAAAACCTTTTCAGCTCACTGCTCTTGGCATTTAAATTTAAGGAAGCCATAATGCTATACGAACTATTCAGCAAGTTACATGCACAGGGAAGGACTAAGAACTATTCATCTTTCAATAAGTTGACATGCTCATAAAAAGCTCAATAAAATCAATCTTGGAGGTCTCGAGTTAACATTAGAATAATGGTATAATTGCTACCAGCCCTCAAGCAGGTTGGTCATTCAAACAATCAAATGGGTTGGTGTTTGTTGGGTCATGGGGTTTAGGGGAATCCTTAACCTCATGTTAAGAACTCATAGCTTCAGATTTGCAACATTCAGAATATGAGGTAGATGCATTTCTGATATTGGAAAAAATTGAAACAACAGAAAAGTAGGACAAAGAAACCTCAAGCATGAAAGAGAGGTTGTTCTTCACAGCCACATGAGATGATGCAATCTTCTTGGCAGGGGGCAAAAAGGACCAGGCCAGGCCCCATCGACATGTTTGGCCTTGAACAAATTCAGTTGTCTTTACCACGGTAGCTCCAACTTCCCAAAGCTTTGATGTTAGGATTTTGAGGTTGAATTTCCTCCCAACCATTGATGTGTACCACCTGAAAGTCAAGGGTGTGACATAAGCGCTGAGTTTCTAAGAAAACTACCTTGGGACAGAGGAGATTTGGGAAGAGCATAAAAAATAATTTTACCGAAAAGTATGCTTCAACGTGACACTATCTTCAATAATGCGAGTGATGAAAGCCTTTTCTCCACCAGGACAAATCATCTCCATTGGGGGTCCCACCACATGAAGTTTTTGGATTTAGTCCTGCTTCCTCCATGGTCTCAAAAAATGGAGGGTTACACATGCAGAAGTCAAACTCCTCACCCTCCCTAACCACACCGAGAAGAATAGGTGGCCCACAATACCTCTTATTTGCATTAGGATGAAGATTGGAGGAATTCGATGAAGAGGAAGGTGAAAGAGCTGTCTCCCTTCCCATATTTTCAGTCAAATCTATTTTGCTTGAAGTACTAACCAACATCTCATTGTGTGATCCTTCCAGTGGAAGGGTCTCTTTGCCATTTTCAACCTTTCTAATTTCAATTAGTTCCGAGATATGTGGATTATCTCTAACATTTTTCTCTGCCCACTCGAGTGCTACATCAGTCACATCTGCAACCAAAGTCAATATGAATTTTTGTTAGGTTCTAAGCAGACATTAATATATTCAAAAATCCAAGTATGTACTAACTAAAACAACTAATGAACAACCTGACCCAACAAAACTCCACCCCAGAAGAGATGCACCAAGAAGTGGATATATGCAGTTTGCTCCAGTTCCGATATCAAAGCCCCTCACTTTATCACCACCATTGCTTGTAGGCTTCACAATGATGTCAGACGAGAGAAGATCTTCAATCCAATGAATGTAATTCGATCTATTGGGCACTGTAGGGCATAGCTGCCCATCAGGAATCCACCTGGGAAATCAAATGCACATTCAACGTACTACATATACGGACCGCCATGACAATTCAACTTCATTAACTGAATAGACTTCAAATATTCAAGTAAAACTAAGATGATACTACAACCGGGGGTATCTTTAAGTTGATCAAACAAGTAAAACTCAAAGGCTGCCATACTTCATGTCTAACTTTTGAACCTAAATAAGGTGGCAGTGGTTTTGAATTCAGTGATAGAACTAAAAGCATTGGATACAGCAGACACACAAAATCTGTAGAACGAAAGCATATTCAGCTAAAAGAGGAAATTGGGCAGCCTCTAAGTCAAAACAATTAAGAAAACGAAAAAGATACAAGCTTTCAAATAAAAAAACAGAAACAAACCCGAGCATCCACATTCACAACTCTGTATTCTAAATTCCAACAACTACCCAAGTAACCAAACTAAGATTTTGAATAAGAGAAGTTACCAATTGAGGCGGTGGTCGTGGAGGAGAAGGACCCGGGTGAGTTCCCGGGTGGCATTGAAGTCGGTCCAGTCGATTCTGGGTCGACCATCTCGGGAAAAGAAGACGAAGGGCTTGAAAGAGGGGTAGAGAGAAGCCAAGTGAGCGAAGTCGGGTGGGTTCTCGGAGTATTTGTTTCTCGGGTGGATCGTGGGTCGTTCCTCCCTTCTCCTCCTCTTCTTCTTCTTATTCTTGTTCGTCAACATTTCACATTTGGCTCTGTGAGACTTAGCCCATGAGCTAAATAAGCCAACCATCAATTTATGGCCTTCTATGTCTGAGTCGCTATCATCATCCCCACGCAAAATAGCATCATTGAACTCCTTCACTTGTTCATCCAGCTTATCCACCTGTTCGTCCAGCTTATCCAGTTCACTGTTTTTCATGGGGTTTAATTTAAGAGATGAAAAGAAAATTGAGATTGAATGAGAGGTATGCTGAGAAGGGTGTTACTTGGGGTCTTGCAGATGGCTTGGGAAAAAAGGGTATTTGACTACCTGCTGAAGGAGGGAGGAGGGAGGAGGAGAACACTGGTGTCTCTAGTTGGCAATTTCATCTCTCCCTCCCACATTCATAGAGATCACAATGTGGCCGTTAATGGGCTAAGCCAGCTTCAATTTCGGCTTAGCTCAATGGGCTTAGTTTTGGGCTTGCACAAGTTGGATCTCATCTCTCCCCAAATTTCTTTTGTGGAGGTGATCCATTTTGTATGGATACAAATACGAGATATGAAATACGATGCCGCACAATACGAGTATACATTAAAGTTTGAGTCAATGAACGGGTAATTATTGGCTCAGCCTCATAGGGTACATGTATTGTATATTGTAAGATCCACTTGCGTACACAACTGACAACTATTTGAAGCTGAGCTAATGAACCTTTTTCTTCTTCTCCCAAATATGGATAGACTCGGGGATTTCAAAATGAGGTGGGGTGGCTATATTTACTTTACAGGTGAGCTGTTAGATTTTAGGCCAAGTTAAACTTTATAGTAATTTTGGTTTACCCCCTTCAAATTCAATTTTCCTTCAACCCTTCACTTTTTGTTCTTATAAATAATATCCAATGTTTATAAGTAAAAACCTATGACTAGGATCCAACTCATCAAGTTACTTTATCAAGCTCAAGATATGATTTATTATCATTTTTAATCTCCCAAAATACCCCTATTTAAAATTCAACGTTTTATGTGGTGGTATTTTAAATTTGGTTCCCCAATTTATTGTGGTGATTCCCTCCAAAATTTTGATCTTTAATCAATCATCATTAATTGTCCGTTTATTATGGGTATCATATTAAATGTACCTATTTTTTAATATAGAAATAATGAAAAATAGTTATGTTATTTTGTAAATATGTTTTTAATTCATAAAAAAAGTGTTTTAAAAAAAATTCTATTACAAAGTAACATATCTATTTTTGTATAGAAATAATGTACCTATTTTCTTACATAATAGGTACAAAAAATTCATTTATTCAAGCTATATATTGTTTTACCTTCTTTTTTATATATATACATAGAATCATCTAATTAACGTACCTATTTTTTCTACTAGTATTGTACCTATTAATGTACCATTTTTTCTACGAGTATTGTACCTAATATTAGAATATATATATATTATACATCTATATTATTGGAGGATAGTAGGTAATGTTTAAATATAATTGGAGAATGTATAATAAAATTCATTTATTCGACATATAGGAGGTTAGAGCATCTACAATCATGCTCTCTATTTTGTAGTTAAAATTTAGCTAAAAACAAACAAAAGTTATATTAAGAGCTCTCTATAAAATTTGAACTTCAATCATACTCACTAGTTTCAGGAGTCATAAGTACTATATTTATTTTTTAATTCAATATGATTGGTTCATCTCTTTTAAAAATAATATAAAAATATAGTTAACATTAATTAAAAGTTTAAACTATGCATAAAACAAAGCAATATTAAATTATATGGAGCCACTAGAAGTCCTTTTTTCTCTCCTCATATTTATAAGCTCCTATAGGTCTTCTTATTTTAGGAGGTGGATAGAGAGCGTGGTTGGAGTTGTATTTTTCAAATTCATTCCTAAAATTTGTCTAAGATTGTGATTTAAGGAGCCTATTATGAATGCTCTTATGAAGGAATATTTAAAGTAATTTGATTGTAGCCCATTATTTATGAGAGTGGAAATATGAATGTGCAATGAGGTATTATTCATTTGCCTTAATTAGGTGATTGGAAAACGGTTGGCAACCAAATAAAGATCTAGTGACATAATTTGTAAATAAATCAACCTACATGGACACATTTTATCCTCACTTTAAAATTTAGTTTTACTTAAACATTGTATTATTGTCAGGTTATTCTCTAAAGTTTTTAAGTTATAAGGGTCTATTTTAATATGACCCTAAATTTTAAAACCTATATGCTAACTCGTATGCGTTCCTCACCACCGTCATGCACATGAAGCAAGGATCTAGACAACTGTTGAACATCCGTTTCTACTACATTACAAGACTTCGTTCTCAATCTAAACCCAAAAAAAATTCAAGATCAAGGAGTAAAAAAAAATCAAATGCAAAAACATATGAATTCAAATTACACTGTAACTATGAGAGCATGTCCAGTGCTATGCAATAACCCGGGCAAAAGGCCCCCCCAAAGCCCAGTTTCGCACTCCAGCGCAGCAACTGCAGCCCGGGCAAGCCCTGGGTCCCACCAGCTCGGGCAGGCCCAAGGGCAAGTTCTGCCTGGGCTTCAGCCCGAGTTTGTGACGTCAGCACGCGGAAATTCAAATTTTTTTACTGTTGTGCCACGTGTCGCGACAGGGACGCTATGATCGTTTTTTTTTTCCAGAAATCCGACGGTCCTCGTTTTTTTTGGCTAAAAAAATTCGAAAAAATACCAAAAAATTATGTATTTTTTCCCTATAAAATACCTAACCATTTTATTTCCTTTCCACACAAAATCTTCATACAATTCTTCTTTATCCAATATTTTTTAGTCTCCACTCACATTATTCACTTTCCACACCAAATCTTCATTCAATTCTTCTACATCCAATATTTTTTTATCCAAAAATTTAATTACAAAAGATTATCAAAATTAATGGTTTAAAGTATAAAAAAATAGGAAATGAAGTACAATGAATAGTATTTGCCTTTGACTTGCTCTAGACCTTGCCCTCATGGGTGGAGTTGCAAATGGCAAGGCTGACACTATTCACGTGAATAGTGGCAACCCTTGCTTGCCCTTGCCTTAGACTTAGTCCTTGTGAGTGGAGATGCTCTGAAACCCTTCAAGAAATTCTCAACCCCACTACCAGAACAAGAAAATCTCATAGTACAATTCCTAAAGTTCAACGAGAACACAATCACCAATTAAATTAAGCCACCGAATACCTTGGCCATATAGGGTACATGCCTTTATTTTCTGTCCTCTCACCTAGGTAGGCGCACAAGTTGTGGACCCAAAAAGACTCCTAATTTATCGGTTCTTTTTAAATAAAGTGGACTCCTCCACTTTATAAAAGTTGGAAATATTTTTCTCACAACTTTAATTTAAAGTGTATATTTATCATTATTTTTAGCATTTTATATTTGTTTATGGGTCTAATCATAGTTAATTTTTTTCTTTATATTTATAGAATCATAGTTATGCTCGTGAACTTGTGTTAAATATTAAAAAATGCGATAAGAGTACACTTTAGATTAAAGTGATGAGTAAAAATGCTCTCATAAAAGAATGAACAAGTCCAAGAGACCAAATGGCAGGTGAGGTGGGGCCAATGAAAAATACATAGGCCAAGGAACAACTCACAAGTAGATAGCATATTATTACAATGATAAGAAGAGTGGGTCCAGCTTTATCTGTATATACAACAGTAAGGAAAAGTGGGACCCGTGAAGAAAGGAGATGTTTATCCATATCACCTGAGTCAGCACAGTGCAGCATCCTATATGGATAAACCCTTTGCATGGTTGTAACTTACAAGAACAACACAATTTTGTGTACAATCCGTGTTATTAATTATCTTCGCATCAAAGAAAAATGTAGATCATATGAGAAAAAAGGAAATGATATTTAATAATGCAGATAGAAGTTGGTTTGTGGATCATTTATATGTAGAACTGTGTGATTCAGTAATTTATAAGTAAATCTCGCATATGTGTAATCATCGACAACAGATATCAATATTACATTATAGGAATCAAATCTCGCATATGTGTAATCATCGACAACAGATATGAATATTGCATTAAAGGAATCAATTTATGTCTATTAGGTTTTCCAGCTCTATATAAACCAACACACACCTCTCTCATATTCAACTCCTCAAGCCCTCAAACACTACACTACCTTAACATTTGCCTCAATCCTCTCACCTCAATTTCCTGCCTCAAAACCCAGCACTTAACCAACAAGGTTTCAAAACCCCATCCATGGCTGCAGTTAGTTCTACTTCCACACTGTACGAGGTTCTTGGCCTCACAATGGGTGCAAGTGGGCATGAGATCAAGGCAGCCTACAGGAGGCTAGCCAGAAGCTGCCACCCAGATGTTGTGGCCATGAACCAAAAACAAACGTCCGCTAATGAGTTCATGAAAATTCATGCAGCTTATGCAATCCTATCAGACCCTGATAAAAGAGCAAACTATGATAGGGATCTCTACAGGTGTCCACAGCCTTTTCGCTCTTCTTCGTATTCGTCGGCGAGCATGGCGGCAGCAGCCTCTGCAATGGCGGGGTCTTCGAGACGGACTTACCGGAATTGGGAGACCGATCAGTGTTGGTAGCTCAAAACAGAGAAAACAGGGGAACCCCTCTTTAAGTGCTTATATATTTTATGTTACAATATTGCTGCTTCTTTTCTTTATGATTTTTTTGGTGGACAAATGTTGTCTGAAATGAACAGAACGTCAAACATGACACATCAAAACCAACTAACCAACTAATAATTAAGAGATCCCTCTAGCATTATTTATTTCTTTTATGGATTTTTTTAAGATTAAACTAAGGGGTGACACATGCACAACAGCATCAAGAACATTTAATAATGGTGAAAAATAAAATTAAAAAAAAACCAGATAAAAGAAACAAGTTATTCATCTGTGGCCACAAATCAGTCTGTTATCAACTATATAAGTCACCATCAGGCATGAATTCACATGGAGCACCTCCCTTTTGGTGTCTTTGTTTCATTTTTCTTTTCTTGCTTGGACCAGAACAATCCAAATTCAACCTTATCTGGTTTCAATCCAAGTGCTTTCTATTCTTTGATGGATAATTTGATTGGTAATTTCAAGAGAGATTAAAATATGGGTGTGGAAGATTGAGGCATTGGGGGTTTCTTTCACTACTGTATTCAATATCCAATCCAACAGGTTAAACTA